GATCGCCCGACGGCTGGCTGCACTGGTTCTGTTTCCTGGTGGCGCATAGTGCTTGCATCTCTGGGCTTCGAGTGCGACGCAGGTAGCGAAGGAAGTGCATCAAAAAGACCACTTTCATAGGGTTCGGGCTCCAAGCGGCGCGCGTTGTTAGATGGTAGGACATCATGAACCGTGCCGCCGCTATTGTGTGGATGTGTGAACTCTGTTGACGTAGAGCTGATAGATTGGAACTGTATGCCACTCTCTTGCATATTTTGCCCTCGGGCGGCATCATCATTGCCCAGGAGTGCCAGCGAACTGGCGTCATTGTCGTTGGATATTTGTGCCTGACTACTCTGTGATGGCTGAACTTGCAAGGTTGGCGGTAAAAGAGGCTGACTGTGAGAGAATCTCGGCTCAGCACCGGCTCCGCTTAACGATTGCTGAGTGGGATTAATAGGCGGTGTATGGGGTCCTGGATCCTCGACATCGGGTCCGATCGGCGACGAATGGCGCGTGTCGCTGCGTCTCGGTCGTTTCTTGCTAGGTTGGTGGGGGGGCCTACCGTCCCCGTGCCGCTTGTTGAGGGTGCCCCGACCATGGTTGATTGCTGTAAATTGCGTGCTAGGTACGCTAGGGGCCGCTTTCTCGTTTGTTGTCTCCGATGTACGCTGTGCGCCTCTCCCGCCGCCACCTTGCGGGTCGTCTGCCTCGATGTGGGAGAGAGAAGGATCTGGTAGACCTTGTTCGTGACTATTAGCCGGAGAACTCAACTGAACTAGTCCGTCACGCTCAAACAAAGGATTTCTCCTACTGGCTCTCGTATTTTCATAAGCTTGTAAAACATTGAAGACGTGAAGACGTTCGCGGAACTTGGGTTGCTGGGGTGCGGGCCTGGTGCTGGGCCAAAGTTCTGAAATAAAGAAACTCTTACCAGTGCGTGGTTTCTTTGGCGCATAGTTCCGACGCTTTTTCGATCGGTCTGGGAGCTTCGCTAGGGATACGCGAATTTGACAGCTTTCGAGGGTCCTCAAAGAGCGTATTTCCTGGAAATGTTGAAAGTCTTTCTCTTCGCTAAGAATAGACACCCCTAGTGCCTCGCAAACTGTTGAGTAGCTACAACTCTACTAGCTAAGAACGCTGTGCGTGTTCCGTGATCTTACCTCCATCGGTTGGCGAAGTTAGCCGCAACGAGAAATGGGATCCAAAATGGTAATGCAGCGGGAACATCACACATAGGGATCATGTTTGTGAACTCATTGTTTGCTCGAGAATCCCTTGGACAGTCCCTATAAAAATGTATGCTCCTACACTCTATAAAGATATTAGTTCTGTGAGAGACTATAAGAACAGTCCAAGTACTTACCAAGAAGAAACAATTCAAAGGCACGATGCTGAAGTCCGCGTTCGACTTGACGTTCCATTTCCTTAATAAGCCATAAAACTGTCGAACGGTTATTTGCGAGTGCGGGGCCTCCTCTGTCGCACTTCCCACGACTTGCTTCAAGGAAATCCCGCTGCGCAGCATCGACTGAATCTATCGAATGACCCTTGTAAATCGCCACAACGCATGCCGCTAGGAATACAAGGGATAGGAAATGGGAGGTAATAAGGCGAGTCTTTCCAGATTTTAGACTGGAACCGGCATTCTGCCCAAAGGCTGTCAATGCAACTTCCACAGTTGGTTTTTTGGTATGGTCGTCAAAGAAACTGTCATCATCGGGTCGGGCTGTTGATAGGTAGTCTACTGCGCGAAGAATGTCGTCTGGATCAGAAAGGTGAACATCCTCCCTTTTCTTAACCCAGTCATCCTCCGTCCTCGGCAGTTCCTTGAAGAACGCAGCTGTTAGTTCCTTCCACTTAGTAGGTACAAGACGACTTTTCGATGGTAAGATCTTCCCGGGTGACCAGATTTCAAAGGAAAGACCTGGCGAAGGCGACGGAATTTCGAGCTCGGTGCCGGGCAAACAGGAGGCATGGCGCTGACTTCGACGCGCCGTTACCTGTTCTTCAAGTTGACGAATACACTCAAGCAGAGGCTGCTCATTGAGAATCTCGTAGAGATACCCGGCGTAGGCGCGTTCATCGCCAATAAAGCCGTCGATTCGTATTGTTGGCATTATAGATACTCAAGAAGACTTTCTGAAAATCGCAAGTTTTCCCAAGTTTTCCTCAGTTTTCCTAAAGCGGTTCCAAATGCGCTAACCCTAATTAAATACCACCGGATCCGGTGGTATTTAATTAGAGTTAGCGCAGTACTCGACGGCAGTATATTCATGTTTGCTATTAGCACGTTAGATATAGTGTATTTTCGTTAGGTATAGAGCAAAAGTACTTGCAAAGCGCGAGATGGAGGGGCGTCGAATAACCACCTACGCTATCATCTCCCCCAATTACCTCGGCCATGAATAACGGTCTGCAACGGCAGGCCGTGAAGCACTTCGCGTTGATTTCAGCTCCATTCTCAATGAGATAGTTGACAATATCGCTATAGCCTTTTACACAAGCAGCATGTAAAGGGGATGTGAATTGAATCGTGTCGTTCGACTGGCGGCGGACTATAGGAGGCTTGAAGTCGGGTAAATTCCAGCGGTGGTTGACAAGTGCTTTATCGTACGAAACAAGAGATTGAAGAAAATCAAGTCGATTATTGTCCACCGCTATGCGCACAGCATCGTGGCTATACTGCGAGAATGGCATATGTTTTAGGGTGCCCTGACAGAGATGGTTTGTCCTCGATAGTGTGGATAGGCTTTGGCGGTCGAGATAGCCGCCAATCTCGAGGAGCAACTCCGGGGGGGAGGAGGAAAAAGAGTTCGCTTACCGGGGGATTCACTTCGAAGGCATTCGCTTGCTCTCCTTTGTTGACAAAAAACACAAAAACAAAAACACAGAAACACCGGCACACCGGCTAGACATCAGGTATTATACCAGCCAACCCGACCAACGAACACTTGCTCAGGAGGACAGTTGCCGCCGGCCCCCGCGATTGGAGGTGGGGTTCAGGCTCCCCTCCCCCCGGGCGTTAAATGCAAACAAACAAACAATCTCACCAGAAACCTCCTCCCCAATCCTCTGATACGCTTTCGGCAGGTTTACTGACTTTTTCTCCAGAATCTCCTTGTGGCGAAACTCAAATCCCTTCTCTGAAGATGGCAGATCAAATTGATAGAGCACACCCGACCGGTCGCGAAACCGAATTTTCCCGTTGTATCCTATACCCAATCTTACCTGCCTCTCCTCTCCCTCCGTCCTAAGGACCTCCCATTCTGTAGCGCCCACCAGTAACACCTGGATTACGTTTAGTCTGATATCCCACACTAACTCTTTGCCGAGATATGGTTGGAAGACGCGCGCTAGGTAACGTCAAATGTGACGGTACCCTTGTCACGTAGTTGCTGGAGCAATGCGGCGCGGGTTGCGTTAGTCAAGTAGACGGTAATAGTAGTTGTAGTGATCGAGAGAGGAGGCCATTAGGGAGCTTTGCTCGATGCTAAGCTTGATAATGCCCGAACGCTTCGGATTGCTTTCAACCATGCATGGACACTTTGATGAAACTCAGATAGAACATAAATCAATACACCATTGGCTGTTCTCCGCGTCGTTGTTTGCGCGCATGTATTAACTTTAGGGATTCCCCCGGCCTTAAGAGGCGCCACCTAGGTAACATTCCATACCGCCTTTGCATCTGCCTCGAAAATCTCTTCTCCAGCGTGTATTAGCGCACATTGTCATTCCATAGGCAGCTCTTTGTATCATATGCGGCGAGGGATACAGGGCACCGTCACTAGACGATGTTCAAATTGGGGTGCTTAGATGCATCCGCTCTTGTTTCTTGCTAGTTCAAGTAAATCTGGTAGTGGACTTGCTAGCCCGGCTTTTTCACCAGGTTCACCGACATCAATATGTCATAACCCGCGACGGAGATGCCGGTGCTCCCATCCGGCGCGCGAAAGAGATCCGAGAGACCATTCCCACGGAATCCAAGCTCCGTCCTGTTTACCCCTTTCCAAGCGTCTGCGCTGACGATGCGTGCCGAGAGCTTTCTCTGAACTTTTTTGTTCTCGTTACTTTGCACCTAGATAGCCAAGACGAGATACTTCAAATCGAGATTAGTCAAGTAGTTCCCAGGGGCGAACTAGATGTACATCTCGGGCCGCGGCCCGATCTGCAGTAGGAACTGGTTAGCGGCCATGTCCCAACTTACTCTTGGCTCCGCTGCTCGCACATGGTAGAACCGCCGGCCCGATTTTTCCCACAGCTTCCAGCACAGCCGCACGGAAAAGCGCTCCCAATGGGAGTGCCTCTCTGCCTGAACTATACTCTTGGGCACTCCATGGAGAATGCAGACAGGCTCATGAAACGGGCTACTGACGCCGAATTTGGTAAAGACTTTTTTGACGATCCTCTGAGTTCTGGATGCGAAGAAACAGGCTAGGCCTAATATTCTGCATGAGCAAATATCTCTGATGGTTCCTCTTGTCGTGGTAATGGAGGTCCACGATATACTGCTGACGGTACTCCGCATGGATAAGGATATTTGTTGCACGCGATCGAAGTTGACAGCGCATTGAATTGTCTGCTCAATAGGTTTAAAAGTACAGAAAAGAACGCTTCCTTATACTCATGGAGAGAGGGCAAGGGAGGCGTTGTAATCAGCCCGAAAGAGGGCATTCCGAATGAAATGAGGACATTCCGAGTCAAGAATGAAGGAAATAACAAAGAACGAAGGAAGCTCAGAGGCATGTCAACCAGGGCCTGTCCAATTCCATGAAAAGTGGGTCAATTCCAGACGACAATATTCGACGCTCGGTGATGTCACGTACTGGATGCCATGTATTGTGATGCCATGTACTGTTATATTAAATTCACTACGTTACCGTACTGTGATATTCACTGTTCTGTGGTGACATGTACCATCCCAAACCATGTTCTGTACTGACATATTCTGAGCCCAAATTCGGGACCCCTTGGCCTAAGATTCAGGCCGTTTTGCAGCATGCTTGGAACAACCGAACAGAATGGGTCTGGCGCAGGGTCCTGAGACTTTGGCCAATTTCAATGGCCGAACATTGTTCCGGGGTCCAGAATGCGGAAACATAAGGCGCGCGCACACGTATATGTGAGTCCAGTTCTGGGGGAATAGGTAGGGGTGTCTACATGTATTGAAAAGGCCGCATTGATGCCTAAGGCATCCTTGTATTTCAGTCGTTTCTCAACCCCGCCTTGATTCATTCCTTCTTCACCATTCCCCGACTCGACTCCCCTTCAACTCCCCAACACGTGTCTTTAGAGTCATTCGCCGCCTTTTATGATGGCATCTTATCACCATATCCAGATAGCCCCCTTCGGCGTTGGGTCTCACATGATGGCTACTGTAGACGGGGACGGCTTTTTGGAAGTACTCCCCCCTCCGCTAGCCATCGGTAGTACACCCAACGGGTTTGCATTACCGTAGTTTCCCCATCTTTGTGACCGATGTGGTTGGCGAGCAAGGTGGCTGTCAAGCAAGTTAGTCAAGGTCCCCGCACACGATCCGTATAGGCAGGAGAGAACCGAGGCGGTTGCGCAATTATGGAGCGGCTTCGACAACCCGACATGTTCGCTGTGTTTCCATATTACCTGGTTGGTCGAGCAGCAAGATGGTGTTTCGCACATTGAGCTGCCGAGAGGCACCCTAAGAATCTTCCCGGACATCGAGGAAAGCGGCATGGAGTTTTCGGTTGACATAATGCAATACACGCGGGGTCTGTATCAGGGGCTGCCGCGTCGAGACGGGCGTACGACATTCACGATTTGTCTTTCGCTGTATGCGGATGCAGGTATGCCGCCAGCCCATAGGGACATTGCATTTACAAAGATGCCAATTAGGTTTATTCTAACATGTTCTTAGATACAAGCGCTGCTTCGCGGATCTTTAGACGGCCGCTTCCACCAACGTATGATCATGCACCTTGGCAAAGGTTTTTTCGAAAGTGCTTAGAGAAGCATCAAGAATGCAAGACATCATTTCTAGGAGACGTCATCGACGAGGAAGCCAGCATGTTTCTCCCGACAAGGGTCATTGTGGTCAATCCCCCAGGCCTAGAAGGCGAAGGTTTAGTGCAGCTCGTCGAAACGACTGCAATCCACGTTGGATCCTACACCATCCTTAGTCACTGCTGGGTAGCCCGGAGCGACAACCCCTACGGACGACAAGCGAGAATATTGAGCGCCACATGAACGTCCTAGCCCTGGACTCTGCCCCCAACTTTCAGAGACGCCGTAATACTTACCCGGGATCTGGGAGCAGAGTATTTGTGGATCGACAGCCTTTGCATCGTGCAGGACGACCCTGCCGACTGGGAAAGGGAATCCGCCAAGATGGGGCTGTATTATCATTACGCCACTCTGGTCATCGCCGCGACTGGCGCCCAGGACTCGCATGGCGGCCTCTTTGAACCACGAAGGTTGTTCGCGCGGAAGACGGACATGCCAATATTTGACCTTCCGTCATTCACGGAGGATGGCGTCCAGGACGGGTGGTTTCACATGGCCACGATGCCTTCCCTGCAGGGCACTCACCCGGCACTTAGCAAGCTAGCTACCCGGGCGTGGTTCTACCAGGAGTGGGCACTAGCCAGGCGCGTTGCTTTCTTTACGCCCAGTCAGCTGGTGTGGAGGTGCCAAGGGGAATATCGAACAGAGGCTATCGCAGACGAGCACACCAGAGACGACTACTGGGAGGACGAGCCTGAGCAATGCCGCCATGCTTACGAGATTGTCAACACAAAGTGGGACATCGGCCATTTCGACAACGCCCAGTGGATGCGAGACATTAGCGAGTACAATTGCCGAGCTCTCACCTATGAATTGAACCGCGCCCATGCCTTCCAAGGCGTCGCGAACATGTTTTCGCAACGCTATAGGCCAAGCTACGCGTTTGGACACTGGGTCGAAGATATGCCATCCTCGTTGCTGTGGAGCAAACCTCGGAGCACAGGGCCGAATAGGTTTGAACGGCGCGCCGAGATCCCCACCTGGAGCTGTTTCTCGGTATCTGGGCCGATAGAAGTTGACTCGATCATCTTCAGAAACACCGAATACCTCAACGATGCGTCAAAAGAGACTGCGGAAGAATCAAGTGGAAGTTCTAGTCATACCAGAGAAGTGGCGTGGATTTCTCCTTACAAGGAGAAGATCATCGGCTCCGTCACTGCTGCCGAAAAGCAGCTAAATATCAAGAGTTCTGCTTTGCTGCTCGAGCGCGCAGTGGCCCCCACATCCAACGCTCTGTGCTACGTCCTGCGACCATTCAACCCCGATGCCACAATCCCAGCTTCTACGACTCCCGGTCCATCAGTCCTAGGACAGAGAGGACAAAATCCATACAACTATCGTCGTCTCGGTTTGCTAGACTACGACATCCGATGGGGGAATCCTGAATTGCCACGGGAGATTCTCCCTGGAGTGCTAAACGTGCCGAAACACGGTATTTGCTTGGACATTGCCCAAGAGGAGAGTCCTTCGCATATGCTGCTTGTCCTCATCCAAGAGGTAACTATCTTGACTGAACAGGTGGCCCCAATGCCGGAACCGTATATGGTTACTAGGCCGCAAACAGCAGCCCCCGAGTCTACTTCGTTAGCCCCGAAGGTCACTTCGACAAAACTACCCAAGATCTTGAGAAGGATATTTAAGCCCCGAGCACAACCCCAGCACGCCCCTTCCTCAGTGACTCCAGGACGTGGACCTGATCGCCGGCTAGGTCCTATCTCTCATGGGTATAGCTTGGGTTCCTGGGTTGAACGTCAACCGGCGAGATCTAGCGCCGGCGGTGCAGCCACCAATAAACATGCAAGGCACAACCCGCCCCATGGAATTCTACCTAGCTTTGCACCCAGTCATACCACGAACCTACCTCGCCATTCATCTTTGTCAGAAGAGTCGGAAGCCAATGAGCCTGAAACCCACCCATCTAGCTGGCCGCCCGGTCATCGTGAAGTTCTCGCCTTGCGGCAATCGCTACCAATTCCGGCGCCGAATCTCAGCGAGGTCTTCAAGGATACGATGTTTAAGCCATCAAGCATGTGGAAAGGCCTGGTGCTAGCGCCGGTACCTGAAGCTATCGATCGGTGGCGCAGGGTGGGGACGGGCCATATATTCGTCCCGGCCTGGACGACCGGAAATCACGAGGAGTGGTCGACAGCATTGGGTTTGGAAGGTATGCCGGTAGAGACGGAGGTGATTGTTGTGTAGATGAGAGGTCTGACGAGGTTTTAAGTTATCATCAGCGATGCAATAAGTTTAGTTCATCAGTGTCAGCGGCTCGATCGCAGAGTGAATAGCTACGTCAACTTCAGGTAACGTACTTGCATAGCGAATGACGCAACATAGCGGATCACGCACTCTCCACCACTCCACACTTCTTATAACGGCCATTACACAAACTACCACCCTTAATCAATCCAAACTACGTAGAATCCTCATCTTCAGAGGTCTCCCAAACTATCTGACAGGTTCATACATTATGGCCAGTCTTGCCGCAGTTCTTACAGCGCCGAACACGCGGTTCAGCCCCCCCCGTACGACCCCTGCCTCCACGCGCATTATCATCTCCCTCAACCACAAGACCCCTCTCTTCCTGGATTTTCTCGGCTTCCTGTTGCGAAAGTGATCCTCCATGCCTAAGACGTATTTTTTAGCCCTGCGGCGCTTGCTAAGCAGCTCATTTGCTGTTCGAAGGTCCAGGATCTCTTGCTCCATCAAAGCTATCTTTTGCATAACCTTAGTTGTACTCTTTGCTAGAAAGTCTAAATGGTTATAAATAGTTGTTGGTAAGCTATGTTGATGATAGGCAATCCTGCTTTTGATCAAAGTAGTCTGCGAAGCGGCTTCGGTTGGATTGTTTGGCGTCTGCCCAATCCAGGTAGAGGCTGTGCCAGAGCGGGAGTTCTGAGGTGTTGGCGTACGAAGTATAAACTCCAAGCGAGAAAGCACTTCGTCAGGATTAAATGGAACAAGGCCAGTCGCTCGGAAGCCAGCCTGGGCGTTTTGTGTAGTCATAGACTTATCGTATGCATCTTTAAATGCAAGAAAGAAGTCGTCCTTTGTGATGTGGGTAATTTGCATCCGCATCATCCGCTCAATTCCCCAACCGTATAAGTCTTTCAACGTGCTGAAACAGCCTATATCAACAGGCTGGAGCTTGTGAGAGGAGTGAGCAGGCATACAAAGCGTGATGATGTTATTTGCCTTGCAGTAATCCTCAAATTCGTTTGTGTGGTGGGAACCGTGGCCATCGAGAATCAGGAGCCGATATACGCCGGTTGTACGAGGTTTTGTAGCCCGTTCAAAGTGTGCCAGCCATTCAAGACTAATCTCATTTGTAGTCCAACCATTTGCGCTTGTACGAACTCTCCAACCTTTCGGAAACTTGCCATTAGTATACCAAGAGAGGAGGTGATATTGGCCCTTCACGATCAAGTATGGCGGCACTATCCAGCCATCCGAACTCATCGCCATAATTGCTGAAACATATTCCCAATTGCCAGGCTGCTTCGTACAAGGTCTGCCACGCCTTTCTGAGGACGTGACGACCTTTGCGTGCGAGAGCATACCCATCAGAATCCCAGTCTCATCAAAATTGTAGATATCCTTCTCTTGGATACCGTACTTTGCGATTGTGTTTCGTACGAGCGCAAACCGCTCTCCAATGACCACTGGATCTTCGCATTTAGCCCTTTGGTAATCGATTTGACGTCGAAAACGCGTAGTGAGCTCGTCGTGTCGTCGTACAAAGTGCTCTGCCCATCGGGGCCGACACCTGACGCGTCGCGTAACGCGAGCAGGCGATTGGCCATAGCTCGCACATCACAAAGCCGGGGCTGAAATCCTCGCGAATCTAGATCGAGAATGCGTTCAAGAAGCACGCCCTCTTCTGAATCGGTCAATTTCCTTGAGTTGGCTAAGATATCGCGTCGTGATGGTTTGCCAGCGCGTCGGCGTCGGAGGGTTGCCTCGGAGACGTCGTAGATATTAGCTGCAGCTCGTCCGGAGAGTTTGGAGTCTTTTTCAAGAGCTTGAATAGCAAGGATAATACTGGCTTCTTTTGACGCCGATTGCATTTTAATTGATGGAGAAAAGTGGTGGTAAAGGTGAAAGGTGGTAGGTGGGGCAGAAAGTGCGTCATCCGCTATGTTGCGTCATTCGCTATGCAAGTACGTTATAGCATTGAAATTATTTCCCCCTCTGCTTCCTGTTAGTGACACACACAAAGACTCCAAGCTAGTTTCCCACGTCGGCCTTGCTACGGGAAGAGCTTATCCTTCACCGCCTTTACATAGGCCTCGGTCGACACATTAGATCCGCCATCTTTCAATATCTTCCCCATCCAACTCTTCGCCAGGACGCTCGTAACATCCCATTCGGCTTTGCTATCTGCCTCTTTAGCCTCAAGATATGCCAACACCACCGCCGTCGCTAGTAGTCCCTTGTTTTCGGCAACCTTTGTCGTATCCGTTATAGTGACGTCTAGTAGACTCCCAGTACCTAATTCTTTAACTGCAGCCTCCGCATCGGTCTTCTTTGTCGCCTGGTTAGCGTCTTCAATTTCCATCGCCTTCAACAGCTCCGCATGCTTGTCCCAATCCCATCGCCACTCCCCATCCAACTTGTAGTCAAGGAGCTTAAGTATCTTGCTCCCGTTACGTATGCCAAAGGCTTTGGTGTCGTACTCGTCTCCGGCATGCCACGTCTCGAGTGACTCAGCCAAGGCGCCACCGCGCAGTACCTCGTGAAGCTGCAAATTGGCAATAATGACCTGCTGCTGGGCCTGTTGGAGTTGCCACCGGAGGTCCTGAATGATGTGGATGAGATTTTCGATGCGGGTTTTGGCGCCGGTAGCAGACTGAGGGATTGAGGTGCTGAGATCCCGGGACAGGCCCATCGTTGTCTGGTAGGCCGCCGCAACGGACTGGACGTATTCCGGCTTTCGGATCACATCGCCGAGTGGAACATCGCGGAAGCTTGTCGCCGTGAGGGTGCCGTTCTGGCTCTAGTTTGATCTTTAGTACCGGATACCTTAGAGACCGAGGTGTGTGGTGTAGAGTTGGTTGCTTACCATCTTGCCGGATTCAGGTGCCTTCCGCCGGTATGATAGGTAACAACTTGCAGTGTCGATTGGGTGTAAAGTGACAGTGAGGAGTGATAAGTTACGAGAGAGCAGCACAAGAGTGCATTTCGGATGATTCCCTCACACCAAGGGCCGTGTTTCCAGCCCGTGGCTTAAATGCGAGGGTTCGGCCACTGTCCTCGTCCCCTGAGAGTTCTGAGAGCACACCGACCGGTGCCGGGAACATCCATGTTTCTACGCTTCTCCGAGGGCGTACGGCTCAACAAGGTGCCCGACCGGCTGCCGTACACCTGCAAGGCGACCTAATAGTCGAGGCTTACCAGAACGATTGGAAGCGAGATTGGGAAACTTAAAGTTGCCTTATGCCCCTGAAGCCCATGTGATATATTGCTTCCATTCATTCCATCCACTGAAAACCGACCGAACTCCGATTACCCAGGCCACCCCATTGTTGTTCGAGCCACGTACGTCTGTAAGTCGCGTGGTTGTGTGCTTTGAGGTTTTGGAGCTCTCATGCCCGTTCCACATCTTGGGCATCGAGCAATGCCATCATGCACTGCATGCCAGAGACGCTTGTTTCGCGCCGATAGGGGCTGGGCGTGGTTGGGTTGGTGGGGCGAGCCTAAATTATTCTGCGAGTCTTCAGTGGACAGGACTCGGCTAGGTAAGCCATTCGATCTTGGGTATTGGGTTAGGGAAGTTGGGCGAACTGCATTTTTAGGCACCAGTTTCCGCCCGCAAGAGAGGGAGCTGGGATCTGAGGGGAAACATCATTCTATTGGGCAACCTGCTGCATCTCGTTTCCACCACTAGACAACGCGATTGCCGTCGTTCCTCGGCGCTCTTGCTTCATGCTCTGCCAGTTAAGAAGCCCGTCGAGTTCAGGCCTTAGAAACCCCCCTGGAGCTGCGGCGAATGGCCTTCCAGACTTGATTGAAACGCGGGTCATTGCCTCCGAACTTACACATCTCGCGGTGGTCACCGCCCATCATCGTCGCCTCCTCATTTGGTAGGTGGAGAACTGCCGACATTTTTCCAACAACCTAAAGAACTCAAGCGTCAGTCGAGTGCTCAAAGATGGCTAAGCGTCCGTCGCAAACCAAGCATCGAAAACATGCGAGAAATCCAAGAATTCGAAACCCAAACTTACCACCGTTCCAAGTCCCGTCATCGCATGTTGCTCATAGAAGCTTGTGATGGCGTATTGTGGTGTATAAGGTCGGAAATCCTCCGATATCTTGTGTAGATCGGGAGAGTGCCTCTCCAGCGTTCTGAGGAAGTTCGCTGGCGGTTGGTGCATAATCGCCTGCGCAATATTGGAGATATGGCGAGCCCATGTCGCTGCATCTGCACCTTTATGAGGGGTTCCAAAGAAGACCTATCTCGGTTTGGTCACTGAGTGAGAATGGCTTTGAAGTTATGTACGAGGCAGGGCTGACGCCCCTGTCGTTCTGTTAGAGTCAGGGGATTTGAGTGCTTACAATTCCCTTCGTGGACTCAGCGATATCCTTGTAGGCCTTCTTCTTGTTGGCGATTGTCAAGGCCTACAGCCGAATCTTGATTGTTAGCTACCAAGTCTCACCAGGATGAGAGGATGGTAAGTTATTGCATCTACCTGTTTGACAATAATGCCCCCTAAGCTGTGCGCTACGAAGACAATAGGACGCCCATTGAACCCAATAGGGCCATCCTGATCTCCATCTTCATCCTCGTCGTCCTGCACAAGTTAGCACCCAACCCACTACCTCCTCCCTTGTCCCACAGCAGCAGTGATATCTCGATCTCGGACACTTACATCTCCCTCGCGAAGATCTCTAAGCTCCGCCAGCAAGCTACCCGCATGGTTGCGGACCTTCTGCTCCGAGGTGTTGCCAAGAACTGTTGCATCGTATCCAAATGTCATAACGCGGACGCCAGGGAGCTTAGTGTGGAGCAAGTCCTTGAGCCATAGTGTAGACTCGCCCATTCCGGAAGTCTGCGTCCACGTTTCGATACGGTGTCCGTTGAGCCCGTGGACAGCGACGACACTTCATGAATAAATGAGTTAACGACAGACGAAGGTCTAGGGCAATTTGTCCTGATAAGGGTGTGACAACGACAGAACTTACTCAATGGGTCGGCGAGCGTCAATTGGTGATTCACGGAGGACTTTGAGCCCGAATTCCGTTGTTCTTCCCACAGCCTCGGTCATCGTATTGAGTGTCAAAGGCCGTTTACGCGCCGGTGAACCAAGTGTGTCCCAAGGAGTATCCGTGCCGAAACGTCGGGGAATGCCTCAAAATTCGTTGCGTAAAAAGGACAAGAAGAACGGAGGCTCCCTTGGGCCCAATATGACCCTGGGCAACTCCCACTCCAGCTTTGGCGGCGCCGGTCTGACCCCGTCCATGTTAGGCGCACATTAGGCCTTGGCCCCAGTGTGAGTGGGTGTGATCGCCCAAAAGGTCTGCCACTCCAAGCTGAGTTCAGTGCAGCCCAGAAAATTGGGCTTCTGGATGCGGCTGCCAATTGTTGGGACTGTCTGGTCTTGGGCAGCGTTGAAGAGACCCCCTCATATATTTGCTCGCTTCTCCCACAAATCATTGAGGTCCACCATTCTGTTGACTGGGAGTTTTCGGGCTGAGGGTCGGCTCATCGTGCCTGCCGCTCCCCAGAGAGCGCTGCCCCCAGGAAAGCGTAAGAACATTCAAATACATGGCCATTCCTCATGTAAAAACGTCCACCGGACCATGCGCCAAAAATCATCCTACTGATACTACTGTCCCATCCACTTCCGAAATGATAGAGAAACCACTAGAATCGAAAGAATTGTACGACCCAGAGAGAGCGGGATGTGGTGCCCCGGCTGTAGAGTAAGCTCTTCTCCTGTTCTGAGTCCCTTTTTTTAGCAAGCCTCCCTAACTTGACATCACCAAGTGTGATCCTCATCCACGGTCTCGATGGCGATCCCGTCGAGACATGGGCACATACGACAATAGACACCAAGCCACCTCGCCGCACCGTGTGGCCAGAGATTCTGCTCCCCAAGATCCTACCCCGTGCAAGAATTCTGTCATTCGGGTACAGCGGCGACATGTATCGAAACAAGTCTGTGGCGGGTATTAGGGGCAATGCCGGTGCTCTCCTTGACCACCTGAGGGCGCTTCGGTACGGTGTGGACCAGACGCGGCCTATCGTCTTCGTGGCACACTGCTTAGGGGGTCTCATCGTCAAGCAGGCGAGTCTTCCCTCCGTTGCTTTCCCATTTTTGGCACCAAACCTTTAGGTCTGATGCGTGTACTAATGGTTTGTTTCGGACACTTCAGGCCTTATGCTTCGCAAACGCAGACGAGCATCACAAGCTCATCGCCTCTGCGACGAAAACGATCGTGAGTCGACCCACTCCCCCAGGAATACCTACATAGGCCAGACCTGACACACTCCGTCACAAGATCTTCTTCGGAACACCCCACTTTGGTGCGGAAAAGAAGCAGTGGAATCACCTTGCACAGCGCTACTCTCAACTGTCTGGGTCCCGCGGGCAGGCGTCGTTACTGCTTGCGGCGATGATCCGAGACTCAGGTGACTTGGCCGAAATTAGTGAGGATTTCACCGAAGTCGCTCCCAAGTACAAGATTATTAGCTTCTTTGAGATGGTGACGTGGCAGAACACTGGAGAGTTGATCGTTGACATGACCAGCGCCCGCCTAGATATTCATGGAGAGCGAGTGGTAGGTGTCAATGCTGATCATCTTGGTATTTGCCGCTTCGCAGACGAGAACAACATGACTTTCATGTCAGTCTGGCAGGCAATCAAGGACGCAGCTCCCACCAGTGCAGAAGCCTTTCATGGTATCGGAAAGTTCGGCGAGAAGCAATGGGAGATAACCGTCAAAGAGGTCCCCAAAGACAAGGGTGTGAGTGGATTGGAGAAGATTCAGCAAACTTACACCCCTCTGAAGAGGATCGAAGATGGACGTTCAAACGTTTCTGAAGAGCTGTTCGTATCGCCAGGGTCATTTAACGAGCGCCCGAAGTTGGGCAAAGCATTTCCATGGCAGTCGAGGGAAAATGAGGCAGAGTCTCAGGGCAGTGACCCTGCCCTGAGCGAGCCGCCAAAGGTCGAAGTTCCTACCGTTGGAATCGAGAAGCAAGAGACAAGAACAAAGCAGAAACGAAGCCAGTCCGTCCGAGAAATGCTAGGCAGAGGTTTTCGGTGGCGAGGGACATAATGACTGATGTGTTTGTTCAGATGGAGGGAGCGCCGAATTCGCTCAATCTGTACTTAAAACTTCCTTTGCTATCGTATCAAAATGATTAGTGCTGCAGAGATACACCAAGGGTTTTGAACATACCTAATCCTTTTCCGGCCTTCTTCACCCGACCCCACCAAGTGAGTTTGGCCGCCCGTGTCTGTGCAGCTGTCTGAGGTGGTTGCACGGGTAATTCCTCTCCCGTCGTCTTTTTTGGCAAGACTTCATTCTTCTTCTCAACCCCCGCCGAGGTGCCTTTTGTTGGTGAGATGCCTGGCTGGACAGGCTCCGGTAGAGGGAGTTCGTTCTTTAGTGAAAGTATGTGGTCCTCCGGAACTGCCTCTACTCCCCGTGGCTCCACTGACTTGATTCGTGAAGGAATATCTCGAGCTGCTCTATCAGGGGGGGGCTTTCTATGCTGTAAATGCGAAGATCTTCGCTTTGGTATTGCCTGTTGTGGCAGTAGGTCTGGCGGGTGAGAGGCTACAGGGCGTTCCACCGCCACATTCCGGAACGGGGGTGATCTAGGGGTGGTAGGAAGCTGTTGCTGAACCTCATCCATCTGTTTGGCTGATGGCTTCCCAGCCGCCTCAGGGGTCTGCATTTCTTGGGTAGCTGGGGCTACCCCCTTAGGAGAATTTTGGTTTGTTGTCTCTGATTGCACGGAATTCCCCCTTTTTTGCGCACCCGGTGGTACTCCTGGTGATTCCCTCTCCGCGGGCGCCTCCTGCAGTTTCTTCTGTGTCGATGCCTCCTCTTGGGGCGGCTTTTCCCGTTCTTCCATGGGGGACTGGGCTGTAAATTCTGGAGAGGGCTGACGGGACGGGTGCTCCACTGAGATATCCGTCCTCTCTGTCGTTAGAGGCCGCTCCTGATCAACAGCCCGAGACATGTCAGTTATGGTGGTCTCGGGTGCCATTTGTGTAACCTCGGGCATATTAGCAGGGATTGACGTAGGTCTCTTGTCAAGTAAAGTAGGAGGATCCTCCGAATCGTACACGGGGATGAGATTCGCAGGACACTCTGAGGGATATTCTACAGTCGGTCCTCTGGTGCAAAACCACCAAACCTCGGCCCAAGATTTTGCACGTTCTGTGCTTCCATCCACCAGCCGTTTCTTTCTTTCCAGAGTTGCTTTATCATTTGCGCCTGGCCAAGAGACACTAGCCTTTGCCATGTGCTTGTGCCAGTTGAGCGCCGCGTAGCGAACGAAGGCGTGTTGCTTGATCCTTCTCCTGACTTTGGACTCCCACACATCCATAGTGGCAGCTGTCGGTGCCACTCCCGAATCCTTAAAATAATCCATGTTGAGGTATGCAATGCAGATGTTGGCAAGGACTGCGTGTGAGGTTCGCTCAACTTGATCAGAGTCCGAACCTCCAAAAAGCTTAGATCCAGCTTCTAAGAAAATCGACCGGAGGTCTCTTTGCGTAAACTCCAGGCGCTCATCCTGAAATTTGACAAGGTGCCCACAGCACATGTCTACCCTGATCTTTATGTTATCGTCGAGGGAGTTCTCAAATTTCTCAATATCCCCCAAGAGAATATCAACTTTCCTGGCGTCTGCTGAACCCTGCAAATCCGGTTCTATCACTATCCCCAGTGCTTGCGCGATATTGAACTCGGTGGGGTTTAATGGCGCATTCTGAAATAGAGCCCAGCGAATGACTTGCGCAAAAAGTACACTGAAATGCTGTTTCGAAACGAAATATCGTAGGATAAAACGGTAGGGATCCTCTATGTCGCGTAATAGGTCTCTCACCAGCCTAATCACATGGATCCTCCTAGCGTTGGGATCACGGCTCAGATAGTCCACCACTATAGTCGCGGACGAGTAGCAGCCCTTGGCGCGCTCCGCAATCTCCGTACACATGTCTTCCTAGTCTGAGGTGAACGATTGATCGGGTTTTTTGAGGAAGTCCCATAGCTTCCTGAGGCTAATTCTCACTATCTTCTTGAAATCTTCAGCGGTGTCCTCGGGGGTGACGGCGTACTGGTTGAATCCGCACACAGAAAGTTGCGTTCCCAGGTCTGACGCTTTCCGTGACAGTATCAAGATGCGAAACTTGGAGGACTTCGGTCTTGTATCGCTGTCAGATTTGTGTTTCTCGGGCTTCAACTCTTCAAGATTCTTCTCGAACTGTCGAATACACGTAAGGAATCCCGTCCTGCACTCATCCCGGAGTTCATCTAGCCCATCCACAACAAATGCCAGAGAATGGCGTGCTGCAACTTTGGCCATTGTCTCAGGCCAGTGAGTTGCGAGCAGACCTTGAGCCCACATCTTTGAGCCCAGGTGCAAAGACTGAGAAACTTTTGGCAGGAGGTCCCTGATTATCTCGGGTTCCAAACGCAAGGCTTGGTGAAGTGTGGCTCGCATCAAAGCTTGAAGATTGCCTCTTCCTGGGGTGGAATTGCTCATGAAGCAGTAGATAGCCTCATGAGGCGTTGAAGACATGGCGGCAATGATGTGTTTGGCGAGAAAGCTCTTGCCGCCGCCTGGTTGGCTGCTTACGCAGAGTTTGTGCCTCCCCGGTATGCCATCCAGCCAGTCTCTGAACTCGGGCCGCTGGGCGATCCACGTGCAAGTTCCCTCTGTCGACTCTCTGTTGAGAAAATATCGGTGGAATTCTTCTGGGCAAAGAGAATACAGCGCTTTCCTCTCCTGCAGGCTGAGTCGATCTGATAGGACAAGGATTGGTGACCCGATTAGCTGAGGTGGCACCACGAATGAATGCTAACTGATGGGTGGACGTACCGATTGGCTTTGGCATCTGACTGATCAGCCATTCCACTCCGCTCCACACCGGCCTGAACCTATCACCCTCGTTGTGCCCAAACTTGCACAACTCGAGATGGTCCCCAGACGTAAAGGAATGCCGCTCCCTTTCGATATCATGGATCAACCCCTGGGCCTCCGTGACGAGCTGGAGATTGTGTTGGCTGAGTAACGAACCGCTGCTAGCAAAGTAGACAAAGGGACTGGCTCAGATCGACGTACTACTTGTTTCGCACCATCCATGGGTACCTCTTCCACGAAGGACACAAATGCTAGGTTCTTCTGAACCGCCTTGAAGTCTTGGGATATTCTGTACATCATTTCGCTGTTCAGCTTGATGTCGTTCACCATCGTTTCTGTCGGGTCGACGTCCTTTTCTGGCGCATTTCGCCGCAGGACGCACTCGGCAAAGAAATCCCATGCGGCTTCGTCCATACCCCATTGTGGCGTCGCAAAGAACATCTAAGTGGTGGCTAATAAGTTAGATTTCCGCTCAGGGGCGGTTTCTTGGCACGGAAAGTTGGGACTTCTCTGCTTGCAATTCCTCGGCTTGCCTCCCACAGGGATTTAAATTTTTGCTTGTCACGGGCTAGTCGAATGGCCTGTTTGATTATGATCCCCCCAAGGCTGTGGCCGACGAAGATGATCGGGCGTATCATGGCAGCCTCATCCTCTTCCCGATCGTCGTACAGCTTAGAAAGTAAGTCGGTGGCGTGGGCCCTGATACCGGCCTTGCTCGTCGTACCATAGATGGTTGTGGTGTAGCGAAACGAGCGGACACGGATGTCGTGCACCTTGCTGGGCAGGAGATGCCAGGGCCAGGCGCATCCATCGGCGGCTTCCCAGCTTTTGATGTAGTGTCCGCCCAGACCAGCAACGAGGACGATGTCTGCTCTGACTCTTGCTGTTTCGTCCTCGGGATGGAAATGTTCGAGAACCGAGTAGGCTGTGTCGGCCGGGTGGATGTTGCTCGTCGCCATCTTGGCTCACTTGATCGTGTTGAGTATTGAGCAGCAGGACGTCGCGATACGCTTGGGTCCAGATCTTGGGTGGTCTCGGTAGCTTGGGCAGCGCGCGCATCTGGCTCTAGACCTCTACCCCACTTCTCGCGCAGTCTCCAATTATAACATGCCTTGCTCTTGCTAGATTCCTAGACCGCAACTGATCGACCCCGCCGCAAGCACTTGCTATCGAATCAAAATTTCCACAGCCTGTTGAGCACCAATCTAAGCTCCGGTCCATTCGCCGCGGCAGCGAGTAGGATCGGGCGCTAGACACACTAATCCCTAATCTACTCGCACAACCTCGAGGTACATGATATGGGAGACCCCGAACCCAGCAAGACAATAGCCGACTCGGACGGCCTTTTCGCAGCCCAAGCCGACTCGATCATCAAATCATACACCTTCGCTAACACCTCAATCAACTGGCATCCCGAAGACGAACCTAACAGTCTCGCCAAAGCCGACGCTCTCATAAAGTTCCACATCTTCGCCAACCCCCAAATCCACCCCGAGGACGCCCCCGACACCCTCACCTCAGCCGGCGAGCAACTCTCCTCCCTAGCGTCGACCTTGCTCAAGCTCCTCTCCCAAACCTCCTCCCGAGCCTGGGAGCGAGACCTCCAGTTCAATGACCTCACCGAAGAAGTCGCACGACTAAAAGACCAGCTCCGCGACAGCGTGACGCTCTGCGATCTAGCAAACCCGCCTAGACGACCCATGAGCGCGCTCGAAGTTGCCTACAAGAAGGCCGCCGAGGCGCGCAAGGATGATTTAGCTAAGTTAGACAAAAAGAATCAGGAGATAGAAGCAGAACTGGAAGCACTGAGGGCGGAGCTAGAACGCTTGAAAGCCGAGTTAGAAAGCCTGAGGGAGAAGCTTGCCAATGAGAGGTCGAAGAATTGGATGTTGAAGTACCAGTGGATGGACATGGGCGAGGAAGTTTGGAGGCTGAATGTGTGGTTGAGGAATAGTGTTGCGTTGTGCGATCTGGAGCATCCACCGAGGAAGCCGAAGGCGGCGATGGAGAGAGCGTTGGAGGAGAAGATTGCGAAGCTTGAGGCGCGGATTCGGAATCCGATTGGTAGAGGGAGATCAAAGTCTGTAACTTTTTGATGGCTGGTTCGGGGTCGGATGTTTGATTTCCAATGCATTGGGCAGTGAACAAGTTATGGGATATTTAAAAGGTTTGTATTATCTTGCTTGGTCTTCTTGGGTCTCTAGCAAAGCTAGGCACCCTTTCTAATAGTTTTGTGTGGTGGCAAGGCTGGTGGTTGGTGTGGCCTACACCAACTGAACTGTCTAACCACCTCACACTAGTGAAGGCTAAGGACATCCGTATAAAGAAATGGATGATCCCACGTTTACCAACTTTGTCTTTTCTTTTTTAGTGATTATTCGAGTTCAAACGCATTTTCTTCCTCTTCATGCCACCAAATATGCTCGCCATGCATCCATTCTTCCAGATATGCTTGGCCTAAAACGTGAAACCGTCCTGGCGTAGTAGATTTGCGGAGCACAATGGGGGTTCTCGAGCCATGGATAACACAGACAAGGTCGCCGGCTCTCGGTCGTAGCAGAGTAAAACTTTGACTAACCGGTGGTGGAGTGCCGCCCCGGACGTACTTTGGGTTGCCATATTATCCCATGGCTGACCAATCCACAGATTCGGCGTCATCTCGATGATCCATGGCCACTCCAGGTATCTCATCATGGTGAAGGGATCCCCGGTCTTTGAAAACTCGTTGCAAGAAGAAGTTGCACAAATCACATCAATCACATTGCCACGCACACGGAGAGCCCGCGCAAGCCCATGTCGCTCCAAGGGCATAGGGTTGTAGTCAAAGCCGCCGCTCGCACTAAAACTTGAACCAGCGCTCCTCGTCAGTCCGCTCCTCGTGCTGGGCAAATGCCACTCTATCGCCCACGAGGTCACCCTTAAGACTTTGCTACCATACCCGATGGGCGGATACCGCGTGTACGCAAAGATGTCCAGACCCTTACTCGCTGCCGCAAGCTCGGCCGAGGTTTTCATAAAGACTTCGTCGACCGTTAGTGAATAGTCCGCATTAAGCGCCCGTGGCTGATCTTGTAGGGATAGATAAGCGTAAACCCGGTCCCGGAGATCCGTGCAGTCCATAATCGCGCTCAGACGTCCCAGCAAGTGAAGGAAGTCGCCTCGTCGCACCTGTGCATTCTTGCTCGTCCACGTCCTCCTGCAGTATTGGATATGACGGATTGCAGCGGCGGCCGTCGTCTTGAGCACTGGCGCCCCCGACAGGATTCCTTCCCTCTTCTTAGTTATCGTTGCAAATGCGAGGATCGCTAGATCCATCGATTCCCATCGAAACACATCTTTGGAGACGCGGACCGTGCAGTCCGCCGCCAGGGCGACCTCCTGAATAACCCAAGCTCGCGTGAACCGGGTTGAGGTGTTAATTTGATGGCGCAGTGATGCTGTGAATAAGGGTCTTACCAAGCACGGTTCATCAAATCGAGCAGTCTGAGTTCAGTTCCGTCTCCCAGGACCCCTTTTCTGGAGTGCGGGGCAGATATATCACCAAGCCGTGCCTCTATATTCTCAACAACCGTCGGTAAGACTTGACGAAGGGGGTTTTCCCTAGTAGAACCTAACCGATCGATATCCCGGAGCAACTCAAGTGCCGCTGAGTCGCCATCACCAGCTTCCCCGAGCCACACTAAAGTTCTGCGGCTCTCACGGTATATCGAAGCCATCATGGCGACCTGGCTGTTTCGCTTAGGTACGTCCTTCTGGTTAATGCATACTTGAACAGCCCAGTACGTCGCTGTGTAGTCATTTGCGCGCTCGTCTTCGCGTAGGCGCTTGAGGAAGCTGTGCAAATTCGGCGTGATGGTCAGGATCTGGTCCCCTTCGACTCTAATAGGCGTTCTTTCAGTTGGATCCCCCCATGTGTATGAGAGCGCTTCAAAGCCGCCGCTTTCGAATAGCTGCGCCTCGATTAGTTGGATGGAAAGGAGATCGCTGTCATGAGCTGATGAGGGATCGACGAGCCAGAAGGTGGGTCACGGACAGCGCCGCAACAGCATCTAATCGTACACCGTCCTACACAGTTTCCTCGCCATCACGATAATTCCTACCTGAGGTAGCCATTCTTTTCCTATCCACGTCCAGTTAGCTGGGCTATAACCAAGGCTTATTCTCCATGTTGCTAGAAGAGTTCTGAAGGGTTCCTGCTCAAGAAGCGGCGACCTTGGTTAAAGGAACGCGATTCTCGTCCTCTTCGTAGGAGCAGGTCAGAAAGCGTGGCCCTGGCGAGTTGTGGCCGACCCATGCATCGAATTGGTCAGTATTGGTAACACACGTGTATGTGTGTATGTGTATGTGTGTGTGTGTATGTATGTATTTGTGTGTGCGTGTGTGTGTGTGTGTAACCATCGATACCGAGGGATCACCTTGCTAAATCAGCATACTGTTTACAGACACCTTGGGTCAAGGCTCGCCAACCTCTTTCTTGGTCTGCGCTGGCATGCCTCGGCAGGTAACGATACTGTATGTACAACTCACGGTCGTCTTGGCTCTACCATTGTGGGCGGCGGCAGCAAGACACCGTGGCATTTGGCCGAACCACGAATCTATAAATGTAGTGTATTTCCCCCTTTTCCACGCCAGCTGTTGGCTCGCTTTCCGCCCACTTCCGCCGTGGCACACGTCCGTCAATCTTTTAATCTTCTAATTTGAATACCCATGCTCACAAAGGATGCACCAGCAAGTTTCGACAGACAAGAAAAAACAACAGCGCTCAAGGTGCGAGGGACCTGGAAAAGAAAATTCATGAAACGCGCAAGAAGCCATCAACTCCACTCCGTAACCCCTATTTTCCCGGCACAAAGAACCAGAACCCATATCCAGTGCCACACGGTCCGGTCCGCTCGGGGCCGGCGCGAGTAAATGGCAAGATATCGCACGGCAAATCAGTATCCACACTCGGCAGTCCGCCGCATCAGACGCCGCCGTCGGGCCTGGGGTCCTCGTGCTTGGCGGTGCTGCCCTTGCCGCGCCAGGTGCTAACGGCTTTGATGTTAGCCTTGTACGTCTGCACCTCGGTGCCGTAGGCGCGCGGCGTCAGCTTCATCAGCGTGTGCAGCGGCACCGGCACCCAGGGGCTCTCCTCCTGCGTCTTCTGCATGAAGTAGGCGTAGATGCAGCGGATGACGGCCTGGTGCGAGATGATGAGAATGTCCTCGCTGCGCTCCAGCTCCATGATGATGGGCTCGAGCCGGATGACCACGTCGCGGTAGCTCTCGCCGCCGCGGTACCGGTAGTTGTACTTGTCCTCGTCGCGCGCCTGGAAGTCCTCGGGGTACATGTCGCTGATCTCCTGGTACGTCATGCCGTCGCACACGCCCGCGTCGAGCTCGTCCAGCGCCTTCCACTGCAGTTGGTTGTAGTGCTTGGGGAGGTGCCGCGCCGTGGCGATTGTGCGCTTGAGCGTTGATGTCCAGACAGTCAAGGGCCGGTCGCTCTGCAGGGTTGTCAGTGGCAAGTCCAGAACCAAGTCACGACCAGAGAAAGAGGTTGCGGGCTCCAAGCCGGTCGCAAGCGCCGGCTTGGCGCCCGCAACCTAGGCGTCACTTACGCCGACAGACTCGAGTACAAGCTCGGGAAGCTTGCGCGCGTATTCGTCGCCGCGATATGACAGTCCCGCATCCCCGCCGATGCGGCCTTCGAGATTGAGCAACGACTCGCCGTGCTGCAGCAAGGTTAGCACTGCACCGGCCAAAGCCAGACACGCACGAGAGCCCTTACGCGAGACAGCCACACAGACCGCGGCCGGATGTGCAGGTTCATCAGGTAGTAGACAACGCGGCTCTGCAGGTAGTCGCGGATGCGGTTGATGATGACCTGCTTCCCGACGTTCATGATCTTGAGGTACGTCAGGTCGTTCTCGTCGCCGTCGGCGTTGATGGTCTTGTAGACCTTCTCGTAGTTGCGGATGCGGTTGCGGAAGTCCTGAGCCGCCTCCTCCGGGTCTTGGCCCTTGTAGTCGGGGCTCGTGGTCTTGACGTCCCGGATGTTGGCCATGATCAACTCTTCGTCGTCGCACTTAGACTCAACGAAGATGACCTCGACGCCCTCCTTGGTCAGCCAGTCCAGCACCCACTTGCGGCGCTCCTTGGTGCTGTTGGTGGCATCCAGGATGCCGACCACGCCGCCGCCGTCGAACCACTTGAGCATGTCTTTTACGGCAGCCTCGGCGGCGGCCCGTCGCTTGCGCTCGCCCTCGGCATTTTTGGTATCGAAGAAGTCGGCCGACGGGTGGGGGGAGTCGTTGCGTCGATAGTTGCCGACGTTGAACGTGGCCGCGGGGATCGAGAGCCACTTCAGGTAGCGCTGCGCTGGAGGCGGGCACGACACACGAGGGTCAGCACGGAGAACTAGAAAGGGACCAGACTCGGACGGCTCACCCTTCTGGGCAATGTAGCTCTTCCCCCGAGCAGGGAGGCCAACCATGACGACGCAGATGCGAGTGTTCTCCACCTGGACGCCGATTCCGTTCATCTTGGGAGCCATTTTGGAGGCGCGTTGGCTATCGACGTAATGGCTTGGAGGCAGACGAGGACAGAAGCGATTGCAGAGACATGTAGCAGCCGGATTGGGTGCAAGACAGCAGATGGGCTCGTGGTGAAGGGCCTGGCAGGTGATCGCGTGAGCCTCGCCGGGAGCTTCTTGGCGAGTTGAAAGCTGCGATGATACCGAGTACGGTAGGTACCTACAGTGCAGTGCAGTGCAGTGCAGTGCAGTTGCGGGCTGCGTCTGTCTCGGCGTCGTCGCCCTCTCGCCGCTGCTTGTCGTTGTGTTGTACGAGAGACGGGGGAGCCAAAGCAAAACACAAACCTAGCAGGCACGAGGCAATGGATGGGCAGTTGCAGAGCAATCAATTGCAAGAAAACGACCTGACCTAGTGCGGCTGCCAACCCGGAACTGTGGCGGATTCGCTTTGCCGATGGAAAGCAGTGGCGGAGAAAAAGACACCCATCGCCCAATGCCAATGGAGCCCGCCAATGCTGGGCTGGCACGCAATTCAGGGTAGGTCTGCAGGACCTTCGGAATTCTCAGGGCTGGTTTCTAGCAGGCCCGGGGTTAGCGACAGGGGGTGCCAGCCCGGCTAGCGGGTAGCCACTCGTTGACGCACGGGCAGCTCCCGCCATACACCTCAGGTCACGTAATACGGCCCACGCTGAGGTGGACAGATTTGGGGGTGAGATGGGCGGCGAGCATCTCACCCCCAACTGCCCGGAAGGAAAGCGAGCGAGTCCATGATGCTGCCCGCTGAGGGCAGCACCCGACATGGAACAGCGCGAGGTTCAGACCGAGGCCAACAGCGGGCCAAGTCCGACCCACCCCGCCGGCCGGATGGGCTTGGTCAAGATACGAATACCTTCCATGGGTTATTGAGAATACGGTATGGAAAAGCCAGAAACCCGACGGCAAGCTTGGGCGAGTGTCGTGTCGTGCCGTGCTCCCTCGAGCCTCTCTCGGACAAGGTCCAGCCCAAGCTTCCATTAGGTTTAGGTTTTACTTTGCTCAAAGGAGGTCCCGAGACCCATCCCCATGTGCTCACCTGGCTGCGCCCTTCGCCGTGAACATTTCTTGCTGCCGTTCGCGTGGCGTGGCGTGATTTACAAATGCAGCCGAGTGTCAGAGTCTGTCCCCCTTGCGGCGGCAATAACTAACCAAGTCCCAGCCCTGACGTGCTCTCCCGCCCGCCCGAAGAGCCCCTTGGTCCCGGATTGTATGTATAAACCAACGTGACTTGGCCAAGACTTGGCTCCTCCCGAAGCCCGGGAGTGGCCGGCTGCCAGGAACCTCCAATCCACAATTCACGACAAATGCCAAACCAAAGCCAAGAGCCGCCGGCCAGTCCAAGCCAGCGAGTTGGGCCCGTGACCTTTTCAGCACTAACAGATTCCACTAGATCGGATGTCCTGACAGTCAGGGAGTCTTTCCGCGCTCTTGCTCTAGTGCTCCCGCTCTAGTTCTTCAGAGGAAACCCCCATCAATTGAGTAATGGTATCGCCGGGCTGCAAATCTCGCCGCAGCACCTCGGGGGGTTGAAAAGAGGCAAACCGCTTCGCTGGCAGCTTTCAGGGGCGGGCGCGAGGTGTCGGCTGACCGCCCGGAAGGCGAGGGCACCCCACCACCTCCGGGCCCTCTTGTCACCGCGAGAAACCCCCACAGGGGTCGGCGATAATGGAGCGATAGAGAAATTCTCGGAATGGGGAGTTCTGGCCACAATCCACAATCTGTCCCGCTGGTGAAGCCAAAAGGGCAGATCTGGCCCAGCGGGACGAGCCCAATATTCCCATTTTTAACCTTAGCTCCCGACGGACGGGCGGCGGTCCCTGGACTGGGACGCTAGACTGACGGCCAAGCCTAGCCTGCAAAAATTCACCGCCTGACAGGGAGAGGAGGCATCAGGTCATCTGACTTTGGAGTTTGCGCCAGGAGTCCACCAACGCGAAGCCAGTCAGTCCCCAGCCGACGAGATGCCTCCAAAGACCACATGACACCCAAGGCTTTAGGACGGATAAAAATATCCAGCTTTATCCGTAGCCCGGCATCGTATCGTTGCACAACTGTACCTTTTTTTCGCTTTTTTCTTCCCCTCGTTCTCGAATCCTTCTGCGTGGGGAACGGTTTTCCTGTCGATCGTTTGCTGCGCCAAAGAGGTTTACCTAACAGGAGTCAGCTCCAGCCACGATCGCGGGGTTTCGATCGGGACACGAAGAGAAAAGTTTCTGAAGTTGTGGGGAAGGCGGCTGTGACGTGACCACGTGAGACGCCTTTGCTCCTGCGGACCTGCCGCCCCGAAAAGGAAGACTTTGTCTCTAGTGAAGAAGCTGGAATGTATGCTTTTTTTCTTCATTCGTGACAGCTTCGCTGAACAAAGCGCGTCAGATCAAAATTGCCATGCGCTCATCAGCGAATGGATGATAAGATCAGATAAGATCCGATAAGCGATAAGATAAGCGATAAGATAAGCGATAAGCCCTACGAAGTGCCGCTGGGGATGAGGGAGGCAAAGCGTTCCATCGTTCGACCTGAGACATGCCATACTCAAAGAGAGATGGCGTGTGCGTATAATACTGTCTGCACGTGTTGGTCAACACCTCAAATGCATTTAGCGTTTTCCTGAACGTAAACTGTCTAGTCCAAAGATACTCGGCTACCCAGACCACAATAGTGCCTAGAAGGAAGGCAGAGGATCCGTGATGGGCATGGTTGGGATTCGCTTAGCTATGCTTGATACGCGCGCAGACCTAATATGCACGTATATTAATGAACCCTTACTCTCGCTTGGCCTCGTTTCTGCACGCAATTTTAATTACTACAACTAGGAAGGTGATGGCGACACTGATACAGTTCCGAACACAGGACAGTTACAAAGCCAAAAGCGAGGTTTCCATCGCGGAGTAGAGGAAAGGACTTGTCCGAAGTTCCCGATATAGCGTTGCATCGCATCTCAGAACTGGACGGTGCTTTGGCCGTGAGATGCCAACGCTTCCCGCCCTAGGCAAGCCTGATTTGCAAAGCCAACTCCGAACTCACTCTGCCCGCCCGTCTTTCCTCTAGCACACATCGTAGCTCGGCAGGCCACTGCCTGTGGTAACAAAGCCAGCGTCCCACTGCGGAGATTGATCGCTGACAATGGTACCCGCCTGGCCATTGGCCACGCACAACCCTTCGACCAGGTCGAGCTGGTTGCCGATAAAGTCTGTCGAGGTCTGCAAGGTGCCGCAGAGAGAGCAGAAGAAGCCCTGGCACGTCGCGAAACTGAAGGTGAGACACGCGTTCTGGGCCACCACGATGTCCTCGCTGGATGCCTTGAGCGAGTTCGCAATCACTTGGCAGTCGGCGTCGTTGGGAGCCGGGCTCTGATGCGCAAGGTTAGCTCTTGAACGGCCTGTCGTGTGGGATAACGTACCGTGGTTGAACACTCGTAAAAGTCGCTCGCAGAGACTTGTCTGCGCATTTGGCGAACAGCCGTGAGGCTCTCGCCCCGGCGGCGAACGACAGACTCGGCAGCATCCACCGGCACCCTCTGTAGCGCCGCCCTAGACTCCTGGCGAGTGGTCAGAGCAATGCCGCGAGCCAGGCGGCTGGTGAAGTCGCCAATGAGCTCGCTCGGCCTCGCGGTCCTCTTCAGGGGCTGCAGATGGCTGAGCTTGTCAGATTTGAGAGCGGCAACGATGCCAACGGCAAAAGAGAGAAGAATGGAGAGCTTCATTGCTGCAGTGGAGCTCTTGGGATGTGTGAGGTGAAAAGAGGTCGGTGACTGGAAGGCTGTTGGGTTGTGGATGATGTCTGGAGCCGATGTCGATCAACCATCCAGGCAGAAGGGAGTCGGGTATTTATATTGACTTCGTGGATCTCCATCATGATCTCTCAACCACCCATTGCCCACTACGTCGGTTCTTGACGCGGGCCAGCCACACAGGCTTCGCCCCGTTGCCCGTCACCCCGTCATGGTGTGAATATAGGGCCTCGAGATTGTCCGAGAGAAGGACCTCGGGCGTCGTAACTAGGAATAAATGATGCTCATCTCAAGAATCCTTGCCTTGTAAAAGGAGACGCAGCGCAGTTGGTGTCCGGCCAAGGACTCTTCACCAATCAAGGAAGGCCCGTGATGCCCACGATACTACCTGGCTCGGGTTGAGCCGTGTCTTCGCCTCTCCAGACGCCACTTGGTTGCATCAACTGTCCGAGGGAGGGAATGGGCGGGCTAGAGCGCAGGTTTGAACGCGGAGAAACGACACACTGATCTTATTTGTTCCCAAAACTGGGCTCCGAGATGCCGGATTGCCTTGCCGTCACCCCAGCTGCATAGGTACGCCGTCACCTCAGCTCCAGGTTACGTCGACGACCTGAACAGGCTAACGCAGTAGCATTGGTGGCAATACCAGGACTATCGACATCATCGCGAGTCGAAATCCTGACGACTGGCGCGATCGCAGGTTGTAGCAGGTTATGACAACCCAGATCGAGCGTCTGGAGCATCTGGTCAGACGCAGCCGAGGTGAATTCGGTCTGCTCGGTGGCAAACTTTCTTGTCAGCCCGGAAGCCAGATTCTCGACCATCACCGGACTTCTCCCAGATTCTGCACTTCACTCACGGTTCATCACCGGCACTGCCGTCTTGAGAGGGACAAAGGCTATTGTCACTTGAAAACCGATCCAGACCGAACCAAAGTTGATGTCTCACAGCGGTGGTTGCTTTTTAATGTCAACCAGATTAACTCGAGGCACTCCAACACAACAGAAAAGTAAGAGTAAAGAGCCACACTAACTGTGTCGATCAGCAAGGAGGTGTGCATGTTTAATCTTCATCTACAGCCTCACGCGTGAGGGTGACGATTGGAGCACAACATTAGAGTGAAATAAAGGACCCCGCTCGTAAAAGAGCAAAGCCCACGACATGGCACCATGTGCACCATGTGCCACGATGGAACATTAACCCAGCGCTCGCCGAGATGGCTCACGATCCTGCCACTTGACAGCGATGAGCTCCTCCTAGGCAGGACCGAGTGAGGACCACTGGCCGAGCGAGGCTGAGAGGCGGCAAGTAATTGTCTGTGTCGACAAGGCGACCTGTGATGGGAAGCTGGGAATTAGGGTTTCGATATCCTGATAAGCGCTAAGGTGGGCCGCCAAGGGGTCGGGTGAGTAAGGGAGCAAAGGATCGTCAGATGGGATGTATCTCAGTTTGCTGAGTACGGGGAAGACGGAAAACACGGGGATCGGTGCTGCGCCATCGGCGGGATGCCTTCGGGCTGCCCTGAAGTTAATTTACTCCAATCGAAGGTATATGTGATCTGGGCTGGAGCTGTAAGAAATGTCGGCTGCGAGGCGATGCGGAACAAGTGCCGACGTGTTGGGACCGACCACGAGAACAACAACTGCGAGGTCGGGCTCGGCCATGATCTGACCAAAGATGGCCAAAGACCAGACGGTGGACGAGGACGGGAAGGACCAAGGTTGGAGTGTTGGAGTGCAGCATGTTGGGTCGTACTTGAGACCAAGTGAGGAAGGTGCATGTGGTAGGAGCTGACACCGAGTTGAGTTGCTCACCAGTGTTGAAGTCAGTAAAGTGGGTCGCAGCCCTGCATACGCCCCACCTCATGCACCCCGCCGGAGCGGCAGAACCTGTTGCCGGCCATGAAAATCCCTGCAATCGCGTCGGCGATAAGCAGAAAAAAAGTCCAGGCAAATTCCAGGGCAATCCGAACTGTGGGCTCGACTCGAGGCGATCAATCAAGCAACCAAGCAACAGCACGATGGCCTCCGATCTCAGCAAAAAGCGGAAGCTTAAGGACGCCAAATCTGCCAAGGTCGAGGGTGCCGTGCGGAAATCCAAAAAGTCTAAGCGAGACCCGAGCCCCGAGGAAAGCGACGTCGAGGTCAACGATGCCCCCGAAGCCGTGACCGAGGAGGCGGCTGCGGTCTCCGACAATGCCTCCGTAGAAGCGGAGGAGGAAGTGGCTAGCGAGGCCATGGACCAGAACCAAGATCAAGACCAGGACGGCGACGAGATCAGGGCACCGAATGACTCTCTCCTCCCTCCTTCCATCGCCACCGACGCACAGGACTTTGCCGAGCTCAAACTCTCTGACAAGACCATGCAGGCAATTGGCGAGATGGGCTTCACAAAGATGACTGAGATCCAGAGGAGAGGCATCCCGCCCCTTCTCGCCGGCAAGGACGTGCTCGGGGCGGCCAAGACTGGCTCGGGAAAGACTCTCGCCTTCCTCATTCCGGCAATCGAGATGCTGCACTCGCTGCGCTTCAAGCCAAGGAACGGCACCGGCGTTATTATCGTCACACCAACCCGCGAATTGGCGCTGCAAATCTTTGGCGTTGCGCGTGAACTTATGGCCAACCACTCCCAGACATGTGCGTACCTTCCCCCAGGGTGTGGTTGACCCAGAAAACTAACCATATGCAGACGGCGTTGTCATTGGCGGCGCGAACCGCAGAGCCGAGGCGGACAAGCTTGGCAAGGGTGTGAATCTGCTTATTTCGACACCTGGCCGACTCCTAGACCGTGAGTTACAGGTCCCATATCGGTTGCTGTCCCGCTGGCAATGCTGACCTGCGAGCAGACCTCCAAAACACCCCCTTCGTCTTCAAGAACCTGCGATCCCTGATCATCGACGAGGCCGACCGGATATTGGAAACCGGCTTCGAGGACGAGATGCGCCAGATCGTCAAGATCCTGCCCAAGGAAGGCCGGCAGACAATGCTCTTCTCCGCGACGCAGACCACTAAAGTCGAAGACCTGGCGAGAATCTCGCTGCGGCCGGGGCCCCTCTACATCAACGTTGACGAGGAGAAGCAGTTCAGCACAGTGGAGGGTCTCGACCAGGGCTATGTCATCGTCGACGCCGACATGCGCTTCCTGCTGCTCTTTTCATTCCTCAAGAAGATGTCCAAGAAGAAGATCATCGTTTTCCTCTCCTCTTGTAACTCGGTTAAGTACTACAGTGAACTCCTGCAGTACATTGACTTGCAGGTTCTCGACCTCCACGGGAAACAAAAGCAGCAGAAGCGCACCAACACCTTCTTCGAGTTCTGCAACGCCAAGCAGGGGACGCTGATCTGCACAGATGTAGCCGCTCGCGGTCTTGACATCCCCCAAGTGGACTGGATCGTCCAGTTCGATCCGCCGGATGACCCGCGTGACTACATCCACCGCGTCGGCCGGACGGCAAGAGGCAACAACACCAAGGGCCGGTCGCTGCTCTTCCTGCAGCCGAATGAGATTGGATTCCTGGCCCATCTCAAGGCGGCCAAGGTGCCTGTCGTCGAGTACGACTTTCCCAAGAACAAGATCCTCAATGTGCAGTCTCAGCTCGAGAAGCTCATTGGGCAAAACTACTACCTTAATCAAAGCGCAAAGGACGGATACCGCTCGTATCTGCACGCCTACGCCTCTCACGGTCTCCGGAGCGTCTTTGACATTCACAAGCTCGACCTGCTCAAGGTCGCAAAGGTAAGTCCCCGCAGTTTGGGGCCACAGGCCAAGAGCCGAGCTAATTCGAGAGTAGAGTTTCGGGTTCACTCAGCCACCGCGAGTCGACATTACGCTGGCTGCTGGCATGAGCCGAGACAAGAAGACGCAGCCAAGGCGAGCATATGGCAGCCAGCCGCGGCAGGGTGGCGCGAGTGGCCGGCGCAATGATTAGACTTGCTAGATACCTAGCTAATGGCGGCTTGGCATGAGCTTTTGTGTCGTGGCGGTTTCTACGGCGTTGTTATAAATACCAATCCAGCTCTCGGTCATCTTCTGAGTTCGTGGGATTCCCCTCGGCGCCTTAAGCGTTGAAGTCCTATTCTCCCTTAATGTTGGTCAGGGTAGGAGAATCGGGGTTCCAATGGTGTACGGCGCCGGTGCGTTTACTTAGCTGGAACGGCAGACTTCCATCTCCAATGAATCCAGTTAAACTGCTAGTAAATTGAACGTTATATCACCCTGTGCCGTGCATGCAGTAGCTGAGGGGCCCAAGAACGGGCTTGTTCGCACTTTACAGTGTTGTGTTGTGTTGTGTTGTTTTGTTTTTCCAGGCCAACCACCACACGAATCACGAGTTACCTGAAATCCGAATGAGCCCGGGGCGCGGATCAGCTAGGGCATAGCCCTTCCGTCTCTCCGTCTCTTTGATTTCATAAAGTTGCCCTTGACACAATTCCTGCCTCGAGGGATGCCCTCTATAGAGAAGAAATGATTATAACCAAAGATTTAAGCTCTGGAACCAATATGGTCTTTGCGGCTGACCGCCGTGATGAAATGTGACCGCGAGACCCAAACTGTAGCCTAGTTATAAATGTGGTAGAAGTAGCAAGAATGTCGTTTCAAAGACGTTAATTCAAGGATAACACTGTAGTCACCCGCTAGATTAGAACCGGTAAAGTAAATTGGACTCCCAAAATAGAAAATGTGATATGCAATTCAACGATGTTGATACATTGAACATCGCCCTAACCACCATACGTGTAATCCGCTTGCATGTACTCACCTCGCTTTTGAATATAGCCGAGTTAGTTAAAGGAGTCTCGAACGCAGAGGATACGAAGAGGCATTTTCAGCTGGAATAGCGGGAGTTGGTGGGCCGATTCGGTACGATACGTAGACAGCACCCACGACTTCAAGTCGTCAACTCGGCTCTCACTTTCATCTCAACTTGACCTCACTTTCACCTGACCTTTACGACCCTGAAAAAGTATTGCAAGAGAAGTGCGAGACGCGAAGGCGCAAGGGCTACTTCCAAAGTCTGCCCTGAGGCTAAAAGGTAAACAACCTGCCACTGAGGTAACCGCGTCTTTTTCTTCGCACGCATCTCTGCACAAATTTCTTCAAGCCTTTCTCGCACAAAATTTCCGCAGACCTTCCTCCTACTTTCTCTGCACCCCTTCACACGAATTTCTCACACCTTTTGTACCCTTTCGCACACATCTCTCATGCGTCTCGTACCTTCTCGCACACCTTCATCACACCTTTCGTACACCCTGCAGACCTCGCGGGCCTTTTCTCGCAACCCTCTTTTAACTCGATTTCCTGTTCGTTAGTGCCCCCGAAGCTTCGCGAGCCGCCCGGTTCCGACGACGAAGAGCATCAGAGATCCAGTTCGTTGTCCTTGCCTCCTGTTTTTTCGGCAGCGAAGAAGCAGGAAATGGCTTCAGAGGAGATGGCTGGCCGGCCAACGTACAGCCGCCTTGTTAACGAGACGGCAAGTGATCGATGGAGAGAGTGGGATGTGTTTTGCACAGTGAGTATCAATCGTCCCCTCAAGCTTGAGCTTCACTAACCCCTTATCCAGTCGGAATGGGAGCTTGTCCAGCCAGAGGTGGTAGAGTGGTACGAGCACGAGCGAAAGAGTCGCCAAGAGCTGCCCGAGTGGCCTCTCCTGGTGTTTGGGAAGAAGCAGATCATCAAGGAGATCAGCAATTTTTGCCAAGACGTCATGGATGGTAAGTGTAAACCTCTCATGCATCTACCAGACACATTCTCTCATAGGCACATAGACACAAGGACAGACGGACGGACGAAAATCCGAAAAGTCTCACACACAACCCACATACAAACTTCACTCAGTCATTCACAGGTACACATCTCCAGCCTTGACACACATGGCCTAACCTACACGTACACACACTAGACATGCATCATCCAGAACTACTCACCCTTACCCCTCACAGATGGACTAAGCTGTAAATATATAGATGAATTGACCAAGTGCGAAACCGAGGGAGCCAAGATGAGAGCGGCTAAGAGGATTATGTTCCGCATATCGGCGGCGTGCGGGAAGTTTCTCGACACGGACTGGATGATGGCGGATCAGACATTCGACAGGGCCAGGTCCTACATCAAGGACCCGGCTAACACCCGGATGGTCCATGCAGCGGGCTTCCAGATGTGCATGGAGAAGATCAAGAGCGGGGCGGCCCCCGGCACGCCGTTCTTCATCGACAACATGCTCCGTTGCGTGCAGGGCAAGCCGTGGCTGACCACGATCTTGCCCGGCCCGCCGACGCCATACGCCGTGGCGGCCCATGTCGACCACCCCAGGCTCAATGCCCGCGCCATGCTCGTAGCCATGAACTTTGGCCAATGGAAAGCTGTCTGCCACGCGGGAGACATCGACTCATGCGTGGGCAAGGCTACCCAGATGGAGGCTGTCGAGATGAACCGATGCATAGAAGTGGCCAACAGGCTGGAACGCGAGGGATTCGTTCACATCATCACAGAGGGTATTGAGAAAGAGTGGATGATCGAGCACTTGTTTTTACATGCGCCCACGCCGCCTGCCACTGCAGAGATACCTGCTTGGTTCACGGCTCACTTGGGCCCTCCCGGCGACCTCGAGAATCTCGTCGGCGGCGCGAGTCAGTCTCCGGGCTCGCCGCACCAGGGCTCGCCGCACCTGGGCTCGCCGCACCTGGGCTCGCAGGTATCGGATGGGTCGGATTGCTCGGATGCCTTCCTGACGCCAACCTCCAGCGAGCTGGGCAAGCAGATCGACGGGGAGCCGGCGCGGCAGGCGGCCAACACGGACAAGGAAGAGCTGCGCAAAACTGTCCGAGAGAAGTGCGACATGCAGAAAAAGACAAACGACGAGCAGCAAGCAGCCAGAGCGGCCGCAGGGGCCGAAGTTCGCAAGGCCAAGAAGCCGGAGAAAAACAAACGGCAGAGGGAGGCGAGGCGGCGGCGTCAGCAAGAAGCGGCGCAAGAGGAGGTCCCCACATCGACGGCTGACGCAGAGGACCAACCGCCGCCGGTCCAACCCAACACGCCCGAGCCTGAGACGAAAGATGAGGCGAAGCAGCTCGAGAAGGAAAAGAAAAAGGCAAAACTGCAGCGAAGACACGACCGCCGGTGCGCGGAAATAGAACAGAAAGAAGCCGAAAAGCAGAAGCAGTTGGAGAAAATGGAGCGTGCGAAGCGTGCCAAGGAGCAGGCGGCGATGCAACAAGTCCACGCCTTTTTGGAGAAGCAGCGGCTGCAAGACGCCGAGCGGAGACGGCGCGACGACGAAGCAGCAGAGCGCCAGGCCGGCGAAGAGACCCAGGCCCTCATCGCAGCACAAGTCCGGGCCGAGGAGCAGCGCCAAGCCCAGGAAGCTGCTGCTGCTGCACGCCGACAAGCAGAGGCGGCCGGGCTGCTCCGTCAAGCCGAAGAGGCCCGCCAAGCCAAGGAAGCCGCTGCATGCCGACAGGCAGAGGAAGCCGAGCAGGCACGCAAGGCCCGGGAAGCTGCCGCACGCCGGCAGGCAGAGCAGGAGGCCGAAAAGCGCCGCCAACAGGCCGCCGAGGAAGCCGCACGCATCCGAGCCGCCGACGACGCCCGCAAGGCCGAAGAGGCCCGCAAGATCGAAGAGCTTCGACAGCAAGCCGAGGCAAAGGCCGAAGAGGCCCGCCGCGAGCAGGCCGAGCAATTGCGTCGCGAGCAGGAGACCGAGAAAGCACGACGCGCGCACGCCGAGCAATTGCAGCTGGAACAGGCCGCCGAGCAATTGCGTCGTGAGCAGACCGCCGAGCAGCTTCGACACGAGCAAGCCGACAGAGAGCGCCGCGACGCCGAAGACAAGGCGCGCGCCCGACACGGAGCGCACCGCCAGGCGCTCAACGCGCTCAACGCCCGCCTGGGCCAGGAAGCCCAGGCTCGAGCCCATGCACAAGCGCAAGCGCAGGCTCAAGCGCAGGCACAAGCATTAGCCGCCCAGCAAGAGGCTGCCCGCCGCCAGGTAGAGGACGACGCGCGCCAAAGGGAAGGGTACGAGCATCAGCAGCAGCAGGCGATGGCTGCAGCTGCATCATCGCCATTACCACCCCAGAGCGTCACCGGTGAGCGCACGCGCCGCATCACGGTCGGCGAGACGCGGCGGCTCGTCGAGCAGGCAGCGCGGCGGTCGGCGTCGCGCGGCAACAGCCCGTCGCTGGCGGCGTCGCTGGCCAACAGCCCCTCATCCTCGTCGTCGTCGCTCGCGGCAGCCGACTATCAGTACCAGCAGCAGCACATACAGTACCAGCAGCAGCAGCAGCGGACAGACTTGGCAGAGTACCACGACCGGCTCAGCAGCTTCGTCGCCGGGCGGCTCGTCGACGACGGCGGCTGGGACCCCGAGGCGCGGTACAACCGCCGCCACCGCGGCCGCGGCCGCTCGAGCTCGTACCCGCCGCTCGACAGGATCGCCATGACCGCCCCTAACGACGCCTGCGCCGACGCCTTTGTTCGCCGCTGGGGCGCGCTTTGATCGTTCGGTTCGATGATGACGATGAGAATGAGTGTGAGAGAGCGGCACGTATGCACGCATGTGCTTGAACATGTGGATGGATTGGGCTCATATGGCATGCATTGGGGTCAACCAGGAAACGGAGTTTGGGCAAGGGGATACAAAGTGCGCAGTTTTGTAAATTCTTTTTTTTTCTTTTCTCTTTGGGGGCGGAGTTGATGTATTTTTGGTTCGATTTAGGCATACTTTCCGATTTGCGGTTTCCATTGGGGGAGGCATTGGCGTTACAGGTTTGGATGGACGGCTCGACACGAGACAGGAAGACAGAGGCTGCGAGGCTAGCGTAATCAGACGGACGGACGGGACGGGCATTCGGCGGCGTTTGATGGAGCATCGTGGGAAGCATCATTACAAAACAATGCATTAGACCTGGAGGAGGAAAAATAGGGTTTTGAGTAGAGACTCCTCTGGAATCGGCTCGTCGTCAATAGACGAGGCCAGGTATTGTAGCAATAAAATCCTTCGCTGACCGAGTACGGAGTGCGGGCTTTTGTCCGCCCACGCGATTGCCGATGCCCCGAGCCGTGAAGCCTACCCTAGATTCGAGGGCGATGACGAGCTAGGTTCTTACACCCGACCTCCCCCGGGTTGTATAATGTTACCTAGTGCGGTGGCTGTTATAGGTGATTTTAACAGGGGATACAAGCCTGGAATACAGGGGGTTTGAAGTGCTTTTCTAGCAGGTTCTCACGAAAAAGTCACGTCGTGAGTTGATTGTATCGCGCTAACTTTTTAAACCCCAGGGGAGTCACGGTCCCCACAGCGCAGCGTCGTGCTGCCCGCTCCTGCCTGCCCCACCAAACATGCATCCCTTCTCTAGCGCGTCCCGCCGCTGCCTGGTTGGCGATCAGGACCCTAGCACAGGGATTGATGGGTGCATTGCAGTGCATCTGCATTGGGCTTGAATCACGTCCCTTTATTGACCTGTAAACTCGGGCTCTTGGATGGAAATGTGGTCGCCATCCGCGCAACGCACACCACGGGCGGGCAGATCGTTGCAGAATTGCTGTCGCTATTGGCCAAGCTCTAAGGTGCTCGTTGCTTCCATTTCTGCGTTATGCAATGCACAGGCTTGCCATGGTCACTACTAGCGCTCCCACACGCACACGTTGGTTGCCCTCGCTGTGGCCGGCGTTGCCACCTAACCTCAGCTCGAGTTGCTGGGCAGAGCGGTAAGCGCCCGACGCCGCGGCCACCAAGGACACTAACTGGACGCTGGGCTTGGCCGCGCAGAGTTGAAGCGGACGATACATAGGGATGGGACGATCGAATTACCCCGAGCTTGCAACGCCTCCCGCTTGCCAGCTCGTGTCCTCTTGCATCCATCGTTTCGTCTCGCCTGCCCGTTAACGTTCGCTCGTCGGCTGTATCGCCGCTATCGCCGCGACAGCCCGCCGACCAAAAGCGCAGTCAATCACAGCCGGCTGGCCTCCGAGTTGCCAATCATAACTACATACGGGGGGGCCGTCTTTGGGAAATGTCTGTCAGCAGTGGCTTTCATCGTGTCCCCTTGGAGAACAGCGGCTCAAAGACATTTGCGTGCTGAAACAAAGCACCCGATGTCTGCTGAAGCCGCCCTCTCCCAACATTACCACTGCCATACGCTGCCACGCGTCGCTACACGCTTTCGCCGAATCCCTTGTAACTAAAGGTACGAGATCGAGATCAAAGGTCTGGGGATTCACCCGATACAGCTAGAAATAACGGACTGGGGTGCTGTCGCCGACATGCCCAAAGGCTGATGACTAACACGGTTGCCTTCGCAGAACGCCCCCTACCCCTTTTACCGGCACACCAACGCCCGTCTCGAATTCCTGCTGGGCCTGCTAAGAGTGCGCTTTACAGACTGTCCGAGTAACGTGCGTCGCCATGTGCCGACACATTATTTTCAGCGGACAGTGCACCCAATGCCACGAACACTTTACGTGGCGCGAGTTCTCGCAGGAGCTGAGCTGCCTCGAGGCTAAGAACGCCGGCGTGTTTGGTCTGTGCCGGCGCGGCATCATGGAGGACGAGCAGCAGTTTGACCTGGAGTGCGCCATGTGCGAAGCCGCGATGGAGCGAGATGGAAGCAACCCGGACACTGAAGACGGGCAGGAGGGGGCGCAGAAGATCCAACCCGCTGCCGAGGCAGAGACCAGCGGCAAGACTAACGACAAGACGGATGCTAAGACGGATGCTAAGACGGAACGCAAACAGGCTGTCAGCGACGCCGAAAAGGACGGCCGACAGCACAAGAAGCGGCGGACTTCTTGATGGAGGCTGGGCCGGATGGGCAGCGACTTGGTGCTCGCTGAGCCGCCGCACGTCCACGCATCAACTCGCCACAAGGCCACGTTCAGTTCGCCGACAGGCGGTGAGGAAGGGCATCGCCAACACAAACTAGCAAGGAAACTGATTCAGACGGACATCTCAAGGGGCCGGGCGCCGAGACAGATGATGGCGGGCTCAACAGACCTCTCACGTCAGGGCCAGAGGATGGCCAGCAAGGTTGCGGAGGATAGTGGCAGATACCCTCTCTACAGCCTGCTACTCAAAGCCACAGTGACCCTATATGACTGACGCCAAACCAAGCTGCATGAACCAGAAAGTGTTCGAGAAAAGAGGCCAGAGCCGTTGGACGCGCAACGAGCCGAGGTCTAGGGAAGGGTATTCGGTCACATGGGGTTGCATAGAGCAAGACATGTCTCCTACGTAATTCGCAAAGGAAAAGTCTAGTTTCATGAAGAGAGCGGGGCTCACGTGCGTAGGGGTGGGCATAAGCAAACATGACCATGACCGCCTCAGATCCGGGACAGGATTACTGGTAGAGTGGATCTGTGGCTTGTCGATAGAGCCGCGAAAGGGGGCTATATTTGTAGTGAAAACTGGGGTACGGAAAAATAAAAAGGCAGAGACATTCGGAATTGGCTTATTTGGGTAAGCCATCTTTGGCCATCTTTTCCTGCTGGTGTGTAGAGAACATCGTGAACACAACTCGGTGTCCACGGACTTGCCAGCGAACGAAAAGAGTACATGCATGTACAGACCCACCATAGAGCTACCGTAAGTGATGCACGCGGCGACAGGGATATATCCTGCGACCGCGAGGCAAATCCAACGTCCTGCAAGAATGCGACAAGATATCGTCACGCCGCTGGAGGGTCGTCCAAGCTTGGCTTTGGCAGACAATGAGAGATGACAGGTCGACGTGGCGGCCACCACCATCCCAACTACCTCTTCCAGACCACTCCCATCGCCCCCCCCCCAACACACACACACACCGCTCACGCAACGCCCTCCCACGTCTCCTTGACGGCGCGCCAGTACCGGTCCTCGCCGCCGCGGACGTGAGCAACATGCGGCGTACCCTCGAACTTCTCGACGCGCACATCAAACCCCGCCTTTTCCGCATCAGCGATATGCTGCTCGACGTGCCGCGAGTCCACCAGCGCATCGACGTCGCTGTAGATGTACGTTCGGCGGACCTCGGCGGCGCGCCACTGCGCGCCGTTGTGCGCAGCGAACACGCGCGCCAGCGCCTCGGGCGCGACGCGCCCGAATAGCGCCTTCCACGCCACGAACAAGCCCGACAGCACGTGCAAGATGGGCAGCACCGCCCAGCGCGTCAGCCCGGTCAGCCCGGCCGCAAACGCCGCGATCGCCCCGTGGTATGTCAACTGCCCTGGCGCAGAGTCGAGGACTACTGTGTGTCGTGGGAACGAGGCTGCGCCGACGGCGGAGCGGAGTTGGAACAGCACCTTGCTGCCGCCGTTGGACCACGCGTGCACGAGCACCTCGGGTGGCGTGTCGGTTTTGGTGTCGGTGGGCGGCAGGACCGACTGCAGCGCCGTCTTGGCTGTCGCCGCCTCGGCCAGCCCGCCCCCCGGGACGAGGAACTGCATGGGCTCGGACCGCACCAGCAGGATCGGCGACGACGGGAACAGCGCCTGGTACGGCCGCACGTACTTGGCGATGTGCGCCTCGCGCGCGCCCATCCACGTCAGCAGTACGACGAGCTTTGGCGGCGCGGTGGTGTTGCTGTTGCTGCTGCTCGCGGGCGCCGGGGTCGTTGTGGGCGGGTGGTACATGTACACGTTAGGCGACAGCTTGGTCATGAACGACAGCGGCTTGGCGGCGTCGCGCGCCACGGGCGCGGTCGAGGCCATGGTTGCGGGGGCTTGCCGCTGGCGGTGCGATGCTTCTTTGCTAATTTCTTTTGGGATTTCTCAAGTTGCCGTTGACGAGAATGTGCGTGTTGTTCGAGTCCCTTTTATTTTGTCGTCGCTGATGTGGTAGGTTAAGATAGCGCTAGCTAGTCGGGAGAGAAATCGAAGTTCGCCCGTTATTTCTAGCTTGGGTTTGGGGACAAGGCAAGCCGTGCATCTCTAGCTTAGGGGCGGGCCCGTGGAATTAATAACGTTGTGCTCGGTCAGTACCGATATTACTTCCCTCTGCCATCTGCCATGTCAGTACGGAGCCAACAGGATCCTCCGTGCCCCCGATCCATGCCATGTTAACATTTGCTCAGACGCTAAAGTCTAGGCAGGGCATGGGCGGTGACGCTGGTCGGCCGAGGCACCCGAGCCTCGGCAAAACCTCAGGTCAACACGGCCACCCTAGTCATGCATGCAAATAGATGTTAAACCTTAACTTCGTCCTGCCTGTGCCTTTAGTCATCGCATCTTGTTGGGAAGTCACCACCGGCGGTGGGGCCATTTAAGTGTTCTGTATCCGTAGATTTGTGATCATGGCCCTTGCCCTACCCCGAACGGCTGCGCATCACGCCCACTTTTACAGCCCTATCCCGATCCTCCCCGCCAATTGGAAGCTCCACCGCAATTCATCAGTCTTGCCAAGACGGCACTTGGAGATAGCACCCCTGAAACTGGGCCAGCCCTCCGGACTGTCGTCCATTCGGCGACATGGGTGTCTTGAACGTAGGCTAGCAATGAATACGGTTGAATGCGAAGCAGCCGTTGACAAAGACCGAGCTGGCTAATGAAAAGGCATTCATTCTGCTAGCGCACTCCAGGGCTGAAACACCGCCACAGTTGACCTGTCTAACAGCTAATTAGGTGTTAGTGGCACCCAAGGCACCCCTTACCAGATCAGCCTCTCTATCTGCCTCCACATCCGCCTCTCCATTACCTCCACATCCGCCTCTCCATCTGCCCTACCCGAAATCCAGCTCAGGAAAGCATTTTGGTTCCCGATCCTGTCGTGAAGTATTTCCCAGCGCAGTTTCATGGCCATGTCCACAACATCCCCCGCTGCCTTCCCCGCCGCTGCGATATTTGCTGTCCCAGCCAGGCCCTCCTAGTTTTCCTATCCTGTCTCAAGGCTCATGGTCGAGCGGCTCGTGTAGATTCTGGTCGGGATCATAGAGTTGCTCGTCTGGGTCGTAGTCGCTGTGTTGTCCATCTAGGTCGTGGTCGTTGGGTTGCTCGTCTAGATCGTAGTTGTTGGGTTGCTCGTCTAGGTCGTAGTCGTAGGGTTGCCCTTCTATCAGGTTATCAGGACCAAGCCGGGTGAATTCAGACTCCCTATCTCATTGGGTCAGCGAATCAATCCAGTCGTTCACTCCTCCTGGTGGTAATTACGAACGACATACTTGGAGTCCGATGATGTAGGAACGATACACTCAGAACCGTTTGGCGGAGCGCCCGGAAAGTCGGCCGGCATGAGGTAGACGTAGTATTCGGGCTTCTTCATGAATTCTTTGACAGACCGGGGCCAATTGCGCGAATCATCTCCAACACGGGTCTGTGCCGAGTAGGGGTACGCCGAGTACATGATCTGTCGCGCTTCAAATGCAACTGCAGCTCGGCTGAGTTTCCTGGCTTCGGTGCTCCTCTTCCAGTAGACCCAATTGTTCCAGCCACGATCTCTCAGCAGACCTCTCGCCCAATCAGGGGCAAATTCCAGAGGATAGACAACCAGGTCGCTGATACGCATGATGGCCCCCGACGGGGGGGTGACGTCAAATGTAACACAGTCCGGTATACGCACCAGGCTGCCGCCGTCGCACTCGTGTCTCACTAAGCGGAAGTCGAAATGCACCTCACTCCCCCGTAGGCGTGCCAACGGCTTGGAAACTAAAACGGCTGTACCAAGTTTTCCGTTGCGGTAGTAGACGACCACATCGCCCTCCTGGAAAAGATATCGGATGCTGCCCAAATCCACCAGTCCCGCCTCGAAGAGAAGATCGCAGTTCTTGATTTCTTGCGCATACATCGCTTCATTCTCGATGTAGCCCAGCAGAGCAGCGATGTCGCGCCGGCTGTCGTCCTTGCTTAAAATCTCTTTGAGATGAGCCCTGTGGCGGTATATGAAATATCTGTCGTAGGTAGGCTGAGGTGGTAGGCCGATGTTAGTACCTTCGAGGTCTAGGACTTTGGGGCGCTGAGCCGCCATCGTCTCGAAGTCATCGATGAGCTGTCTCGAATAAAGCTGCACGCTTTTCTCCCACTGGATGGCATCGGCGTTGTTTGCCTGTTCGGTTAGGCAGAAATTGCAGAAGTGGCTTCGGATCGCGGCAAATGCGAGGTGTGGAAAGTTTTCACGCAACGTGCCCGCCATTGTTCTGGCGCTTCCGCTACCCAAGAAACCTCCATCGTGACTGTAATCGTCGCCCGAGATGGGTTTGGTGAGAAAAAGAGACATTTCTGGATGCAGATCGCAAAGAACATGGTAGAGGGTAATGTGCAGGTCCGGAAGGCCGAATTCGGCGGGCGTGCTTTCGCGCGATCGGTCATCATCCATTGTGGAATTGACCTAGCTGAGAAGGCGAGCTGGGGTTTTCTGAAGGACCGTCGCTGTGAGGGTATCGTGCGGTAGGTGGAGACTGAATTATCTGGCCTAGTCTTGGTGGAAGAAGGAGGAAGCGAAGGAAAAGGCAGCCTGAGTGGAAGTGAGGAAAGGTCGGCTGGCATATGCACAGAATTACCAGGTGCCCCGCACTGAACGTAAAATCAAGGCACATAATCCAGAATTAGGATGGATGAAAGGAGCTTGCGTTTCTCGAGGGGATCGACTAGGACACGTGAGAAAGTGTCACGCACCGCAGGCCGCAGAAACTGCGAGAAGACGTGATACTTCTTGTGAAGAGTTCATACACTTTAATGATGCCAGTCGATGTTTCCGACAGGCATAACTGTGTTTTTAGTAAGAGGCCATAAACTCTAATTAATCAGGCCTATAGAGTATGGAGTTGAGGAACCTGCCTTGGCAATATACAACGATATAAAATCCGAAGCAGATGGACGGAATAGTGGATACCTTGATCAGAGCTCTTTATTTTAATCAGACCGATAGTGATACCAAAGTCTGAGCTGATAATGAGAGGATGGTCACCTCTTAGTCATTTTAACAACAGAAATGTCCCGTAAAAGACATCTGACAGGAAGTGAAACAGATCCGGGCTTCTCTACTCGTATTTTTCTTTTCTTGCGAGTCGATCACGCCCGTGAGCTGCGTATTCCCGAATGGTCCCGGAATCTTAGAGCCAACTCTCATTCCCCAACGACAGCTTCATAAACGTTCCCATCCAATATCTAGGGACCTGGCCTCTTCACTGCCAGTGAGAAGGGCAACATGTGTAGACGATTCAGAAGACCATTTGATAAACAAGCACACGAACTAGCACTACTTTCAAAATCATCACGTGTAGATTTAATAGCGGTGACACTGCCTGCTATTCCTTTTGATTCTAGTATACAGATCATCATGATTTCGCTAGATTGCAACCTACCCGCCCGTCCAGACCGAAACATTTGCGCGGGAGTCGCGAATCCGAGAACGCCGTAAGGCGTCAGTGCGCATTGGCCAAAGGTATATGAGGGAAGACCACAGGAGAGAGATTAAAATAAAGAGAAAATAAGAAAAGGCTCGTCCTGAGCCGCAAGGCCGGGACGTCAAGTCATCAAAACACGGGCCACCAGTCATCAGCATGAGCCAACAGAACGACAGCTACGAGGCCTTGGAGGCACCGTGGACCCTCGGAGCTACGGGACCCCGGCGAGTGCACACACAGCAGTCCATGAACGAAGGGTAAGCTGGCCTGCACCATGCTTTGCGGCCAGTTGCAGGGCTAGATCAGACGTATGCAGCACCTTCACCCATAATCAGATCCAGCCGGTGATTCTTGCATGCGTGCGAGCCGGGAAAACGCACATGTCGACGCGTGCGGCAACTATCAACAAGGCGGACAGATCAGATCCAGGCGGCCAAAGCACGAGTCGTTGCTGACGTGGGCGATTGCAGGGTCGCCCGGGCACCGGCCCGAGGAGAAGTCGTACTGTACAGCATAAGAAATTTTGGGTTGCAGTTACGCCGAGAGCCAGAGGCTCACATATCCATGATCTGGTAGCATAAGAACGGCCAAGTCAAGTCAGACGATCAGCGAATATGCGGCGGCATTGTCAAGACGAGCAGCGCAGACCAACGGCCATGTCAACACGCATCAACGAGAAGCGAACGAGTCAACAGCAAGCGCATCAGAGAGTCTGAGAGCATGGCGACGACATCACGAGCTCCCGGCCGCGGGGCCTCCTTGACCTTGGGCCTGTTGCGCGAGCTGGGACTGCCACCACAAAGCAACATAGGCTTCGTACCCTCCATCTGTTCGGCGTTAGGGAGTGCAAAGTTGATGGAAGTAGAGATAGGCTTACACATGGCGTAGGGGTCAACTTCGCCGCCAGCCCCAGCAGGGGCCGCGTTACCAGGTGGCATAGTCTGCTGGGGTGCGCTGCTATGGTTAGAATGTTGCCCATATCCGGAGTTGTCGTAGTCACGCTGGGGCGGTCCACGACCGCGACCACCGCCACCACCACCACTCTTCTGCTTCTGTAGTTGCGTTAGCACGTTGCACGATGAGTTGGCTAGTCCGTAAATACGTACGGCCGCATCGACCTTGTCTTCGATAGCACGCTTGGCCCTAGTGATGGCGTCGCGGCTGCCGACAAGTCCAATTTCACGCTCGACCTCGCCGGGCCCTGAAGACTGCGAAACATTGATCTTGCAGCCCGTGGTGTTCTGCATCTCGCGAATCGTCTCGCCGCCCTTGCCGATGATCATGCCAACTGCATCCGAAGGGACGAAGATAGAGTCGTTGATCCGATCTCCGCCTCCCATGTTATCGCTCCGCCCTCCGCGAGGGTTGCCAGGCATGCCACCCTGCATGCCACCGCCACCCATGCCGCCCTGCATGCCGCCGGGATTGCCGCCGCCGGAGGGCGCACCCGGATTGCCGTTCCTGCTGTCGCTGTCGACAATCTCGAGGATCAGCTCTTTTGCATGTCGGGCAGCGGCGGGCGAGCCGATCAGGTTGACGGGCCGGAGGCCGTTGATGCTCTTGTTCTCAGCCACTATGTTAATATGGCAGCCGCTGCGCTCCTGAAGGTCACGAATTGTCTCGCCGCCACGACCGATAATCAGGCCCACGGTTCTATCGGGGACCATAATCTGGAGGCTGTCCTCGCCCTCTTTGAGGGCAGGAGGGGCGCCTGTCGGACCGCGGTTGGGGTCTCGGCCACCCTTGTTGGTAGGCGGAGCACCGCCTCGCATGCCGCTATCCTGAATGATGCGGTTGATCATCTCCTTCGCCTCCTCGCGCTGGGCTCGCGGGCCAGTGATCTTGCACAACCGGAAGGGCTCGTTCTGGCCAGTGGGGGGGACAAACTGCACGCGGCAGCGGCTGTCACCTTCGACTCTGCGCAGGTTCTCTCCCTGGCGGCCAATAATAAGACCGACAAGGGTCGACTCAATCTCGATCGTCTCGGTGTTGTCGTCTTTGCCTCTCAGGGGAGAGCGGTCGCGACCTCCACCGTTTGCGCCTCTGGGAGAAAAGTTTTGGCGACCGCGGCCGGGAGAGAAGGAGCGGTCTCGCTGGAAATCACGCGGCGGGCCGGCGTGTTCAGCCCTCCGCTCGTCACGGTAGGGGTTGAAGTTGTCGCGGAAGGCATCGCGTCCGCCCCGGGGGCTCTTGGAACGCGACCGCTGGTACTGGCGCCCGTCTGCAGGGCGAGCGTCTTGAGGGTAGCCGGCAGGGCGGTCGTAAGGTGTAAATCCCTGCTCCTGAGCATATGCTTTGGCCTTAGCTATGGCGTCGGCAAGGGGGACGGTGCCCGAGTTGACGGGTCGGATAGCGCTCAGGTCGATGTTGCCGCTCGCCGAGGGTTGAGGATAGTACCCGCCAGCAGCGGGGGGATAGGACTGGGGCTGCGCGTATGGGTTCTGGGGGGGCGCATACGATCCCATGGGGGGGCCAGTCGGGGCAGGCAGGCCGGGCTGGTTCTGCGTAGGGGTTGATGTCGCGGGGTGTTGGGTGGCATCTACAGCGTGTCAATTGACCATCATCGATCGGGTGGGTTGGCTACGGAGTTCTTTCTTACCTAGAAGCCGTAGGATCGAGTTGATGTCGGGTGGCGCTTGGTTCGCCATTTTGTGTCTTAGGTCGCGACGGAAAGATGCAGGCAGCTGTTGGCTCAAGAAATGCTCTGTAAAGGCAGCTGGCGGCAGGTCGCGAGTGGGAGCGACTCGAGGTCACTGGAGATGATCGAAAGCAAAGCCGATTCTGGACAGCGGGGCAAATTAAAACCTGTTTCGCAGCGCGCCTACGGGCACAATAGTAGGGTGCTGGCCAGACAAGTCCAAGGCCAATAGCGCTCGGTTACCTATTTACGGACAGACAAGGCGACGGGCGTAGTCAAAGAATCACGTCGTGGTCGGGGGCTCGGTGGATGCGATGCGATGCGTTCGATAAACAAAGAAGCTGCAGCGCACGAGGCAGACGACAGACAGCGGGAACAATCTGGACCAACCTGAGACAAAAAGAATTTGCGTAGAGTCACGGCGATTCTGGCTGCGCGTCTAGATCGTAAGTTTTCGGAGGCAGGTCCTCGACAAGCAAAATCCGGAGCGTGGTGAAGAATGAGAAAGAGCGGCGGGCTTCTCTTTAATTTGCGCTTGAGGGATGGAGAAAGCAAGTGGCCGCAAATTCGATTCGAGGCTGAGTTTGCCACAGCGCCACAACAATTTTGAGGGCTGGGTGGCTGTGTTTCCGGCCAGCTGGCTGTTCAAAGCCCTACCGGCCCGTTGCCAGCTGCATGGATTCCACAGACCTTCACCAGTCACGGAGCCGGACGACGGCTCATGTTCTACCTCTCTCATAGCCTCTCTCAGTATCTGGTGAGCTTCTGAGGTTGGAACATCTGTCGGGCATTTAAGACCGATGAGTGTGTACTCTATATCCCCATTATTTCATTCTTAAAGGGCGACGCATAACAAGATACAGGGATCCCCACGCCCACGGTTCCGATAATTGAGTTGCAACTTACCCTCGCTGAAACCTGAACGCTGATTTAATATGTATTATTTCGTCTGCTCCAATTAGGCTTGCTTAAGGAGGGACTTCCACAGTTAGATTTATCCCAAAAGTAAAATGGCCCATACGAACACATTAAAGGTTAACATACGCATTTGCCGCAGTATAGCAAAAAGTTAAACAATTGAGCGGCACTGCTGTGACTGTCGACAGGGTAATACAGGCCGCCATGCAAGATCAATGTTTTCGCCAGGGTGCATAGCTGATTTAATATGTATTCTGTTTTTCTCTTAGTAGGATATTGGTGTTTTCTTGGGCGATACTCTGTTGTTCGCCATATCGCTCACTGCTCTGTTACAAACATAAATTAATCAGCGTGGGTTCCGGCTGCCGGGTACACACTCTCACCCCAACAAGTCTGGATGGCGGCATGGCCCTCCTCGGCGCAGTCACAGTTCGGGATGACTGATGCTAGCGAGGCCGCACTAGCTTTCCGACCTCATTGGACTGCACACACTCGGGGATATGTGATAGATGATTGTGGCGAAAGCTCCGTGTCTTGTTCCAAGTGAATCAGTTATCTCAGCTTGGAAAGGTTTCTCCGGCTGCACAAGAGCCTTCCTGTGGTCGCTGCTACATGTACCCTACTCGTGCTACGCTCAGGCTTTACCTGAGGAGGAGGCAGATCCAAAGGACTGACCGTCGTTCCTGGCAAGTATCCACATTCTGTACACCATCCACGGCATCGTCGTACAAGCTTTTCGGGTTGCCAGCTGCACCTCAGCGGCGTTTGCAATAGAGGTTCCGAGGAATTGGCAGCGAGCACAAATGCATTCGTCACTACTTCGTACACGGCCTGGAGTGTTGGGCTTGATTTCCAAGAAACAACGTGGTTCAGAGAGATTGAAAGCCGTGCTTCGACCATATTGTTCCCTAGCTCTTGTGGAAGGAGACAAGAAAGTGGGATATTCATTTACAAGGATAGTTCTCCGGAACACAATGCTTTGCTGCTCTTATGTAATTAAGCAACGCATTCTGGATTGTAACAGGGCTGTATATCCAACCGTGAGAAAGTTGACGTCATAAGCCATTTCTGCGAAAGAATTGAGTCCGTAGAGAGTCCAGATTGAAGATTGGCTGTTTATATTGCCGCTTATTAGCGTGAGGAGAAGGCAGGTGGTAAACATGCACCACTGAACTTTCCGTCCAGGATTGGATATGCTTAAGAGCCAAGTCTCTACGAAATTGGTAGAGTACCATGTATCTAGTGCTGTATTCCAATCGTACCTGACCGTGCTTGCCTGGCCTTGCCATCGGTACAAATTCGAAGCGAGATCGCGATTTGAGCGCGTGTGTCGTCGCACTTCGTCTGCAGCCGTCCTTGGCCTTGAGTACTCGGATGCAAGATCCCGCATTTTCACGGCTGTCAAACACTCTTCGCATGTTAAGTACCGTCATAACCCCACTGCATGCAGGTACACACCAAGACAGCCGGACCGAAAACGTTGGGCTGCTCTCACATGGCACAAGAAAAAGAAGTCTAGAATAGACGCCAAACGGTCTTCAGGTCTGCAGGCATCACATTGCTTCTAGAATGCAGATAAAATTCTTCGGCCACAAGCCCGGCATGGCATGGTTTGTGTAGTAGAAAACTCCAGGATCCCACTTCCTCGCCCGTGCTTGATTGTAGGTTGGCCTCTGCTTCACGCTTCGCTTCAGTTCGAATTTGGTTCCAACAGCACTGGCAGTCGAAACCCTCGTATGCTCCTTCCCGATCCACAGCGGTTGGCTGACAACGACTCCACTCAGACCGTCCGGTTAGGCCTAGCCACTGCGCTTTCCTCCCACGGTACGCCTTCCGTGGTTAGATTAACTGCAAATTGCGTCTGCTCGATGGAAGCCTGTCCGGTGTCCACTCTTTGTGCCGCGGAAAGAGCGAAATGCGCATGTCCCCGTCTTAGACATCTTGACTCTGTGGTCTGTTTGTACGATTCTCGGCTAACTCGGGAACCAGCCTCGCACATCTCCCGACTTTTCACCCTAATAATTAAAGCTGCTTTTCAAATTGAACTTTCTGCCCCCTTCTCCCAACCTCCGCTCCTTTCCCTTCCTCAACATCTACTGGGACCCAGTCATTCATTTCTCCTTCGGCCTCCTTTTATCGTGTCTCCCACTCCAGCGACGGATTGACTAATCGTCAAACCTGAAAAGTGTTTCTACTATTCCTCGTCAATTCTCCCATAATTGCTCCTCCATTCTCGCGATGAAGATAGCCTTGGTAAACCTCCTCGCCTATGGCGCTGCTCTTGTCGGCGCCGTAGCTTTGATCCACCCACACCGAAACGTTCTCGAGGCTCCACCCCCGGGCTTCAGCTACAAGCTGCCCAAGGCTTTCCATCCCGGCAGTGCCTTCAGAGCGTCCCAGGCCAGCGACAATGTCCAGCGGCTTCGCGGAGTCCGCGGTACCAAGACCAACGTCAAGTCTGTGGCTGCCGTTCTAGGCGCCCACCAACGTCAGGTCGGCGGCTTCGGATACGAAAACATCACGACAACCACGGCGTATGGCACTCAGTACGCTACCGAGGCTGTCTGGGACGGGATTCACACGTGGTTGCTCTTGGACACGGGCAGCTCGGATACGTGGGCTGTGGGGAGCAACTTCACCTGTGTTGACTACGCTGGAGAGTTCCTTCCCCAAGGCGCCTGTGGTTTTGGCCCGCCTGGGCCGGAAAAGTTTGCCTATGGCTACACGCAGCCCGAGCAGCACATGTTCATCCAGTACGGCGATGGAGAAATCGTCAGCGGACCCATGGGATTTTCCGACATTGCCTTTGGAAACATCACAGTTCGGCAGCAGGAAGTGTGTCTGGCTAACACGACGTTCTGGTACGGCAACAATCTCACAAGCGGGCTCATGGGTCTTGGCTTTCCGTCTCTCACCAACGCCTACCTCGGCTCGAGTGACGACCATGATCCAGACAATCAGATTGAGTATTCGCCCGTGTTCACCAGCATGGTCAGCCAGGGTCAGGTCCCGCCAGTCTTTAGCATTGCCATTGACCGCAACTCATCGAGCGGCATTCTCGCCTGGGGTGGCATTGCACCAGCTGTTGGCGCGGACTTTAGCCAGATTGCCTCGCTGGACCTGATCATTGTGAGTTGCCATTAATTGCCGATGTGAATCAATAGTTAACTTTCATAGACCAACCTGATCGAACTTCCCGTCACTGCCTACGAGTACTCGTTTTACACCGTCATCCCAGACGGCTGGCTGTTTGACCAGAACACGAACACGAAGAAGTACCCATATATTGTCGACAGCGGGACGACCCTTTGCTATTTGCCTCCCCGTAGGTTTGCCCTCTTCCCTCGATTCACGCATGTATCTACTGACGCTCGACAGCTCTCGCCGAGGCCATCAACCTTGCATTCCAGCCTTCCGCCGTCTACTTGTGGATGTACGGTGCCTATTTCACATCATGCAATGCTGTTCCTCCCACCATTTCGGTCAAGCTGGGTGGAATCGACTTCTGGCTCAACCCCGTCGACCTTATTTATCGCAACATGGTGGATCCCCTAACTGGCCTCTGCATGACGGCAATCGCAAGCGGGGGTAGTGGCCCGTACATTCTGGGCGACGCCTTCATGCAGAATGCCGTGGTTGTTTTTGATGTCGGAGAAGCCAAGATGAGGTTTATTCCCCGTCCTTTCTACTGAGGCATCTGACTGCCATGCAATTGCATCTGCCGTTTAGACTTGACGTCGGGAACATTTTTGCGGGAAAAGTTGTTGATTTCTTTGGGGGCGGCTGCGGGCTGATCTTGGCAGTATTCTCATCATATAGTTGGCCGACTGCAGATAGATGCTGAATTATACTGGCCGCCTGCTGCTGCTGTCTACATGCATGCCTGGCGAGATTACATTGTGAGTGGCTCGTTGGACTTGATGCAGCTTCTGATGGGAGGCCAAGTTTTGCGTCTGCCTGTGCTGCGAGCCGGGCTATTGCCAAGAGACTATATTCGCTCGGTATTGGCAATGCCGACGACTAGACAGTCAAGTTGAGCTTAACTCACAGACTGCTCTAGAGCATATAGAGGTAGAAAGGTTGGCGAACAATTGTCGATCCTAGCGCTAGCCCTCGCTCAATAAATGCCAATCCAATCAATCCAAATGGCGTATTCTCAGCATTTTTGGGGGCCGAATTCAACCGAATAGGGGTCTAAAATTCATGGGCAACTGTCAAATATTCCCTATTGGGCGGGCCATTTTTGGGGCGGATTTTTCGGGTTTTCCTGGGGCGTATCACGTACACACTCAACTAACCGGCTTAACTGCCCGGCTTAACTCCCCGGCCTGACTGCCCGGCTTGACACCTACAGAACCCGGGCAACTCAATAACTGCAAACCGTACAGGTTGCCTGCAGGGCCCAGCCAGGTGAGCTTGCAATAAACCAGTTACGTGGCTGGCCGCTCGGGCCGGCAACTGGCTTACATGCAGAGAGCACAGGACGCAGGTGACTGGTCCGTGTACAGCATGTGCAGGTTGACAGGGTAGAAATCGACGAATTCGTCCGCTGGATCTCTCGCCGTCAATTCCCTTCCTTGATGCTTGGGCAGGGAGGGTTCTGTATGACGAAGGGAGGCCAGCTATTCTACTCGCTGTGTAGATAATGTAATTAGTCAGCTAGTCAGTTAGTATTTCTTATTGGGGATGCTTCTGTTATTCTTGCTGCCCGTGTTGCCAGCCAGTTCTTGCCAGCTTGAGAGGTGCTGACACATTAACGAACGATACAACACAACACCACACAACCCAAGCGGCAGCACCGAAGCAATAATTTAAGCTTGGCTGCATGGTGGGACTGCCCGATACGCATCTCATATTATTGGCAAGGGTTTTTTTTTTTTTTTTTTTTTTTTTTTTTTGGTGTTGCTTGCTGCTAGTGTAGACCGGAGCCAAGTGAGGTAATAGCTTCCATTGTTGCAAAAAAGTTGCAAAAAAGGTAAACGGTGCTGACACGCACTTGGTGCTTCTCCATACCCCGGACCACAGGAATACGCCGGGACTGGAGAAGGGGGCGAATTGTATGGAGAGTTCGGCGAGGGGGGGTGTGTGAATGGGGGGACAGGGATTTCCCCAGGAAACGGTTAGAGAAAAAGCAGGGCCATGACGAACGATACGAAAAAAAAAACATGGGAGACGATAAGACGGAAAGATGAGAAAAGCAGGAGTGGTAGTGTAGAAAAGCAGCGAAGACGATGGAAAGGCGACGGAAATCCTCCCGCACAGCTTTCCTTGCAAGCTGCAGCAGCCCCAAAATGCATCGAGGCGGACATTCACCCGGAGCTTACGCCCTGTCCGTACCCTGCATCGGGCCAGAGTACGCAGGCGCCCACAGATAAGCCGGCCCTTGATTGGGCAGATGGGGGGTGGACGCACGCAAATCTGGCCGCAGCCGGTGCGACAGGGCCGGCCCGGGATTTTTAGCTGGCAGTTAAGGTAGTAAGGCAAGGTAGTAGTCTCTTTCAGAAGCTTTCCAGCGAGATCGACATGGGAGCAGTAGCACGGAAGGAAACGGGGGGCAAAAAAGAAAGAAACATGACGGGAAACGAACATACCGGGGACAAAAAAGGTGCGGGGGGGACGAATAGAGAGAAGGAGAGAGAAACGTGGGGGTGGTGTTCGCTCGGGGATGCAGACCGGTGTCGAGCGGGCGGGCGGCGCCAAGGAAAGGGCCCGGCCGAGCACGCGATTGAAGGAAGGCAACATCGGTGCCCGAGAAATAATGACAAATCCCAACTTTCCGATGGTCGCTTGCCGTGGGCAAGGCAGGCATGTCCTGGACTTGCGTTTCCGGGTATTTGGTTGGGTAGGATGAAGTACCTTGGTTCCCCGACCCGCGACCTCTCCTTTCCTCGATGAAATGCTGAGAGGCTGGTGGTCATCGGAACTCGGGTTTCTACCACCAAAAGGTACTTACATATTTCAGTGCTGACCGGGGATAAGCTATGTACATACAAGCAGTCCTCGCGCTCGCTGGTGGACGGGCTCTGCGTATTAATAGCCTCCAGTTGCTTGCTTGCTGCTTCCTGTAAGCAGATACGTCAAAGCGCGGTGCATGCGGTGAACGGCGGCACAATACCGAGACCTGGCCGAACGGCAGCGTTTGCGAGATAGAGCAAGAGCGTGCCGTGGTCGGAAAATGAAAGGAACTGCTGTTGCAAGGCGCTCATAGCTGAAGAAAGACGCGTAGAGAAAGGCGACCTGGAGGGCGGCCTGGAGAATCCTAAATACGTGACAGGCACGGGGGGCGGAAAGGTCGATTGGGTGGCTGAACATACGCACGCCGAGGCTCCGAGAAACGTGTGTGGTGGCCGGTGTCGGGAAAGGGACCCGCTGTGGGCGGTGGGACCTGAGTAAACTTGTGAATTGTGGGAGCGCGGCGACAGACGAGGCGACGGTGGAGAATGACATTCCCGTTTGGGGACACCTGGGAATCGGGTAAGGTGAACATCAAGCAAGGATCTAGACGTTACCAAGACGGGGATCAAGACGGCAAGACGGAGTCGCGACTAATACGGGATAGAGACAGGGGGTCGAGACAGGCAGTCAATGGATAGAGTGACTCCGATAACCTTAGAGTAGCTACTTTTCTGCAGCCTCGGAGGATTGGATTCTTAGCGAGCGATGCTGTTGGAGGGGCGCTGCGGTTGCGGGGCTGGCTTCCTTGTGAAACGCCGTCATCATCTTCGCCCACCTTTATTCTTGAAGGCGCGAGCTCCCATGTCTACCTACCTGCCCAGACTTCCCAACACCCACCTGCCCAAGTTGGTTGTCAGTCGTACTCGTTTGCCGCGTCAGCCTGACATAAATGACTGCCTGCCTCGCCATTGACCGGGCCCTGACCACCAAACGCCGGGCAACTCAAGTCTAAACGAAAACATGCTAGGCACCTGGAGGCTAGACACCAAGAGCGAGAACTCCATGTTCATGCGTCAAGCCATCGACCCGGCCACCGCAAGGCCGGTCGTGCAGCAAGCATGCAACAGTTGCCGTGCAAAGAAGGTGAGCTAGCGTCTCTGTGCTCTCGCTCTCGCTTCCGCCCTACCCGAGACGTGGCTGACCTGGCTGACCTCTGCAAAGCTCAGGTGTAGCGGCGAGAAGACGGGCTGCGGCCGGTGCAAAAAAGTCTCGCGGCCGTGCGAATATGCCCAGCCGGTAGCCAAGGGGCCGGCAAGGCTCAAGCGGAGCAAGTCCGGCAAGGAGGCCAAGGACGGGCTGCCAAAGAGGAAACAAGGGCGGCCGACCACAACTCCCCAGACAGACCCACCATCGTTGAAGCTCTCGGTTGAAGTAGACGGCAGCCACGCAGAGCCCGGATCGCTCCCAACGCCGTCGCTAGACTTGACTATGGACCTGAGAGACCCTGGCCAAACCAGCGGCATCTCTCCTACGCTGCTCCAGCTCGACATGGCCGACGGCGCGGGGAAGGGGTGCGGGGCCGGCCCCGGCTCCCCCTGCAGCATCGAGCAGTGGCTCAAGTTCCCGTCGCACTCGCTGGACATGGACGAGGACATGGACATGTCCCTGTGGACCAACGAGGGCGTCGACCCGACGGCGCTCAGCCTGGTGACGCCGTCGGCGACCTCGGCGACCATGACGCCTGCGCTGTCTCCCGCGTCAACCGACCACAGCGTGCTGCTCTGGCCCAGCAACGGCATGCTCCCGACGCCGACCGACGACGGCAGCCCGCTGTCGGGGTCGTCCGACCTCGGCCTCAGCCTCGGCGAGGGGGCGAGCCCGGACGGCTCGGAGCCGTCCTTCGTCAAGACGCGGCCGCGCAGCAGCGCGACGTCGTCGGCCAACAGCAGCACGCCAGCGCGGCCGTGCCAGTGCCTCCAGCAGGTCGTGTTCCTGATCGACGAGCTCGAGTCGGCGCAGGGCGAGTCGGCCACGCAGCTGGACGCCGGCCTGGCGGCGCACAAGAAGGCGCTCCGCCACGGCGAGGCCATGGTGCGGTGCGGCCACTGCACCACGCGCCCCGAGAACATGACCATCCTGACCTTCCTCACGGATCGGCTCATGGGGCTGTGTGAGCGCATCGTGGCCAGCTACCACGAGCCCGTGTACTCCGAGAGCGGGGGAGAGTCGCCGCCTACTAACAGCGGCGCGGCCATGGCCAGCAGCACCACACGCGCCAAGACTGTGACAGTACCAGCACCAGCACCAGCAGCAACAGACGGCCAGGGCGCGACCATGCCGCTAGGCGTGTACTTTGGCGACTACGAGATCGACTGCCCGGGCGAGTGGCAGGCGTTGGTCAGGAACCTGATTGTGCTGCAGCTGCGGGCGCTGGGCGCGCTGATGGGCAGGGTCAAGGAGGTGTCGGAGCTCATGCCGTGCGACACGGCGTGGCGCAAGGTGGTGGGGGCCGAGACGCGCCTATCGGCACTGCTCGAGCAGGTTGGCGGAGGAGGAGGAGGAGGCGGAGGCGGTGTGTCGTGGAACTCGCTCGGCTGATGATTATTCTCACAGGGAGCAGAACGGGTTGTTGCCAACGGGACGTGGAATTTACGACGGGACAAATGGGCAAACCTGCCCTGCATCAGGCGTGCATCAGGCAGGCGGGCGACACAGAACTTTCGGTGTTTCGCTCGCCGCTGCTGAGGGGAAGGAGGAGAAAGCAGGAAGCGTGGGAGTGGTGTTCATCATGGTGGTAACCGTGGGTGATGGCTTGCTCAACATGAGCCCGCGCCGCGCCTTTGCGTTTAACCGTTCTCGAGAGCTCGTCTCGCGATATATGCCGGCGCCATCCAAACACCGCGCCGCGTCGCGGTGTTTCTGGTGGACGCGATGCTGATTGAAGCAGGCGGGTGCTGCCCTGGCGATTGTGGGGGGGAGGGGGCGACAGGCAGCCCCACCACCGAACCCAACCCCCCCGCCAGAGAAGCAGCCCCGCAATGAGCTCAACGCTCGCACCAAAGGACCCTCAACTGGCCTGTGCTTCAATCCACTCCCGGCCAAAGAATCAATCTGTGGGGGAAACGAGGAAAACCCACCAAAATTATTTTTATCTCAAGATGAAAAAAAGATCAAAACGAGACAGTCAAGTACAATCAAGCCAGCAAATGGCCTACGGCTTGCTGATGTCAATTGGCACAGTTCTCAAACGCGAGCTATTCTGACAACAAAGAATTATTTTTTTTGCTTTTTCACATGTGTCGATGCAACTATGCAGGCTCGGGCTTGATTGACTTCAATCGCTTACTTTTGCCAGTGTTCACATTGCATACTGCATGCAGTCTGGAGTCTGACTTCACCTCGCTTTGCCCACCCAAGCTGACTGTCCACTCCATTACTCTGCCACATCCAAATCCATCATCAGAACGGAATTGAGCGCATGCCGTCATGTCCGACGCTAATTATCGGTCTTGCCCCCGCCGCGGGCGGCAATCGGTGTCGGCTTCTCCGAGAGCCGCTGTCGGAGCCCGATATTTCGGAGGTGTCGGCAATCAGCCCGGAGCTTGTATGTCATCCGCCGCGCAAGTGCCTGGATAGTCCGCTCCGATCGATGGCTGTCCGAACCCACATGATCCGATGTGTGCCTCTCTCATTGGCTGGCGGTAAACGACAATTAGTGCATCGCGCAATTACGCTCCGTGCTTTCGAGATTAGCATCACGTGTGGGCGCTGGAGACGGGAATAGTTTGCTGCGACCCTCAGACTCGCGACACTTTTTTTTCCGGATTTTGGAAGGCCGCGACCGCTTCTCGATCAATATACCTAGATAATGCGGTTTTGTGACAGCTCCTGCACCGACGGGAGCCCTGCCACCTATTAGTTCATTTGCTGTTCTAGTTCTTAGTTTGTTCCGACGTTGAGCGCTCCCTAATGTTGCAATCATACGAGCGATTGAGCGAGAGTAGACGGTCATCGAGGGCCTTCAGACATCTTCCCACGCCATTGATTTGTTAACAAACCGAAGAGGGGAGGAGCGCTCAGCGTTGCTATGGCCTTGATTCGACTTCCTCATCAGCTTGTCATATTCATCAGCTTATCATATTCATCATCTTATCATATCGCACTGCGCAGCGCGGCGATGACGCTTACCAACCGAGTATCAAGATTTTGTAATCATGGTAATCCAGACCATCGAAGTTACTGGGAGGACGACTGTCCCTGAGTCGTGCGACGTGTTGATGAAAAGCATGGAGGTCCAAGGCGGGCGGGGGTGCTGGCTGGCCTACTCTAAAGGACAAAACAATACTTGCTTAGAGAGATTTGAAGACTGGGAGCTGGGAGATTGGTGGTGGCAACAGACTTGATAAAGGCTCTTAGAACTGATACTTGATCTGCAGGTTTACGCCGCGGCTTAGTGAATTTAATGAATTGGATAATACAGAGTTACAGACCGCATTATAATGGGGACAAGTGTTTCGAATCACCTGCCCTGTTGCCGCCCGGATGAGCAGCAGCAAAGCTCGAGTAGCTGGATTTGGTTGATTCCGTTGGCATCTTCTCTCAGTCTGCCCCTGGTATGGACCGCAGGAGAAATGGCCGGAGGTATACCTTCCTTATCCGTACTAAGACGAATAAGCTCTCGTGAGCATAAAGGGGGGTCGAATTCGAAGATTGCTGTCTAGACGGGGTCTGAATTTGCGAGCCACCTCTGAGCGACCATGCTGGAGTCTGATACGGGCCATTGGGTGCTGCCCGGGGTGTGCTAGCCATTCGGGGAGGTTGCGGCTGTGCTGGAGGGTGACACAAAGGGGGGAGGGGGAGAAGGGGGGCGGCAGATCACAATCAGAGAGTGGCTAGTCACAGTGGATGTATCTATACAATTTGCTGTAGTGGCTTGGCTGCGGCATATATAGACATGTTTGTAGACTCGTGAGTCGGGGCGAGTAGAAGAGGCTCATGCCGAGGCTGAGACTGTGTGGGCACGACGTTGAGCGGATTCGACTGAAATTACCTACACAAAAGGTATTCGCCCGGGGGGGTTCACTCCGACCTGATGCACATACAAGAGTTGCCGCCTGATCCAGGCCATAGGAGACTAGAGGCCAACCCGGAGAGGCGACCCCAGTATGAATGGCACTCCGAATCTCAGCCAGGGCTGAGGCTTTTTCTCTTGGGGCGCGTCGAGAAGGCTCTAGGGCTGAAGTTCTGAACTCGTGGGGTTGGTTCCATTGATCTGAGACACGAAGACAACCAAGCGGGGGAAATGGGGTGCACTCGGGACTCGAGGCTGCATGGAAAGACCAGCCTAGATAGGCTGTGCCCCTGATACGCTCCTCTGCGGCCTGCCCAAGTCGGTCCCGGTTGCCTTTCTCGACCTTGCCCGATTGCAAAGCATGATTGATTAATTAATTAATTGGCATTTGTTTGCAATGGTAAGCACGGAATTTGGCCAAGCAGCATGTTTGCCTCTCCACCGTCCCATCACACCACCAGCCCGTTGGGGAAAATTCGGCACATTTTGGTGGCGCTGGGTCACGACGAGAGCGGCCTGCTGGGTGGTCAGAGTGGTGACTGCCGAGGGTGCCCGGTGGGGATTTTCTCTGCAGCGGGAATCGGCTGCCCACTTCCCGTCCAGCCTGGCCGTCCAGAACTGACCAAAACAGCAGCAGCAGACGAATGACATCAGAGCCGGCATCCACTCCTTCTGGAATGCCAAACGATAGGAAACCAGCGCAGGCGGGAACAGAGCTCGAATGAAGGCGCCGATAGCGCGGTTGCCAGGCGCGTAATCCTTAGAGGGGTTGGAGGGGCAAGGGGCAGCGGGCCCATCACAGCGCAGAGGCGGGGTCTTGGCAGCCGGGCCTGCTTTTGAGGCGCTGTTCGCGACCCCGGTCCCCCCACAATCCTTTCTGCAACCTCTCGCCGTCGCGGGCTCCTGCCGATTCGATTGGCCCGACACGATGATTTTGCATCCAATCCGGCACCACGGCCAGGGCAGCAACGTGTTGACAGGGACAATGTTTGCAGGGCAGCCCGGAAATAGGCCTCGAAGGCCGCCTCTTGATTCGCTGCCAGGACTCAGAGTAAGGCCTCTCTCTCGTAGCCAGCCAGTCGCATCCCGCGGCCCGATGCTTTATTTACCAGAACCCACTCACTGGGCTTGGCTTGGCTTGGATCGGCCTGTCCTGTCTGGTCTCGATGCTCCATGGATGATCGAGTGATCGGGGGCAGGCCGCAGAACAAAACTGGCAACATCCCAATCGCGAATCGGCCCCGGAGTCTGGTGACTGCCTCTTCAAGACTCCCGTCACCCTGGACGAACCTGCAATCCGTCACCCTGGACGAGCCTCCAATGTTTCGTCTGTGCCCCTGCGGGCGTGTGACATAGTTGGAAGCAGTGCTACTGCCACTGCCACTGCCGAGCAAGTCAAGATGCACGCCGGACTGTCCCTGGCCGTCACCGTGTGGGTCCTGACGGGCATCTCCCTCTTGCTCCTCGCTCTACGCCTCTACACGCGCCTGCGCATCGTGCGCTTCGTCGGCGCCGAGGACTACCTCTACGTCTGCACCGGCGTCTTCCTGCTCGCCTTTGCCGGCTGCCTGCAGGTCGCCGTCTACTATGGCCTGGGCCGCAGCTTTTGGACCCTGTCGGTGGACGACTCGTCGCGCGCCATCTTCTGGACTTATGTGGCGAACACATTCGCCATCGCCGGCAACGCCATGGCCAAGCTGTCCATGGGCTTCTTCCTGCTGCGCGTCGTCCAGCTGCGCGGCCAAAAGGCCGCCCTGTGGCTGCTCATCGTCGTCACCGCTGGCACCTCCTTCGCCCTGGTCGTCATGCTCTGGAACCAGACCACGCCGAGGAAAGCGAGCTGGGATCCGCTGCGCACCCCCGGCAAGTGGAACATTCAAATACAGCCCATGAGCGTGGGGCTCGGGGGTAAGTAGTCGTACACGTGCTCGGCTCTTGTCTGGTGATCGATTGCTAACTAGTGCGTGTCAGGTTGGTCGAGCGCCTGCGATTTCTTCTTTGCCATTTTCCCCTGGATATTCATCTGGTCGCTTCGGATGCCCCGGCGAGACAAGATCATGTTGGCTGGCGGCATGAGTCTCGGCGTCATGTAAGGCCGTCTTCACTCTGCAGCTGTCTAGAGTTGGGTTGGCTAACACTGCCTGACTAGCGCTGGAGCGTGTGGGATTATCAGAACGGTGGTGTTATCGCGGTTAGACATCATGGACTACACACGTGGGTTGCATCCTATCGAGGCCCAAGGCGATCGCTGACGGAGTCATAGTCAACTTTGCACCCTATTTTGTATGGGCTGGTGCCGAGATTGCCGTCGCAATGGTGTGTCTCGGAATCCCAACCCTACGCCCCCTCTATCTCAAGCACCGCGGCCGGAGCATCGGGTACGGCGACAGGCAGCACAGCCACGCCAGTGACCCAGAGCTGCCTCAGTTCGACATGGTCGACCAGAAACACGCCGGCCCGTCACAGGGGCCGCAACTCGGGGAGCAGGGCCCAATCCCGCACGACCACAAGCGGCAAGATCACAAGCAGGATCACAAACAACAAATCATTCTCCCCGCCAGCCCGCCTCCTAGCTACGTCCGGGACTCTACATCGTCACACACCGTGGTAGAGCCGGAGCCGAGCCCGGAGCCTCTGCCAGAATTAGCGAAGCCCCTGAATGTCTACTCGAGGGGGCGCGACAGCGTCGACGACATACTCGGCCTGTACGACGCCGAGCGCAGCCGGAGCCGGGGGCGGACAGTGAGCAGGGGCAACCACAGCAACAAAAGCAGTAGCAGCAACAACAGCAAGACGAGCCTCTACGCTCCGGGCGTGATATGGGTCAGGAACGAAGTCTTGGTCGAGGTGGAGCACGACTACAGGAACTGGCCCCTGAAGAACTAATTAGACAGACTCTTCTTAGACGAGACCACACCTCAGTCACCGATCGCCACACGGCGAGACGGTGTTGTGCCGGACAGATGGATTATTTTTGGAGTTTTGGAACTGGCATACATTGGAAACGGATACCCTGTCGCTTGTCGAGTCTGAAGCCTGTCGTCTGTTTGCTATTTCTCTCTGATTTGGACAATTAGTTCATTACATCTAATCACAGCGACAGCAACCGCGGCGCAGTTGAGTCGGCGATGACATTTTTGGACGGCTTTCCATGTGGCGTTATACCCGGTTGCAGTGTTTCGAGTCCCTCACCGAGTTTCCAAATGTCTGGGAGTGCATGACAGCTGAAAAGGTGGCGCTGGCCTGAAGCAAGGAAGAGGCTCAACCACCAATGAAATCACCAGTCTTGGCGCGGAAAATGCCTCGTGGCAAAGCAAAGACGCCTAGTGCGGCTCTCGTGCAAAGCAAGCATTGCGAAGCCGGCATTCCACCGTATATAATGGTCTTGGCGCGCCCGTCCGTCTCGGGACCCAACTTGCTATCTCGGGACCCAGCTTGCCCCAACTTGCTATCTCGGCAACTCAACTTGACACCTCCCGCGTGTCTCGCCGCAACCATGGCGCACCTATTCCTCGCCGTCAGCGGCATGTGCATGTTGCTGCTGCTACTGCTGCCGCCGACAACATTGGCCCTCCAGCCCCCGCACCTGCACCCGCTGGCGCCGCGGATCACGGCGGCCCCCGCCGTCGTCCGGCGGCAGTCGGGGCTCACGCCGCAGTGCGCGCTGTCGTGCATCGAGGACGCGCGCACCCAGTCGACCGACTGCTCCTACGGCGACCTCAACTGCCTCTGCACGGGCGAGAACGGCGCCGACGTGGCCCTCGGCAGCACGCCGTGCATGTTCAGCGCCTGCGGCCGCATCGCCGCGTTGAGTGCGCCGTTCCCTCGATTCATTTTTGTAATACTTACTGACAAGCTGGCTGACGGTTTCTTTCTGTGCGCAGGCGTCTTCACCCAGAACTTCTTCGCCTGCTCCTCGTTCCTCTACTCCGAGGCCAGCCAGCTCGGCCAGACCGTTTCGATCCTGAGCACGATCCACACCTCTATCAGCGGCATCCCCGTCGCCTTCCCCATCGTCGCCCCGCTCAAGACGGACGGCGCGGCCGTTGCTACTGCTGCCGGCGCCGTCGCGAGGACCACAGCCGGAGGCAAGGCCACTGCCGCCAGCACCGTCGCGAGGACCACAGCCGGGGGCAAGGCCACTGCCGCCGCCACCGTCCCAGGCGCTGGTTCTGACAGTGGGTCAGGGTCAGGGACTGGGACTGGGACTGGGACTGGGACTGGGTCTGGGTCTGGGTCTGGGTCTGGGTCTGGGGATGGGGATGGGTCAGGTAGCGGATCGGATAGTGGCTCTGGAAACACCTTCGGCGGCGTTGGCGACGGCGCTGGCGGCACTAGCGGCTCCTCGTCTACCGACGGCGGCGACAGCTCGTCCGCGCTGCCGACCAGCGCAATAGCTGGAATCGTCGTCGGGTGTGTCGTGGGCACGCTCGCGTGCTCGGCCGTCGTGTTTGCCGTCCTGTGGCGCCAGAGAAAGGCCAAGAAGGCTGCCGCTGCGGCGGCCGACGAGATTGCTGCTGCCGCTCCTGGCCCTGTTCCCGGCAGCACCAAGTCAGAGCTCGAGAGCCGCAGCGTCGCCTCGGGTCCTCCGCCGGGATACCCTGGCCCGGGAAGCGTGTCGCCGCTGCCCCACGGAAACACATGGTACCAGCCCCCAGCTGCTGCGCAGGGAGCATACATGGGCGAGGGCCAAGTCGCGCCGGCTTCCCCGCCGCCGAGCGTCGCGGTGGTTTCGGAGGTGTCGGGAGCGGATGTGGGGCCACGGGAACTGGGCGGTGCGCCACAGCCTGGAACCGAGTTGCCGGCCCAGCCGCATGGCTACGCGCCGTACGAGATGCCGCCGGGTAGCGGGAGATGATCAACCACCCGTATGCCATGACGGGCTGGTTGGGATTCGGATAGGTTCTGAGGTCTTGACTGGAGGAGAAAATACGTGTTTAATGTCAATACTTTATTCCCATGTCCATCCAATGACCCATATTCCAGGCCTATTTCCAGTCTGGACTCGACTGGCCCCTGGGGACGTATTCGCTTGATCGCCAAGCACTGGACCTAGCCCCCGGCAATGTTCCGGACTGTGGGGCCCGACCAACGGCCGAAGGAGCAACTGCTGATTAATCCACGGACCAATGTCGCAACGGCTGCCAAGTCGACATGGCATTTTCCTCAGCTTTGCCAAATGCGCCTTCTGTGCTTGGCCTGCCTGATTAACAGCCAAAATGGAATCTACAAGGGCCACTGAGACTAGCCTAGTGGCGTCTTCGTGGTACTTTTGCTCCGTCTGTGAGAAGCCGTTCAACGAAGGTGACAATCCGACGAGATAATGTTCCCCCGTCCCCCTGTCCTCTTTCCTGCTTGCTCCGGATCCTCCCGGGCTTAGCTAACTCGTCCCCTGGGAGCAGAATCGTCGTACGCACGCCATGTAAAGTACTGCCGGCGGCGAGCGTCTAACCGGCAGCCCCTGCGGCAGAGGGCGTGCGAGGCGTGCCGCAAGACCAAGAACAAGTGCGATTTCAAGTCACCTTGCTCGCGCTGCGCCGCTAAGCACACGCCCTGCTCATACGTCAAGGGCTACTACCGCGCCTCGGTCCCCGCGTCGGCTTCTGCTCCTGGTCCGAGTCGCCGTGGTGCCATCGCCAATCCAGACCCACATGACAGCCCCGTCTCTGCTGCCGAGCCCCCGAGCACTGCCGTCGTCCCAACCACGTCCGCCGTGCTCTCCGAGCCTATAGTCCCACCGCTGGATCTGGCCCCCGAAACTGAACTCGGACTGGACCAGCTCAACCAGAGCCTCACGCAGGGCCCCGCCCCAGACAACCACACAGCCGAGAATGACGCCCTCTTCAACGATTCCGGCGGCTCCTCCTCTCTCGTCCAGAGCTCCTTCGCCTTCACAGGCGACCAGTACGCGTCCATGTTCTACGCGAGCCAGTCGGCCGTGGTTAACCTGCACCTCGGCCGGCCCATCAGCGGGGGGTTCCGGTACGCCGACGTGACCGAGCTGGACTTGCTGCCGTCGCCGGACCACCACGACGGCGACGTGTTGCTGGGCCTGCTGCCCAAGAGGCCAACGGCATCAGACCTCGTCCCGCGGCCGCACGACTCGGCGCGGCTGTTCGACCACGGCCGCGTGTTCCCCCACGACGCCCACCAGCCGACGCCGCGCACCATGTCCAACGGATGCCGGCAGCTCATCGTGTCCATCCTGCGCACCTTCCCGCGCATGCTGGTGCGCGCGCCCACTGGCCTGCCGCCCTTTATCCACCCACTCGGCTGCGGCCTGCACTTTGCCCAGGGCCCCGACGCCGGCGGCCTTGACGACGGCTGGGCCGCCGTGCAGCAGTTCGAGGCGGCGCCCAACGGCGCCGGCTTCATCCCGCTCCGCCCGCTGGCCGCGTGTATTGGTGTAGCGCACATCTTTGTCGCGCGCACGGCTAACTCGGATGAATTTCTGTGGCAGACCATCGAGGCTGAGCACAGACGGATCCGTGCCGAGGTGAGGATTCCCTTCTGCAATGATTAATATGGCCGAGGGATTCCTCTGCTGATTTGGATGTCGCGCCAGATGCACCAGTTCACCCCCGGCGAGACCCTCGCCGCCACCCAGGCCATGATGCTCTACACCACCATGCGCCTGATGGTGTCGGGCTACGAGTACTTCCAGGCCAACCGCGGCGGGCTGATGACCTTGAATGTGAGTTTCTCTGTCTCTCTCATGCTTAATTTTCCGCTGTGATTATCTGACACTTGGATTTAAACCCGCCAGGACCTCTCGCGCCGCTTCTCGGAGCTGTGTCCCGGCCCGTTTAGTCCTGCGCACGTGCGGCTGCACCGGCCGACGTGGGAGGAGTGGATATTCGAAGAGACACGGCGACGGTGAGTTCCCCCCCCCCCCTCCCCCTCCCACACGCACACACCATCCCTCTATTTCTCCTCAACAGCTAACCCACCGTTTCCCCAGCATGGCCGTCGTGTGCTTCCTCATGACTCTCGTCGTCGGGTCCGAGGCGTGCCTGGCCATCCTCGACCCGCCATCACTACTACTGCCCAGCAGCCGCGCGCTGTGGGAGGCAAAAGACCGCTGGTCCTGGGAGCGCGAGTTCGACGCCGCCTGGGCCGAGCTCGGCACCGTCGCCCGCCACCACCAGCACGCCGGCCCCCGCCTCGACACCATCGGCGACCTGGCCGTCGTCAAGAACGGCCTCTCCGACCCGCGCTTCGGCGCCGGCCGCGCGGGCGCCGCTGCCGCTGCCGCGTCCGACGTCCTCGATAGCTGGCATGCCGGGCTGGATGGCTTGGGCATTATGCTGGCGGCCGTGTTGGCGGATCATTAGTCGCGGAGGTGTAGTCGGCATGTCCCTTGGCTTCAGGGTTATTTTCCTTGCTATTCGGGTTGGGATGGGAGTTGCGTTAATGCTATGGAGATATGGGAACTTAAATATAGGGTTTGGACTTGGTCAAGTAAGGTGCCTTAACCACGAAGGAAGCTATATGCTAATGACAAAACTTCGAATAGAATTGGAATAATTTGGTAGTTATGCCAGTTGTCCCTTGCTAAACCTGTCTCTTTGGCCCTAGGCAAATACCCCAGGCACCCGTCTTCAGCGCTATTCGCCAAACAGGAACGGCCTTGCGCCGTCACCCAGCCGCGTGCGCATCTCAGCCAAGGCGTCAAGATCGTTCTGCAGCCGAGCCGTGCCAACCCGCTCGTCGTACCGCTCGTACGTGCGGCTAGCGCCCTCCAGGCTCTCACCCACCCGCTTGCAGGAGCCAAAGTCGATGATGACGGCCTCGCCGCGGCCGTCGAGCATGACGTCGCTCGATGCCGGCTAGTATGTGGCTGTAGTCGTTGCTTTCCTGGCGGCCCGACCGCAGCCTCCTCTTCATCAGACTGCCCGGTTGACTTGTGGCATCAGCGTGCACTGGTATGCCGCAAAACAGAGACCCGTGATTCTTCCTTGCGAGACCTGGCAGCCGAGGTAGGCGGCAATGTTGGGGTGCGGATGTTTTACGAGAAGCTCGCAGACGGCGGCTTGTAGGAGAACAGCCTCTACGATGGCATTTAGCTGGGTCCCTTGGCGGATTCGATCATACCAGATCAGCCGGGGTTTTTTGATGTGACAGTTCTGGGGCAGGGGATCGGGGGCACGGGGCAGGCCAGGCGGGAAGGCCTCGTTCATCTCGATCACCACTGCACGCTCTCTGTGTGGTTCAGAATAAGGGGACGTCATTGTTTCCCGTCTTCAACCAGGGGGTAGCTCTGCAATATGGCTGACGGCCCCGCCGGAAAAGCCACGAGCAGCACTGGAAGCTCCCGGTCGCCTTTTCTATGTCTGATCTTGATTACACTTCCTGACTCTGCCAAGAGCTTGAACAGGTGATATGGATAAGGGTGCCATTTCGGGGTCTCGTGGATGTTGAGAAACCCAGCCACGTCGATGCTAGGGTGTTTCCGAACTCCAATAGACACTGATGAAACCACGGCGAATGCGGGCCAGGACCGGGGCCTCCAGGATTGCTAGGCCAAGAGCAGCCAATGAGAAGCAAAGGGAAAGTGATGGAGCCCCGAGACTCATGTGGTTGCATCCATGATAACACAAATCCTTTTCGTACGCAGGGGGTTCCTGTCTCCTACTCTCAGCAGTCCGAGGACCTTGTCGTCGTCGTAGAATCCGACCCACCAGCCCCTGTGCAGCCCCAACACACGATTAAAGTACCAGACGTATGAGCGCGAAGCGCGGTAGACACCTTTGTGTCGAGCCGCCAATGTTTCTGTGGTGCACTTCCATTTCGCAGCAGACAGGGGCAGAGACGAGACGTATTGCCTCGGGCGGCCAGCGGCTCAGCGCCATATGGACTGTGTCCCATTTATTTGCCCACTTCGAGTCTCCACTATTCGATTCGCATTGCGAGACTCATGATCATGTGTTGTCGGTTGTGAGCCGCAGCGCGCGAGGTCGATATGTCTCGTTGGAGCGAGACCATGCGAGCTTCGAGTGAGTCTAATCTGGTGTGTACCATGCCGAATCCGAAAATGAGCATGCTATGGATTTGGTCGGGGGTGAAGTTGAGCAGGTGCGCGGCATCCGGCCTGTCGGTTCGGGGGGCAATGCCACTCATGATCCGAAGTGGGTCGGGTAGCTGTGGATTTTGTTGGATAATTATTGGAGATCGGCAAAGAGTGCTCTAATAGGTGTTGATCTGCAACTCTAGCCTGGTGTGCGTAGGTGGGTTGATAAATGTTGAATCAAGGAGCTACCTGTTCGTGAGGTATGGTGATGCGAAGAGAAAATTCTGTGCGGCCAGAGATTTGGGAGGAATTTATACACCCCTTGCGAAAATTTGATTCCATATCGCAGCAGTAAAGTTCATCATTCGACCCTATCATTCTGCCAATAGTACGTCTCACCTATTGAGCTCTTTCTTTGACCTCGGTAATGTCGCTAGTGTTCTCATGACAGGAAAGGGCCAACCTAAAAACCACTTGCAGCTAGCACCAAGTACGACTTCCCTCAATAAATACGGGCCGCTCACGTCATAGCCGAGAGATAGATGGCTGTCTTTTTGATCATTGTGGCCCTTTTTAAGAGCTTTGATCTGGGTACCCCATCTAAAAATCGGCGTACCCCCCCGAGGGCGCCAAGGAACCCCGGCAAAGTAAAAATAACCCTACTTACACTCTCACATGCCGGTGGCTTCAAGTCCGTATAGGGCAGGTGGCCTTGGCAGGCCTTCCTGCTGGCTAGGCAGATTTATGGACCCAACACCAACTCAACACTAAGGAAGTGTATTAACATGTCAATAAATCAGGGATTTACGGATGACTCAGGCAACTGGGCGCCGGCCATGACTTATGGCTAATTTGCGTACAAAAATTAGGGCCTCAGAGTTGCCATTTGCAAGTTGCCCTTATTTTGAGGCACTCGGCAACGAAGAAATCGTCAAAATGGAAAACACTACGGCAAATGCGTTTTCAAGGCTTCAATCCTCGTTGGCCCGGGCGGGCGGGCGGCCGGGCTAGTACAAGGAAGCCATGCGCGGTAGGATAGTATTTCACGATTTTACTGGCCGAAAATAAGCCCCGAGTATCTCAACTGCCAGCAGCTGGCAAGGACCCCGAGGGGGTACGCAGATCAAAGCTCCTTTTTGACTTGAACTGCAAAGCTAAAGTTGGCCTGATACTAGTATATATCGAGGACGAGAGAAATGGCATTGATAGCGTTATCGTATTACCAAGTCGCCCATAGACGGCGATTTTGGCCGTGGCGCTGTGCACTTTGGGCGTACCATCAAGTCGCCCACAGATGGCAACTTTGGCCGCGGCCTCTGCGCACTTCGGCCAAATTGGCCGGAGCTCGGTCTCGCGCCAACCCACCGCTGGCTGCCTAGAGATGCGAGCCTTGGAGGTTATTCGGTGCAGCGGCCGGACATTGGAGTTGGGACTTCAAAATGGCATGTTTCTACGCCTGCATCACGGCCAAACTGGCCGACGGACTGTGACAGCGCGGGAGCAGGACGATCGGAACCGCTGGCATAAATACTGCAGACCTTGCCGTACGCAGAACCAAGTTGCGCTTTGAACAAAGAGCCCATCGACCGGCATCTTCAATCTTCGGCATCTTTAATCTTCGGCATCTTCAATCTTCACCCTACAGTCAAGCACACGAAACAGATAATCTTGCGTCGTTACATCATGACAGACAAGGTCAACGTTGCGGCAGTCCTGCCCGCTCCCAAGGCCGATCTGGTCCTGCAGGAGCGCCCCGTCTCGTCGCCTGGCCCGGATGAAGTCTTGATCCGCAACCACGCCATCGCGCTGAACCCCATCGACTGGAAGAGGCAGGAATTGGGTTTGATGGTCAACTCGTACCCGGCGGGCCTTGGTGCAGGTGACTACCCACAACTCGGAGCCGGACAGGTTTGATGTCGTTGCTGACAAGGCTCGACACCACGCAGATCTCTCGGGCATTGTAGCCGAGGTCGGGTCGTCTGTGACAGGTTTCAAGCCGGGCGACCGCGTGTTCGGATTCGGCAACTGGGTCTCGAAAGGCCTGGACCATGTCGCGTACCAGGCCTACACCCTCGTTGAGTCTGCCTCAGCCTCGCTGGTGCCGCCGTCCACGAGCCTGCTGCAGGCCGCCACCCTCCCGACAGCCATCGGCACCGCGACCATGGGTTTATTCTCTGTGCTCGACCTGCCCCGGCCTGGGACCGCTGTCACGTCTTCACCTCTGGCGCTCCGGTCCATTCTGATCTGGGGCGGCGCCAGCACCGTCGCGTCCATGGCGATCCAGTTTGCGCGCTTGGCCGGCCTCACAGTCTTCACCACGGCCAGCAAAAAGCACCATGCCTACCTGCGCTCGCTCGGCGCGAGCGTCGTGGTCGACTACAACTCGCCCACGGCTGTCGAGGAGCTCGTCGCGGCGGCCGCCAGCGCCGGTACCGAGATCGCCATCGCCCTCGACTGCATCTCGCTTCCCCACACCCTCACCCCCACAATCAAGGTTCTCTCCAGCTTCACCGGCGGCGGCCCCAAGAAGCTGGCCCATCTGGTGCCGTGGTCTCCGGACTTTGCCAAGCCCGACGCCGGCATCGAAGTCGAATGGGTCCCTGGGGAGGATCTGTGGGACGAGAAAGAGGAGTTGCTGAATTGGCTGCTGAGAGAATCCTTGCCGAAATGGCTCGAAGAGGGCGCCGTTGTGCCGCTGCAGTACCGCGTCATTCCGGGGGGGCTGAGCGGGCTGCAGAATGGATTGAACGAGCTCAAGAAGGGCGCCAGCGGCGAGAAGTTGGTTGTTGAGCTGTAGGGGGTATTGAGATTGTCATGTCGGAGATATTCTTTCTCACTTCCTGGCCCTGTTTTTGTGCAAAATCCCCGAGCAAAGTCATCCTAAGTCTAATTCCACTTGAATATGACTCGTGTGGCGGATGAAAACCTGTTTTTAGGAGTTGTGATTCGAACTGGTAAACCTGGGGTCAAACCGAGATGAAATGATCGAGGTAGTCCAGAAATCTTCTCGGCAGATGGTTTTGGGCCAAACTGTTTGCCGGATACTACCCTTCCTGTTTTACGGGCGAGCGTCGATAGCTTCGATAGTCCAAAACCTAGAGCTCATTCGGGCTGGGCTCATGCATGGTCATGCATTGTCAGCAAGGTTGCTGTGGGCTCCTGTTGCCCCTCCCGCGCCTCCCGCCAACTCGCCGAAGTTCCCGGTGGATCCGACCGCTGATGTTCTGCAGCCGAATGCAGACGAGTACGTAGGTAGCTGCTGTGCCAGAGGGCTACGTCGGCCGCACACTTGCACCTTCCCTTTCAGTCGGGACGTTGCTGACTGGATCATGCAAGTCTTTGTCTCGGTCCTCGGGGCCATTTCCCCTCTCTTTCCCCCAACCCCAAACTCTAAATTCCGATAGACTTTTCTGTTGAAAGGTCTGAACGAAGGGAGAGAAAAAGAGCGCTGGCTGCCTCCAGCACGCCATGGCTTCCGTTCTGCGGACGACGCTCCTCACGCTGCTTGTGACGGCGCCGTTTGTCGCGGCCGGCCGGGCACAGTACTGTCGCTTCGACCACGAGAATGGCGATGTCCTCGACTTCTGCATGGCCGTCACCAGCCGCCGAAACGACACCACCGCCGCCCATGATCTGTATTTGGCCATGCAGGTAGCGCGGTCGTCGGCGAACGGGTGGAGCGCCTTCGGCACCGGCCCCACCATGGCCGGCGCCATCATGTTCATCGTCTACGGCGACCCCACATCGGGCCGCGATCCCGTCCTCAGCGTCCGCACTGCTGACGGCCACCATCAGCCGCACGCCATCGACGCCGCGGCGGCAGGCGGTGCCGAGGTCCACGTCCTGCAGACCACCTGGGAGCCCATCAGTACCGCCGCACACGGCTCGCCGCTACTGCGCCGGCACGACGACCACGACGACAGCAAGGACGAGCCGCACACCCCGCCCACGCACATCGCCAACGTCTCCGCCGTGTGCTACGGCTGCGACCGCTGGCCCGGGTCGCCCATAAACGCGGCGGCGACGTCGCAGCCGTGGCTGTGGGCACGCAACATGCGACAGGAGTTCAGCGGCGCCAACGACAGCGCCTACGCCGCCGATGCGCGCCTCGAAATGCACAAGCACCACGCCTCGAGCGGTGGCTGGGGCCGTTTCTATGTCAATATGTTTGAGGCGGCAGCTACTGCCGAGTCCGAGCCGGCGGTGGCGGCCAGCCCGTTGTCGCTAGTGCCACCCATCGTACTGAGCGTGGGCAGCTTTTCTGCGACGGACGATGCGCCAGGAAGCGGCTTTCTGGCGGGGCTGTGGGAGCGGCCGGCGGCGAGCGCACACGGCTTCCTCATGGGCACGGCGTTCATGGCGCTGTTCCCGCTCGGCGCCGTGCTGATGCGGACGGCGTCGGGAAACTCGTTCAAGCGGCACTGGGTCGTCCAGCTGGTAGCGACAGGGCTCGCGTGGACGGGCGCCGCCGTCGGCCTGGTCATGACGCGCTTCCGTTTTCCTACGACACTGCACCAGTGGCTCGGCATCGCAATCGTCTCGGCGCTCGCTGTGCAGGCTGTCTTGGGCTGGCGCCACCATGTCGTCTTCTTGCGGCTGCGGCGGCGCACTTGGATCTCGCACGCGCACATCTGGCTGGGGCGGTCGGGGATCGTGGCCGGCTGGGTGAATATCTTGCTAGGCATGGTGCTGTCGGGCTACGGGGGCCTTCGCGTTGGGTTAGTCGCCGCTATGGTCGCCGTGGAAGCCGCGGGCGTCGGGGTTTGGCTGTGGACTGCACAGCGGAGGGCTGCGGCGTATGGCGGAGTTGGCCAGGCAGAGGCCCACGCGTTGATGCCGAGGGGAGGCCCGGCGGATGACTACTTTACGTTGGAAATGAGCGATGACGAGAACGACGATGACGAAGACGATGGTGTAGATGGCGGTGACAAGGAGGAGAGGGAGAGGCTGCGGCGCAAGTCGGGCGCTGACGACGTCTACATCTCGCAGAGAAACGTGGACAGCGATGTCGTAAAGAGTTGAGGCAGCGACTCATAGAGGTTTGGTCCTTGGTTGCTCTCTTAGGGTTGGAGTAGTCAAGATAAATTCATGTAGAATTTTCGTTCCAGTGTTGATTCGATCTTGGCAATCAATGCTTGGCACTGAATGTGGCTGTGTGCACATTTCTCACGTGCTCAGCCAGCCGACCTGCATGCATTCAGCTTTTCATCAGGCAAGCAGTGAGACGGCTCCCGCCTTGCACCTTCCGGCCTTCCAGGCTTGCTCAGCAGGGATGGACCGCTCCGATCAAACCCGGCAACATACCAGCCCTCGTCGTGTTAATAGCTGAGAACGCCCCCCGAAGACATGCCTAGGAGACTGCAAGCCTTTTTGGCGAAGGCAAGGATCCGTCAGGGACACGGGGCTGGACAAGACTCTGGGCCGTCGCAAATCACAAGTCAGGCTCGCTCCAAACCTGAATCATCAGACCATGTCATCGCTCCTTCCCCCCTGGAATTGAAAGGGCGAGAAGATGACGACGACGGGTAGGCAGACCGACTCACAGCATATAGCGGAATCGGAATCGAAAGGGCTGAAAGTCGATGTGAAGAGGATGGAGCGACACAAGTAGCAACACAAGTAGCACCGCAGAAACCCCTCATCGAGAAATTTGGCCTATTTCCCTTCCCTCCCAGGCCTGGCAGCGACGCGCCCGTTACCCAAGCTCAAGAACAGGACGAATCGGCTGAGCACGTCGAGTAAGCTCGCACATTTTCATGATGTAGCAATTCCTCCTCAACAGATGATGGCCGCTTCAGTACAAATGTTGACCTATTCGGAACAGCATCATTGCCGTCCACGGCCTGATCGGGCACTGGACAGGAACGTGGCAGGCCCCGGATAGTGCCATCTGGCTGCGAGACCGAATCCCCCGTCTCCTTGCAGACGCCAACGTCGTGTGCCGCGTGAGGTCATTTGGTTACAACTCCGCCTTTGCTTTCACAAAGGGCGAGACGGACATTGCAGGCTGTGCCAAGACCTGATTGACAGGATCTCCATGATGAGAAGGACAGATCCGGAGCACGTAGCCCGACCGATCATCTTTGTTGCGCATAGCCTTGGACGCTTAGTCGTGAAAGAGGTGTGTTCGACTGTCAATAATAGACTAGCCCTTGCCCAACGCTAACTTGACTGTCGTGTATGCTCTCAACATCGCCTGGGTAAGGCAAAGCATCTACGACGACATCCTCGCAAATGTCAAGGGTTGCGTGTTCATGGGCGTTCCCCATCATGGAGCTGGCATTGCTCGTTGGGCCAAGCATGCCACGCAAATCTTGCGGATCGCTTCACTAGGGTTTGCCGGCAATGCAAACTTCCTGGCCACCCTCGAGCCCATGTCGCCTGAATGACTGCGTATCTCCAGCGACTTTGTCGAAAGGGGGCAAGGAGATTTCGTTTCGGACGTTCTATGAGACGGAGCGGACTGGCAATATCTTGGCTGGTGCTCTGACTTTAAACTCTTTGCTTCTGTGATTGACGTCTCGTAAGGTTGTGGATAAAGTGTCCGCGGCAACGCATGTACCGAATGAACAGGTGTTTGCCGTCCCAGGCTCTGATCACCGGACGATATGCCAATTCTCTGATCTGGGCAATGAGAGACTCTCTCTCGTGGCGACGCCGTTCTTGGGCTTGTCCAGACACCACGGAAAGGTAATTATGCCTCTTCCAGAAGAGAGCGTGCCACGATAATTCCTGACGTCTAACATATATAACGGCAGGTAGGGAAGGAACGCGATGTTATTGCCAGTTCAGTATTGGTGTCCGATCTACCTTCAGCTACTGCGACCTTCTTTGGCCGATCGGAGGAGCTCGCTTTGATGCGAGACCACCTCGATCCTCTCAAGCCTGGCAGAAAGGGCATGGTGCTCTTTGGTCTGGCAGGCTCTGGCAAAACACAGCTGGCCCTCAAATTTGTACAGGTCTTCGGAAATCGCTACTCGGCGATCATTTGGATCAATGCTTCGAGCTCACCGCAACTATCCCAGTCGCTCACAGAGGCAGCGGATTTTATCAAGGCATCATTGTGGCCATCCAAGGACCACCCTAATACATACTATGGCAAAGAAACGGCAAAGATAGTAACCCCACGCCTTCGCTCGACGGTTCATAATCGATGGCTCCTGGTGATTGATAGTGTCGATGATATTGAGTCGACCGATTTCAGAAATCTGATACCGGAGTGCAAGCATGGCTCTACCATCATAACCAGCACTCGTCGCACGGCAGCCGAGCTATTCGAGGCGGTCGGGTTTTCTTCCCGTGATATCGACAGCCTAGACGATCTGAGCGCGACTCAACTCCTTCTTGCAAGCTCAAGTCCCCTGGTAGGCGCCAGTAACCAAAACTTTGCAGGTAAGACTGTCTTTCCCAATACAGCCCTCTCTTAATTGATCTAACACCCCAAGCGTACCATGAAGAGCCTGGAAAAATTGCCCGGGAGCTATACGGTATTCCACTTGCGCTCGAACAAGCCGGTGCTCTGATTCGCAAGCGCATCGTTAGCCTCGAAAGCTTCGTCGAAAGATACCGCACACACTATAAAGCCCTCATGGCAAAGAGACCAGCCCGTGGCGCCACCTCGTATGAGAAAGGACACTCGGTACTTTCGGTCATGTCGTTGCTATTCTTGAGTATCCAAAATGAATCTCCTGAATCCGCCCACCTTCTCGTCGTCTTAACCGTCCTCAGCCTACGGAAGATTCCGCTAAGCCTTCTAAAAGAAACCTATGTCGCAGTTACCGTCGGACAAACAGGCAATTAGATTGCGCATCTTGCACCGCCAGATTCAGATGAAACAATTCTGAGGCTTAACGTTTCTGACTTGGTTGATGTATGCCTTGTGAAGCTCGAAGAGGCTCAAGGTCAAAAAGACGAGTTTCTCTCGGTCCACGGCCTTGTTTGTCAATGGATTGTGGACATGCTATTGCCAGATCACGAAGTGGACCTGGCCCGCGTTATTGAAGGCGTGATCAGATATATATTGACATCTGAGGACAGGTTAGTTCCCCGTGCGATTGCTATATTTTGTTATGACCTCTCTACACGTTCCCTAATCCCTCAACCCCGCTAACGTATCCTTGTCTAAGCCACATGGCTCCATATCGGCCAAAGTACGAGCCGGTCAAGCAAGCATACTATCCCGTCCTATGCCGAAGCATCAGAATTGCCGACAAGCTCATGGGTGCTGATATCACGTCGCCTGAGAGCCCATTTCGCAGAATAAATCAGGACTTGGCGTTTATATTTCTATGCAGAGGCTACATCGAGGAAGAAACTAAAATTTTTCAGCAATGCGTCGAGTCGGAAAGACTCCGAGAGGGTGATGCGTGGCCCTGAGGAACCGAGATGGCGACATGCCTCTCAACATTGGAGTGCGTGCGCAACGACCTGACAGTGTTGAAAGACTCGTCGCCCTGGGTCATGAAATAGACATTAATGCCAGATCATCAAACTTCGTACCAGTCTTACACCTCGCGATTATTTTAATCAAGGACAATAGAGACAGGTCTGTGACTGTTGCTCTGCTCTTGAGGTGCGAGAACATCGACGTTAACGCCTGAAGCGCGAGAGGCGACACGGCCCTGATGATCGCATTCTTCAAAAGTGACTACGATATATTGACGAGCCTTCTTGCCGTACCAGAATTGGATACGAGTTTTCGAGAGGCGGGGAATTTGTCGCTGCTTTTTCTGGCGATCAGGCGGAGCAACTTGGGAATGGTTTCATTCCTGGTCGACAATGGCTATTGCGACGCTTCTGAACAAGGGGAAGGCGTGAATGCCATCTTGCTTGCGGCCAGGCTCACTAGCGGAGCGGCGATACTAAAATACTTGGTTCAGAAAGCACCCGAGGGGGCACGCACGGCCTACAAACGGGCGCGGAAAAGTGGACGGCAGAGTGGCCAGGAAGATTCACAATGTCGGTGGATTCCTGGCTGAAACCGCCTAACGACTCCTCTTCCAAGGGTGAGGCCAGCACGCATCGGAAATGGAAGACACTATATGGTACAACATGGGCAACAGAGAATTCGGATACACAAGGGCTACCGGAGGGTGAGTTACCAAAGTATGAGCCATGGGAGGGTGAACTACTCCGCATCGGCGATAGACTGATTGGTGGATGAGGGATGAATCGAACAATTCTTGGTGGTTCGAGAGGGATGGCCCCCTATGGAGTACTGATATTTATTTCAGGTCAAGACCCAATATGGGTTTTGGGATAAAATTGACCCGCGGACCCTCTCATGATTGGAAAATCAGGTAAAATACATCCCCGAGAGTTACGCACGCCGCACTAGACCCTGATCAAACGAATATCAGATCAAACGAATGTCACATGCTCTTGTATACCCTTGGGCTAGTTATGCCCCATCTTGACTCGGCAAGACGTCGCAGGGGCGCCAGCCTCCAAGAAGCTGGCTGCATGGGACTTTGGGGGCTATCCGCCCATCTCACCAAGCTGCGCCGTTCGTTACATGCCCGGCTCCAACGCCAGGACCTCGTGGGCATAGCTATTGCTCATCCGTCGTCAAGATATCGGGCAAGATTCCGCTGCCCACATGTCTCGGCTAGTCTTAGCTCGATCCATGCCGGTATGTATGTCTCTTCTCACCGAGTTTCACTCCACGAGTTTCACACCCCGATACCAAAGGCGTTCAACCCATTAGCTCGACGCCGTTGCGTATGGCGCCGACGACGGCGCCCGTCTGGATGGCCTCGCCGCCGCCGCTGGCCACGCGGTGCTCGACGTCGGCCAGCGCGTCGAGCCACGTGATCATGACCTCGGGCCGCACCTCGAGCTTGGCCAGCTCCTCGGACAGTGCGGTGATGATGTCGGCCAGCGCCAGCCCCTGCGCCGCCTTGAGCGTGTTGATGGTCGACAGGCACGACGTCACGTCGGACGTGTTGAGGAGGGTGTGCATGATCTTCTTGATCGCGTCCGGCGGCGGCGCGGCCACGCATGTGTAGATCGTCTCCGTCGTGATGGTCTCGCGCACGATGTCCTTTTCGGCTGTCTTGGGCTTGCCGAGCTCGTGCAGCGGTGTGCCTGTTTTGACCGAGTGTTAGTGGTAAAGTCGTTGACGTTGGATTGGGGGTGGGGGACGCACTTGACGCGTGGCACGCCTGCAGCACGTTGAGCGCGCGGCGCATGTCGCCGCGGCTGAGGCGCACGAGCGACTCGGTGGCCTCGGGTAGGATGTTGACGTTCTCTTCCTCGACGACCTTGTCGACGAGGACGCGGATGTCCTGCTCCTTGAGCGGGCTGAAGCGGAAGCGCGTGCAGCGCGACAGCAGCGCCGGGCTGAGCTTGTGCGAGTAGTTGGCGATGATGCAGAAGCGCGTGTTGGCCGTGTACTTCTCCATGATGCGGCGCAGCGCCATCTGCGCCGTGTTGGTCATGGCGTCGGCCTCGTCGAGGATGATGAGCTTGTACGACGCCACGCCGCCGGAGCGGCCGGCCGCGGCCGGCGACGGGTTCACGGTGAAGATTTGTTTGGTGGAGGCGAAGGTCTTGATCTGCTCGCGCACCACGTCGATGCCGCGGTCGTCGGACGCGTTGAGCTCCAGCACCATCTGCCGCATGTTGTCGGTGCCGTAGATGCGCCGCGCGAGCGCGAGGATGGTCGACGTCTTACCCGTGCCGGGCGGCCCGTACAGCAGCAGATGGGGGAGCCGGTTCGAGTCGACGAACTTATTTATTGTTGCGAGAATGTCCTGGTGGCCAGACACGTCGTCGAGCGTTGCCGGGCGGTACTTTTCGACCCTGTGTGCGTGCATCAATCGTGTCAGTGGAATTCCCGATTCGGCGGGAAGGCGGTGGCTGCTACCATGGAAGGCTGTCTTCGGCCTCGACGGGCAGATTGGCGGCGCTGCGCTTGCCCTTGGCCGTGTTGTCGCCCGAGAACATAACATCCTTGGGTTGCGCCACAGCGTCAATGTCCATCTCATCTTCAAAGTCTGACATTTCGGGCAGTATTTTGTGGTGTGTGGTGTTTGGTAGGGCGGCTTGTGGTTTTTGGTCAGAGATCTGAAGACGTTACGTTGTCGCGGCGGTGACAAGACGACGCGTCAGGATGCGAAATTCCCGACGCGTTCTAAAGCCAGGCATTGCTTGCTAAAGTGGTTCGCCGAAAGAGCACTAGCCTGGCCAGGCCCCGCAATGACCAGGTTCAGCCACATCTAGCCCAGCCGTCAGCCCAGCCGTCAGCCACTGCCTGTCAAGCCACATTTGTCTTGGCTCTGTGTCCACACTGTACGACGACAAGCTGTCATTGACGGCAACCGCGCCCGGCATGGCCCTGCCAGAATTGTCATGAAATCTGGCACGTCTGTGCTGTGACTGCCGTTTACCGACGCTCCAATGTCACAGTCACGGCGTTATCTGGCAATTGATCTTCCGCCTCTCGCTTTTTCGCTTTTCATGCCAAACAGCGGAACGTTGCTGCTCTCACTAGCTCGGCCCCCGGACGCTGGTGGATTCGGGCCTCGGATGCCGAAGTGTGCGGCCCATCATCATTCGGCAGCTGGTTCCAGGCCGCGCATCCAGTCGTACGCCGTAGCTCGCTGAAGCCGCAGTCGGCAATCCAATCAGGCCCCAAAGCAAGCAGGCGGCAATCGCTCTGTCCTCACCCGCCACGCCTGCACTTTGCCCTGCGTTCTGTGAACCCCCCTCCCATGATCCATCCTAGATGCTGGAAGAGCACTGCTCTGTCCTTATTTCGGGAGGCCACTTGCCGAACATCTCGGCTTTACTTCAACCCCGAGTGCCCGCTGCATCATTCATCTCTCCTCTCTCTGTTTCTAATTTGCTCGCTTTTAGGTGCGTCGCCCGTGCTTGATTGCCTAGGTGCTGGTAGTTGGATAAGCTGATTGAGACCCTGTTGTCACTCGAGTTCGATCGGCTCCGTTGATCACCTCGGCTTCTGACTGGTACCTTCTTACCGAGTTCGATAGCGTGCCGAGTTGCGCCGTGTAACCCTTCAGCTGTTGTGGGGTTGTGCGGAGGACTGCGGTGCATTCACGGACGGTGCAGCGGCCCCCCTGCCCCGGGACCTGCTGCGTGCAGGTACAGGCTGGAACGTCCCACAGTCACATTGGACACCTTCGGGCGCCGGACGAGCGTCGACATCTAGCCCTCTACCGCCTCAACATACATGGTTATTGATCAATGAAGGAACCATTTCAAAGCATTTCGAGATGTCTATCACGGCGGAGTACATACTATTACATGCAGCCGAATGCTCAAACTCTAGGCGTGGCATTGGCCCCTCCTTGCCCCCCTCCCTCTTTCGTACAAGTGTTTGCGGCCTAGCTGCTCTTGGTCTGCAGGCCACAATGCAGCCGTCCTCAGTCTGCATTTGTGTATGGCCGTGTCTTACTGCTGGTCCGGATCCGCAGGCCGAGTCGTGGTTCGTGCCCAATGCCCCCGCGTATTTATTACGCCTACCGCCCTCCGCGCTCGGCCGTCAGCATGTCAAGCTCCTCCTCATGTCGTCACACGTCTCAATCTATCCCCCACCCTCCAAGACCCTACTAGAGTAGTTCTCTTTGTCCAGATATCTCCAAATCTTGATCTACCATGGGCAGCGTCTCCAACGGGACCCTGAACGGCTTTGCCGACCGTGCCAACCATGCCGCAAAGGAGAAGCCCATCATTCTTGGCCTCGCTTTTCCCTCTCCGGGACACATCCAAGGCATGGTGCAAGTGTCGACCCATCTCGTCTCCAAGGGCTACAAAGTCTTCCTCATCGGCTACGAGGACTACCAGACCTCTATCGAGAAAGGGGGCGCCGAGTTTATTCGCCACCCATGGCGCTGGGTCTTACCTGATCCCAAATCCACCGAGGGAATGAGTCTCCACGACAAGCTCGTCAGCAACCTGAAGTTTGTCTTTGTCGACGCGACACCGGCCGCCTTCTCCATTCTCAAAGACACTCTCGAGCGACTTCGCGTCGAGTATCCGGGTCGCCAGGTCATCGTACTCTACGAATCGCTGGCGCAGGGCGTCCTGCCCTTCATGTATGGCGCCCCGCTCCCCAAGGGCTTCGGCTCGATGCCCAAGGTCATCAACTTCAGCACCACCATGGACCTTTCGAGCGACCCCCTCGTTCCGCCTTTCGGCCCCGGGCTTCCATATAACCCGACCGAAGAGAACATTCAGGTCTGGAAAAACATCTACGACGCGAGGGTTCCGAGCGAGAAGGCTCTGAACAAGCACTACGATGACACCATGCGTCCTCTGGGCGCAACAATTAGCATGGAGGGTTGGCTCTGGGACACCTCGATGCGCGTTGGCGACATCACCCTCCTTCCCACAAGCGCGAGCACCGACTACCCTCGGCAAACTAAGAATCCCAAAATCCGCTACATCGGCGGCTTGCCCCTGAAGCCCATGAACCCCGACTTTGTATACCCGGGGTGGTGGTCAGAGATTACTAGCAACGCCGCACTCCCGGCGTCGTCTTCCGAGAAAAAGAAGGTCGTCATGGTCGCCCAGGGCACGGCCATGCTCGACTACAGCGAGCTCATCGTCCCAACCATCAAGGCGCTTGCCTCCCGAGACAACGTTATTCTGGTAGCGACACTAGGAAAGCGCGGTGCCTCAATCGCCCTAGGCGAAGGTGAGGATCCCCTCGCCGAGATCCCCGCCAACACAAAGGTCATCGACTACCTGCCCTACGACGCCCTGCTGCCGTACGCTGACGTGTTCATCTGCAACGCCGGCTACGGCGGCTTCATGCACGGTGTCATGAACGGCGTGCCAATGGTGCTGGCGGGCACCCAGGCAGACAAGGCCGAGGTGGCCGCGCGCGCCGAGTACGTGGGCGTGGCTGTCAACCTGCGCGCGACGAGTCCTACCCCCGGAGCGCTGCGTGCGGGAATCGACAAGGTGCTGAGCAACGAGTCGTACAAGAACAAGGCGGTCGAGCTCAAGGCAGAGAACGAGGCCATGGATGCCATGGGGCAGATTGAAAAGATTGTCGACGAGTTCACCGAGTAGTATCGCTCGGCGCGGTGGGAATAGGCCGAGAGCTTGAATATGTCTGTAGGTTGTGGTTGCGGTTGCGGGCGCACGCAAATGTCAGCGAGGCAAACAAGTAGACGACGGCCAGGTTAGGCTGGGCATTTATCGGGTCCAGGTAGGCCTGGTAGGATCTCGGAGGGGGGCTTTGATTGAAGTGTCCACATGTAATCGAATATAGTCTCTTTGAATTGAAGACGGCCTTATGCCCATTACATGGTAGTAGTTTGTGGTCATACATTCGGTTTATTAACCTAGGTCTAGTCCAAAAGGTAAGTAGCCGTGTCGTGGCCGAGTAGGTGCCTCTAAGTGCTTTTCCAATAACCAATCGTTAGAGAAGTGGGATGCTAAAGGCTGCTGCCAATTCTGCAAGGAGAGTCAACCAAACATATTGTCCAAGTCCTGCTCCGTGTATTCGTGTATTGAGGACTTATCGGCGTTTCCAAAAAAAAAAAAAAAAAAAAAAGGAGGGGGGGAGGGGAAGAGAATATAGTTATGCCGTGGCCGTGTGGGTGCCCCCAAATGCTTTTCACATTCCTAACCGCTAGGGAAATGAGATACTGACACGAAAGGCTGTTGCCAATCGCGCAGGAAGACTCCACCACACCCAAAGTTCAGGTCCTGCTCCATGTATCGAGGACCTATCGGCGTTTCCAAAAGAAGGGAGGGGGGAGACAGAAATCGGGGCCAGGCCCAACTTTCCATCCACAATCATGCAGATACCAACCGGAATTCCCATATCCTACAAAACGGGCCACAGGACGTGCCATTATCGTCTGTGTCTTCTTCTGTTCCTGGTTTCGGCTCGCTGTCGTTCCCGCTGGCCATATGCTACACTTGATCGCGGCATGTTGTCCCCCCTGAGTAACTCTGCAGCAAGCTCCCCGCCGGCGTCGAATGGCGGCAGCCGGCTATTTGGGTCCCTCTGCGCCTCTAGCCGCGCCTCTCGCTGTACTGCGCTCCAATTCCCACCGAGAGTTCTAAACGCTTGGATATCATCCCATGAACTGCGCCGACAACGGTTAGCCGCTGTCCTCTTCGCTTGATGCAGTTGTGTTCCTTGTTTCTTGGTTACTTGTTGCACTTACGTGTCAATTATCTGACCAGCAGCACGTGCAGGAACCACGTGGTTGGTGTGGACCCATTAACTGAAGTCATCCAGATCCCACATCTGGAAGACTACAACTCGCCGAGCCTTGGTATACCAGATGTTTGTGTGTATGACTCTTGGCATGTGTAGTGCAATGTAAGCGTCGAACTGGAGCGTTCCGGCGTCCGTGTTTTGAGCAAAGAAGGCGTCTAGGTGGAGAATTTTCTAGACCAGCTGACAAACGACATGCCGCCTCTCGTGGAATAGGTTTAGATCGTCTTCATCAAACTCCGGGGGGCTGAGAGCCGGCGTTACCGCTCGCTCGGGTCTTGGTTTGGCCCAGTTGGGGACAATGACGAGTGGTTGTTAGCTACTGCTGCTCGCCATACTAATTATATTCAGATCAGCCCAGCTGGGCCATAGGGTCATAGAAGTAGCAAGAAGTCTCGAGGGTTTACCTTGATCATTGACTGGTGTGTCTCTCAGAAAGTCGTTCTGGTTGGGCAGGTAGTCTTCAGGGAGACCACAATCTGCTGGCTTCGCGAACGGCTTCGGATCCAGATATTCTGACTGTAAGAGTGGAGGAGTTCTCGTCAATGGCTCTCGCAGTTTGAAAATTCAATAGCTTGGTTCTCGGTATTTTTGTATATTTTATATTGGTACTAGACAGGTCTAGTGGGCACGTGGAAAGTTGCCCTCAGGAAGTATGGCCCATCATTGGATCTGCACATATGACCTTCAAGAGCCACATGCTGTTGCCCCTCAAGCTTCAAGGGTACTGATGATGGTAGAAATCTGTTTCTATATCTGTACTCCAATCAACATTGAAGAGTACAGGGTAAGGTCTTCAGATCAACGTGTCAGAGAGTCTTGTAGAAGACTACACTGACTGTGTCACCGGGTTCTTTGAAACAAGTAGTGAATAGAGAAGAGATTTGAAGCAGAAGTGATGCGATCAGTCATGAAACTGCGAGGCTCTTGGGCATTTGATAAGGCAGTATGATGTCTCTTCAGACGGCAGAACCACAGCTTAACCACGGGTGCTAACACGCATTGCCTGAAAGGCACGGCCAAGTTTGGCACCAAGTTTCAGTTGTTACGCGGAAGATTACTCGGAAACTACCCTCGATCAATTCAAGTGTTAAATCTAGGAGTTTAACTTTTTCCATTACAATTTCGGGGCAGTCGAGTTGCGCTCTTTGCCAAAACCAGATATCCAACTCGTCGGCTGGGTAGTAGAAAGGGGGCGGGTAGTCGGCGTGCGTGCCGTCCCAGACATGCAGCTCGTACTCGTCGTTCTCAGCCGCCCCCGTAAACCGAAGAGTTGACACGGCATGTGGCAACAATTCCCTTGCCGTCATCCAGTCATCACTGTCGGCAGACGTAAATATCTGGCTTACGGCCTCCCGTGCCTCGGACAGCAGCGGGTGGGCACTGGAGCGCGACTCGCGAACGAGATGTGAGAAAGACTCTTCCAAGGTCCAGAGCAGCGGTCTAGGGACATGGGCGGTTTTTTCCCTGGCGACTGTCGCAACGGATGACGACGAATATGCTTGGCCCGGCTGGATCTCTGAATTACGTCGAGACTGAATGCCAGCCAAATACCCAGATACAGCCGACTGAGTGCGGTTGATCAGCGCAGCAGCGTGCGCGAGTGCAAGGGAATGTCCCTCGAGGAGCTCGACAAGCTCGGCCGCCACCGACTCCTCCCACTGGACTCCTCCCACTGGACTTGCACCGTTATTCTCGCTCGCAAAAACGCAAATTGCCAGCACCGTCGACATGGATCCCACTTCAATGGTCACAGCCGAGACTCGATTCCGCACGAGCTTGGCCACGGCAGTTGTCGTACGGGAGGTGACCAAGATTCGGCCGCTGCGAGGTATCATGGTAGCTATGGCCGCCGTCTCATCAGTGTCATTCACATGGTCCAGGACTACGACCCAGTCCCGGTGGCCGCGAAGCCAGCAGCAGACGAGAGCGACAACGTCGACCCGCTCGGACGGTCCCTAAAAACGGTGCTCGACCGCCGGCTTGGCCTATGGCGTGGCGTGAAGTGGGTCTACTAGCGTGCGTTTTTGATGCTACCTGGCTACCTGTGAGTGTTTCGCTGTTTTTTCTTTTGTTCCCAGTCGGATGACTGGTTTTACTTTAGCCGGTGCGCTCCAAAAAGTATGTTGAGCAGGCCACTGTCTGGTCGTCACAGCGCCACTAATGATGATTAGAGGGGCGCAAGTAACAGAGATCGGGGGTTTTGCTTCATAACAGAACATGCGGGTGATCATCCGGTAACAATGAGGAGTAATGATTTGGTAACGGACTCAACGGTATTGCTTCGACGTACCATACCTCACCCCCCAACGGATCACCCTAGCAGCGGATCACCTGTTTACACCAAAACACCAAATATTTGAACAACCACAACGTAGTCAATTGTGAAGCTATTCACAAGCAGAGAATTGAACTAGTTAGGTAATTGCATGTAGTTTAATTTTAACGTGGATTTGTCAATCCAAAGACCCTACTCTTTTTGCTGCATTACTGCGAATGAACTTGAAATTGACTCCAAATTAGCTTCCTTACATTTTTCCGCCCCTACATTTGAGTGTGAACAACTTCTTGTATAACTACTATGTCTCAATATACTAAAGATACTATAGTCAATGCGTTCCTAGACGTCACTGAAAACAAGCTTTCTATTCGTCAATCGGCTTAAAAGCATGGAGTTCCCTATACAACGCTCAACAGGCGGCTCAACGGCGTCCCTACCAGAGAAGAGGTTCTACAGGAACAACGGAGGCTCACAGAGCCTCAAGAAAAGCGACTAATTGAGTGGACCGTCAACCAAGAAAGACTGGGCTTTGCACCGAGCTACTCAACAGTAGCTAGTATAGCTACAAAGCTCTGTCAACTTGCAGGGGAACCAGACCCTGTAGGAAAGAACTGGATTTCCAGCTTCAAAGCCCGACATCCCGACATCCAAGCCAATGTAATCAAGAGAATGGAAGCCGCTCGTTTTAACGGGTTCACTCCCAAAGCCGTCAACTGGTATTTTGATATCAGGGAGAAAGAATACAACTGGATCAGGCCGGAGCTCACCCTCAACGTTGATCGAATGCATTAGTGCCGGGGGTCTTGCCCTTGATCTAGGTATTATTTTTAAAGGAAAAGACCTTCAAACATCCCGGTCTCAACAGGAGATGCAGAAGATCTGCAATTGGCGCTTTGTTTCTACAGAAAAGGGGTGGACTGACAACAAAATAGCAATCTCCTAGCTTGAGGATATTTTTATTCCACAAACTGACAGGCTCCTGAACTACGCATATGAGGCTCGTCTCATTATTCGTGATGGCAACAGCAGCCACACAACTGTAAGAGATAAGTCCCTTGCACCCTTTGGTCCAGTTATCTCACAATATATGTACAGGACGACTTCATGACGATATGCGGCATGAACAATATATATCTCTGCTTTCTACCGGCCCACTCCTCTCACGGCTTACAGCCTCTCGACAACGGGCCCTTTAACTCTGTTAAAGCCCTCTATAGACGTGAGCTAGCTAAGTTGGCTAGTCTGATCGATGCAGCACCTGTCGACAAGATCAACTTCATTCGTTGCTCTAAGGTAGCCAGAGAGGAAGCATTGACAGAAAGAACCATCAAATCGTCATTTAGGACCACTAGAAACTGGCCTGTCAATAGAAAAAAGGCCCTGAACCACCCAGAGATTCAGCAAGACAGAGCGAGGACCCCTGAGAAGGTTGTCAGCTTAGGGACCCCTAATACACCGAGTACAGGGCGTCAAATCCGGGATTTTAGCAAAGGAAGTAGTCCCCGGACTAGATGGAAGTTCCAGAAGGCTGCCAATGCCGTTGAGAAGCTTCAGACCGAATTGGTTCTCAAGCAGAACCGCATTGAAGCCCTTGAGGCTGAATTGGAACGCCCGAGGCCAAAGAAACGAAGGAAAATTCTGAACCCAAATAAGCGGTTCATGGGCCTCAATACTATATTATTAGGTGGTGAGGTTCCCGTTGAGCTTCAGGTTGAGCTTCAAGCAGAGCCGGAACCTGAAGAGATTGAAGATGAAGATGAGGACGAAGATGACGACGATGACGAGATTCCGGCTGCGCGAAGGACCCGATCTGACCGTAAAACACGCAAGCCAGCTCGCTACAATAATTGAAAATTTAACTAGCTACATTTTACTGTATTTTGCTTGCAAATAGCTTCAAAATTGACTATGCAGTCGTTGTTCAAAGCTGTAGTGTTTTGGTGCAAAAAGGTGATCCGCTTCTGGGGTGATCCGTTGGGGGGTGGGTTATGGTATACTATTCAGGACGCAACGCAAACGACAACGGCAAGTTCATATCAGAAGTAGAAGAGCGAAACAGCCTGGTACTTGATGAGGCTGGCACGAAAAAGATGGTGGGCGAGCGATATGTGGATCGCTTCCTACGCCGCAACCCGGCGGTAAAAATGAAGAATTCGGCCTTGTCGGAATCCTCTCGCGTCAGAGGCTCTACTCGTGAGGCTTACGAAGACTTCTATAAGCGCCTGGACTTCCAGATCAAGGACAAAAAGGTCAAACCGGCCAACATCGCCAATACGGACGAGCACGGTATGTAGGAGCTTGAGACCCGGGCCGGAAAGGTCATCGGAAGCTCCCTAACGAACCGAACCTACCTATAAAGCTCTAATGTAACTGCCTGGGTCATAGTTATCGAATGCGGCACTGTAGGGGGTATTCGTTTAAAGCCCATAATTATATTTACCAGGGCTAGTCTTCTGTAAGAGAAGGCAGGTACGCCGGATCAAGGTGGTCACAATGCAGGTAAGAAGGTGGGCGAGCAACGAGTAGTATTGGTGTGAGACTTCAACCTGGCCCTCGCAAAGGAAGGTGGGCGAGGGCCACTGTTTATATACGTGCTCAGGGGCTCAGGCCCGGGGCGCCATGGCGTGGCGTAGTGGCTTGTGCCAACTGGCAGTGTTCCAGCCAGTTGGTAACAGGTGGTGAGCGCGCACCCTGTGCGCGCGGCTGGTGTTTGGGTTGTCCTTTCCTTACATCTTCAAGGGTAATACTTTCCCGATGACTTCAGCCTGGAAGCCGAACTCCCGGATTGGAAGTATGACTACTTAATAATAGGCTGGAGCAACGCCAAAATCGCTTCAAAATGGCTCAAGGAGGTCTACCTGATCCAAACAAAGCCCCAAACGCCGGGCGAATAGCGTCTATTAATCCTTGACGAACATTCGAGCAATGTAGACGAAGAATTCATATTGACGGTATAGAGAAACAAGGTCCAGTTTGTCTTTCTGCCCTCATATACATCGCAAAAGTCCCAGCCTCTCGATCGCTCAGTCTTTTCACCTTTGAAGAACTATTTTAGGCAAAACACCAAGGCCCTCGCGGGCTTCACTTCGTCGGCGCCTATCAACAAGCAACGGTTCCTTTTTTGCTATAGAGATGCCTTGGCCCGGGACATGAACGCCCGTAACATTATCTCGGGCTTTAGGAATACGGGGATCTCGCCGTACAACCCGGCCCGTATACTGGATGATCCCGAGGCGTTCGTCAACGAAGATGCCCTCCCGGCCAGGCCTTCAACGCCGCCGACGGCGGCCCCGAACGACGACGACAAGCTCCTCAAAACGCCGCATGGTAGTCAGGACATTAAGAAGTACCAGGATAGTATTCGGAATGCCCTCAGTCCGGCTTACCGGCGTGTGAGGGCCTTATTTACCAAGGTAGGGAGGTCCCTGGATCTGAAGAATACGGAGATCGCGTCTTTGAAGGCACAAATTACGCATCTCACGACAGAATTAGAGGCTTTAAAGCCTCGCACGCGTAAGAGGGTATACAAAGATGGAAATGAGAAATTTGTACGTATTTAGGACATTGAAAACGCCCAAAAAGCCTGGCAGATGCCCCAAAGCGAAAAAGACCGGCCCGGGCACCAAATCAGCCACATGCAGTCGAAGATGCCCGGGAAATAATCGCCCCTTGGCTCAAGCGATACAGAGAGGCTGAAGAAGAGGATTGAGTACTTTTTGGCTAGTTATTTTCTGCAGAAATGGATGATTTGCGCCCGTGGAGTGGGTATGGGCATGGTGTGGGTCAATTTCGTTGATGGGTGATTTCGTTGTTGGGTCAGCTCTTCTAGTAACAAAGTTGAGATGGTATTTAGTCTAGTATGCTAGTAATATTATGGTACATAATATATGCCAGCACCCAGAATATACCGGTACATGTGAGATCAATGAACACAAGGAAATGGTGGCAACAATTGTTGATTATTCTACACAAGTTCCGGAAGTCTAATCACCATTTTTTTCTGTCGCATCTAACATATGCCCATTTCCGCTTTTCCCTCTCTGATCATACGATATCTAACACCTGTGCCTCCAGTCCATTCACCCACTCAACCCGCTTTTGCCTATGACTATTTTCAAACTTGCTGATCCTCCTGAACTGCTTCGTCGGCATCCACTCCAAAACCAGGCCCCAGACAAACGATCCCTGAGCGTCCCACATGAGCGGAACAACAACCATGTCGCCTGACCTCGGCTCGTCCGCATCCAATTTGGCGATGCCAATCTCTTCCTTGTCCTCATCACCTCTACCCGCCAAAATTGGACCGTACAAGCCCTTGCCCTGGAATGCAACCTCCGTCTTCACCAAGGCCCTAATCCGCAACGACGCACACCTCACCTCGCTAAACGGTGCTTCGTCCGCTGCAAGCGCCACCCAACAGCCTACTACCCCTCTCTACCTGCTTCAAATTTGCCCCCGCCGCGGCAGCGGTCTCTTCTAGCCAACTTGCCTCAATCAAGCCATCAACGCTGGCCCACGACCAAGACGGCGCGCGGTACCCACGCTCCAAAGCAGATCGAACAACAAGCTTCCCCTCCACAGCCTAGCCAAGTACTGATCGCCCGTCACGCTCGCATACTGCTCTGCCACACCGCCCACCGCCGGGAGCTTATCGTCCTCGCGCGAGATCTGCCGGAGCGTGTACATGAACACGATGCTCACCAAGCCTGTCTCGCCAAGCTGGTGGGCCTTGTCGGCTTCCGAGTCCTGCAGAATGCAAAGGGCATCGATCCACAGTAGCGCTGCCCTAGGGAGCGGGTCACGGTGATGGCGTCGCGGACGGTGGGCGGGAGGATGGAGAGGGGAATGCCGTTGCTGACGTGGGCGGGAGGATGGAGAGGGTAATGCTGTTGCTGACATAGTTGTCGATGTTGGACCTGTTCGTCATCGGCTGCGAGCTGCTCAGACGTAGCTCAGAGCGAGGTAGGGGGTGCGTTGCTCCCCACCGGTGAGCGTGAGGCGAGGGTTGTTCGTATCCGAGCAGTCGATCACGCAGTCCGGAAGGAGCGTGGTCGCGCTAGGTTGGGGGCAGCTCTCAGGTGTTGAGACATCTGTGATGCGTTCCCGCGCTGCGATGTACTTGGCTGCTAGATCGCAGGCTGTGGTGTAGAGGATGCAGCTCTGCGTAGAGAGAAGCCGCAGCAATCGCCTTTGACTTTGACGCTCAGTTTCCTTTCCCCGTGAGGCGTGCAGTCGGACACCTTCCCTCGCGATACTTGAATTGTTACCTTCCCTCGCGATACTTGAAAATTGTTACCTTCCCCGTGGTACACTTCCGAAGGAGGATCAGATGGCACCAGTTGCAGCCTTGCTTCGCAGCCGCGTGAACCGCCTCCCAAGTTGTCGTATAACAAAACTGCTTGATGTGGGGTTGGATTCCATCCGAAGCTGTTGCGGCCCCAAGCAGCGCCTCCCAACTCCGTGGCGAGAAAACCGTTTCCCAGTCGGCCTGGCAGACAAGCGATGCAGGATCTAGAGTGGCCTCCATGCTTCGCGAAATGCTTGCGGATTTTGCGTCTGCCTGAGTTCAAAGCATCTGCGGTTGGCCTGACGCTGCTTTCTCTCTGCGGCTGTATTCATTTAAAAAGCTCAACACTACCTAACGTTAATAAATACCTTGAGAGACGCGAACGGCGGTGGAGTGACACACTAATGGCAAAAGTTTCAGCCCGCCTTGACAGCTTCCTCCCACTCGAATGCCGACTAGGGGCAAAAAACGTGCAGGGTGTTTAAGCTCGTCGCCAACCCTGAAGCGGGGTTAGAGGTGGCATGGGGTTGGCCGCACACAACCACTCAAACACCTGTCCCAAAAAGTCCATCCGCAACACCTCCTTCTGCCCATCCACTACACCGCCATAGCCCCCAACCCAACCACCACCACTCCGCGGCCCCGGCCGCACAAACAATGACAACCACCAACCCATTCAACACCACCAACCCATCCAACACCACCACCTGCAGCCTCTTCCTCGGCGGTGACGGCTCATCTACCACCATCGGAGTGACAATAGTGGCAAAGAGCAAGAAATTGGTAGTGGTGCAAGACTTCAGACTGGCCTGAGCCGAAGAGGTGTCTGAGGGCCGTGGTCTACATGCGTTGAGCTTGTCCCCAACCGACATGCCGCGTTACTCTTCCTTTCGCAGCACGGCATAGCTGACCGCTCTGGAGCTACTGTAGGCGGCGTAGAGAGGCTGTATTCTATATTACCGTGAGAGTGCCGAAAGTTTCTCGAACAGCGATTAGCCAGTTTGCGTTCGTGTCGAAATGGACTCGAGGGACTGGTCGATCGGATGAACCTCGGACAGGTTAAGCCGTGAAATGCCTCTTTGCTCTGTCGTGGTTGTGTCAGGAAGGAGCAATTTCCCAATTAGTAGATATAACGCGTAAGCTGTATAAGGAAAGCGCCGCAGGCCAAGAGCGTCGCAGGCACTAGGGGCCCCAGGGGGCTTGCCCCCTAGAAATCCAACAATTAGACCATGAACATCAGAACATTAAATTATCATGAGAATTTTTCTGGTATTGAGGGGCTAGAATAGCTGTAAATCCGTTGTCCCGAAGTTCAGCCAGGTAGAGTCCTTACTTCCGAAGTTTTATTATATCGCTCAGGCTACCGAAGTAGAAGACCCTCGCCGCGAGGCTCCCTTTGTCCTGCTTGTCAAAATAGACAAGCATGACGGCCCAGCTTGCTTCCCTAAAGATGAGGCTATTCCGAGAAATTCGGCGCCGATCTTCCAGTCCTTGCAAGACTCCCAGAGCGGTAATGCGGCCTGCTCTCGCCGTCAGTTCCCCGTTACTATTACGTACATCACAGTTCACAAGTCACAAGGAGCTACGCTTGACAGGGCTATGCTTGATATCTTTGAGCGGGATTTCTCTTTGGGGCTTACTTATATAGCTACCTAACGCGTTACTAGTAGTCTACAGGGCTTAATGTTTGACGTTCCTTTTGCCCTGGACTAAATCTAGGTCAAGAATGACGTCACAAGTGCCTTGCGTGCGGCGGATTACTAGCGCCGTGTTGACTAGCAGAATCGGCTTTTTCTGCTTCAATACCATGCTGTTTACGTTGTAATGACTCTTCTGTGTTTTTTACTTTCAACACAGTTGACACAGTTGATATAGTTGACACAGGCGAGTCAACCTTTGGCTACGAGTTATGGCACAAAGCGGGGTTGCCCTTACTAATTTCTTAGTAAAATGGCCCAGCCACCCTTTCCCTCGAGCGAAGCGAGGACAGCCCGCGGCAGGCGCCGCCGGAGGCATCCGTTCAGCTGACCCCTTCCTGACTGGTCAGGCAGCTTATTTTACCCGGCGTATCTTGACTGGCTCTCGTCGACGTGCATGCCTCGAGGGTCACAAAGCCTTGGCCAATGTCGCCGCTCAAGTCCACTGTGAGATTCGTGAACAGCATAAGCCCCGGTCTGGCCGCCGTCGCCGCCAGCATTAAGCATGATCATTGTGGTTCTCCGTCAGTCCGCCTTCACTTTTAAGGGGAGGGGGCGACGATGTCAGAAGGAGAAGAAATGGTATTTGCGATCTTCTCAACACAGCGCGTCAATCGTCGTGCAACGGGGCAGAGGGAAAGAAATGCGGGGTTCCCTGTCCATCCTCTGCTAGAGCCTTCCCTTCCACACCGAGAGCCTCGCTGTCGCGAATCTCCCCGTGGCTGAGTGCAAGCAGTGGTTGGTCTTGGCATGAATCTAATTCGTTCCAATATCGCCACCTACCACCCCCTTTATGCCACCGCCCGACAGCCATATCAATACATTTTCGGGAGAGGTCCATGTCCCCTCCCAGCCAGAGGATCAGGTCATCTTGCAGGTGTGGGAAGTTAGTGTTGATGCTGATTGTCTGGTTTGGTTGGCGGTTTCTTGGTCCGGGTAGCGCCGGCGCCGGTCGCGGTGGCAGAGTTGGAGGACGGCGCACTTGATTTCGACTCGGACTTGGCAGACAGCCCCAGATGACGATGTGTGTTTATTGTTCCGTCCAGGCTGGGTGGCAACCGAGGTCTAGTCCAAGCTGAGAAGGAGGTCCGGGGAAAGCGGGCTACGCCGAGAGGGGCCCCGGAGCGCCAAGCCGCGCCCAGCATTTAGCCCCTGGACCGCGGCTCAACGCGCTCCGTCGGTCAATGAGGCAATGGCACGGCTGGCAATAAAAGCGCCTGCGCGCGACCGCGTCGTCGTCTTGTTTGTGTTTCTGCAGTTCAACTCGTCTTGTCTTCAGCTTCTTGTCTTCAGCTGAGACATCGGAATGCGTCTCGCTGCCCAGCTCCTCCCCCTTGCGGCGCTCGCCGCCGTCACCACGGCTAGCCCGCGCCACCACCAAGTCCCCGCGGGCTTCGTCACGGTCGAGGGCGAAAAGTTCAAGCTGGACGGCAGAGACTTTTACTTTGCAGGCAGCAACGCCTACTACTTCCCCTTCAGCGGCGTGCGTAACTCTTGCTCGCCGGCACATCCCTCGGCCACGCACTAACAAGCACTGTCGAACTGCAGGACCAAGGCGATGTCGAGAAGGGCCTGACGGCGGCCAAGGACGCCGGCCTGACCGTGTTCCGCACGTGGGGCTTCAACGACAAGAACACGACGCACGACCCCAAGGGCCTGCCCAACTACGGCGGAGAGGGCGCTGGAGGCACCGAGGTTGTCTTTCAGTGGTTCGCCAACGGCACGTCGACCATTGACGTGTCGCCGTTCGACAAGGTGGTCAGCGCGGCCACCAAGGTCGGCACCAAGCTGCTGGTCGCGCTGACCAACAACTGGGCCGACTACGGCGGCATGGACGTGTACACGGTGAATCTGGGGGGCAAGTACCACGACGACGTGAGTTTCTGTCCTGAGGCATTGTTGATTTGGAAATCAATGCTGACAGCGAGGCAGTTCTACACGGTACCAAAGATCAAGGACGCCTTCAAGCGCTACGTCAAAGCGATGGTGACCCGCTACAAGGACTCGCCGGCCATCTTCGCGTGGGAGCTGGCCAACGAGCCGCGGTGCGGGGCCGACGGGACGCGCAACCTGCCGCGCAGCGCCAGCGGCTGCGACTCGGCGGTGCTGGGGGCCTGGATCGCCGAGATGAGCGCGTACATCAAGAGCCTCGACGCTAACCACCTGGTGACGTGGGGCGGCGAGGGCGAGTTCAACCTGGCCGGGGGGTCGGCCGACTGGGCGTACAGCGGCAAGGACGGCGGCGACTTCGACCGCGAGATTGCCTTGGCGTCTATCGACTTTGGCGTCTTCCACTCGTACCCGGACTGGTGGACCAAGACGGTCGAGTGGACCAACCAGTGGATCCGCGACCACGCAGCGGCTGGCCGTAGAGCCGGCAAGCCCGTGGTCCACGAGGAGTACGGCTGGCTGACGCCCGAGGCGCGGCTGCAGAACCTCGGCACCGTCAACAATGCCAGCCGCGTCGATGTCGTTGGCGGCTGGCAGAACATCAGCCTGGCCGAGAAGCTCGCCGGCGACATGTACTGGCAGTTTGGCTTCTCGGGCTTCTCGTACGGCCGCAACAATAATGATGGTTTCACCATCTACCTCGACGACCCCGAGGCCCAGCCGCTCGTCTACCAGCACGCCAAGGCCGTGCAGAGCCTGAACCGCCGTCGCTGTGTCGGGGACAAGTGAGGCGGGTGCGGATCTGTACTGTAGACAGTTGTGATCAGCGGAATCCAGAAGAATTTGAGTTGAGCTAGGACACTTGAAGTCTTGTGACTCTTGCCGCTAATCAACCAAGGGCTGGTCGTCGATAAGAGAAGAATAACACGAAGCGCCGTTGTCTATGCGTCACTGTCCTGCGGCTTGCACGTCTCCGCGCCACGAACCAACTCAAGTGATGCTGCGCCGAGTTATAAACATGCTTGTAGCTGAAAGTGAAAGCAATGCAAGATAAATCGCTCTTAAGTCCTAAGCTAATGCGCGCATCAAGCACCCATTGGCTGCCATTACCTCCGCATTATGTGACGCGTATAAAGCCAAGCCGGCCCAAGCCGGGGAGATGGCTGATGTGCCGTTCCACACACGATTCAAAAACGAGATTCCCATGCAGATGGCCCAGATGGACGCGGCGCTTCCCGGCAGCCAAGCAGCTCACCGGGAAGTTGCTGTCTAAACACCCACTTGGCGGCCCCGCGAGTGCGACGCGGAGGCGCTCGTGATAGGCCTCGCATCCCGCGTTCGGGCGCGGCGCCAACTTGGCAAGCGGGCAGTGCCTGCGCAACAGGGCACAAGCCGGAAAGGGAAAAAAAAAGAAGGAAAATACAAAAGGACACACTCTTCTCCTCCGCCGCGAGAGGGGCTGCGTTTTCTTTTGCACTCTGGCGGTCCGGTCTTGTCTTGTCTTGCTCGCTCAACACCAGACTAGGCACCTCACGACAAGCACGACACCACCAGACAGGCACCCCACAACAAGTCACGACACTACTAGCCCTACCCGAGCACCATGTGGTCCAAGGTCCTCACGCTGTCGCTCTGCGCGTTCGCGGCTCTCGCGTCGGCACAGTACACGGGGCCGTGCTCGCAGTCCAACTGCGGCGCGTCGGGCCAGGTGTGTCCGCGGGGATATCTCTGCGTGCCGTGGCCTAGCTTCGATCCCGCGCTGCGCAAGGGCTGCACTTGCAGCACTGCTTAGGATGGGGTTGGTGATGGATGAGGTGAGAATTAAACTGAGTGGTGGCTGTTGGCTGTGATGAGAAGTGCTGACAGTGGCGAAGGGAGCAGCGTCGACACGTCGTCAGGGCTTTGGATGGGGTGGGCTGGGAGATGATGGACGTTGCACAACATGTGGGATATGTCTATGGACACGGGCATGGCTATTTGCTTGTTTGTTTGCTCTGTTACCTTGGTTCACGACCACGCCGGCCGTCTGTATATAGAGCCGCTCCCGTCTCTTCCCACCCCTTGCCCGAGTTGAGGAAGACATTCCTGAACTGCCTTAATTCTTGGCGTGAATTCAGAGTTTTTCTCGGGATGTCGACTGCATGTTCCTAATACCCATTCCTCATCTTCTGACGACTCTACTATTCTTTGGACAGACAAGGCTGGAGGAATGCACCCTGCAGAGGATGATCGGTGTGGGTCTCCGACTCTACATGCACCCCCGCCGTGGTGTAAACATACCCGCGATGCGCCCCCTTTTCGGAGCCTGGCTGAGCAGATATAACCCGTAGAGCCCCCTCTAGCCAGCTTCGCCCTCCGCCCCCCCGAGTCACCCCTCAAGCAACCAGTCATCCAGCTGTCCCCCGAGTCACCTCTTAAGCAACTAGTCATCTAGCTGTACCCCGAGTCACCCCTCAAGCAACCAGTCATCCAGCTGTCCCCCGAGTCCCCCCTCAAGCAGCCACTCATCCAGCTATCCCCCGAGTCCCCCCCCTACCCCCGAGTCACCCCTCAAGCAACCACTCTTCCACCTGTCCCCATGGCATCACCCCCCAGCACCCTGACCACAGGCCACGCCGTCCGGCTCGCGGCACGCTCGAAAGCCTTGACGGGGCCAACAGCGGGACTCGCGCCATCATACTTGCAAGCCAATCTGATCGTGCTCCCATCGCAGTACGCAGCCGACTTCCGGCTGCTGTGCGCGCGCAACCCGGTCCCGTGCCCGCTGCTCGCCGAGTCGTCCCGTCCGGGCGCCTTCCGCTCGCTGCGGTCGTACGTCTACCCACCTGATAACACCAACGCCCCCTCCCCGTCTCCACGGCCGCTAGTCCTCGCAAAAGACATCGACCTGCGCACCGACGCGCCGGCCTACCGCGTCTTCCGCGACGGCCACCTCGTTGCCCCCACGGACACGGACCCGACCGACATCACCGCCGCCTGGCACGCCACCGACCACGTCGCCTTCCTGATCGGATGCAGCTTCAGCTTCGACGCGGCGCTGCACACCGCCGGCCTCGCGCCGCGCCACGTCGCACAGAACCGCAACGTGCCCATGTACCGCGCGGCGCGCACCCCGCTGCTCCCCGCGGGCGTGTTTGTCGGCGGCGTGCACGTCGTCAGCATGCGGCCGTACCGCGCAAGCGAGATTGAGCGAGTGCGCGCCGTCACGCGGCGGTTCGGGGCTGCGCACGGCGAGCCGCTGGCCTGGGGGTGGGGTGCGGTTCAGGCGTTGGGGATTAAGGATATGCAGTGCCCGGAGTGGGGGGATGCGCCGTTGACGGGCGGTGGGAGCAGGGTTTTTGGGGAGGGCGTTGAGGAGGACGGGGAGAAGTACGTGCCCGTGTTTTGGGGGTGTGGCGTCACGCCGCAGGAGGCGGTGGTGTGTGCGAATTTGAGCGGGACGGTCATGGGGCATGCGCCGGGGTGCATGGTTGTGTTGGATGTAACAGACGAGGAGGTGTTTGCTGTGAAAGGGATGTAAAGGGGGGTTTAGGACGTTGTTGGTGTAGCAAGTTGCCCACTCTTCAACAGGTAGCATATAGGTTCGTCACTGGGCGCATCGCTGGGAATCGCCGGAATCGCTCGAATCGCTGAAGTTCAAGATCGGGCATTTCTGAAGCCAAGTTAGCACAGCCGCGATGATAAACAATGAAGGAAATGAAGCCTTACTAATGCATCGATTGATTGAAGCTGTTGGCGATGATTTTGGTGGTGGTTTGGTTGACAAGGAAGGTGGCAGTGGAATACGAAGTTGCAGCGGAATTAGGTTGCGTTCTGGTAAAAAGTGGAAAATTATTCCGTACGTAGCGGCAGAATTTTTGTTGTACAAATATTTCTAGGATTAGGGTTATGTATGGAGGAATACAGTGGATGGGGACGATTTTACAGTGGCCGGAGACGCCCCCTTTTTTTTGAGAGCGTTTCTATACACTGTCAAATCGTTGCCGTGCACTGTAGTTCACCATATATAACCCTAACCCTGGTCGCTCCCTCCAGTACATCCAACATTCTGCTGCGCAGTAATTTACCACTTTTTACCACAACGCAACCGAACCTTACCTTTCCACTGTAACCGACCTTCCACAACCACTAAACAACATCGTCGGCACTACATTCAATCAATGCATCGGTATGGCTTCATTTCTTCATCGTTTACTTCCTCGCGTAGCACTAACTAGCGATAGGAATGGCCACAGTTGAAGATTTGAGCGACCTGGGCGACCTCAACGATCTCAGCGGTGCGCCCGATGAAAATGCGCCGCCGCCGCCGCCACTCTCAAACCCACCGGCCGGCCACAAGCTTTTGAACACCAAATATGACACCCTCGATGATCTGGTTGACGATTTGAACGAATGGGCCGTTTCTGCGCAGTTTAATACGTCTAAGCTACGAAGCGCCAACTATGCCAAAGACTTCGGGGCAACCAGGGTTGATTTTGGCTGTCATCGAGGCAAAATTCGTAAATCCTGGGCTACAACGAACAACACCATCGCCGACCGGCGAGACTGCGCGTGGCAGGCAGTAGCCAAAGCGCTTAATGCTAACGACCGGAAATGGACCTTTGAGCTTCTTCCTGAGCATGCTAGTTATATAAATTATCCTCCTGTTGACTATGACACCTTTTAGTGAAGCCGAGAAAGATCTTTGGCCCTTAGTATAAGGCCGTTATTGCGAGCTATATTGACAGGCCATCGGTCCTCAATCGCGATATTGCAAAGGAGCTTCGTAAGCAATTTCCTAACCTTATTTTCACCCGTACACAGCTACGGCACTGCCGCTGGCGCTTTCGGAAGCTTGTGACTAAGGGATATACGCCATTCCACGCCACGATGAAGTTGTTTGACGATGATGGGGTCAATTACGATATCAAATGGTCGGGCCCCGGCCGAACCAAGCTAGAGGGACTTTTTTGGGTTCCTAAGTAGTGTGAAGAGCAGTGGATACGCTCCTATTGGGTCTAGTTATATAATAACACATACGAAACAAATAATAAGGGCCTCGCTCTTTTCTAGGTAGTTATTAAGAACAACCTGGGTAAAGTAGTCAGCTGTGCCTTCAGTTTGATTAATAACGAACGTGACGAAGGCTTCAACTGGCTGATGGAGCGGGTCAACGCATATCGCCAAAGAATCGGCGCGCCACCTCCCCAGGTCATAATTACCGACTTCGAGGCTGCGATGAGGAATGTAATTGCCCGGGCTCAGGCGCAGGCTCAGGGCCAGGGAGGGCGATAATAAGCGGAAAATAACGAGGAGGATAATGACGATGATGAAGAGAATAACGATAATAATGGGGAAGAAAACCAGGTTTTTTTCCGTACGAGAAGACTTCATGATGGTCAACAAGTTGGCTTGGGCCCCCTGCCAGCCGAGGCCCCGTACACAAAGGCGGGAATGTACCTGCTTTGGGAGCATATGATGTACGCGCCTGGCCTTGATGGCTTCAATCAAGCCTGAGAGATAATGAAAGCCGTTTTTTCCGCCCAAAAAGCCATCCTAAAGTATCTTGACGATACTTACATGCCACTCGCCAGGGAATGGACGACTTGTTATACTAATAACATCCTCGACTTCGGTCAACGCACCACATCACCAGTTGAGTCGGTAAACAAGCTTCTCAAGACTTTTGTGGTTACCGGCAGTAGCACTACTTATCAGACTGTACAATAGAGCTTCAATATGGTACAGGGTATGAAGGAAGCCTGTGATGAGGAGACTTATGCGCAAAAGAATCGCATTCGCTTTGACTACCTAGGAAAGGAGTGGCTTGGTGAGGCTCTACAACATTTGTTATGAAGCCTTAAACCGCATTACGCAACAACACCGGAAGATGTAAAATGCTCTCAGCGATCACCCCCGGGCCCCCCTCGAGCCCTGCACCGGTCAGTTCCGGGCGTAGTATGGCATTCCTTACGCTCATGAGATTCTTCAACGCCACAGGGCAGGTACTCTAAAGCTTCAGAAGGTTGATTTCCATCCATATTAGTACCTGGAGAAGTCATTACTTGACGAAGACAACTACTTGAAGTACCAAGAGTATGATAGGGTTGAACACCTTCGAGGCAGGCCGCGCAACACTACTGCCTTTGCGGCCGAGTCGAACGCTCCACGGGTCCCGACTACTCAGCCGGGCAGGCAGTCCGGGCTAATGCCTTCCATTCAACAGACTCTCTCGCAGTGGGAGGACGCCACCCTTGACGATGACGACGACGATGTTGACGACGGCGACGTCGACGAGGTTGCCAGGCCCCTGCGCAGCCTCCCCGCCGTACCGTCAACAACCTTGATGCGGCGAGCCGGTAACCGGGGTTCAGGGAGCCGGGGTTCCCGAGCAACAAGCTCCCGGGCAACAAGCACTCCGGCAACAAGCACTCGGGGTTCAGGGAGCCGGGGCGCCCGGGCAACATCACGGGCTTCACGTGGCCCTGCAGCTTCTGCAGTAGCTGAGGGTCGCATTGTCAAGCCTACACGGAGTGGAAGGGTCCCGCAGCCTACTGCCCGGGCATTGGAAGGCATGGATCAGTAGGGCTGTCAGTTGTGAGCAGGTGTAAGTAGTTGTAAGCAGGTGCAGTTTTTATTGCACTTTTGGCCCTGTTACGTGATCAGAATCAACGGAGCCGGCTTCGCTTTTCATTACAGATTTGAACGATTTGAGCGAATCTACGGTCCTGAGCTTCAATTACCGCATTTGGAAGTATGTTGACGCTGGAGACGGCGGCGGGGTGCGATTGCGGTACAACTGCGTTGCCAGCGCTTGGGGCGGGGCAGCCAGCGAATGCGGCAATTTTGGCTGTAAAATGTGGCATTTTCCTGGGCGGTGAGCGTAAGGCCTTGGCGCCGATGTACCTACAGTGCACGGCAACCATTTGACAGTGTATAGAAACGCTCTCTTTTTTTTGATGACACGCTTTGTTGCGTAAAGTACCCAAATGTCGGATCAACCGCAGGGCAAAGAAAGTTTGGTTAAAGTTGGAGATTGGAAATGAGGAGGCGGGCGTGAAGGAAGTCAGGCTAAAAGACACCTCGATAGAGGACACGTTCCTTCAAGCCCATGAAAGCCACGCAGTATAGTAGAAATAGTATTACAATTTTCAACTACAGCCGCCATTATCGTTTATATCATAAGCCCCTTCTACCCTCGCCCCGCCAGACCCAGCCCACCCTCGCGCCATCAGAAGCACGCCTTGACCACCGTCTTGACCGCCTTCACCACAGACTTGGCCGCGCCCCACGCGCGGCGGATGCGGCTCTTCTTCTTCTTCGGCCGCAGCAGGTCGGGGTGTTTCGGGGGCGGCGGGAACTCGAGCTTGGGTGGCTTGTGGTCCTGGTTTAGGGGCGGCTTGTGGTCCTGGTTCAGGGGCGGCCTGTGGTCCTGCTTCAACGGCCTGTGCTTCTCGTCAAAGTCGTACGGCGGCGGATCCGTCGGGCGCTTCTGCAGCTTCTGCGGCGGCGGCTTAGGCCCGCCGACGTACTTCAGCCCGGCGAAGCTGAGGCTGGGCGACGCGTGCACGCGGCCGTGGTGCCACGCGTATTGCTTGCCGTCGTTGCCCTTGTACGGCCCGCGGATGAAGAAGGTGCTGGTCGGCCCCTGGTCCGGGTGCGCGTAGTTGTTGAGGATGGTGATAGACTCCATGTTGATGTTCTGGATGTGGTGTATGCGCGTAACCGCCTTCCGGATGTTGCTCGCGATGGACATGGCAATGTAGTGCCACATGGCGTTGCGCACGCCGTAGCCGTTGGCGACGAAGACTTGGCTGCCAGTGGCTATTTGCCCGGCTATCCAGTCGTAGTCGGACTTGAAGAGAATGCATTTCTTGGCGTGGAGGAAGGACATGCGCTTCGTCTCTTTTTTGTAGATCACCACGGCGCAGCTCTCCACCATGTTTTTGGTCCACAGGCCCAGCGTGCGCGAACCATTGACGGATATTCTAGACACTCGGTGTCCCTCCTCGACGAGAGTGTACTTGGAGAAGTCGATCGGGACGGGCGGGTCGATGTGCGGCGCCCATATATCGGGCCGGGCAGCCGCGCGATGGGCTGGGCGGTGTTGTGCCATTGCGGCGATGCAGTTCTGCCGGCACGAGCCTTGTCTGATTCCTGCACCAAGCAATGGACCCGAGTGCGAGCTCGAGAAACGTCTTTCGCGCAAGCCGTGGCTTGCTAGTGACGAAAGGTAGTAGCGAACGGGACGTGCTACGCCAGGATCATCTTACATCTTATGGTGGCTGTTTCCCAAACATTGACTGATGGCAACGTTTTGGCCCTTGGCCTCGGCCAATTTCAGGGCCGGGCCGCGGCGGCCATTATAGCGGCGATGCCCAAAACACCGCTTTCCGCGGCCCGGGCGCACGACTGACCGCGGCACAGCACTTCGGCGGACCACGAGTGGCACAGCTGCACGCGCAGAGAAGGGCAGATGTCTCAAGGCGAGACAGCCTTTTCTGTACTCGATGAAGGTCATAAGCTACATTCACCAGTGCAGAAACCCGTCTTTGTGCCAACAAGCGATTCCGGCGCAGACCGCAGCCGGGAGATGATGACACCATCACGGGCCGGGGGGGTTTGGAGACGTCTGAGCGTTGGCCCCCGGGGATACGGCCCTGCGGCGTAAGAACTCTAAACCGGGTGTCAGGTAGCGAGGTCTGAGACTCGGGCCAACATGGGCACAGACGAATCAATCCCTAGAGTCCCCTGTGTTCGACTCGGTCTAGCCGGCGTCTAGCCGTCGAGAAAACACGGACGCGGGGTGTTGTTTCAGGCTTGACGGGATTAATATTATTTCCTCGGATTGAATTGACAAGTTTGGCGGCGCAGAAACTTGCCGGAAATCATATGATCTAGCCACGTCGAAACGTCCGCGCACATCCGCGCCAAGTAAACAAACAGCCATCAAATGGAAACACAGCTGCACCTAAAACGTGACACTCCTTTGTTTCCCAACTTCGTCAAGGAGCGACTTCCGCATGAACATCTCACAATATGAAACATGACATGATGACCCACCAGCAGAGCAGAGAAAGAGGCACAATCCAAACGCCGTCGTCACATTCATCCCAAGCAACCAGAGTCTGGCAGCAATTCACGCACCCTGCGTCCACTGCGTCAAATCATACCCCGCATCGAGCGCCGGGTTCGCGAAGCCCTCCTCCCAGAGCATGAAATCGGTGCCGTTGCCCATATCGTCGAGGAACGGCTCGTCGGGCAGCGGGCCCCTGGCAGCGTCGGCCATGACGAACATTGCCATGTCGTCGGCAGCAGCAGCGGCAGCCGCAGTATAGTCGCCGTGGCCCGCCAGCGCCAGGCCGAAGCTGGCAGTGCTGTCGCGCTTGCCGTGCGCCGACGTCACGCCAAACAATGATGCCGCCGGCGAGGTAAACGCCGCCGCCGGCGTCGCGGGCATCATGGCGGCGGCCTGCGCGGCGACCAGGCTCACGGTCATGGGCGCCTGGACGGCGGACCACGGGGCGCCGGCCGCGTTGGCAGTACTGCCAGCGGGCGAGAACCCCGCGGCTGGGGACGAGCAGTACAACAACCCCGGGGGGTGCGGGGACGGGTCGGCCGCGGGCATGAACACGGAGCGCAGGTGGGCGAGCAGCTCGTAGCGGGTGCCCATGTGGCTGTTGCCGCGCTCGGCCATGGCGCGCAGCAGGCCGAGGCCGGCGTTCATGGCGCGCGTGCTGGTGGCGTTGGGCGGCAGCGCGGCGCACGCGAGCACCAGCACGATGGCCGCCGAGAAGACGTGCTCGCCGTCCATGTAGCCGTACGTCGCTACCAGGTCGCGCTGCGCCGCCAGCACCATCATGTGGATGGTGTCGTGGGCGGCTGCCACGCACATGTCGATGACGCGCACCGTCGTCTGCGACAGCCCGTCCTTCCAGTCGGCGCGCTCCATGGCGGCTGGGTCCGCACGGATCGCGCGCAGCCGGCGCTGCACCACGTGGAACAGGAGGGGCCGCGCCGTCATGTTGATGCACTGGTAGTAGTGCGAGAAGGTGCTGACGCTCTCGCGGCTGACGGCCAGCTTGGCCGGGTTGAAGCGCAGCTCGTCGGGCAGGTCGCGGTCCCAGCGCGACAGCGCCTGGATGATGCGCTGCACCGACGCCATCAGCCGGCGGCCCGATCTGGGAGTGGCGGCCGGGCCCTTGCGGTAGATGGCCGTGGTGATGTCGCCCAGGATGCGTGACAGCTGCGTGTAGTGCCGCAGCACCACGGCCGGGCAGTAGGTAGGCTCGCTGGGCAGCTGGGAGGGGAGCTGCACGCCGATGTCGTCGTCCTGGATCGTCGTCGGGTTGCCCGACTTGACCGACAGGATCCGGTCGAGGCTGTAAATGCTCCACCACACGCGCCGGCGGTGCTCGCGCGCGGCCGCGTCGAGGGCCGTGCCGCCTGCGCCGTCGGATGGTGATGAGGTGCTGCTGCTGCTGACCTCTTGGTGCAGCCCCAGCGAGATGGCCATGCGCAGGGCCATGCCGATGTAGAGAAACGCAGCGTCGCGGCGGTTCATGTTCTGCATGAAGTAGCCGACGAGGGCCAGCGTCTCGACGCAGAGGATGGAGCCCTCCTCGTGGGCGTCGGGCAGCAGCTGCAGGGCGTGGGTGAAGTACTCGAAGCCGGGCGGGCCCTTGAAGTCGATCCACTGGTTGACCGAGTACAGCTGGCCAAAGGCCAGAGTGGCGAGCACCTTGGCGTAGGCGAGGCAGGCGTCCTTGTCGGCCGGGTCCGGCTGCCCGCGGTAGGCGGCTAGGAGCTCGAGGTCGAAGGCGGCGGGGTCGTTGAAGGCGAAGATGGTGCCGATGTACGTGTACTGGGCGGCGAACAGGCGGCGCGCAATGTCGAAGGGGGGCAGGCGCACGTGGTTTCTGACGGAAAGGCGGCGCGACGGGAGGGCGCCGGGGTCGTAGAAGTTGGGGTTGAGGTCGAGGCTGCTGTCGTCGCCGGGTACGCCCGACAGCTCCCTCACGTTGCGCAGGAAGTAGTCGGACGAGCCGGGGCCCTTGAAGCTAGTCGAGGGCTTGTCGATGCTCAGCTGGGTGAAGGGGCCGAGGAGGACGTGGTCGTCCTCCGCCTCAAGCTCTTCGTCGTTGTCATCGGCCATGCTGCGGTCTCGGGTGGGCACGGCGTGTGCGCTGGCGCGTGTTTTGCCCACATCTGGTGTTGTTAGGTCGTCAGAGGTGAGAGGGGGATACAGGATACAGGGGAAACGAACGAACCCTCGTATGCCTTGACCTTTGCTTCCAGTGCTCTCAGATATCTGGGCAGACATAAGAGCTACGGTTAGTTCCAGTTGACATGACATGATTACTCGTAAGCGAGCTGGCAACGCACGACTCGCTGACGGCAATCTTGCGCGCCTCTTCGTAGATGCACTCAAAGGCGCCATCGCGGCACCTCGAGCACTTGGGCTTCTCCTTGGAGCAGTAAGACCGCCGGTTGCGGCAGCGCAGACACCTGGTCTGACGTCAGCTTAAAGCGTCTTCTCGTTGCACACGTCGAGTTTAGAGTAACAGAACTGGACTTTATCGGCGAAGTGGAACAAAACTCACGCGATAGGTCTCGCAGCGGCCTGCTCGGGCGAGGACGGAGGCGAGGACGGAGGCGAGGCCGAGATGCTTTGGGTAGCCATGAACAGGTTTCATCCAGATTAATCCTGCTAGTAAGCGGCAGGATAGGCTGCAGACAAGAAAATAAATGTCGGACAAAGCGGGTGACAATTGACAGGCGAACCCGAATGAGAATCTGGAGAACTCTAGCTCCAGCACTTGAGACCTATGAAGAAGGTGAGATGGCACGGAATCCGCATTTAGTGGTTAATGATTTGAGGAGGATCCCTCGGGTCAACCACTATAAGTAATTAGCTGCTGGCTGTAGTGGAGACGGGCATCGTTATCGTCGCTCAGCCTCATCCACGCATCCATTTTTGCGCCGTAAATCGAAACCCCGCCAAGTTCAGGCGCCTGACCTGCCCAGATAGCCCAGAGTAATAATAAGCCACTGCCGGTGCGCTGTGCAGGTGCCGGTGCGCTGTGCAGGTGCCGGTGCGCTGTGCTGGTGCCGTCGCGCGTCGTGCTTGATGCCCTGCTGCAGGCTACGGCCAGTGTGCGGGGACAGCGCCGTCACAGCGATCGCAGCGCCCCAACCCCGAGCCCTCGCGCGTTCGGCCCGTGGGACAGTGAAAGTGGGCTAGCCGTTACAGGACAAGCGTCAGTAACCAAACCAACCCTGCTGGAAGCCTGCTTGTCGCAGTGCTTTCCACGCGTGGCTGTGTTCCATCGCACCTGTGCGCTGAAAAACTGTCGATAGAACGGGTTGTCTTTTCAAGTTCCCAGGCCGAGGGCCAGAGGCTACGAATGCTAGATCAATCTCCCAATGTGGGGTCAACCCTAACCCTACACTAACTCCCCTGGTGGGGCTTTCAGCGCGCCTCTTCTGCTAGAAGCCCGATCACTCCATTCCATCACTCATTCCATCACTCATCCCATCACTCATTGCATCACTGAAATGGACGCGAGGCTCTCCAGGACAGTTGTGGCAGCCTGCCTAACCCAAAGCGAAGCCCCGCATCCGCATGTATTGGTCGCAAACCGAAAGCCCGGGCCGCTGCAACGTCGACGCTGATGCCAGGCCGCTGCAACGTCGACGCTAATGCCATGCCGCCTGGGCGATAAACGATAACGGCACTAATTAGTGCGTCGGTGGACGACCCCGATCACAAACCCACACTGTAGACACCTCATCTTCACCCGGCTCGCCGCTATTCCCGTTTGGGCCTCGTGATCGGCTGCTATGATGCACTGCCTGCAGCAACACAGCAGCTCGCCGCACCCCGCCATGGCACGCTGGCCGCCAATGATCAGCGTCCTCTGCACTCACTGTCTCTGGCCTTTGACGCTGCACCTGCTTATCTCGCCGCCATGAGGTCAACCGTGTCGTTCTCCCTTGCAGAATGGCAAATGGCGACGAAGGCGTCCACCGTCCACCGTCTACCTCTCAGTTTCCCAGATCACCAAATTCGGCATCCCTTCCCAGCAGGGCAAACCACGGCGTGAGTCCATTTGCATATTAACCTTGAGTGGACTGAGCCGGAGCCCTTGCAGCCAGCAGCACCAGCACCAGCACCAGCAAGCATGCCTTCTGTTGCCTCTTTCAAAGAGCGGCCCCCGGCCCTCGCCGAAAAGGCTGGCTGCTCGTCTGAGTCTGGGTCCGGGTCCGACGCCGCCGAGTCCCTTGCCGCGCTGGCCGCCGAGGTGCTGGACCCCGCCAAAGAGCGCAAGCTCCTCCTCAAACTCGACTCGGTGTTTGTGCCCATCGTCATGATGGTCTACCTGTCGTGCTTCCTCGACCGCAGCAACATCGGCAACGTCAAGGTGGCCGGCATGCCCGCCGACATTGGCGCCTCGCCCGCCGAGTTCTCCACGGCCGTGTCCATCTTCTACGCCACCTACGTCGCCTTCGAGGCCCCGTGGGCCATCCTGCTCAAGAAGCTGACCCCGCGCTTCCTGCTGACCGCCCTGTGCGTCGTCTGGTCCATGGCCACGGTCTTCTCGGGCTTCATCACGTCCGTCGGCGGCCTGTACGCCGCCCGCCTGGTCCTCGGTGCCTGCGAGGGCGGCCTGTTCCCCGGCCTGAACCTGTACCTGACCATGGTCTACAAGCGCGACGAGCAGGGCAAGCGCGTGTCGTACCTGTTCGTGTGCACGGCGCTGTCGGGCGCATTCGGCGGCCTGCTGGCCTACGTCATCCTCAAGATGGACCGCGTCGGCGGCTACGCCGGCTGGCGCTGGGTTTATATCATCGAGGGAATTCTCAGTGTTCTCGCTGCGGCCGTCGTCTGGTTCTGCCTCCCCGACGACCCCTCCGACGCCTACTTCCTCGGCGACAAGGAGAAGCACATGATGCGCGTCCGCGCGGCCCAGCGCGCCCGGTACATGGGCAGCGGCGAGTTTAGCTGGGAGGAGGTTAGGATCACGTTGGAGGACCCAAAGATGTGGATCAGGTAAGTGCTCGCCGTGACGACTTGGGGATAGATTACCGGGATGCGACGCTCACAGCACGCAGCGGCGCCATCCAGTTCTGCCAAGACGTTCTGCTCTACGGCTTCAGCACGTTCCTGCCGTCCATCATCACCAGCATGGGCTACGGCAGCCTCGAGGCGCAGTACCTGACCATCCCGGTGTACATGGTCGGCGGGCTGTCCTTCATGGCCTTCGCGTACGTATCGGACCGACTGTGCGTGCGCGGTCCGTTCATCCTGCTGGCCAACGCGTTCGGTATCGCGGGCTACGTGCTGATCCTGTGCCCGACGGCCAACGGCGTCAGGTATTTCGGGACCTTCCTGTGCGCCGCCGCCGTGTACAACGGCCCCGGGCTCAACCTGACGTGGCTCAATGTTAACGTAGCCCCGCACTACCGCCGCGCTGCTGCTATCGGCTTTCAGCAGACCCTCGGCAACACGGCCGGCATCGTCGCCGGCCAGATCTACCGCCAGGCCCCCTACGTGCTGGGCAACGGGTTTTCGGTCGGCGCGATTGGCCTGGCGCAGTTTCTGGTCGTGGCCAAGTGGGCGTACGTCCGCCGCAGGAACGACGAGAAGCGCAGGATCCAGACCGGCGAGATTGCCGACGAGCGGTCCATCAAGACGGGTGACCGGGAGCTTGATTTCAAGTATCATTTGTGATTAGTGCCGATCCGTGCCATGTGTTTTTTGTTGGGCCTGACACTTGACAAGACAATGTGTAATCATGGTGGATCACCCATGTTAATGCTGTACCCGTGCATGCGCCCACATGGATGAGTTGCCAAACTTGCAATGCCGAGGAGGTACCTAATTAAATGCTTTTGCACATCGCTATGAGCCAACTCCATGAACCCTTCCTCCCTTGAACAGGGACCTGAGCCCACATAAACCTCCCTTTTATCCGTAGACACGATGAGCGTTGACGGCTCTTTCTCTAGAGCTTGGGCGTATTAAAGTCGAAAAAATCAAAAGGTAAAGCTTTATGTTGTTGTTGGTGGAATTGGTGTAGTGAACTGTGAACCGCGCCGAGGCTCTGGGCTTTCCCCTCCTAAACGGCGACTGTAGTGTTAGACCTAGGCACTGACTGGGCACCTAGACTGGAGAAAGGGTGTGAATGAGTCCCCACCAGGCAAGCTCGAAGACGTAGCTGGTGCGAATGACGGGCTCCCATCTGGCGGGCGCACTAATTAGAGAAGATGCGACACGATCTCTCGTCTCGACCAAACCATCAAATCCTCACACAACACGAGACTGGGACCTCATACAACACGAGACTGGGACCTCATACAACAAGAGACTGGGACAGCTCATTCCGAAACGGCACGACCCTCTCCCGCACCTTCGCCTCAACCAGGTCCCACAGCCGCGCCGCCTGCAGCACATCGTTCGCGTCGGCAAACGTAACAACAACATTTTCAGCAGTCTCTGGGGCAGCGCGCAGGAACTTGTCGGCATAGATTGCCGACACGTTGGCCACCGTCTCGCTCTTGTCCGGCCATGTGTCAGGGAGCGTCTGTTGTTTTGTCGTGAACACTTTGACGCCGGCCGCCAGTTTGCGCCGCAGGCAGTCGGATTTGGTAAAGTTGAGGACGATCAGCGTGCGCGTGAACCATTTCAAGTTGGCGATGCTGGCGAAGAGCTCGAGGGCTTCGTCGAGCTGGCTCTGTTTTTTGGGGGTGCACGGTTAGCGGCATACCGTGTTGTGCTACTGATAGGTATGCAGTGGCTTACCGCCTCAGCGCCCTCGTCGACGCGCTCGTTGAACGAGCCCAGCGGCGCGTGGAACACAACGACGTCGACGCTGTCGAAGGCGTGGATCCACTTCTTGCGCTCGGCGCGCGCGCCGCCCAGATCGAACACGCGGTACCGCAGGTCGCCGCCGACGTCGACGGCCGTCTCCACGATGCCCGTCGTCTTGAGCCGCGTGTTGAGCACGTCCTGGGTGCTGGGGGCGTACTTGCCGTCGAACAGCCGTTCCAGTATGTCCATGAAGCTGTGAGATGGGGTGAGTAGGTGAGACGCGGTGTGACCATCAGAGGCGAGGCTGAACGTACTAAAAGGCGTCGACTGACGTGTCTGTCAGACTGTATGTTTGCAGGGCCCTGCGCCAGCTCTCGCTGTCGCGCAGGTTGCGCAGCGGGGCCAGAGCCTCGGCCGGCAGCTCGACGAGCTCCCACCAGCGGTAGATGCGGTCCTTGAGGTCGGACAGCTCGCGGAGAGAGCGCTGTTGTGCCCAGGCGGTTAGCAGTGCTGGACACTAGACAGTGTGGAACGCAAGCATGAATGGGCCCACCTTGACCACGCGGGAGAATGGCCAGCCACGCGTCTTGCCCTCCTGGTACACGGCCTGGACGTGGCCCAGCAGGTTCTCCAGAATCGCCGCTCTCCAGCCGAGCTTGCGCCGCTGGAACTCGTCTTTGGTGTAGAGGAGGCGCATCTGGTTGTAGAGCGTCGACTTGCCCGAGTTGGACGGCCCTGGTGCGAGTTTGGTCAGTTTGCATGTTTCAACCGGCATGACTCAGTGCCGCCTGGGCTCGATATTACTACCTAGCAGCAGGATTTTGATCGTCTCCCTGTCTCTCGGAGCAGCTACTGCTTGCATGTGTGTTTGCTCTGAGCTCCCGAGACACGGCAGCGTCAGACGACGAAGCGACGTCCCGAGGCTCCTTCGCCCGTGCCGACGGCGGCCGTCGTGCCCCTTGGGGCCCAGGAGCTTGATGTCGGGCGCGACGAGGGTGGATGTGGCAGAGAGATTGTCCGCGAAGCTGCTTCTCTGCGGGCTCGGGCCGCGAAGGGCGGTGAGTGTAGCCGGGTCCCGGTCGGAGTTCTTTCCCGTGAGAGATTTCTCGGCAGCAGCCGCGGCGGCGCTCCTGGAAGATCGCGGGTCGGCCATCGTAGCCCAAACGCGGGTGCTGCTCGGAGATGTCAGAGGCTGCTCGAGCCTGCTGGACCGGGCCTGCGTTCGAAGAGGACGAACGGAGTTTGCCTTGGCGTGCGGGGTTTAGAACTGCGGCGTGAAGTGGTGAGACTGAGCCTCCTTGTCCATGTGCATCCTGATTGGCGTGGCCAACAATGTAGGCTGCTAACACGCCCCTCGCACAATGTGCCGGCGGTTGGCATTGTGCAAGTGCATGGCGTCTTTGAGACAATAGGACACTTCTTTAGGCATCCGCCTTTACGGCTCCACTTTTAATTCCATCCCAGGAGAATCGCGCGCCCCATAGTCTGCAGCAATAGCGACGGGACAAGGATAGGGCAGTACATGCGCAAACGTGGCAGGTGCTAGGCTGCCCAAGTACCCTTCTAGCCTCGCAACGGAGCTTGATCACGGGATGAATTGTCGATTGTCACACGCCGCCACGGAAACAATGGGAGTCAATCTAGCACGGGTGGTCAAAAGCTTAAACGCCAGGTCAAAAGGCTTAACCACACCCCCTGCTACTTCTTTGATCCGACTCTTCCCCGCCTCTTGACAATTCCCATTGAGGGTTTATTGTCCTGCGTCTTTGTAGCCACGCCCAACTTCTTCCCTTGTTGCACCTTTTTCACCGGCGTTTTTTCCACTTGCCCTTTCTCCCCTTCATTCTCTTCCTCGTCGCTTACAACAGCAGTCCCTCCCCTTTTCTTCGCCTGCTTCTTCACAGCCGTCTTTTTCTTCTTCGGCGGCCCCGTCTTTGCCTTCTTCGGCGGCCCCGTCTTTGCCTTCTTCGGCCCCATCTTTGCCCTGTTCAAAATCTCGACAATGTCGGCATGGCCATTCCTGGCCGCGAAATCGCCGGGGGTGCGCGACAGCGTGTCTAGGATATCGGGGGTGGCTCCGAACTCTAGCAGCAGCTCGACCATGGCGCGGTCGCCGTGGTCGGCGGCCAGATGCAGCGGCGCCAGGTGCGCTTCGTTGGGTTCCCAGCGGGCCCAGTGCTGGAATTTAGGGATGGTGCAGTCGGGGTCGGCGCCGTTGCACTCGAGCAACATGCGCGCGACGGCGAGGCGGTCCGCGTTGACCTTGGGCCAGCGTGCGAGCGGGAGTAGCAGGTCGGCCGACTCCCAGGGCGTGAGCGCGTATTTGCCCTGTTTTGGGCCCTGGGAAAGCTTGCGCAGCGGGAAGACGGCTAGAAACTGGGCCGCCTGCTCGGCCGTGCATGGCGACGGGAGCGGAAGGCCCCGGGTCTTGACGAAGCGCTCGATGGATTCGCCGCCCGTCTCGCCTGACAGGTAGGCCCCAAAGACGGCGGCGTCAATGGTGATGTCGCTGACCTGGAGCTTCGATAAGAACTCGTCGGTTGTCGTCGACTTGACCCGCACGTTGATGCCTCGCGTTTTGAGAAACTTGACGACGCGCGCGGCTCGTGGCGGTGCCATACTCTCCGCTGTTTGATGATGGCATGTGCCTGTTTGCATCAAGAAAGCCAGGGCAAAGTGAGAAAGCCAGGGCAGAATGAAAAAGCCAGGGCAGAGTGAGAAAGCCAGGGCAGAGTGAGAAAGCTAGGGCAGAGTGAAAAAGCCAGGGCCAGAGATCTGGTTTTGGTGAGAGGTTAACCTTTGCTTTGTACTAGACTAGTTCAATCAATGGTCATGTTGGGCCTGCGAATATATGCGCCTAGTAATTCCGTTGGTTGCCTGCTGGGCTGTTTCGGCTCGACGGAAGCGGCGCTACTGCAGTAGTGCGGGGCAATGCTACCATGGAACCCAAATTTGGCGAGGCTGACTGATAGGCGATCTCGTTGCTTGCCAGGCTTTGGCCAGAATTGTTTATCAGCTGCACGAAATCGTAATTTAGACGAATATCTACCCACCTACCCACGTACGTCTACCCACGTACGTCTAGAACTAGACACTAGACGTAAGTCAACCGTTGGCAGGGAGTCATGGGAGATTAGGTATACAACACTGTGTCTTCCAAATCCACGTCTGAATTAAATTAAAATTTAACCTTGCACTTTGTGCGTGAATTGTAACCGAGTTATTTTGAAAGCGTCCTATCAAAGGTAGCTTTCAAACTGCGTGTAGTGTACGGCGCAACTACTTGGCCAGCTAAATTGACTCTCCAAGACGCCTGGCAATGGAGGTCCTGATATTCGTAATAAAAATTTTCAAGACTAAGGGAGAGCCCAGGTTGTCGAGAGTATTGAAACACCAGTCGCCTCATTATCTGTGTAGATAGTAAAGTGCAGAGAAGCTTCATGATCCCTTGTAACGGGAATAGGAGTGAATGTGCAATCCGAGAGTAACGACTCCTTTCTTCAAAAGAATTCTATTAGACCTGTCGCCTCCCGTGCTTGCAATCTCTTTTGAGGTTTCGTCTCTGGAAGCGAAACCCGTTCGTCCTGCATTTTCTGGAAACGTCTTTTTAAACTGCCCTCTCGTCCCGAAGTCCAGGGCCCTCTCGTCCCAAAGTCCAGGTCCATCCTCAAAGTCACAATCGACGGCATCTTCACTAACCATCTCTAACCGAACCCCGCACTACCCCTCCACACACAAACTTTTGCATCTCTCACAGCAACTCGCCCCAAATCTCCTAGGACTCACCAACCCGGTAGTTTCGGTCTCAACACACGTCGACATGTCAGTCTTAATACACGTCGACATGTCGGACCTCAACACCGACAATGCGCAACGCTGGCGTCTGAATTTGGAGCAAATACTTTCAAGCCTTCAGTATCCAAGCATGGGAAAGCGCCAAACTGCCATAGACGGCTCCCACGCAGGCACGTTTGAGTAAATCTTTGACGAGGGCACTCGGCACGGCTTTATTCATTAGCTGTCCTCAACCGACGAGCCGCTTTTCTGGATCAAAGGGAAGCCCGGGTCGGGAAGGAGCACGCTGATGAAGGTGTTGGTCACGGATGCGCGAACGCTGAGTGCTCTCGCCGCTGCAAACTCCGCGTGTCTCGTCATCTCGCACTTCTTCTATGCGGCGGGCGACGACATGGCCAAGAATATCCGCGGGCTTCTCTGCTCGCTCATCCACCAGCTTCTCGTCGGTCTTGGGGGCCTTGGCGAAAAAGTGCCCGTGGACGAGGGCCGTGCGATATCGAAACCTGTCGACGAGTGGTCGGACCGACAGTTGCGCGAGGTCTTGATCTGGGCTTTGCGCGAATGCGACATCCCGGTGGTTATCTTCCTGGACGGAATCGACGAGGTCGATGCCGGCGACGGCAATGCCAAACTGCTCGATCTGATCGAGATATTTTGCAAGACCGAAGGGACTAAGGTGTGCGTGTCCAGCAGACCGGGAAAGCCCTTCAAATCACGCCTCCTTGGCAAGCCGACGCTTAACCTGGAGGATGTCACGCGGGTGGAGATTGAAGCCTACGCCAGGTCGCAACTCGCGCGGTGCTATGCCGATTTCGCACCGGGCGAGCTGAACGATCAGGCGACAGTTTCTCGGTTGGCCTCTCGCATCTTTGACAAGGCCAAAGGCGTGTTTCTGTGGGCAGCATTGACCCTGAAAGGTCTGGAGAGCGGACTGTGCAGTGGCGACTCTATTTCCCAGCTGGAAGAAAGGTTAAACCTTGTCGAGCCCGGCGACGTCAACGCCCTCTACGTCGACACGCTAAAACGACTCATCGACGACGGAGAAAGACACCTCAAGGAGGCCGCCATCCTTCTCAATACGGTCATCGCATATCTCGATCTGCAGCACATGGCTCACACCGCGGAGGGGCCGGTGCCGATAGTCCAGCTGGATCTCCATTTGCTCACCGTGGCGCTGGACAAAGGGCTCGCTGCGGCCATGGTGAACGGCGACCGCAAAGCAGAAGACGTCTTCGTTGCAAGGCGCGAGGTATTGCGTGTAGAAATCGCGCAGAGGTGTGGCGGGCTTCTGGAGGTGTGTAGCGACGACAGGAACAGCGTCGCCTTGATCCATGACTCCGCATACGAGTTCCTCCGGAACACCCCAGAAGGCCAGGTCATTCTCGCACCGGACGAATCGTCGACAGCGGACCGCATCTTCCGCCTTGTGCGCGGCGAGCTGGCGCTGACTGGGGCGAAGCTACGGCTCATGGATGAACATGCCCGTCGCCCCGACACGGCAAGCAGCAGCACAAATACGAGCCTCGGGCTGAACGTCGACGACATCCCCCCGCTCCGAGACTTTTTCGAAAAACTCTGCGAGTGCGAGGTGTCGGACGCCCTCCCTGAAGTCATGATCCTGGAACTGCTCAACGGCGATCTGTACGACTCGCGCGCGCCGCTCTGGCAGTACCGCCCGACAGAGTCAGGCCGTTCGTCGCAGCCGCCGCCGCCACGCACCAACGACGCACCGCACTCGGACTTTATCGGCTGGGTGGCGCACGCCGGCTTTGTAAGATTCCTCCTCTTTTCCATGGCCGCTTTTAATGCCCACGTTAGCCGGCTGTCTCGCGAGTTCTGCAGCTTCGTGGTGATCATGGCGTGCCAACCCGACGAAAGCCTCGGGGCCGGCCGCGCTATAGTCGCGTCGGATATCGTGATGCTGACCCTCGACAACGGCGACGTCGATCTCACGCGACCGGGAGTCGGCGTGCGAGCGCTCGGCGCCAGCGTATCGACGGTAGCGCGAACTTTTGCGGCGCTCGCCGTCGTCAAGCTGGCCCTTACGTGCGACGCGGCGGGAGAGAAGCCGGAGATTGCCATTCTTTGCCGGAATATTGCGAGCTTGGGTGCCACGCTGCGACAGAAAGCTGTCATAATACTGGGGGAGAGTGACGACATGTTCACGTTCGACATTGCCTGGGCCGAAGAAGTCGACTTTGACCGTGGTGGTAACCGCATCATCCTCGAGGTCAATGTTGCGTTTCTCCTCAACATGTACTTGCAGGCCGTGCAGGCCAGCGGCTGCATGAAAGGCCCCACAGTCGAAGCCACCGAGGAAATGAAAATCAGGATCCTGGCCAGGATTGCCGACAAGGAAAGGTTTTGCAAGATCCTGGGGTTGATGTTCCGCCGAGCCGCTGATCAGTCTGGAGACTTCCGGGCCAAGACAGTCTACCGGTTTGCGTCTGAGAACAACAGCGCCGAGGTTCTCGGAATGCTTAGCCAGGGTAAACTGAAGTGTGTCAACGGGGTACCTCTGGTGGAGGCTCCTGGATTCACTGGCTCGACCTGGGACCAGCTTTACGAGACGATGAGCGCGGATGATAACGGCCATACAACTACAACGCTGGGCGAGGTGGAGGACCAGCTCCATGAACAAGGGTCTCCTCATCGATGGGACCAATTTTGAGTGGCCTCCTAAACCTTGACAGTGGTTCTATAGGACTACTTAGCAGGAGTACCGCGTCTCCTAGTCGCTTTCAGATCGGGTCGGCCGCACACTCTGACGACGAGTATGAGCAGTATCGTGCCGTCGGTGTCATTCTCACTATTTGCTTTGATTTTCCTTGGTGGAAAGTTACTGGTAATCATTACGTAGAGCACATGGTCTAGATAGACAAGAATATCATGAAGCGCGTCCTAGTAACCCAGAAACCCAAGTCTTTTCACTATCCTCATTCTGGCTAACCTCCGGTAACGACCGACGATGACGACGACGACGACAGAAAGGACCGTAAGAAGGAGCGTGTTTGGAATAAAAGGATGAAAAAAGGAAGAGAAGCGAGGCATTAATTCAGGCTAGCCCCGGGTCTCAACATCATGAATTTTATCACATGCTTTTTACCTACCTACCTATGTTCCGATCTGAAGAATACAGCTGCGATTGAATCCTCGATCTCGACGACCGTCTCGCAACATCCAGCCTGTCGATGGCAGCTTGTATGTTATCCAGACGCAAGGTCATCGTGCCGGCCTGCTCCCATTTGCCCTCTGACAGCGCGGTATACAGGTGGCCAAAGTCCTTGTCGATCTTGCGGGCCTTGATCATGACCTCGTCAATGTAGCCCTTACCCTCCATCATACCTCAGCCGTCAGCACCAGCAGGGTGGCCTGTGTGTTGAGTTCTTCGGCGGCGTAGTCGTTGAACCCAAGGAACCCCCAGACGCCTGACAGTAGCTCCTTCACTTCGGCCTTGAGTTGTGCCTCTTCCGACCGCGCGATCTCGGCGATATTCTAGAGATGATAGCCTAGCTGACGCAGGTCTCTAGACAGGGTGGTCCCGCTGACCTTGAGCTCGTGTAACTAGTCGCCTGCTTTCTCGAATTCCTGCATCTCCTTGACGAGTCGGTTCTGCCGCGGAGGTCCGATTACTTGACAGCGATCATCAGGTCGGTCATCTTAGCCTCGCCGCCCTTGATCTGCAGCGGGAGGTAGTCGTACTCGGTGACCAAGTCGGTGGCAGAGACCCAGTCGTCCTGCGAGGCCACTAATGCGTCGATGGGGTCGTTTGGGTTTTCTCTTCTAGGAGGGATCATCTACTAGCCGGCAATTGCAACGACTAGGAACACAACGATCGGGGCCAAGCTGATGATGAGAAGTCGCGATTTCTGCCGGCGGGCAAAGCAAGGGACGAGGCATCGTTTTCAGGCTAGCGTTCTTGTTGAGGACTCGTGTATCGAGGAGGCGGCACCGGTTTTGGATGATAAATCTCCCTCGCAGGGCTCGCATCTCGTAGGGGCGACCTGAACTCTCGAAGACGGCGACATGGAGGATTGGATGGCGTGGGCGGTTGGGTTGTGAGAAGTGGTATGCCATCACACACTGGGTCCTCCCAGGTGGTGTTCTCGGCAGGCGCAAATTCGTCGAAGCGCGTGTAGCCGCTTCGGGTGGTTGCCGGAGTCAGGATGTCGGAGGGCAGCGTGTCATCGCATTCGTCGTCCCAGGCTGCATGGGAGTCCATTTCAATTTCGACTGTGGTTGACTGTTGAGAATACTGAATATTGAGTCGGGGTGGTGTTGTAAAACGCGAGCATTTTGTGACAACGTGAGGGACGAATCGCTGGCATAAGAAAAATTGGTACTGAAGATCTGGGGGGAGAAACGTAATGTGGACTTCGCAGACCCTGAGGGTTCCTCTGCCGGACCCTATGAGCAAAGACAGCCAAACCACTGGTGGATCTCTGCCCACAAGGCTCCAAGGCTCTAAAGCTCCCTTTGCTTTTACAGATATGGCACTCGCTGAGCCACCGCCTCAAAGCGGGGTAGTCAGCGTGACGGCCACACAGAGACAGCCCAGACATCCCTTTGGGTTGAATGTGCTGTTATTATCAGACAGCCTGAGGCCGACACGCAATGGCGTGCGAAGAGGGTGTGTCAGATATGGCAGGCAAGATAGCACTTCCTTCCCGCTGATTGGTCAAACGACTTATTATTCAGCTGAAAGGAGCCACCGTAGGCGAGCTTGCGAAGGTGCTGAAAGTTTCTCGCCTGGGGATTTGCCAGTTTTCGTCCGTGTCGAAATGGACTTGGGGGGCTGGTCGATCGGATAATCCTCGGACGTGTTAAGCCGTCAAATGCCGCTTTGCTGTGTCGTGAGGTAGAATGGCTGTTGTGACGGCCCGCCTTACGCAGTAGGGATGCCAATGGTTGAAGGCAGTAACGAATGTGGATTTAAAGCTAAGGATGAGAAAGGAATCTATCGCGGGGTCCGCGCAGGGCGCGGGGAAATACGTAGTAGTGCTCAGTGCGCACAGGCCACACTCTAATAAACACAATGCAGCCGATAATCAATCCTGTCACATGAGCCCTGTGGCGACCGTGACAGCTGTCAATCCGTCTGTGCGGTACCTTCCCCCTCAAAATAAACGACTTTCTTCCTCAATCTCGCAATTCAAACTCAGTCAATCGCACGTACGATTTATCGCTGTCTAGCTGTGGACAGGCACGCCGAATACTTTACGATTATTATTCTATTAATCCCTAGTAATATATCACTAGGAACGCGTGTTTTTCAAGCCGCCGCGATGGCTATGGTCGGGGTCCCTCAACCGCAGCCCCCACCGCCCGATACGCCAAATCCAGGCGCCGTGGCCAGCCTCCCGACCCCCGATCCTCCCTATAACAAAAGAGCCCCCGAACGGCCAGATTCCTCCCGAATACAAGAGATGCCGTGGTTATAACTTGGTCAAACATAACTAGCACCCCTCGGCCAGCCACTCATTCCCTCGAGCGAAGCGAGGACAGCTCGCCGCAGGCGCCGCCGGAGGCAAAAAACAAGAAAAAAAGAGGCTCCGTTCAGCTGACCCCTTCCTGACCCGTCAGGTAACCTATTTTATTCACTTTGGCTCGTTTGGCGCCGAATCATGGCCATGCAGCCTTGGCTGACCCTCTGGCTGCTGACTACATATGCTTCAGACCCCGAAGCTAAATCTGCATGTCTCGGCATTATTGACCGTGTTTCCTCTTTAGATCAAGTTAGCGAATGGTGACGGGGGTGCTCGCGGATAGGCCTATCTGTCGAAGGATTGCGTCTCTAGATTATTGGAAGAGAGGGCGACGGTCTAGGAACATTGAAGTATTAGATTCATTCCCCGGACTTCTAGATGAGGTCATCTAGACTAGTCTTTGTCTCAAGGCCAGAGTCGTGGCTACAAGCAGGAGCAACGGATCCTTCGTTCTTCGATCCTGTAGACAAGACAATACAAGATAAATTATACCCTCCTACATCAGTGCCCTCCCTCTTTTACCGTTGCCCTATGTGCGTGACACCCTAGTTTTTCACTGTTAATTGTCTTTTCGCCTACTGTTCACAGACCAGCAACATTGGGATCCGTGGAATATTTAACGCAGCTGGCTCAATCTAACACCACATTCCAATAGCTCTATGAGTTTTTTAAATACAGGCCCAGAGAGCCGAACAGCAAAACTATTATTATTCTTGACATTGAGAATAACGACTTCAAGTCTCGACGCCCGGACGGACGCACTGATGAATCGGCCGGCAACGGTCCAAATGAGGCTAGTGCTATTCCAGTACACCAGTATCTAGAGACTGGATCGTGATTCCCTGGATGATATATGATACGCTTTGGATCTAGACCCCTTAGATGGTCTGGTGTCATTTCGACCATGAATTCAGTTATCTAAGAAACCCGTTTGATGACGACGGCCCCATACACCGTGATGGCTATCTCTCTCAGTTCCTGTCCTCTTCTCGCTATCTCAACATCGGCACGGTTCTGGAGAGCTTTTACGAATTGCTTTTGGCGACCTTTACAACCCGCCAGAGAACGCCACAGACAAGTAAGTGGCGGAGCACCGAGGCATGATATCTCCGATAAGAACAATAATATTAGAACTAACACATAACTTTGTTCAGCCGTCTTATTTCGGATGGAGCCACCCATTCCCCATCCGAGGCATTTTCCTTTCTGGGAGCACGAACATAGCATCCACCAGTCGCCAACAGGTCCTCAGCAATCAGAGGATGGGAGATTGCTAACGTTTCAACACTATCTCAATGAGATTCATTTTTGGGCTGGCCCTACAATTCTTACATCATCACTGAAAAATCCAGTCGAATTCGTCATTCCCTTCGTCCGGCTCGTCCTCGGAAAAGTTTCTCAAAGCATCGATAGAGAATGAGGAGTGGCTCTGATCGCGCTGAATCCCGGCCTACCGGAAATTTGGGACAAACTGGCTGCAGATGAGAGGGTCCACTACTCTGTCCTCATGCAGGTAAATATCTCGCTGGTGTCTTATCAACCCTCTAGAGATTCTGCGACACTTACTAAAACAGTCTGTCGTTAATGGTGGACGACGCATTGATGAATCTTCAAGCCATCATAAAAATGCGGCGCGACTGCACGGCGCAATGAAAGACCGGCTCGGACGACGCGCGGCAATGCTGTCTTTGGAAGCTTCGCAAAAGTCTTTGGAAGCTTCGCAAAAGTCTTTGGAAGACTCGCAAAAGTCAATCAAAATAGCCGATGATCTGCAAACGCTGACACAACTCGCTTTCATCTTCGTCTCGCTCAACTTTGGGGTATCGATTTTGGCGCAAACATCAGCGAATTCGGCAGTGGCATGGTGGCGGCGGCTTGGGCGCTGTCTGTCACTGCGACGGGTGTTTGCCTCGCCGCCCTTAGTGTTTTTTTGGGTATGGGCTAAGGAAAAAGAACAGACTGGCGCACGGGCTGAGTGGCTGCAACACGTCGCACGGCCAATCCCGCCCTTCTCGCTCCGCACTTCCGGCCTGGCCTTCATCCTCGCCTTATATGCCCTGACGCACTGGGAGTCTGGGAGAGGCAAATCATGGACGAGACCATGTACCACCTTGCGGTTGAAAACCTGGTCTCGGTTGATAAAGAAGACCGCAAGGGCACATGCGACCTGAACAGGCTCCCGCGAGCACCAGAGGGGACGGCGTTTCAAAGGCGTTTTGGCCGAACTGTTTACATGTCGTGGGGCGGTACACTAGCCAGGATGGCTGGCAAAATGACCGCTTACGGTAGGGCAAGTCTGAGTTGTATTACGGGGACTCTCTTGAGGTGTTTTACATCGCCATCCTTTAGCACTGGAACTGGTGGAAGCAAGTGAGGTATGAGGACAGAGACGAGTCCGAATTGACGCTTACTTGGCGCTGCGGCCTTCGTATCGTTCACCAAAAAAAAAAAAAAAAGAAAGAAAGTGAAGCAAGCCACGTGAAAATTGAGTCGCGGATTTTACTGCACTGATATCAAGTTACAAGAAAATGATGGGGCGCCCATGTCAGTGTCCTTGTTTAGTCTTATGGCCACGGCAAAGTTCTTGGCTGGAATGGCTCTTGCCACCTCACCCGCCACCTGAGTCTTTTCGCTGGCCTCCAAGGCGACTCGACCTACCGTTGAAGCTGCTTGCACCACATGCCCAGGCTGTCCCCCCACTTTCTGCTTCGGCTTTCCTCTCAACTTGTTGCGCGTGCCCCTCCACTTCCCTTGCCACGTCCTCACGTGTGCGCGTGCGCCTCGCTTCTTGTCCTGCATTTCCCCCCACTCGCCTCGCCACCAAACTCTTCCAATCCCTCGCTCTTACCTCTTGCCTTCTCTAACTTTCTTTAGAAATTCTTCCCCCTCCACAATTACCTCTCTCACCCAAGACGCCAGCCGCCCAGAACTGTTACCAGAACATCCATCTTCACATTCCACACCTTCTGCGCGCTGCCTTGGGAGTCAGGCAGTCTCTTGTGCAATCTACCTGCTTGAGTGCAAGCCCCATTGGGAGTTACCCCGCCCTACTACCCGTCAGGCCAACTCAATCGCGCCCATTTCTCGTCGCTTAGCCTCACTGCCCAATGCTGACACAAGGTAATTGCGGGCAGGCTCGCGCAGTAACGTCTCTCACAATGGACTTTAAAATCCTTGACAGCGACAATTTGCAGATTGCTCTCCAGGGGCAGCTTGAGGACGTCCAGGCCCTCAGCGATTCGCAAAAGGAAAGACCCGCGAGCCCACCGATGTGGAGGTCCTCCTCGACCTCTAGGCACCACGCCGACCTTTCGGCACTTTCCCAGAATCTTTCCGCCCGCATGAATGGCCTGGCTCTGAACGATGCTGCCGAAGGTGGCGACGCTCCTAAGAATCAGGAAGCTTCGATTACAGACAATGAACTTCAATTGGAAGATGCCGATATGGAAGACCTTGATGAGTACAATTCAGTGAACGAATTTCATGAGCCTCCCGAGGACCACTCGTCCGACGGTCCTTCAATCAGCAACGATACAAACGACGAGGCCCCGGGGGGTGATGACGTCCCTGAGAATGCCTCACCAGCAGGCCAAGATAACCAGCCCGAGGACAAAGGTTCTGTCGCCGATGAGCCAGTGACGATAATGGGCAAGAAGAAAGAAAGAAGAAAAAAGAAAAACAAACAAACAGTTCCATTCAAACCTTCCCACACTTTTAATTGCAAACATCATCAAATATATACACGAAACAAGAATCCACACATCAGTCATCCATCGTGCCTCATCCGCCCCCACCAAGAGTCTGCTAACGCCACGACGAGCTGACCGTCACTTTCGTATCACACCCAGTCGGCACCGTGAAGGAGCGGTTGGGGTCGCTCTCCCAGGTGACGGCGCCGGAGGTGGCGACGTTGACGAACTTGTACTGGAACGTGGTGCCGGCGGGCAGGCTGACCGTGTACGACCACAGCGGGCTGGCCGCCGTGTACGCCGCCGCGGACAGAGCGGGCGCGTTGGCGGTGTTCCAGCTGCCGAGCTGCGCGATGGACCCGGCGATCTTGACCGTCTGGCCGTACGACGTGGTCACGAGCTCGTTGAAGGTCACGGCGACGGTCGCGGCCGGCGTGCAGGCGGCAGCACTGGTGCTGGTGCCAGTTCCCGTGCCAGTCGCCGTGGTGGCCGACTTGGTGCTCGTGGAGAGGGTCGTCGGGGAGCCGCCCGAGATGGCGATGTCGGCGCACGACAGGTAGATTTGGCCCGTCTGGAACGAGTTCCACTTGAAGGACAGCAGGGTGTGGGCCGACGAGTAGTTGGGGATGCGGATGCGCTTGGTGACGGTGTAGCCGCCGGCGATGGTGGTGAAGCACGAGCCGAGGGCCGCGTTATCGACGCCCTCGCAGGCGCGGCGGCTGTCGGCCTGGAACGCGTTGCACGTGAACCAGTCGTTGCGCCAGCAGGCCTGGCCGGGGGAGCAGTCCGGGTTGTAGCCGCACGTCTGGCCGGTCACGTCGGTGCAGGGCAGCGTGCCGGCGGTGAAGCAGTCCTCGGCGGCCTGCTTCTCGGCGTCGGTGGGAATGTAGCCCGGGGTCATGAACTTGTCTACGAGTGCCTGGTCCTGGCAGATGCGGTAGCTGAACATGCCGCCGTGGTCGCCGTTATGGTCGACGCACCACTGCACGTCGACCACCTGCCCCGGCGCGTACGTGGCCACGGGCGTCACGCCCCACTTGGAGTTGCCCGCCGGCGTGTTGTAGTCGACGCTGACGCGCGCGTTGTACCCGCACGGCCCGCTGCGCCCGACGGGTGCGACGGTCAGGTTGGGCCACGACGACACAGGCTCGAGGATAGTGCACTCAGGGCACGTGTCGACGCCAGACTGTGTCCTGTTAGCCGGCTGTCTGGATCTGAAAGAGAGGGCTAAATACTTCTGAGCCAAGCCGGGTCCGGCTGGAGGGGATGGTCAGGTATCCATGTCCGTGGACACGCACGGCGGCGCAGAGGGCGGCGAGGGCGGCAAGGGAGAGCTTCATGGTGGCTGGCTGTGGTGCGTGATGCTTTCTGACGCATCTTGGCCTGAGAGGCCGAGATGGCCGACTTATATAGAGCTTTGATGTTCGTATGGAATCAAAATCAACATCGCAGCCGCCTCTGCCATGGAGGTTAGGAGAGCCACCGAAGTACTTCCTAGGGACCCCACAGCGTGTAAGCGATACAGGGGATGTGCGCCACAATCCGGGGCCCCAGACGGGTGGGGCGACCCCGGATTGTGGGCTCGGGTAGTAGTGCCGGCGGGTTAGCGGCATCTAGGTCCTATGCGGAAGCTCGTCCGAGCGGGAGCTAGAAGCAAACGGTCCGACTCAGGCCAGCGCCGCGCCAAGCCTGCACAGCGCCCCCAGCGGCCTGCCATCGCTAGCAACGCCCCGAATTACGGCCGCTGCTGCGACCAGCTCGGCAATTGGGCCACGGCGCATGTGAGGACATGTCGACTGCTGTGGCTAGTGGAAGCGAGTGACGTGCGTCATGCACCGCCGGTTATTGGCCGAGGCCGGGCCGGCTAGGACTCGGTAGAGTGCGTTGCTGGAGTGGTCAGGAGGATGCAGAGACTTGCTTGTCATACGAGAGACAGTTAATCAGTCACTGCGTTTGTCCATGTTATGGGAAGGACTCAGTAACCGCCCACGTGCGGGAAGACCTCAGTAACTGCCCACGTGCGGGAAGACATTTAGTGCGCTTGGTGCCATCAGCCAAGACTTTGATCTGCGGTTGGCAGCGGGGGTCGTAAGCTGGCCGGTAGCTGTTTTGTGCTGTTCAGCTGTCGGCTTTGTTCGGGCAAATTCCAATTAATTTCCACCTTTTGTAATGACGCGTCCGTGACATGTTTCTCTTGATTGTGATTAAACACCTATAACCAATTAATTAACACTTCGGTGTGAAAGGTGCTCTTCAACGTGGCTGACACAAGCAATGCCCAATCTCTGCCTAATATTGTTCGGACATGCATCATGGGTTGGGCAGTGGTGGCAAAAGATACGGTAATGCTGAAGCTAAGGTTTGCACTAGTTACAGATGGTCGCGTCTCGGCGGTTAAAACACTGCCTTCACATCCAAGACAAGCAGGCTTTTAGACAAAAGATCTACAGAGGGGACAACTATCCACGAAGGCAAAATCTTAACAGAGATTGAAATCGATGAGTATAAATATAACAGCGGTACGACTCGTTTATAGGTAGACTAAGAGTAATGGATATCATACAAAAGAGATTGGAGGCATAATATATGAAAGACGAAAGAAAAGGAAGGAGAAAAGAGACAGGAAGAAAAGATACAGGAGAAAAGATACAGGAAGAAAAGATAAAGGAGAAAAGAGAAAGGAAGAAGAAAAGATAAAGGAGAAAAGAGAAAGGAAGAAAGAAGGAAAATAGGAAAGAAGCCGCCTGATACTTGGCCACCTGGTCATAACGTCGTCATCAAATCCAAGCATGCTCCAGATGCTGGCCCGCGTAAACCCCTCTTCATCCCAAATCTCAACCCATGGCCATACGCCAATTTGCCTCCCGCTTCTGCCATGGCAGATCAGAGTGATTCTTGTCCTTCACAACCATCCAAGCACTTCATGCTCCCCGTTGGCCCTCGTAACCCACACTACCGCCAAACAGAGTCCAACACCCCTCACGCACACGCAGCGGCACTCTTGCGCTTGCCCACAGCTAAGCGCTTGGCCAGCCTGACCGCCTTGGCCAGCGACGAGTCAACCCTGCTGACAGTCCCGACCTGGGCGGCCCCCTTTTCCTCCCCTCCCACCAGCCCAATCACCTCAACAGCAGCTGGCGCAGCAGCGGCGAGCAGCGCCATGTGGCCGCGGACTGTGGGGTAGTCAATCAAATCCTCCAGGCGCGGGGGGGGAACTTCGTCGCCCTGGCGGAGCAGCCACACGAGCTGGGCTAGCGCGACTATGTCGCCGCCGAGGTCGAAGAACGAGGCGCCGGCGTCGAGATCTTCCGAGCCGGGCATCATCAACACCTGGCGCCACGCGCTGCTGACCACACCGCACAGGCTACGCTGCCGGTCAGCGTCGAGGCGCTCGAGCACTGCCTCTGCCTCGCTCGCCGCCTCTGCCTCGCTCGCCGCCTCTGCCTCGCTCACGCCCATGGCAGCGACAGGCGCCACAACGTCGTCGTCGAACGGGACCTGCGCCGGCTCGTTGCCCGCACCAGGGAACGCCAGCGGCGCGCCAGGGGTTCTTGCAAAGCGTTCCGCGGCATCGCAGAGCAGGTCCAGCGCGCGCGCAGCAAACTCACGCGGCACAGCGCCGCCCTCGGTAAAACCAAGCGAGATGTCGTACACATGCTCCCCGTTCCCTTCTTGACTTTGCGCGCGCTGCGAAAAGACCGACAAGTCGGCAAAATCATCGTGGGCCGGCGCGGCACAGCCGACGCGGTACGGCACATCGCCCAGCAGCACGTCCTGCGCAAAGGCCGTCCCGCCGGCGCCGGCGTTCTGGTGCTGCACGGCCGTCGCAAAGTACGTCCACGCCGGCCACGCCGTGCAGTTGCGCACGATGTCGCGGAACCCGAGCACCTCATGCGCCATGTTGGCCAGCTGCTGGGCTTGCACTTGGTGTAGCAGGCTTGCTGCCGTTAGTGGCTGAGAGGAGGAAGACGAGGCGTCGAAGCGCACGCGCACGGGGACCAGGTTGACGCACGGCCCGACCATGTTTGCGACGCCCGGCACGGCCGCCGCGTCGTTGCGCCCGCTGATGGTGTGCCCGAACACGACGTCGCGGCGGCCGGTCAGGTGCGCGAGCGTGTATGCCCAGGCGGCCTTGACGACGGTCGCGGTCGTGATGTCCGGGACGGGCGGCAGGCGGACGGTGTGCTTGAGGTGCGCGGTCCGCTTGTCGTGGTGGTGCCTGCGGTAGTAGCTGGGCGCGCGGCGGCGGCGCACAAGCTCCGTCATGTCCGCGCCGGCCAGCAGCTGCGACCAGTGCTGGTAGTGCGCCGACGTCAGGGCGCCGGCCGACGCGCGCAGGTAGTTGGCGAACGTCGGCGGCGGCGGCAGTTGGTCGCCACGGTAGGCGGCTTGCAGCGCCGCCAGGATGTGCGGGAAGCACACGCCGTCGTACTGCGCGTGCGACAGCCGGATGGCGAGGCGGTGGCGCCCGCTAGTACGGTGCTTGAGCAGCGTGAATGCGACAAACGGCTCGCCGAGCCCCGGGCCAGCGCGGCGGGCCAGCGTGGCTGTTGCTGCATCGAGCGGTTCGTCAGTGTCGACGACGTCGAACGCCGGCCGCACCGCGCGCAGCACCACCTGCAGGAAGCGGCCGCCCTCGGGCACGAACACGGTGCGCAGGATGTCGAGGCCCTGCACGAGGGCAGCGCACGCGCGCCGCAGGCGGGGGACCTGGACGGCTCCGGCGCCGTCGAGGAAGAAGTGGTTCAGCATCCACCGCGAGTCGAGCAGCGCCCCGGCCACGGCTAGCGCCTGGAAGTCGGTTGCTGGCAGCACGTCGGCCAGCCCGCCGCGGAACACGCCCACCTGCGGCGCGATGTTGGTCTGTAGGAACGCGCCCACGTTGCGCGCTGCCAGCAGCGAGAAGCGCTCGTACGCGTCAGACGCGGGACTGTCTCCGTACGCGTCAGACTCGGGATTGTCTCCGTCGGATGGTGATGTTGCAACTTTGTTGGTGCCTGTTGAGAGCGTGAGTGCGTGACTGTCCGGCTGCGAGAGACTGGCAGCGCAGACAAGCGCCGCCATGCCGTCGAGCGTCGGGTGGCGGAACACGTCGGCCACGTTCAGCGCCAGCCCCTGGTCGCGCGCGTCGCCGACCAGCTTCATGGCCACAATGCTGTCGCCGCCGAGGTCGAAGAAGCTGTCGGCCCCGTCGATGGAATCCTCGGGCAAGTTTAGCAGCGCGCTCCATAGGCCGACGAGGATCCTTTCCGGCAGCATTTGCGTCGGCACCGTAGTCTTCTCCGGGGCACGCGTGTGCGTGGTGGGCGACGTCGTGTCGATAGACGTGCCGAGCGACGACTGCGTGGCGGCGAGGTCCTGCTCGACCGAGCTGCCGAAGGAGACGGCTGTCGACGAGGCGGCTGTCGGCGAGGCCGCGCTCGTCTGCGCCGGGCTTTCGTGCGTGCTACTCCCGGCGTGGTCTTGTGCCTGTGCTGTGTCGAGCGGCGGGACCGTCTTGCCGTCCAGGGCGCGGTCCAGCTCGGCCACCGACTGCGTAGGCCGGCTGACGAGCGCGTCCAGCACGCGCGCCATGCACCGCGCCACGTCCTGGGCCTGGCCGTCGCTGACGTGGTTGGCCCAGTAGCGGAACACGACGCCCTCGCCGGCCTTTGATGCCTCGATGTTGACCGTGATGGCGAACTAGCTGGTGGTCAGCGTTGCAGCACAGAGTAAGAATAGTAAATAACTCACCTCGCTGGGGTCGTAGCCCTCCTCCATCTCAAACGAGATCGTATCTCCCTCCTCCCCATTTTCCTCCTCTTCGTGAGTCTGCGTCGAAACGGACGTGTTGTAAAGCGGGCGGCCTGCCAGGCCCAAACCGTGCTGGACGCGCGCCAGCGAGCAGCGCTGGAAGGGCATGCTCTGCAGGTGCTGCTCCTGGGCAGCAGCAGCAACAGCCTCGAGGGTTTGGTAGCCGGCCACGCGCATGCGACAGCACAGCATGTTGATGAGCGGGCCGACGGCGGCAGCGATGCCGTCGACAGGCGCGTCACGGTCTGCCGCCGGGTAGCCGAAGCACACGTCATCGCAGCCCGTGAACCGCCGCAGCACCAGCGCCCACGCCGCGTGCATGGCGTTGGCCACGGTGACGCGCCGCGCCTCGCACAGCTGCCGCAGCTCGCCGTAGCGCCCGAAGCGCAGCGGTGTTGTCCGCAGGCTTCGCGCCTCGGCGGCGTTGCTGTTGAGCTTCGGGAAGTGGCACGGCTGCACCCCGTCCAGGCACCGCATCCAGTACGCCGTGTCGGCGCCGGCCGGCTGCTGGCGGATGTACTCGACGTACTTGCTGTATAGCGGGCCCGGGCCGTCGTCGAGGGTTCCGGCGTATGCGGCTGCCAGCTCGTGCAGGACGATGGACAGCGAGGCGCCGTCCATGGCCGCGTGGTTGACTTGGACCTTGACGAGCACCGCGCCGCTGTGCGTGGTGCACACGGCGAGGCGGTGGGGTAGCTGGGGCTGTCCGGACTCGGGGGCTGCTCCTCGCATCGTTACCTGGTCGAGGGTGCGCGGCGCTTCGTCGTCGCTGCTCCGCAGCAGCACGGCGCCGCAGTCGGCCGTCTTAAGCACCACTTGGTCGAACACGCCGTCGTGGCGGGTGGTCTCGACGAAGACGGTCCGGAGGGCGGCGTGGCGGTGGACTACCTTTTGCCACGCACACTGGAGTCTGTTGGCGTCGGGCAGGATACGGGGGTCGCGGGGGGTGACGCTGTAGACAGCGTGGAAAATGTAGGCGCTCGAGTCGCGCAGCTGGCTGATCAGCATGCCCTCCTGCACTGGCGTGCACGGGTAGATGTCTTCGATATTGGAGAAGCAGCTGCGATCAATGCCGGCGCGTGGAAGTGTGCTTGTTGTCAGGGCCGCGAGGTCGTCATATGTCAGGGGCAACAGCGGGTAGTCGCTCAACGTCGGCTCGGCTGGATGCTGCACCAAGCGCTGGACCATGCTCACCAGCGTGTCCTCGCAGCAGCCGATCCACCTGCGGACCGCGTCTGCGCGGCCGAGGCTGCTGTCGTACACAAAGGTAAACTGCAGCCGGTTGTCGACGACGATGGCCGATATCTCGAATAGAGCCAGCCTCAGCGTGTCGGGGCCGACGTCTGCCGTGTCTGCCGTGATCTTGGAGGCCATATTATGGCCTTTGTCATTCATGTTATCCAGGTCGACCTCGTGGAGCAGCGAGTCTGGGTGCTCAAGACTCTGCACCCCGCCGCCGAGGTAGTTGAACAGGATCTCCATCGGGGCCGGGGAGGACGACTCAGCAGCACGGCCGAGCCATTTGCGTGCAAAGTAGGGCCTGCCATTCCCGGGGATGCTGCGTCGCACGTCTTTGGTCCGCCGTAGAGTGTCGAGCACGTTGTTGGTGTCGACGGGGACAACCAGAGGACAGATTGTCGTGAACCAGCCGACTGTGCCAGACAGGTCCAGGGGCTCGCCGGCTGGAGCTTCTCGGCCGTGGCTCTCGGTGTGCAGCGGCGGCACAGCCCTATCTCTGAATGTGGCTGCAAATGCGTGGGCAATGGCGGCGAGAAACACGTCGACCGGTTCCGACTTGAAGGCCGTGTGGCAGTCTGCCAGCGCGAGCCGGGTCGTGTCTTCATCGAGACGGAAAGCCTCGGTCTCGGCCCGGCCGTAGGTGAGAGGGTCACGGATTCCCCAGTAGTTGATGTCGGAGGGAGTCTCGGTAAACGGCAGCGTCTCGACGGCGTTCTTGGCGTGGCCGGATTGCAGAGCACACCACGACTTGAACGAAATGGGCGGCTCAGGGGCTAGGGTGCCTGACTCAAGGAGCTGGCCCAGGTCCTGCACAATGACGCGCCACGACACCAGGTCAACGCAGAGGTGGTGGGCGACCATGTAGACGTAGATCTGGTCCTGGCCAGAGACGTCAAACAGGTCGGCGCGGAACACGGGTCCGCGTTCGATGCAGAGGCCAGCCTGTGCTGCTGCCATCGTGGGTGCCATATCCTGGCATGAATTCAGGGGGTGGGCAAGATGTTGGTAGGCGGAAGGAGACATCTATGACATGAGATCCGGAATTAGCGAACTGAAATGGGAGATAAGGAGACAAAAAGGGGAGAGAAGTGGAAGAAAGCGTAATCAAGAAGAGGAGAAAGTATCGAGAAAGATGAACAAAAAGGTACCGAAGAGATTAAGAAAATAAAGGAGTTGGAAGAAAATGTATAGAACAAAGGGAAGGAGAAAAGAGAAAAGGAGAAAGGAGAAAAGGAGAAAGGAGAAAGGACAAAAGGAGAAAGAAGAAAGGAGAAAAGGAGAAAAGGAGAAAAGGAGAAAAGGAGAAAAGGAGAAAAGGAGAAAAAGAGAAAAAGAGAAAATGAGTAATAAAGAGAGAACGAAAGAGAGATATAGAATTTTTTTTTTCCAAAGGAAAAAGGAAAAAGAGGAGAAAAATAAAAAAAGTAAGAAAAGCGGAAACCCCAAAACAAATGGATTTCAAGAAGAGAGCCGCAAACGAATTTTAAAGTTGTAGGAATTACCGATCAATCAGGTCAGCAGCGCACGGGCTACACTCGCCAAGCACGTGGTGCAGCACGTGACTCCGGGCATCCTGACTAAGCGCAGCACGTGACCACGCGGCACCCTACTGAGCGCCTTCGTGTCCCCGTAGTTCGTAATCCTTTTGTAACTAGACATAGAAGAATACGAGCAACACAACCACCCCACCCTTTCGCAGCGGCTACTATAGCGACTAGCACGAATGACCTTGTCATTCCGACAAGAGCCGCAAAGGAGTTCCAAAGTGAATGAAGTCTAAGACGGGCAAAGAAGCCAGAAAGGAAGAAAAAAGCCAATGAGAAAAAGCCACAAGAAAAAAGCCAATGAGAAAAAGCCATGAGAAAATGGCCAATGAGAAAAAGCCACGAGAAAAGGCCAATGAGAAAAAAGCCAATGAGAAAAAAGCTAATGAGAAAAAAGGCAATGAAAAAAAAGAAAATGAAAAAAAAGCCAACGAGAAAAAAGCCAATGAAAAAAAAGAAAATGCAACCTAAAAACGGAAAATAAAGACGGCGAGCTAGAAGGAAAACAGACGCACCTTTACAATCCGCTGCACCCACTGCCCATCCTTATCCTTGGTGAATCGCGCGCGAAGCATGGCATGGCGGCGGACGATGGAATCCAGGGCCTGCGTAATCGCGTCGACGCCGACTCGCCGCGCGACGCCGAGGGCAAAGCTCTGGTTGAAGCGGGCCTGACCGGCGTGGCCCGCGGCGGAGCTGAAGTAGAGGCTCTGGATCGGGGCCAGCGCGAACGGCTCCTCGGTGTCGGCCGCCACTGCTTTACTCGCAGCCGGCGACACGCGGGCGAGCTGGGCAAGATGCACGACCGACTTGCACCGCAGCACGTCCTGGATGGTCACGCCGATCTTGGCGTTGCGCGCGCGCGACACGACGCCCATGGCTCGGATGCTGTCGCCACCTGCGGGGGTTAGTTGGTTGGTTATCTTGTCATGGGAAGTCCAGCACCTACCGAGACCCAGGAACGCCTGGTTAGATTTGATGCGATCGACAGGAACATGCAGCTCCCTGGCCCAGATATCCCGCAGTATCCTGGCCGGCTCCGAGAGCTGCACGTCGGCACCCTCGTCGCCGACGCCAAAGCTACTGGCCAAGCGCTGGTACGCGGCATCGTCGAGGCCCTCGACCCAGCCCGCCACGCGCCGGCGGTCCAGCTTGCCCGACACGACCACGGGCATCGTCTCGAGCACGACCCACACGGCGGGGACCATGTAGTGCGGCAGCGTGTCGGCCAGGCGGCTGCGGATGGCCGCCACCTCGGCGCGCGCACGGGCGAGGCGCGCCGGCGGGCTGTCGACTGGTACGCAGCCGCTGCCGCTTCCGCTGCCGCTGCCGGCACGGGCGCCAGCGCCCGTGTCAGACACGATGGTCACTGGCTCCGCTGCACCACTGCCCCCAGCAGCAGTCACCGCAACAGCATCTGGCAGGGTAACAACACTAACGAGCTGCTTCTTCGCAGGGCCTGTCTGCGGCTGCAGCACTAGCCCTAAGTCAACACTCGGATCAGCTGACAGCCGGCTCTCGATCTCGCCTAGCTCGATGCGCTGCCCGTTGACCTTGACCTGGCCGTCGCGGCGGCCGACGAACTCCATGGCGCCATCACAGCGGTACCGCACGAGGTCGCCCGTGCGATATACGCGCTCCGGCGCCACGCCCTCCGCAAGCCTCGCCGCCCACGCCGGGGCCTCGACAAACACGCTCGCCGTCTTGGCTGCGTCGCCCAGGTACCCGCGCGCGAGGATGGGCCCGCTGACCGCCAGCTCGCCGACCGCGCCCACGGGAGCCAGCCTGTCGCCATACCCCGGCCTGGCATCAATCACCCACGTGCGCGCGGCCGCCGTCGCGTGGCCAATGGCGGCATGGTCGCGCTCGGCCGACACGCGCGCGTTGACGACGGCCAGCACGCACGCCTCGGTCGGCCCGTAGCCGTTCATCAGGGACAGCCGGGGCGCCCAGCGCGCGACCGTGTCGGCGAGCATGGCCTCGCCGCCGCACACGAGCGTCGCGAGCGTCGGACACACCACGTCGGGGTCCAGCAGGCGCGCGACCGACGGCGTGAGGAACGCCCAGTTCGCTCTGAGTCTCACGACGGCGCTGCCGAGATCGTGAAGCCGCTCGTCTGCGCCCGGCACGCACACGCACGCGCCGAGCGTCAGGGGGATTAGCACCTCCATCAGCGCGGCGTCGAAGGTCAGCGACGCGAAGTGCAGCACGCGGGACGTGGCGCGCATGTTTGTGGCTTCCGCGATGGCCGCAGAGCTGCTGCAGAAGTCGCGGTGCGCGGCGACCACGCCCTTCGGCCGCCCGGTGCTGCCCGAGGTGAAGAGGACGTATGCCGTCGCGCTGGGGAGGACCGTTGGCAGGGCAACGGCAGCGCCGCCCTTGTTCGCGGCGCCAAGGCCGTGGATGATTTCCCCGTCAAGCGCCACAGTCACACACGTCCCCGCAAACCGGGCAGCGTGCTCCGGGCTGCAGACAACGCACACCGGCGCGAGTTCGGCCAGCATCTCCGTCTGCCGCGCGGTCGGGTGCGCGGCGTCGAGCGGCACGAACGCGGCGCCGGCCATCAACACGCCCAGCAGCACGACGGGCGTCCACGCCGAGCGCGCGAGACAGACGGGCACGAGCGCGCCGGGGCGCACGCCGTCTGCCGCCAAGCGCGCGGCGACGCGTGTGGCGTGCGAGGCGACTTCGCCGTACGTGAGCGAGCCGTCCCACGCGCACACAGCGGCGCGGGCCGGGGAGGCGGACGCCTGCGCGAGGAACAGCCCGTGGATGCAGGACTCGACGGCTGCAGAGGCGGGGTCCGTGACGGATGCCCAGCGCGCGACGAGGGAGGTGTCGTCGGCGCTGGCGACGTGGATGTCGGCCAGCGTGGATATGGACGACGACCACGATGAAGAGGCTAGCTGGCGCAGCACGGCGGCGAACTGGTTCGCGAGCAGCCCGGCCTGCCACTCGGAGAGCACGGCGGCGTCGTGGTGGAAGGTCGCCGCCACGCTGGTCTCGCTGACGTGGCACTCGAGCACGAGCGGGTGCGTGAAGAAGCCCTCGGACGACGACGACGACGACGACGATGACGACGACGCGCCGCGGAAGTCCCACTCGGCGTCTTCCGCCTGTGTCTCCCGGGCTGCCGCCTGGACGGTCAGCAGGTTCTGGAAGGCGCAGGCGCTGTCGGCGTCGGCGCCCAGCCGCTTGATGTGCTGCAGGCCGAGGTGCTGGTGCGGCACGAGGGCCTGGTTGGCGGTGCGGTGCAGGCCGCGCAGGTAGTCGGCCACGCTAGTGTCGCGGGCGAGGCGCACGCGCGTGGGCACCGTCGTGAAGGTCGGCCCGGCCATGTCGGCGACGCCGGGCACGTCGACGTTGCGCCCCGACAGCGTCTCGCCGAACACGACGTCGTCCGTCGCCGTGTACGCGGCCAGCACCAGCGCCCACGCCGCGCGGATCAGCGTCGGGACCGTGACGTCGGGCGCGGCGCCGCGGCTGACGCTGATGTGGCGCGTCTCGGACAAAAACTTGGGGGCGTCGCCGCCGGGAGCGCGCGTCAGCGGTGGGAAGTGGCCGGCGGCAGACGCGCCGTCGAGGTACTCGATCCAGAACTTTTCCGACGCGGCAACGTCCCGCCGGCCGAGGTACCGGATGAAGCTGGCGTACGAGGGGCGCGGCGGGCTAGCCGTCACCGCGGTCCGCGGCAACCCGAGCTCGCCGTACACGTCCTGAACGCGCCGGGCCACCATGGGCAAGCTCCAGCCGTCGTAGAGGGCGTGGTGGATGGCCCAGACAAAGCACCAGCCGCCGCCGCCGCCGCCGCCACCGCCGCCGCCGCGGTCGACCAGCGCATACCGCGTCAGCCGGCCGCCGTTCTGTGCGCCGAGCGCCCGCCCCTTGTCGACGGCGTCGCCCACCGCGACCTCGGAATGCCACTCGATGGGCTCCGGCGCGGCCACGGCCTGCAAGAACCCCGCCGCCGCCGAGTGCACGATGCGCGTGCGCAGCGTGTCCGTGTCGTCGACGACGGCCTGCCACGCGGCCTTGAAGCGGTCCAGGTCGACATCGGCCGGCAGCTCGAGCGTGTGGACGGCGACGTAGGCGCCGGCCTGCTTGTTGGCGAGCGTGACGAGGCCTTCTTGGAGTGGGCTGCACGGGTACACGTCGCGGATCTGGTCCCGGCGGAGCCGGCACTGCGCTGCCACGTGCGCCATCAGCCCTTCAGCCTCGTCGGGCGGCCGCGACACGAGCGCAAACGACGTGGGCGGCGCCTCGCTGGTAGCGGTGGCGCGCCCGCCGCACGCCAGCGCCATGTCGGCGAGCACGGGCTTCGCGAACACGTCGAGCACGGTCAGGGCGATGCGGTGGGCGCGCGCGGCGCCGACGAGCCGCATCGCCGTCAGCGAGTCGCCGCCGATGCCGAAGAAGCTATCGCTAGCGCTGACGGAGCCGGTAGCGAGCCCCAGCGCGGCCTCCCACAGGCTCTGCAGCTTCTTCTCCATCTCGCTGGCGGGGGGCGGGCGGGCGCGGTGCTTGTCGGTGGCGGACGGTCTGTAGCCGGCTACGGCCTGCGGAGGGGCGTCCTGCACGGCCTGGCGCAGCCGCCGGCGGTCGAGCTTGCCGGCGGTCGTCCACGGCATGGCCGACACGGGCACGAATAGCTGCGGCACCATGTACGCCGGCAGCACGGTCTTGAGATGCGCTTCTAGCGAGATGGCAACCGTGCGTCCTGCACTACTGCTCGGGGGCAGGAGAGAGAACGTCTTGGCCGTCGCAGCCGCAGTTGTCGTAGCGTCATCGACCTGCGGCAGACAGAAGAAGACCGCCAGCGCCGTCGTGGCGCCGCGGTTCTGCGGGGGCATGACCACCTCGACGGCAGCCTGGCCATCGTCGCCCAGCGCACCGCGGCACGCAGCCTCGATCTCGCCCGGCTCGACGCGGCGCCCGTTGAGCTTGATCTGCGTGTCCTTGCGCGCGACGTACGCGACGGACCCGTCGGCGTTGTACCGCACGAGATCGCCCGTCAGGTACATCCTGCGCAGCTTGGGGTCGGTCCACATGTCGCGCGCCCAGGCAGGGTGGCGCGTCCAGGCGGGCGGGTCGTCCACAAACGCGCGCGCCGTCTGCTCGTCATTGTTGAGGTAGCCGCGCGCGACGAGGCGGCCCTCGACGGCCAGCTCGCCGAGCGCGCCGGCAGGCACGAGGCGGTTGTGGTCGTCGGGGTCGACGACCCACACGCGGCCGCCCACGGCGGTGCCGATGGTGGCGGCGTCGGTACTGCGCACGCGGCGGGTGCAGTCGACCTTGGTGTGCGTGGTGGCGACGACGGCGCACTCGGTCGGCCCGTACGCGTTGACCAGCGCGCACCTGTCTCTCCAGCGCGCGACGTGGCCGGGCGCCATAGCCTCGCCGCCGGCCACGAGCGTCTGCAGGCACGGCACGCTGTCGGGCTTGACGGTGCTGGCAACGGAGGGCGTCAGGAGCGCCCAGGTGACGCCCAGGCTGCGGACGGCGGCTGCCACGTCCAGCCGGGCGGAGTCGGACGGGATGCACACGCACCCGCCGACCAGCAGGCACGAGAGTGTCTCCATGATGCTCGCGTCAAACGTGTACGAGGCGAACTGCAGCACGCGCGACTGCGAGTGCATGAACATGGCTGCCGCGTGCGCGGTGGCGCCGGTGCAGAACGACCCGTGCTCGACGACGGTGCCCTTGGGGCGGCCCGTCGTGCCCGACGTAAAGATGACGTAGGCTGCGTTGGACGGCGTGGCCGGAGTGCTGGGAGACGGGACGCCAGGGGGGGTGTTGGACGGCGTGGCCGGAGTGCCGGGAGACGGGGCGCCAGGGGGGGTGTTGTCAAAATCAGGGGCTGCGCCGTCGTCAGGGGCAACGCGCGCCAGGCGCGCCACGAACTCGGCGTCAACCACCACGGTGCGGCTTGCAATCCTACCCATCCTGTCCCGATGAGCAGGCGAACAGAGGACCACACTAGCACCGACGTCATCCACCAGCTGCCGCAGCCGCGCGTCGGGGTGGGCGGGGTCGAGACTGACAAAAGCGCCGCCGGCCTTGAGCACAGCCAGCTGCGCGACGACGGTCCACGCCGACTTGTCAAAGCACAGCGGCACGAAAACCTCGGGGCCTGCCCCACAGGCAACCAGATGGCCAGCCAGGGCGGCGGCCGCAGCGTCGAGCTCGCCGTACGTGAACTCCCCGTCCCAGGCGCACACGGCGGGCCTGTCGGACGCGTGCTCGGCGATGACGTCGTGGATGCAGCGCTCGACGCTTGGCATCTCGACGTCGTTCCACGCGCGCAGCTGGTCGATGCCGGTACTGCCGACGAGGTCCAGCTCGCCGACAGTGCGGTCCTCGGGCCCAGCAACCACATCGTGCAGCGCCTGCGCGAACGCGGCGGCGATGTTGCGCATCTGCGCGTCCGACACCGCGTGCCGCCAGTGGCTGAAGTGCACCTCGACGGCGTCGTCGGCCGCCTCGACGTTGACGGCGATGGCGTACTCGCTGGGGTCGTCGGCGGTCACGACGCGGTACTCCAGCGGCTGCTGCTTGTCTCGAGCAGTCCCAGCGCGCCGCTGGTACGTAAACGCCGTGTTGAACAGCGGGGCGGCGTTGCCGTGGCCGGGCAGGCGCACTTCGTGCTGCATCTCGGCGAGGGAGCAGCGCTGGTGGGCAAGCGCGGCGTCGAGGTCGGCGCGCAGCGCATCTAGCGCATCAGCGACGTCGGCACCCGCCGGCAGGTGCAGCCGGCACACGAGCATGTTGATGAAGGCGCCGACGGCCTGGCCGACGTTCGGGACCGGCACGTCGCGGCCCGAGGCCACGAAGCCGAACAGCACGTCGTCGGCGCCCGCGTACGCGCGCACGACCAGCGCCCACGCGAACTGCAGCAGCGTGCATGGCGTGACGCCGGCGTCGGCGCAGAAGGCGGCCATGGCGGCGACGTTTTGGAGGGTGATGGCGTGCGAGCCGAAGGACTTCTCGGCCGCGTCCTGGCCGTCGGTCAGCGTCGGGAACAGACACGGCTCGGCGCCGGCCAGGTACTCGCGCCAGTAGCCGACGCTCTCGCCGCGGGGCTGCTTCTGCACGTAGGCCACGTAGTCGCCGTACAGCGGGGCGGGGGTGGTGGGCACGGCCCCGCCGTAGGCCTCGGCTACGTCGGCTAGCAGGATGGGCAGCGACGAGCCGTCGCAGACGGCGTGGCTGATCTCGAGGCGGCAGTAGACGTGGCCCGCGGCGGTGGCACACACGGCGAGGCGGTGCGGCGGCTTCTTGTCGCCGTAGTCGAGCGGCTCGAGGCCGCGCAGCGCGTCGAGCGCGTCCTGCTCGCTGCCGGCCCCGGAACACGGCAGCGTGACGACGCGTCCCGGAGCCCGCCGCAGCACCACCTGGTCCATCAGGCCGTCCCCGGCAGCCGTGTCGACAAACACGGTGCGCAGCGCCGAGTGCCGCCGCACGGCCGCCTGCCACGCGCCTGCCAGCCGCTGCACGTCGAGACCCCCGTCTCGAGAGCGGACCTGGAAGACGGCGCAGTACGCGTACTTGGCCGGGTCGCGCATCCACGCCAGCAGCAGCCCGCGCTGCACGGGCGAGCACGGGTACACGTCCTGCACGTCGGCCAGCGCGACGCCGAGCTGGAGCCGCAGCCGGCGGCCGAGGTCGGCCAGCCCGTAGTACGCCAGCGGCAGCAGCGGGAACGCGCCCAGCGTTGTCTCGGGCGTGCTGCGTGTGCGTGGCTGCGAATGCTCGGCCAGCCGGCGCACGGCGTCGCCTAGAATTCTTACGCAGCTGCCTGCCCACCCCGCGAGCGCGTCCTGGTGCTTCATGCGCCGGTTGTATGCGACAGAAATCTCCAGTTTGCCGCCGCCGCCACCGCCGCCGCCGCCGCCGACGATGACGGCCGACACCTCGACCAGCGCAAAGCGCGCCACGGCGGCGCCAATGTCTGACGCAGCCCAGTCGAGCTGCCCTCCATCGCCGCCGTCATTGCCGCCGTCATTGCCGCCGTCATTGCCGCCGCCATTGCCGCCGCCATTGCCGCCGTCATCGCCGCCGTCGTACGCCTGCAGGAACGTATCCGTCCGGCGCAGCAGCTGCAGCGCGCCCAGAAAGTTAAACACGACCTCTGCGGGCCCCGCCGGGCCGAACTGGTCTCTGCCCTGGGCCGTCAGCAGCCGGTACGCAAAGTACGGCGTGCCGCTCCCGGGCAGGCGCCGCCGCAGGTCGCGCACCCAGCGCACCGCGTTGACCACGTCGCCGTCGCCGGCCGACTCGCTGGGCAGGTGCACGGGGCTGAGTGTGGTGAACCACCCGACGGTGCGCGACAGGTCTGTTTCGTCGCCGCTGCCGTCCTCGCGCCCGTGGCCTTCGTTGAAGATGGTCGGCGCGCCGGCGCGGGGTGGCAGAGCCGCGCGGTAGGACAGCAGGAGCGACGCGAGGAGTACGTCGAGGACGTCGGTCTTCAGCGCGGCGTGGGTTGCGGGCGCCAGCAGCAGGGCCGTCAGGTCGCCGTCGAGCGCGGCGGCGGCGGGCGGCGCGACGTCGCCGTACACGTTGGGCTGGCCGGCCATGCCCCAGAAGTCGAGGTCTGCGAGCGCAGCCGCGGCGGCCTCGTGGTGCGGCAGGAGGCCGGACCCGCTGGGCTGCGCCTGCGCCTGCTCCGACTGCCGGCGCGTCCACGCCTGGAAGGGCAGCGATGCTGGCGGCTGGATCCTGCCGGCGGCCAGAAAGTGCTCGAGGTCCTGCAGCAGGATGCCCCACGACACGACGTCGACGACGAGGTGGTGGGCCGTGATGAAGACACAGACCGTCTCGCCGTCGCCGTCCCCGATGGCGAACCAGTCGGCGGCCAGCAACGGGCCCTTGTGCGTGTCCAGCGCGCGCTGCGACGCGTCGATGCGCTTCTGCATGCGGTCGGCGCTGGCGAGCGCGTGCGTCCTGAAGCGGTACGACGCCCGCACGTCGCGCGTGATGCGCTGCCGCCAGCTGCCCGTGCCGTCACGCCGGAACCGCGCGCGCAGCATCGAGTGCGCCTCGACCAGCGCGTGGATGCCGCGCTCGAGTTGCCGGGGGGTGGCGGGTTTGGCGAGGCGCAGCAGCACGCTCTGGTTGAAGTGCGAGTGCGGCGTCTTGGGGCTGGGGGCGGCGAGCTGGACGTGCAGCTGCTGGATGGGCGAGAGGTCGAACTCGTGGTGGTCTTCGGCAGGATGCGGGCGCGCCAGCCGCTGCTCGTCCCCGCGGGGGCTGCTGGCCCTGAGCGCCAGGTCGCGCACCGACTTGCTGCCGATGATGTCCTTGACGGCCACCGCGACACCCTGCGACCGGCACGCCGCCATGACGTGCATCGCCGTGATGCTGTCGCCGCCGAGGCGCAGGAACGACGCGTCGCCGATGCGGTCGGCCGGGAGGTTTAGCGCCTGCGCCCAGACGCCCGCGAGCCTGTCGGCCATGGACACGTGGGCACGGTCCGGTGTCTGGGTCTTGTCGCCTGTGTTGTTGACGATTGTCTGGATCGTCTCTTTCATCTCTCCGGCCTGCTCTTCCGTGATCATTCGGCCATTCCACTCGTCCAAAGCCGCCTTGTCGTCCGAGGCGAGCATGGTGAGGTTACCAACACTTGCCCGCTGCGTCTTGGCGTCTGGTGTCGTGAGCTCTGCGAGTACTCTCTCAAACTGCCCCAGCATCCGCGCTACCAGCCCCTCCGACACCACGGCGTCGTCGAAGTGGGCGAGCACGTCCACCTTCCCGCGGCCCAGCGTGCACGCGACGTTGAGGGGATAGCTGAAGAAGTCGGCGCCCTGCACCGAGCCGCCAGCCACCAAGCTGCCCCAGAGTCCGCTGCCACGCTCCTCGTCGGCCTCGGCCGAGTCTAGTACCAGCAAGGTCTGGAAATCACAGGCGGCCGCCGCGTCGGCGCTGAGCGTGCGGATGCGCTGCAGGCCGGCGAACTGGTACGTCATGGCATCGCTCAGCTGGGTCTGCACGTCGGCCAGCGCCTGGCCGACGCCCATTCCCCGGTCGACCCTCACCCGGCGCGGCACCGAGGCCAGCGTCGGCCCGACGAGCTCGCCGATGCCGGGCACGGGCACGTCGCGGCCGTTGAGGACCTCGCCGAACACGACGTCGTCGGACGCGGCGAAGCCCGCCAGAGTCAGCGCCCACGCCGCGCGCACGTACGACGCGGGCGTGACGTCGACGGCGCGTGGCCGCGCGAAGGCGACGGACCGGCGCGCCTGCTGGGTCGCCTGCACGCGGTAGCCCGGCCGCGGCAGCCGCGGGAACGGCTGCGCGCCTCGCAGGCCGGCCAGCTTGGCGGCCCAGAAGGCGTCGGACGCAGCCGGGTCCGCGGCGGCCAGGTACGCGACGAAGCGGGCGTACCTCGGCGTCGGGACTGGGAGAGCGTCGGGCTGGCGGTACCGGGCGTCGACGCGCGCGAGCAGCGCCGGCAGGCTCCAGCCGTCGTACAGCGCGTGGTGGGCGGTCCAGACGAACGTCGGCCGGCTGCCGTGGGCATCGACCATGGTGTAGCGCGACAGGATCCCGCCGTCGTGGGGCGGCAGGTGGCGGTGCGTTGCGGGCAGCGTGTCGACGCCGGCAGCCGTCGCCCACTCGACGGCGGAGCGCACGACGACCTGCACAGGGCCCAGGCCCTGCACGAACGCGACGCGCGTGCGCAGGATGGGTTCGGCGTCGAACACGGCCTGCCACGCGGCTTGGAAGCGGGATACGTCGGTCCCGGGCGGCAGCTGGTACGCGTTGACGGCCACGTACGCCGCCGGGTTGCGCTGTGAGGCAGCGACGAGCCCGGCCTGCAGCGCCGTGCACGGGTACATGTCCTCGATAGACGCGCTGCCGACGCGGCAGATGGACGCCACGTGGTCTCGGAGTTGGTGCAGGTTCATGGTGGTTGTGTTTTTGAGGAGTGAAAAGGGGGCGGGACTGGAGAGTGCCGTGTCGAGGGCGACACTATCCCCGTTGACCCCCTGACTCGCCCCCCGACTCGCCCCCCGACTCGCCCCCCGACTCGCCCCCTGATCGGTGGCAGCAGCCGCCTTGGCCATCTCGCTCACCCCCCGACTCGCCCCCTGGCCGATGGCAGCAGCCGCCTTGGCCATCTCGCTCAGCCTGGGCGTCTGCAGAATGGCGGCGACGGCCAGCGAGATGCCCTGCTGCCGGGCCGCGGCCGCGAGCCGCATGGCCCCGACTGAGTCGCCGCCGTGGCGGAAGAAGCTGTCGTCGGCACCGATGGCCGCGGCCGGTACATGCAGCACCGACGCCCACAGCTCCTGTAGGCTCTTTTCCATGTCGGTTTCTGGGGCGCGGCCGCCGGCAGTGCTCGCCCCGATGCGGTAGACTCTAATGGTGGTGTTGCTGTTGGTGTTGTTGCTGTTGGTGTTGTTGCTGTTGGTGTTGTTGCTGTTGGTGTTGTTGCTGTTGGTGTTGTTGCTGTTGGTGTTGTTGCTGTTGCTGTTGCTGTTGCTGTTGCTGTTGCTGTTGCTGTTGCTGTTGCTGCTGTTGCTGCTATCATTGTCACCCGCTGACAGCGCCTCGGCTAGGTTGCGCAGCCGCCTGCGGTCCAGCTTGCCCGACGACGTCAGGGGCATTGCTGACACGGGCAGCACCAGGCTCGGCACCATGTAGGAGGGTACCCGCGCAGCTGCGGTGCCGATGACAGCCTGGGCAAGAGACCCGAACGTTGTGTCCATGGGCAGGATCCGAATATTGTCGTCCCTTTCTCTTTCATTGTCGCCCCTTTCTTTTTTATTGTCGTCCCTTTCTTTTTTATTGTCGCCCCTTTCTCTTTTATTGTCGTCCCTTCCTCTTTTATTGCCGTCCCTTCCTTTTTCATTGTCCCCCCTTCTTTTTTTATTGTTGCTTCCCTTGTCGTCATCATTGGCTTTGTCCGTTGCCTTGTCGACGCCAGAATTAGCGTCAGGGGCAATGTAAACAAACACGGCCAGCGCCTTCTCTGCGCCACCCAGCGACACCAGCTCGACCGAGCACTGAGCGTGCGCCGGCAGTGCCGTCCTGGCATGGTGCTCGATCTCGCCCAGCTCGATGCGCTGGCCGTGCAGCTTGACCTGCGTGTCCTTGCGGCCGAGATATGCCAGCGAGCCGTCCGAGCCGTACCGGACCAGGTCGCCCGTCTTGTACATCCTGCGGGCCCCCCTCTCGGCGTGCCGCGGGTCCCGCGCCGCCCACCGCGGCATCTCGACGAACGCCGCCGCCGTCTCGGCCGCCATGCCCAGGTAGCCGCGCGCCAGGATGGGGCCCTCGATGAGCAGCTCGCCGACGCAGCCGACAGGCACGAGGCGGTTGTGGTCTCTTGGGTCCACCACCCACGACACGCTGCCGACGCTCGTCCCGATGTCGGCCACGTCGCCGGCGGCGTCGGCGTGCAGCCGGTGCGCGGCGTTGACGGAGCACTCGCTGGGCCCGTACTGGTTGTGCAGCGGCACCTGGCCGCCCCACGCGTCGAGTACCTCCTGCGTCAACGCCTCGCCGCCGACGGCCAGCCCGCGGATGCTCGGCACCTGTGCTGGCCGCAGCAGCGCGGCCACGGTGGGGGTCAGGTCCATGAAGTTGGCGCCGAGCGCCGCGATGGCGCCCGGCAGGTCGCCCAGACGGTCTGCGTCGCTGGGCACGCACACGCACCCGCCGTGCATCAGCGTCGTAAACATCTCCTCCAGGCTGTTGTCGAACGTGTGCGCCGCGAACTGCAGGAACCGCGTGTGCGCGCCGAGCTGCAGCGCTGCCCCGTGCGCCAGCGCGCTCGTTACCAGTGCGCTGTGGGTGAGCACCACGCCCTTGGGCTTCCCGGTGCTGCCCGACGTGAACATGACGAAGGCGGCGTTGTCGGGGGTGGCGCCGGCTGTGCTATCTGGCACGGGCACTGCGCTATCTGACACGGGCACTGTGCCATCTGATACGGGCACTGCGCCATCTGACTCGGGCACTGCGCTATCTGACACGGGCACTGCCACGGGCACTGTGCCGTCTGACACGGGCACTGCCTCGTGGCCAGCCGCCAGCCGCGCCAGCAACCCCGGGCCGACAGCCACGACCGAACGCACCGCAGCCATGTCCACGAACAGCTCCGCGCGGGCCTCGGACGCCACCACGACGTGCGCGCGGGCGTCGGCGACCTTGTCCGCGAGGGCGTGGGCGGGGTGTCCAGCGTCGAGCGGCACAACAGCGCCGCCGGCCTTGAGCACAGCCAGCATGGCCACGACGGTCCACGCCGACTTGTCGAGACACACGGGCACGAGCACCTCGGCGCGCACGCCCAGGCCGCCCAGGTGCTGCGCGAGCAGGTCCGCATGCGCGTCCAGCTCGGCGTAGGTAAGGTCGCGGTCCCAGCCCCGGACGGCCTGCGCCGACGGCCGGCGGGCCACCTGCGTCGCCACCGCGCCGTGCACGACCTGCGCCGCGGCGGCCGGCATGTGCGCGTTCCACTCCCAGATGCGCTGCGTGCTCGCCTCGGGGACGCCGTCGAGGTCCGCGAGCAGCGTGTCCGCGTGTCTGGCGATGTTGCGCAGCGCGTGCGCGAACGTGGCCGCGACGTGCTCGGCCTGTGCCGGGGCGATGGCGTCGGTCCAGAAGTCGACGTCGACGGCTGCGCCACCCTGCAGGTCGTCCGTCTCGATGTTGACCGACAGCGGATACTCGGTGGGGTCGCGGACGGGCGCGGCGTCTTCGCACAGCAGCCGGCCGGGGGCCTCCCCCGGCGTCGGGCGGCGGCGGCGGTACGACAGACACGTGTTGAACAGCGCCATGCCGCCGGGCACGCCGAGCGCGTGCTGCACCTCGGCGAGCGCGGCCGTCTGCGCGGCCGGCGTGCAGGCGAGCTGGTCGCGCTGCACGGCCTCGAGGACCTGGCGGAGGGCCAGCGTCGGGTCGAGCCGCGCCCGCTGCGTGACCATGTTGATGAACGGCCCAACGGCGTCCGCGGAGGCCTCGTCGCGCCCCGACACGAGATAGCCGAAGCACACGTCGACGGCGCCCGTGTAGGCGCCCAGCGTCAGTGCCCACGCGGTGTGGAACGCGCTAGGCAGCGTGATGCCGCCGGCGTCGCACGCCGCGCGCAGTGACGGGAGGTGTGGGAGGTCGACGCGCAGCGAGCGGAGTTGACGGGCTGAGGAGGAGGGGGTGGTAGTAGTAGCGGTGCTAGTGCTGGCGGTGGTGCTGGCGGTGGCGCTGGCGCCGTCGTTGAGCACGGGGAAGTGGCACGGCTCGAGGCCGGCGAGGTGGGTGGTCCAGAAGGCCAGGTCGCGCTCAGCGCTGCGCTGCTGCAGCCTAGCGAGGAACGGGCTGAATAGGGGGCGCGGCAGGTTGTCGAAGTCGTCGCCGCGCTCGTAGCTGCGCGCGAGATCGCGGACTAGAATGTCCATGGATGCGCCGTCCACGATGGCGTGGCTTAGCTCCAGCACGCACAACACGGCGTTGCTGCTGCCGTCGCTGTCGCTGTGGAACACGGCCAGCCGGTGCTGCGGCGCGCCGTCGCGGTATTTCATCGGCTGCAGAGCATCCGCCAGCCGGCGCATCTCGTCTTCACCGCCGTTTCTGTTAGCATCCGTGCCTGGGCGTGGGCACCGCTGCACCACGACCTCGGGCTCGACGTCTGCTAGTACGACTTGGTCGTGGCTGCCGGTGCGCACGGCGGCGAGGGCGTCGACGAACACGGTGCGCAGCAGCGCGTGGCGGCGCACGACAGCCCTCCACGCGCGCACGAGCCGGGCAGCGTCGACCCCCTTTTCCATCTCACCGTCATCATCACCACCACCACCATCACCACCACCATCACCACCACCATCACCACCACCATCACCACCACCATCACCACCACCATCATCACCACCACCATCACCACCATCAACACCACCACCATCACCACCACCACCATCACCACCACGATGCCTTACCCAGAACTCACGGCGCACAGCATACACGGCGCCGTCTTTCGTTCTGCTGAGCAGCAAGCCCTGCTGGATCGGCGACGCCGGGTAGACGTCCTCGACGGCGTCCCAGCCCCGGCCAGCACCCACCATCTCGGGCAAACGGCTGCGCGCAAACACTTGCAGCTCGGCCGCCGCCAGCCCCGGCAGCAGCGAGAAATCGCCGGCCGTCGCCCGTCTCGGCATCCCCGGCAACATCCCCACGGCCTCGCGCCGCAACACGCCCTGACACGTCGCCACCCAGTCCCGCAGCCGGTCCTGGTGGCGCATGCTGCGATTCCACGCGAAGCTCACCCGCAGCGCGCCGCCGGCCACGACCACCGCCGACACCTCGACGAGCGCGAACCGCGCCGCGCCCGGCCCGCAGTCGGCCGCCCCGCCGCTCGTGCTGCCGGCAGCCTCGCCCGCCATGGCCGCGTGCGGCGCCGCCCGCAGCAGCGCGCCCGCCCGCTCCAGCTGCTGGTACCGGCCTAGGAAGTTGAACGAGACCTCCATGGTCTCGTGCGCGGCTGCCCACGTGGCGCGGCCCTCTGGGCTGTGGAAGCGTGCGGCAAAGTACGCGCGGCCGTTGCGTGGCGCGCGCCGCCGCGCGTCTTTGGTCTGGGCCAGCGCGTCGGCGAACGACGTGGCGTCGTCGGTGAGCGCGATGGGGAACAGCGTCGTGAACCAGCCGACGGTGCGCGCAATGTCGATTTCGTTTTCTAAATCGGTGTCACTGGTGTCACCGGTGCGCGCAATGTCGATTTCGTTTCCTAAATCGTTGTCACTGGTGAGAGGCGGCTCGCGGCCGTGGCCCTCGTTGAAGATGGCCGGCGGCGCGCGGTCGGGAAAGGCAGAGGCGAACGACCAGGCCAGTGCCGCGAGCAGGATGTCGACTGTCTCGGTGCGCAGCGGAGCGTGGCATTCTGTGACGAGCGTCGCCGTCGTGGCGGCGTCGAGCTCGAAGCCCGCCCCCGCCACGGCGCCGTACAGGTTCGGGCGCCCGTTGGCCATGTCCCAGTACGCGAGGTCGGCGGTGGGGATCTGGGAGGCGGGCGGGAGGGCCTGGGAAGGGGCGTGGGACTGCGCGTCGGCGGCTTGCAGGGCTACCCAGCGCCGGAAGGGCATGGAGCGGTGTGCGGTGGGCTGGTGGTTGTCGTTGGTGCTGGCGTCGAGGAGTTCTTCCAGCTCCTCGAGCACGACGCGCCACGACACCAGGTCGATGACGAGGTGGTGCGCCGTCAGGAAGAGTTGCTGCGTGCCGCTGTTTTCGGCTTTGAAAAGCTCTGCCGCGACGAGCGGGCCGCGCCGCACGTCCAGACAGCCCTGCGCACTAGCCAGCGCCGCCTCGGCCGCGGCAGCCGGCAGCACGCCGTGCGAGCGGAGGCGGAACGACGCGGCCGCGTCGGCCGTGACGAGCTGCTGCCACTCCCCGGTGCGGGGGCCGGGCCGGAAACGCGCGCGCAGCATGGCGTGGCGGCGCACGACGGCCTCGAGCGCGTCTCGCAGGGCGCGCTCGTCGACGGGCCGCGCCACGCACAGCCGGAAGCTCTGGTTGAAGTGCTGCTCGCCCTGCGCCTCGCCGCGCACCTGGAAGTGCAGCTGCTGCATGGGCGAGAGGTCAAAGGGCGTGTCGAGCATCTCGTCTTCGTCGTCGGGATCGTCGCTGTCTTGCCGCGCCGGCCTGGCCTTGACCTTGGTGGCCAGCTGCCGCAGCGACGGCGCTTTGAGGATGTCCTGCACGGCCAGGCCCAGGCGCGCCTTCTTGGCGTGGCTTGCGCACGACATGGCCGAGATGGAGTCGCCGCCCAGGCTGAGGAAGCTGTGGCCGGCCGCGCTGATGTGGTCGGCAGGCAGGTTCAGCACGCGGCTCCAGATGTCGCGGAGCGTGGTCTCGGTCTGGGTCAGGGTCTGGGTCAGGGGCTCGGTCTGGGTCTGGGTCTCGTTCTCGGTCTCGATCTCGGTCAGGGTCAGGCTCAGGGGTGTGCTATCGCCGTCGGCTGTCGGGACAGCCGTGTGCGTGTCAGGGGCGTGCTGTCCGATGACGAGCTGCTGGCACTCGCCGGCGCTCAGCACAGTCTCGACCCACGTCGCCACCGACTTGCGGTCCATCTTGCGTGACGGCAGCATGGGCATGGCTGCGACGCACAACCACGTTGACGGGACCATGTAGGCCGGCAGCCGCGCGTCGAGCCGCGACCGGATGCGCTGCAGCATGGGCTGCGTGGCTGCCGGGTTCGTGGCCAGCTGCAGCATGGCTGTCGGGTTCGTGGCCAGCTGCAGCATGGGCTGCGTGGCTGTCGGGTTCGCGGCCAGCCTCAGTGCGCCTGGCGCTTGTCCAGCCGTGTCACGGCCGGCAGCAGACGGGGCCGGGACAGCGTCCGCAAGCGAGAGAACCACGATCAGCCGTTGCGCCAGGGGGCCCCGCCCCGGGAGTAGGACCATGGCGTGCTGCACGCTGCCGTCGACGGCCAGGTGGTGCTCGATCTCGCCCAGCTCGATGCGCTGCCCGTGGAACTTGATCTGCGTGTCCTTGCGCCCGACGTAGGCGAACGAGCCGGAGCCCGAGTTGTAGCGCGCCAGGTCGCCCGTCTTGTAGAAGCGGCGGCGGCGATCCTCGTGTCTGCCGTGTTGATGTCCGCCGTGTTGATGTCTGCCGTGTTGGTGTACATCGGTGCTCTGCCTCGCCCACGCCGGGTCGAAGACGAAGCTGTCTTCGGTCTTGGCGGCGTCGTTGAGGTAGCCGCGGGCCAGGCTCGGGCCCTCGAGCAGCAGCTCTCCCACGCAGCCCACCGGCACCAGGCGGTCGTGGTCGGCTGGGTCGACTAGCCAGCAGCGTACGCCGCAGGGCGTCCCGATGTCGTTGGGCTCAGAAGCGGGGCCGACGCGCGAGTTGACGACGGCGGCGACGGAGCTCTCGGCCGGGCCGTAGCCGTTGACGAGCTCGATGTGCGACCAGGCGGCGACGTGCGCCGGCGCCATGGCCTCGCCCGCCAGCACGAGCCGGCGCAGGCTGGGCACGGCGGCGGGGGTCAGGAAGCCGACGAACGACGGCGTCAGCACGGCGTGGTCGACGCGCATGCGCCCGATGGCGCCCTCGAGGTCGTTGAGCCGCTCGTGCTCGCCGGGGACGCAGATGCACCCGCCCGTCATCAGCGGCGTCAGCATCTCCACCAGACTGGCGTCGAAGGTGTGCGCGGCAAACTGCAGCACCCGGCAGGTCCCGTCGATGCGCAGCGCGGGGCCGTGGGCCCGGGCACTCGAGCAGAACGCCCTGTGCTCGATGACGGTGCCCTGATTCGGTTAGTCGAGCCCGTCCCGTGGAGCCAACTGACATGAAGGCGAAGTGCAGGCTTACCTTGGGCTTGCCGGTCGAGCCAGAGGTGAAAATGACATATGCAGCGTTGGTAGGAGACACGGACGGCATGCTGTCAGCCGTCTCTGTGCCGCTCGACGCCGTCTCGTCCACAGCCGGCATGCTGCCAGTCGTCTCTGTGCCGCTCGACGCCGTCTCGTCCACAGCCGGCATGCTGCCAGTCGTCTCTGTGCCGCTCAACGCCGTGTCGTCCACGGCCAGCACCGTGTCGACCACCGCCGCAAGCACGGCCGCGAGACCAGGGGAGCAGAGCACGAGGCTGGCGCCGACCGATTCGCAGAGTCCGCGGAGCCGCCCGACGGGGTGCGACGGGTCCAGCGGCACAAACGCCCCGCCGGCTTTCATCACGGCAAGCATGGCAACCACGGTCCATTTCTTGTCTCGTTAGCCGTGGCCGACAAGGTAGGCAGGCAGGCAGGTAGGTAAAAAGGAGGCAAGGTAGGTAGGCAGGCAGGCAAAAAGTAGGCATGGTAAACAGTAGGCAGGCAAAGGTAGGCATGGTAAACAGTAGGCAGGCAGGCAGGCAGGCAGGCAGGCAGGCAGGCAGGCAGGCAGGCAGGCAGGCAAAAAGTAGGCATGGTAAACAGTAGGCAGGCAAAAAGTAGGCAAGGTAGGTAGGCAGGCAAAAGTAGGCATGGTAAACAGTAGGCAGGCAAAAGTAGGCAGGCAAAGGTAGGCAGGCAAAAGTAGGCATGGTAAACAGTAGGCAGGCAAAAGTAGGCAGGCAAAGGTAGGCAGGCAAAAGTAGGCAGGCAAAAGTAGGCAGGCAAAAGTAGGCAGGCAAAAGTAGGCATGGTAAACAGTACCCCTGACCCCTGAGTACGTCACGTGATGCACGCAGAAACCAGAAAGGGGCTTCATCCACGTACCGATTTTTCAAAGCACAGCGGGACGAGCACCTCGGGACCGACGCCGAGGCGCGCCAGGCGTGCGGCCAGGCGTGCGGCCGCGGCCTCCAGCTCGCGGTACGTGAACGAGCCGTCCCAGGCGCACACGGCCTCGGCGCCGGGGCGGTCGCGCACGCGGTCGGCGACCACGTCGTGCACGCACCGCTCGAGCGGCCGCACCGAGACGCTGCCGTTCCATGCACGGACTTGGTCGACGTTGGCCGGGCTCAGGCACTCGATCTTGGTGACGGGGGTGTCCGGAGGGCTGCTGAGCATGTTGCTCAGGATTGTGCCCAGCGTGCTGGCGACCAGTCGGCCCTGGATCGCGGACACGCCGAGCGCGCTGCTCCACTCGAGAGTCAGGTCGATTCCGGCCGGGCTCTGCTTGGCAACGAGGCGGAGCTTGTATTGGTGCTGCGTCTTTGTCAGTCACGGTGGTCAAGAGACACGGTGGTCAAGAGACACGGTGGTCGAGGAAGAGAGTGGGTGGCGCAAGAGTCAAGTACCGAGTGAAACGCCAATGTCTCGTCCGTGTGGGACAGACCCGGTGCCGTGGAGTTGGACAGCTCCACCACGGCCGTGTCAAAAAGGGCGTGATCGCCCCGGCGGACAAGCTGCGCAGGAACCTGTGGCTGCTGCCCGGCGAGTTCGGCGCTGCTCGTCCGCACCGCCTCGCCCAGCGACGTGCACTCGTCGAGGCGGAAGCGGGCCACGCCGAGCAGGCCGTCGCCCGACGCCACGCCGAAGCAGACGTCGTCCTGCCCCGTGTAGCAGCGCAGCAGCAGCGCCCACGCCGTCCGCAGCACCGCGCCCACATCGTCGGCCGAGGCCAGCTTGGCAGTGTGCTCGTGCTCGTGCTCGACGGCCACGGCGGCCGACTCCGCGGCTGCGGCATCGCTGGCGGGCCGGCTAAAGTGTGGGAACCGGCAGGGAGCCGTGCCCGCGAGATGCGTCGCCCAGTCGCTGATGGGGCTGGGAGAATTCATGGTAAACGCTGTAAGGCCTGCAAGACTATCAAATTGTATGACAGCAGGCAACCTAGGTGAGTAAGGTTGGGAGTAGGTGAGCAAGGTTGGGAGTAGGTGAGTAAGGTTGGGGAATATGCAGACAATCAAGATAGCAGTGCAAGTGGTGTGCGGCAGGATCGCAGGGCAAGTGGTGTGCGGCAGGATCGCGATGGCAATGTGATCAAGGTACGGACTCGCTGCACTACGGACTCGCTGCACTGACGGGAAGAAATCGCACGGCATAGGTCAAGGCACGCCGTGTATTTTGTAATTAATGACCTGCACGCCACATAGGAGCTGGAGTCGAGACGAGACAGAAAACCCGGGCCAGCCGCGGGACTCACTCTCCTCAAGCCCCACCGTCATCGAGCAGCCTCGACCTGGCCTCGGTCCTGGGAGACGGAAACAGCAGCTGGATGTGGCCTCTGCACTTTCTTCTTCTGGCCCCGTGCCCGACGCCATGCCGTGAAAATTTCAGACCAACAACGGAGCTCAGTGAAAACCACCGACGGAGCTCAGCGAAAACCACCGACGCCTGCAGCTGGCGGCGTGGCATTTCCAGATATTTGGCAGAAAGTTTCCCAGCGGCAACGTGGCATTTCCAGACATTTCGCAGAAATTTCCCAGCGGCGACGATCACTTATTTTTAGTCGCCCGCGGTATATCATGTCCTGCCTGCTAGAGGGCTTGCTGGGCAGGAGCACGGACGGGCACAGCAGTCTCGCGGCCCCATCATGAGGTTGTGAGAACGGGGATCGACAGCGGGCATTGCGGTTTTTGGCAGGTCGATCTCGCTGTTATATATCCCGTCTCTTGGCCTGGCCGAGAGAAGAGTCTGCGGAGGCCCAAGGGAATAAGCTCGTCTTGTCTGATCTGGGCCGCCTGCGGTGCGAGGTCGGCTACGTACTCGCTGGGTAATTATTCCCTCACAGGCTCCAGGCTCCGTGGATTATATAGGTGCCGTGGACGGCCGCGGCGTAAAGGGAAACCCGCGTGTCGATCGCGCTGCGCGGCGGCACGAGCCAGCCAACCAGGCGCGCCCGGGTCCGCAAATAGGCAGCTGGCTAGCATCGGGCGCGAGGCAGCTGGCTAGCATCGGGCGAGAAGCGCGCTGGACAGCGACACATTAGCCAGCCGCACCGCGGCAGTGCAAGCGGAGACACTTCTGCAGTGCAAGCGGAGACACTTCTGCAGTGCAAGCGGAGACGGTTCTGTAGTGCAAGCGGAGACGGTTCTGCAGTGCAAGCGGAGACGGCGTCTGCAGCCCCGAGAGGGGAAGTTGACTTGTTGGGGCGAGCATCGGCGCAAGCGGCTGAGGACGCTGGAAGGTAGTAGTCGATGACCGCATCTGCGACGCTGGCCGAGAAATCAATGCCGTCGGCCAGCCGTGTCACGCAACGTGTCAGCTCGGGGAGGCGAGCCATGTCAGGGCCAGGAACCAAGCAGCCCCAAGCCACGCCCGGGCCGAGAGGCGCATCTGCATCCATCTCAGTGCCACGCCAAAAACAAGAATCCGAAGATGTGCTACCGGTTCGCCCCCGACCGCCACCACGACGTCACGTCGATATGGCCCAATGGCAGACCCGAGTTCTGCCAGGATAGCATGCGCGCCGGGGGCCAAGACCCCTGCTTCCCGCGCAGCGACTGGCCTAGCGCAAAAGTTGACACCTGCGAGCTGCGGCAGGGATCAGGGAATATTAGCCGGCGGCCGACGCCCCACGGGCCGAAATCCGGGGTTGTACAACCACCACTCCTCGTCTCCTCTGACCGGAAAGCGGCATTGCGAGCACGACGCTGCTGCCGCTGCCGCTGCCGCTGCCGCTGCATGTCGACACAGCACGACTTTATGACGATGGGTCACGATGACGATGACGGGTAGAAGTCTGCCGATGGCTGGGCATCTCGTCCTTGGCAGCGTTTGCAGGCAGCGTCTCATCGCGGACGAGATGTAGTCGACTTGCCTGATATGGATATCTAGTCCGCTGCATGCAGGTTGTCGACGGCGTGGGCGAGGGGCGAGGGGCGAGAGGTCAAAACCAAGGTTGGGCGAAAAAAAGGGGGAACCCAAACAAGGTTGAAAAACGGAAAGAAAATAAATGAAAAAAAAACCATCTCCGGTGATCGCCAGCCCCAACACCAGGAATAGACAGAAGCCAATACAGTGAGGGCAGCGGCATGGAAATTAATATGTATGAGCCGCGACCCAGGACCTTGTGCGTGCGTCCTCCCCGTGTTTCTCCGCCTCGCAGCCAGTCCCTAGCCTAACGCGCGCCGTGCCCCGTCGATCGCGCCGCTCCTTCCCCAGATTTTCGTTTCCCCTGCGTGTATAACCACTATAGCCTGCTTGTGTGCGCGAGAGTGAGGGCCTTGCAGAAAGAAAGAACAAAGAAAGAAAAAAACAAAGAAAAAAAAACAAAGAAAGAAAAGAAAAAACGAGAAAGAGAAAAACCAAAGAAAGAAAAAAAAAAGAGAGAAAAAAAAAGAAAGAAAGAAAAAAAAAAAAAAGAAAGAAGAAAAAAGAAAAGAAAGAAAGAAAGAAAAAAAATCTCGTACTATTCTTTTTTGAAACTTCAACGCCATGGCCCAGTCCCCGGCGACGCAGTGCGACGGCGTCGACGACTCGTTCGGCCCATACGCAGGCAGCGCTTGTCGCGGCGGCTTCGACTTCACGCTGCTCTTCGAAGAGTCCGTCCTGACACTGCTGCCGCTCGGGCTGCTGCTGGCCGTGCTGCCGCTGCGCGTGTGGTTCCTCCTGAAGCGCGAACGCAAGCTCACGGCGGCCGGAAACCCCCTGGCTGCCGTCAAGATTGTGAGCACTTGACTAAGTACACCGCTCAGAAGATGCCGCCCGCTGACCCCAGCCCAGTCCTCCTGGCTCGCCCTCGCCGGTCTCCAGCTCGCAACACTCGTCCTCTGGACATATCCACCAGCAGCGCGGACACGAACCACGCTCGCCACGGCCGCGCTGGCACCGCTCGCCACGCTCAGCTCATGTCTCCTGTCGCATCTCGAACACACGCGCGCCGTGCGGCCGTCCTCACTGCTCGGCATCTTCCTCCTCTCCACACTGCTGTTCGACGCAGCGCACACGCGCACGCTCTGGCTCCGCGCCGGCTCCCAGAGTAACGGCCACGACCACAATGGCAACAAATCCCTGGCACACCTGTCCGTGGCCGCCGCAGCAGCGAAAGCGGCCGTGCTCGTCGCCGAAGCCGTCGAGAAACGCCGCCTGCTGCGACCCGCCGTGCGCGCCCTGCACCCGCCCGAGGCGACGAGCGGCGTGTTTAGTCGCGTGTTCTTCGCCTGGCTTAATGCCCTGTTCCGTGCCGGCTTCGGTCGTGTGCTGGTTGTGGATGATCTGTTTGCGCTGGACAAACACCTCCAGGCTGCGTTCTGCCACGCGCGGCTAAGAGCGGCGTGGGCTTTGGGTGCGTTTTGGGGGTTTTCCTCGTTGCTTTGTTGTGCTGCGTTATTTTGCCAGACCTTTCTCGCTTCATCCTGCTCTTTGCCGCTTATCCTGCTCTTTGCCGCTTATCCTGCTCTTTGCCGCTTATCCTGCTCTTTGCCGCTTGCTAACACACCACACACAGTAACCCAGAAATCACCACACGCGCTCCTCCGCGCCTCGTTCGGCGTGCTCAAGTGGCCGATCGCACACTCGCTTTTCCCGCGGGCCTGCCTGACCGCGCTCACATTCAGCCAGCCGTTCCTGATCAACCGCGCAATCAAGCTCTCGCAGGAACCCATCACGCCGGCAACAACACAGGCGGGCTACGGGCTGATCGGCGCGTATTTCCTCGTGTACGTCGGCATCGCCGCCAGCATGGGCCAGTACCAGCACCGCACGTTCCGCACCGTCATCATGCTGCGCGGCGCGCTCGTGGCCGCCGTCTACGCCAAGACGGCCACGCTCGGGCTCGGCGTCGACCCGGCGGCCGCCATGACGCTCATGAGCGCCGACATGGAGCGCATCGTCCAGGGCTGCCAGACCATGCACGAAGTCTGGGCGAATGCAGCCGAGGTGGGTGTCGCCATCTTCCTCCTGCAGCAGCAGCTCGGTGTTGCGTGCGTCGTTCCTGTTGTGGTTTCTGTTGGTAAGTCTGTTGTGTCGCTACTCGCAGAATGACAAGAATGACAAGAATGACAAGACTGACTGACTGACTGGCTGGCTGACTGGCTGTTAGTGGCGCTGCTCGGCTCGCTCGTGGCCATGAACTTCATCGTGTCGCGCCAGGCCATGTGGCTCGAGGCCATTGAGCGGCGCATCTCGGCCACGGCGGCCATGCTGGCGGCCATGAAGGGCGTCAAGATGTGCGGGCTGAGAGACACGCTGCTGGCCAGCCTGCAGCAGCTGCGCGTCGACGAGCTGCGCATCTCGAAGCGCTTCCGCAAGCTGATCATCTGGAACATGGTGTTTGGTGCGTCGCCCCTCGCAGCCCGCTAGCCGGGCTAGTCACTGACAGTCTGGCCAGCATACGTGACGCAGGTGTTCGCGCCGGTCCTGACGTTTGCCGTCTTCTCGGCGCGCGCCCGCGACGCCGACGCCAACACCGAGACGCTCGACACGGCGCGCGTGTTCACGGCGCTGTCGCTGTTTGCGCTGCTCTCGGAGCCGCTGGCGTCGCTGATCATGTCGCTGGCGGCGTTTCTAGGCGGCGTCGGCAGCTTCGCGCGCATCCAGGCCTTTCTCGAGTCGGCCGAGCGTGCCGACACGCGCGTGCGCGCCCCTGACCATGTCTCCGACACCGGCACCGACACGGAAAAACCCACACCACCTGATGCCGTCACCGTCCACGCCGGCGCCTTCGGCTGGGACGCCGCCGAGGCGCCGCTGCTGGCCGACATCTCGCTCGCCATCCCGCGGAACAAACTCACCATGGTCGTCGGGCCCGTCGGCTGCGGCAAGTCGACGCTGCTGCACGCGCTGCTGGGCGAGGTGCCGGCGCGCGGGGGCTCCGTGGCCCTGTCTGCGGCCGGCGTCGCCTACTGCGCCCAGACGCCGTGGCACACGAACGGCTCCGTGCGCGACGCCATCGTCGGAGCTGCTGCTGATTACGACGAGAAGTGGTACGCCCGCGTCGTGCGCGCCTGCGCCCTGCTGCGCGACTTCCGCCAGCTGCCCAGGGGCGATGCGTCGCGCATTGGCAGTGGCGGTGTTGCGCTGAGTGGTGGGCAGGGACAGCGCATCGTATGTACCGCCTCATTTCTGTCTTTGTTTACTGCTTCTGTCTTTGTTTACTTGTCGCCTCCTTTCTGTCTTTGTTTACTGCTTCTGTCTTTGTTTACTTGCCGCCTCCTTTCTGTCTTTGTTTACTGCCTCTGTCTTTGTTTACTTGCGCCCTTTCCTTCCGTCTTGTTTTTGTCTCGTGCTGACTCGCGCTGCCAGGCCCTTGCCCGCGCCGTGTACGCGCGCCGCGAGCTGGTGCTGCTGGACGACGCGCTCAGCGGGCTCGACGTGGCGACCGAGAACCACGTGTTCCACAGCCTGCTGGGCGGCAACGGGCTGCTGCGCGAGCTGGGCGCGACCGTGGTGCTGGCGTCGTCGTCGGCCGCGCGCCTGCCCTACGCCGACCACGTCGTGGTCCTGAGTCCCAGCGGCACCATCGCCGCCCAGGGATCGTATGCCGCGCTCAACGACGCCGGCGGCTACGTGTCGTCGTTCGCGCTGCCCCGCGCCGACTGGGCGGGTGTGGCTGCGGATACGGTTGACGACGGGAGTAGTAGTAGCTGTACTGACTTTGATGAAGAGCGCGATGGTACGAGTCTCGGGTCGAAGCCTGACGGTGCTGCCAAGTCGTCGTCGTCGAGCGAGTCGGCTCCGCCCCGCGACGACGAGCCCGAGCCCGACACCAGCCGGCAGATGGGCGACGTGCAGATTTACGTGTACTACGTGCGTTCAGTGGGCTGGTGGGCCAGCCTTGTGTTTGTCGTCGCCATTGTCGGCTTTGTGTTTTGCCAGTCGTTCCCGAGTGAGTGCTGCTGCTGCGAGACCGTCACCGTGGCGGTGTTGTGCTAATTGTGACCAATGCAAGACGTGTGGGTGCAATGGTGGGCGGCCGACAATGAGGCCCATCCCAACAGCCGGCTGGGCTACTGGCTCGGCATCTACGCCATGCTCGGGGGTGCCGCTATTGTGTGCCTGGGCGTGAGCTGCTGGTAAGCTCACTTTTCCACACTGAAGCACTTTTCCACATGGAAGCACTTTTCCACATTGAAGCAAAAGACAACGCTGATGCGAGCTAGGCAAATGATCATCACCATGGTCCCGCGTTCCGGCGAGCGGTTCCACCTGGCCCTGCTCGACACGGTCTTGAGGTAAGCCCCCCGCCCCTTGACTGTTCTCTACAAAGGCTGACTGGCAGTGCGCCCATGTCCTTCTTCGCCACGACCGACTCGGGCATTACCATGAACCGCTTCAGCCAGGACCTGCAGCTGATCGACATGGAGCTGCCCATCGCCGCGCTCAACACGTTTGCTAGTGAGCCAGTCCCCTGCCCCTTGGCCCCGCCCAACACAGACAGACAACACGTGCTCACCGCAACAGCGTTCGTGCTCTGCCTCGCGCAGATGGCGCTGATTGGCGTGGGGTCCGTGTACGCGGCCGTGTCGTTCCCCGTGGTGCTGGGCGCCCTGTACGGGATCCAGAAGGTGTACCTGCGCACGTCGCGGCAGCTGCGGCTGATGGACCTCGAGACCAAGGCGCCGCTGTACACGCTGTTCGAGGAGACGCTGGGCGGCCTGGCGACGGTGCGCGCGTTTGGGTGGCAGGGCGCGCTGGCCACCAAGAACGACGCGCTGCTGGACCGCTCGCAGCGACCCTTCTACCTGCTGTTCGCCGTGCAGCGCTGGCTGACGCTCGTGCTGGATTTGCTCGTTGCGGCTGTCGCCGTGCTGCTGGTTGTGCTTGTTGTCGAGCTGCGCGGGACCGTGGCCGCTGGCGGCGTCGGCCTCGCCCTGCTGAACGTTGTCCAGTTCAGCCAGAACATCAAGCTGCTCGTCACCTTCTGGACCATGCTCGAGACGCACATCGGCTCTGTCGCCCGCGTCAAGACCTTTACCGAGACGGCCGTGGCTGAGGATCTGCCTAGCGAGGCCGATGTGCCGCCGCCCGACTGGCCTGCCGCCGGCGCCATCGAGCTGGAGGATCTGTCTGCGGCTTACAAGTGGGTTCCCAGTCTCGAGCGGGGTCTCGTTCAGTTTCGCTGACTGAATTTCTTAGCGGCGACGACTTGGTCCTCAAGCACGTGTCTCTCTCCGTCAGGGCAGGTGAGAAGATCGGCGTGTGCGGGCGCACGGGCAGCGGCAAGACTTCATTGGTGGCGAGCCTGTTCCGGCTGCTGGAGCTGCGGGGCGGGCGCATCCGCGTCGACGGCGTCGACCTGGCCACGCTGCCGCGCCAGGAGGTGCGCCGCCGCATCGTCGCCGTGCCCCAGCACCCGTTCCTTCTCAAGGGCTCCGTGCGCCTCAACGCCGACCCCGCCGGCGCCGCCGCCGACGATGCTATCGTGGCTGCCCTGCGCAGCGTGCAGCTGCTGGACACCGTCGAACGCGCTGGTGGCCTGGGTGTCGATATCGAGGGTGTGAATCTGTCCAGTGGCCAGCGCCAGCTGTTTTGTCTCGCCCGCGCCATGCTGCGCTCCAGCACCATCCTCGTCCTCGACGAAGCCACGAGCAGGTATGTGGCTCTGTGACCCTGAGACTCGGTGCATGTGGCTCTGTGGCCCTGAGACTCGGTGCATGTGGCTCTCTGACCCCGAGACTCGGTGCATGTGGCTCTCTGACCCCGAAACTCGGTGCATGCTTGTTGTGTTTGACCTCCGCTAACGCGCACACATGCAGCATCGACGCCAAGACGGAGGAGACGATGCAGCGGCTGATCCGCAAGCGCTTCGCCAGCCACACCGTCATCGCCGTAGCCCACAGGCTGGACACCATCATGGACTTTGACAAGGTGGCCGTGCTCGACGGCGGCCGGCTGGTCGAATTCGACAGCCCGTACGCCCTGCTGGACCAGCCCGGGTCCGCCTTTGCGCGGCTGTACAGCGCGACGGTTGCTGACGAGGACGACGTGCAAGGTATGGTGAGCTGAGCGTGTTGTCAGGGGGTCGGCAATGACAGTATAAATAAACCCCCTGCCAAAACTGGTTAAGCGCTTCTGTTTTATTCATTGATACCTATTTACTGTGCTGTGCCGGCCCCAGACTCTGTGCGAACCGTGCATGTAGTTGTTTATCTGCCTGCCTTGTAGGTAGGTAGGTTTATCTGCCTGCCTTGTAGGTAGGTATCTTGACTGTCCGACCTCACTCGAACCCGTCCGGAATTACATCGTCAAACCCGGTCATGTCCCCACTACCGAACTTGACGCCCTTGAACAGGCCGCCGTTGGTTCGCAGCTCAAACGGCCCGGCCTCGATCGGGCCGTCGGTGACCGCGGGGTCCTCGTTGGCGGGATCCTCGCCGGCGCCCGATTCGCCGTTCCCCTTGTTGACGTCGCCGCTGACTTGCTTGCCCTCGCCGTTCTTGGCCGAGTTGGTCAGCTCGTTCTTCTCCTTCTCGTCCGCCGAGTCCAGCTCGCTGTGGTTGTCGCTGTGGTCGCTCTCGCCGCCGCTGTCGTCGCCATTCTCCGAGCGGCCGCTGGCGGGCGACGGCGGCGGGGCGCGCTCGCCTTGCGGCCCTGTTTCGTTGGGGTCGATGTCGTTCTGGTCGTTGGCGCGCTCGCGAATCTCCTGCAGTAGCCGCCGGCGCTGCTCCTGCTCCTGCTGCAGCCCGTGGTGGATCTGCAAGAGGACGAGCCCGAAACCGGCGAGCCTGGTCAGCCACGCCAGGAGAGTGAAGTACCACGGCGGGTTGGATGGCCCCCCGCTGACCGTCCCCATGATGTTGGGCTTGCCCGTCGGCGCCGTCGCCCCGGCCGCCCACTTGAGGCCCCAGAACTGGTTGCCCGCGTACGGGTCGGCTCTGGTCGAGTGGTCAGTACTGATGAAGGCCGCTTGTAGATTGAACGTGTTGCCGCCGACGCCGGCCTCGATCTTGAGGAACTCGCTGACAAAGGAGAAGGTCGTGATGGCTGTGCCGCTGTACTGCAGCGAGCCGTCGGTGCCGATGACGAGCGTGTCGCTGGTCGACACCCACTTCTGGGAGCCGGCGTCGTACTCGTTGATCGAGTACGTGTCGGCCCACTGAGCCAGCGCGCTGCCCGCCGACGGCAGCGCGTGGTCGATGGCGCTGCTGGGGTCGCTGGTGATCTCGCTGGCAAAGTCGGCGGGGAAGCGCCCGACGCGCCCGTAAATGTTGGGCTGGCCGCCGGCCGGGTAGCTCCCGAACGGCGCGAACTGGCCCTTGAACTGCGGCCCGATGTAGATGTTGGGGCCCGTGGGCGGTGCCGTGCCGGGCCCGAGGTTGAGGTCGACGAAGCTGACAAAGGTGAGCGAGCCGCTGGACGTGTTCTTGTCCGCCGTCCACGCGAGGGTGCCGTTGGTGAAGGTGTAGCCGATGAGGGCCACGTCGTTGATCGTGACGGAGCCGGCGGCGACCGTCACGGTGGGGCCGCCGGGCTGCCCGTTGAGGAACGTGTTGTAGGTGCCAGAGAAGGACGTGAGCGACTTGTTGCTCCAATTGTCCCACACGTAGTTGACCTCGGGGAGCGACGTGTTGTAGCCCTTGGACGTGAACCACGCCGTCATGTCCCCGCCGGCCGCCGACGCGTTCAAGAACTCGTCCTGCAGCTCTTGGTTGAGCCAGGCATCTTCGATGAACTTCTCGGCGTCCGCAATGGATGGGGTGGCCGCTGGACCGGGCGGGCTGGTTGGGGTCGGCATGACGGCCGGCATGACTGAGGAAAATGCGGATGATGGCCGGATAATTCTGCCTGAACTTGCTCAACACATTTCTGAGAGACCGAGACAGCAGCGAGGTCATGACAACATATTTAAGCTCCCCTTCATCGGGTACATGTCGTCGGGATCGGCCGTGCGTTGGGGGAGGGGGGGAGGGAAATCCCACACGCGTCGGGTAAGAGCAGGGGTAGAGTCAAGGGGTTATTGCGGTGGCGGGCCAGACCAGTCTTCTCAAAAGAGTCGCTAATTCGATGCAGATAGCTCAAAGGGGTCAAACTTGGACTATAGAGGACTTGGCAGCATTTTAGACGCCAAAGTCGCCTTGGCGTCGAGATTTGGCTGGCTGAAACGAGGCACCGTTCCCGTTTAGGGCAGCTGAAGCGTGTTTTCTCACTAGCGCCCTGGCTGATGCAAGTGCCGCATCGTTCTAGAACCAGGCCAGGACTTATCACACCAATAGTCGAGGTCTTGGAGAGGCGACCGTCAATAGTCCATGAAAGGCAGCGAGTCTAGACGTCAACTACCGGCGACACCGACACCGTTGCGGAAAAAGTAGTCGAGGAAGATGACTAGGTACACGATTGTTTCAGGCAGGGAACACAGCAGACAGCAGCCAACCTCGATACCACAGCCAATGAGAAGAAACGTCGACTGGCTAGCTGGTGGCAAAGTTGAGAGGGCCGGACCACACCCGCAAGGCCTTGCCCCAGCGCAGCAGGACGAGGATGAGCGCAAAGGCGGTGGCGCAGATGGCGGCCTGGATGCCGAAGCTGAGCTTAGTGCCCTGGGCCGTGGCCCATGTGACCTGCTCGTACGAGATGATGAAGCCGCCGAGCGTGCGGGCAAAGTTGAGCCAGGCCGACACCTCGCCCGAGGCCTCTGGGTAGCTGTCGAGACAATAGCTGCTAAGCGACACGGTGGTGATCATCATGCCGAACACGTACAGGCCCCAGCACACGCTCGTCGCCATGTAGTGCCACCCGTTGGCGAAGCACTGCCCGATCAGCACCAGCCCCACCACCACCAGGGGCATCGAGAAGAACATGGCCCGCAGCCGCACCTCGGGCTCAAAGTGGCCCTTGTGCGTGCCGATGTACTGCCGCGCCAGCGCGTCGAACAGCCAGTGGCCCACCGCCTCGCCCAGCGCCACTGCCACGACGGGTGTGAAATAAAAGAAACCCACCTGCCGCGGCCCAAAGTCGTACAGAGGCGTGACGAACAGGGCCAGCGTCGTGTTGATGCCCACGGCCCACGCAAATGTCTGCACGGCTGTCAGCAAGTCCGGTCGCGCATCCGTCCAACCGTCGCTCCGGCCCACTCACCAAGACGTAGAAGCCGCACGACACCAGGATGACGGGCTTGAGCAGCACGCGGACGGTGCGCCTGCAGGCCTCGGGGAACGTGTTGCGCAGGTGGCGCGACTGCCACTGGGCATGACCCGTCAGCCGGGCGAGCCGGCTGCCGCGCGGCGGCGGCGGGATGCTCCTGTCGTAGTACGTCTCCTGCAGGAAGCCGACGACCAGCCCGAATCCCAGCACGTTGAGCGCAAAGTAGACCCAGAACGGGACCGGCCACGGCTGCGTCTCGGTCTCGAAGGCGGCGAGCAGCGGGCCGAGGTACGGGCTCATGACGACGAAGGAGCTGTCCAATGTCATTAGGACGAGGGGGTGTGCCACTTTTTAAGAAGAGAAAAAGACCCACGCCCAGATGTTGATCTTGCGCGCGCGCTCGTGGAAGAAGAACATGTCCTGGATGAACATGAGGCCGCCGGCCTGGGTGACGGTCGAGAAGAAGCCGTTGAGGATGCGCGCGCCCATGAAGGACTCGAACGACGTCGCGCCCGCGCACCACGCCGCCGTCGCCGTCGCGCACAGCAGGAACCAGAACACGACCGGCAGCCGCCCGAAATAGGCGCTGAGGATTACGACTGCGCATTTGTTGTTAGACAGTCATTCGTTAGGGGGGGTAGGGGCGGTAGGGGCGGTAGGGGCGGTAGTTATTTACCAAACACGCCGCCCGCACCCAGCATAAACACGTTGCCCGCCTGCGACCGGTTGACCTCGTCAGGCGTCATGTGCCACTCGCTACCCGTAAAATCAGCACCAGCACACTGCTTTCGGACCACCAGCAGCAACGGCCTCATTACTTACACAGACTGCGGCAGCAGCGTGACGGCGCCGGTGGCGCTGCCAAAGTCGGGCAGGAACGACGTCAGCGAGATGATGAACAGAACCGTGTGCTTGCGGGCCCAGCTCCAGTTGAGCGGGTCCTGGGGGTTGTCGCTGGGCTGCGGGATGAGGCGCGTGTGGCCGTCGCTGGCCAGCTTGGCGCCAGCGCCGCCGCCGTCGAGGGCTGCCGCGTCGATGATGTAGCCCTCGCCCTCGTGGAACTCGTGCAGCCGCTCCGTCTTGGTCTGGAACTCGGCGTGTGCCGCCGCCGTCTTCTCGCCGCTGCCGTTGCCCGCCTCGAGCTCCGGATCCGACGCCTCGGCGTGAGGTTTGCTGTCCATGATGGCTACGCGGTGGGGAACTTGTGGATTCTGTAGAGATGCGGACGAGCAAGACTCAAGACGTCTAGTGTCATGACACACAGACGCACAGGAGGACGACGCGCCGCTTATAATCACGCCTGCAACGTGTGCACTTGGGCGTCGCCTCCCAGATCCCGAAGCGGCGTTACACAGGTTCTGAAGATAGCAGCGACTCGGATAAACGGCAGGAATCCGTTGCGGGCAGGCCATGATTGCTATTATAATACACGACGAGTGTGGGGAGCAGTGTCCAAAATCCATGCACCGCCGGCCAGGAGTGGCATCGCTGGACGCCGGGCCACCGGGTGCAGGGTGACAGTGACACTGCAGGCGATATTGCCATGCGCTCTCGCCTTTGGTTGGCCGAGCGTGTTGGGGTTGTTAGACGTCGTCGTAGCAGAACAACTGCCGAGATTTGGAGCCGGCCGCGGCGTCACCAGAATGCAAGTGCCGGATAATTCCAATCAATCGCATCGGTTTCGTGCAGCCGCCCATCTCGTCTCGCACGGGACAGGACAGGGGTTCCGTGCGAGGTGCCCCCCAGCGACGCCCCCCCCGCGCGGAGTCGCCGTTCGGGCAGTTATTGCTTGGCATTTGGTTTCCTGGGTCGGGGTCGGATTGCGGCATCCAGGCTTTGCCGTTGTTGATGGCAGGGAAAAGCTGCCATGATAATCTTATTGTTGGAAGAAAAGATGGTTAAATAGAGGAGAACGTTGAAGTGAAAGTGTCCTGTGCTGAGTCAAACTGTCAAGATAACACCGTCTGATACCAGGTGCAGGATCTGTGCAACTGTGAACTGTGTTGTGGCTAATGCCATCCTGAAATGAAAAAAGAAAAGAAGATGATTTGTCTAAGAAGCTAGGGTGCCCTACGAGGGCCTAAATGATTGTGGTAGGGCCGTGCACTAATTACGTAACAAACTGCACCTGTGTAATGTCCTGTTACACGGCTTGTTGGTTCCTGGAAATTGAATACCAAGAGCTTGGCAAGCGGCTGACCGTCGTCCCTACCCGTAATGCCACGGCTCACGTCGCCAACGGTCGACAGTAAGTGGTATAAAAAGCCCTGGCCTGCTGTGTAACCTTCACAAAGGCTTTCTAAGCGCGAATTTTCAATTACACTTGCGCTGTCCTAGAGTTCCGGCCCGCACTGGGACGAAGAGAAGGGGCTGTCCAACAGCTGCAGAGATTCGATCTGCTCGGAGGATGACAGTTTTCAATCAGAAATCACGAGGAAATCATGATTTTGTGACGACCCATCACAATCCGTGTGACGCAGCTGAAGGTCACCCCAAGCTGCAGCGTGTCAATGGGAACTGGTGATGAAGCATGGCTGGCCAGCCTCGATAAAAGAGATCTCAACTAAAAACATGCAGTCCTCCAGGATGGGGTATAGAGTCTGGTAGACATCCCAGGTGAGGTTGGTGAAGGTCGCGAGCTCTGACGGGGCGTAGGCTGGGGAGGTCAAGTTAGTCGCTTGCGCAATGCTTGGGATGGGAGTAGCGAGACCTGGATTGCGTGCAGTGGTGCCGATGACTCGGCGTAAAAAACGTACCATCTCAATACCTACCATTTAAGTTGAGGCAAAAATCTCAATCAAGCTACAAGATCCAAACCCCATAGCCTAGCCTCCAAAATCCACCCTACCCAACACGCGTCATTTCCTCCCTTCATGCCTCCAAGCCCTAACTCCAACCTCTCCCTATTCCCCAAGCCCTCACTCCAACCTCTCCCTATTCCCCAAACCGCATCCCTCTCCAAAATCCCCCCAATCCGCCCCTCCACCAGTGGGTAAACCTTATCATATTTCCCTTACCTATGCGGTATGGTTAGCGTAAACCGAGGAACGTACTGGAATCTCTGCATGGCAACTTTAGTCGAGGGTCCGAAATTAGGCCATACGGCTGCGCAGGCTAGGCTCGCCCATAGCTCACCCTAGCTCACCCTAGCTCACCCTATCTCACCCTAGCTCAGGGCGGCTTAGGGTCCCGCACAAACGTGGAAATTGCTGAGGGCATCTTGGTGTAAAACATTACTCTGCTGCAACGGCCACTGCGCCGCCTCCTCCCACTCCGAGCCATGAGCGATGTCGCGATTACCCTGCCCAGCCTTGCACTCCAACCATGCAGAAACTAATAGCCGGCTTCTAACGTCTGCATAATGCTGCAGCAGTACAAAAACATAGTCAACGTAGCGGGGTGACGCGCACGAAGAGGCTCGAGCAATTCTTCCGACAGTCCACGGCCACCCGAAAACCACACTCAACTCTTCCTTCGCCATGACCTCGACCTCTTTTCCACGAAACACAGCAACGAAGTGACCCCGAGCACGCGGCGACCTTCAACCCCTCCTCAAGTCCTTCGTCCGCCGCCATCCTCGCCTATTTCAATGCACAGAGCTCCCCTTTTTCGAGCGAGAGGCATGCGATGTGGAGGGCAGCCACGGAAAGGAGTTGATGCATGAGGTATAGGAAGCGAATGCTATGGCGGGGGATATCGTCTCTCAGCACGTGTTCCGTGTGGCGTGGAGTGGGAATGGTGCTGTACGTGACTGTAGTGTAGTGATGCATGAGCTCGAGGTTGATTATCCATGCGTCGGTGCTGACTGCAGCTACGTGGGCTTGAGGGGCGACACTCTCGCTCCTTGAAGCGCTGGAATCACCGATGGAAGGCGGGGCCCGAACTCGTCGGGGCAGTCGCTGAACTGCCCTCTGTGCGTCAGCGTTGCCGCCAGATTCGACGAGTCTGCATTGAAAATGGTGTCTCTTGCAAGACGTGCACGGCTGCTTTTTGTCACACGAACTTGCTGTTAGCGTCTAGTTTGAAGATAGGTATCTCGGGGACAGTCCGGACTGGGACAAGGAGGTACGAACCTTGACGCGTCTCTTCTTACACAAAACGCACCCGTTTCAGACTTTCGATACCCGAGCTGTGCCATGACTATTCGTGCCGCGGGGAGGGAGGGGGGACTCTGTCGCGGCCGACGCTGAGCAGCCAGAACCTCCCTGTGCCATAGCGTCGCTATACCCTAGTGCTCTACGCCGTTAGCGCCTTGATCATGGTTCGGTCACTTTTCCGTGTTATCCAGTTCATCTAGGGTCCTCAGGGAACGCTGATGACTAAAGAGGTGTACATGTATCTATTTGATGCTATGCTTATGTTCTTGGTCTCGGCTGTCTTTAACGTCTACATCCGTGGGCGATTTTACGAGGGTGGACTTACGAGGGTGGACTTACGAGGGCGGACACACGAGGGTGGACAAGGGGTTGGTGATGCGTTTGGAGAACAGGGCAATGAGAGGATACTATAGTTCCGAGGTTTAGAGCTTTGCGCGTACCTGGGAAGGCGTGAAGCACATGTCTGCTATTCAGGGGTTTTGGTTAAGGAGTTGGGAGGGGTGTGCCCTTTTTTTTGTCGTAGATAAACACTTCACCTATTGGCGTATAACAACCCTTTAACACGAGGATAGATTTCTTAGTGTGAAAAAATGCGCACAGAATCACGAGTTTCTTGTAATTTCCAAGTTTGGGATATTTTCGCCCTATGGGTGGTCAATTTCTTACCAATCATGAAACCGCCGCTTATACTGCCGGATGGGTATACGCCGAAGTAGAGTCCGCCCGTAAGGGGCCACAGAAGAATTAGGCAGCGCACCCTTTCCGGCTAAATGCAAGAACTAAAAACGGTGGCCAGACCTAACATCTTCTAGGGACATTTAGGTACGCGTTAGATGAACTAGCACTGTAATATGACATCCCGGTCTCGCCGTCAGCCATTTATACTTGGCGAGCCCCCCTTGGCAACTTGGCAGCTTCTCAGCCGCCTTCTTGGCTGCTTCATTTTAACTTGACTTTGAGCCATGTCGGAACTTCAGCGCGAACATGACGACGTTGAGTCGGCCCCATTCTTAGATGACGAAGTCAAGGAGATGTCTCCGCGGGGAGCACCTCTAAGCGATAGAGCTGCACCATCGAAATCGCGGACCCTCATATATCAGTGCTTCCTATACCTTCTTTTCAGTGCTGTTTCCTTTGGTCTTGGCAGGTATTCGTCGACAAACGAGACGAGGGAAAAGAACCTCTTACCGTCTCAATCCATCTTCAGCGAAGGTAAGAGCCTCATTCGCGGCTTTTATTTACAGCAGCCGCACTGCCCCGCCTGCACATGATTGCTAAAATGCAATAGTTTCAACAAAGCTTGTCACTTTTCAACCCGACGAGAGCTACAATGACGATCCGCTGGGGCCAGATGGGCTGTTAAGTCCATGGAGCAAGCTGTCACCACGTGCGTTTCATTCCTCTCGGGGCATACTTCTATTTGGTCTGTTTTTCTGATTTCCACAGCGGGCAAAGGACATGTCCGAGTCGACGACCCATCGGCATGGAAACTTTCGGGCGGCTACCCCCTGAACGACCCGGCCCATTCTGCCGCAGAGGAGTACACGGTGTCCGTGTTCCACCAGGTGCACTGCTTGGTGAGTTGGGAATTCTGAAACGGGCCGAAGAAGCTTTGCTGATGGGCCCACCATAACAGGCAGCAATCAAATCGAAGGTGTCGAAATTGCAAGACTGGTACCACGGAGAGAACGACAAGGAATATCTTGCCTTTGCACTCAGCCAAGAGCACATGCGAGACGATCACATCTACCACTGCATCGACTACATCCGTCAAGCGATCGTGTGCTGCGGTGATACGACGCTGGAAAAATCCAGGACGGTTGATGGCAAGATTGTGCAGGGGGTGGATGGTTGGGGGGTTGAGCATCAGTGTCGAGACTTTAAGGCTATTTTTGCGTATGGTGAGGCCCATCGGACTAATAATGACACGGGGATTGACTGAGGGTTGTCAAAAGGGTACACTATATTCTATCTGGTCCCGTATAACTGGGCCCGTATACTGGTGCAAACGGCGACTTGGTGTTGGTGATGTTGGTGAACGAACGAATATTTCCCAATTTTATCCTCTTCCACCTCCACCTCATCCCGGCGCTTCAACCCTCCACAACAGCTGCCCCCCACTTACTCATCAGTAAAGCTGCTAGGCCCGGTGTATGCCGCATCCCCAGGCCACTCAGACAAAGGCGAAACCGTAACTGACGAACCCGGAATGCGGGCATCGGTCAATACGATACGATACGCCGACGTCGGAGCAGGAAGCCTAGAAGCCCCCTCGCGCACTGCGGGGTCGTCCCGAATATGCACAGCCCGTCCGAGGCGCACAAATTGGCCCTCTGCAACCGCCCAGAGCTCTGTGCGATCGCGAAAAATCGTCTTCCGACGTACCATACGCAAAGCTGGCAATGCGAAGCGGATTTCGTCTGCCTTGCATGCTTTCAGAAGCCAAAAGCATGCAATAGCAGTTAAAAACGAGGGTATTCCAAGTGTGTATATTGTGTTGTGTTGTAAGAAGGGAAAAACAGGCCTGCGCCTAGAAGCCCAAAGACCAGTGTTAACGTGCTAAAAAGGCGGTCTAATTAGGTGCCCTGTGCGGGCCCTGCCCGGGCACCCTAGACCAGGCCGAAAGTAGTAAGGTCTTTCTGACACATGCCTATTATTTCCTAAAACGTGAGTTGTGCTTGAACGGAGCGCGATCTGATTCGATCCAAGCCAAACGATGTCCTCCATGCATCTTCAGCTCGCCACGTTAAGAGACATACATTACAAAATCCACTTGCCGGGCTTCCTGCGTCACCTCACCGCAACATGCAGTGCCCTCGCATTTTATGGGCACGGTCGCGTATCATCTCGGACTCGAGGTCTATCCCAGCCACCACGTCCCCGAGATGGCAGAGGAGAAACCAATGCTCCAGGAAAATACTGTCGTTTGGCAATGGACTTCCGATAATCCTTCATCCCTCGCCGGCCGAAACACAGATATCCGGAGAATGTTGGTGAACAGCCGGATCCGCCAATTCCACATGTCTTACTGCCGAAAGCCAGTGGCAAGCAGTTGATTGAGGGAAATCTCTGCACCTGCCTGGAAATTGCTGATGACTAATTTCAAGCTGAAGGAAGGTGCTACTTTTGCCCGAGGCTACTTCCCAGCGAGCGATGGAAATTACTCGCGATTGCAGTAGCACATGGCCAAGGAAATTTCCTGTCGTCCCTTTCATCATGCTTCCCATCGACAGCCCTGAGTGCCTTTCTCTCGGAGACTCTCTCCCGCCGGGGGATCCGCATGTAAGAGGTTGTTCCTCAAATTTGAGAACGATGGCGCTAACAAACGGCACAATCCAGGCAGTCAGCGTCTGTCTCCCGAAATGGGCTGACTCGGTCGGATGGGTAACGAAGGAGCCGCGTGTTGTCGATGCCATGAGGACCGGATATCCACGCTTTTTTATCCCACGAGCGGTTGAGAGGCTTGCGGTAATCATCATGCAGTGCCATGCTTCAAACGGTGGTGCAACGAATACGAATACCGAAGACGACCAGTTCTTGGTCCTTCCGAGTCGACGATACGCAACGCTAGCACACCGGTTTTTGTACGATGAGCATCAAGAGGGCACATCGGACAGCATTACTACCCTGCGTGTGAGATGGAATGGGCTGGTTCGAGTCACCGACGCCCCGGGAAGCGACGGAGACGGGCCCGTCTCGAGCGATTCGGGGCGTGCCACACCCGAGGAACCACTTATACCGCCTCCATTGCCTCACCACATCGTCTCCAGCATCAACAAGAAATCTTCCGTATCCAACAACCACCCCACGGCCAGCCCGAGACTCGTCCCATCGCGCGGCGTGCACGAGGATTGCCCCGCGGTCGGTGATCAGCCATGTGGAACCGAAGACATCTTCATTGTCTCGTTCCCAAAAGAACTTTTGCTCGCAGCCAAGGCATTCTGGCAACACACAGGGTTTGGGATATCCAGCAGGAGAGCAACGTTTTGGTCCGAGTGCGCCCCCATTCTCTCTGAAAGCCACTCTTCCACTTCCCTGCAGAACGATGCCGCGACGGCGAGAGCCGAGCTCCAGGCTAGGATGGCATCTGGTCATTCATCCGAGGGCTTCCAAGTCAACCCACGCGACGTTTTCCTCTACCCCACAGGTATGGCCGCCATTACCGAGGCCGCAATCGCAGTCCAGTCGGTCCAGAATCAAACTCCCAGGGTTGTAGCTGTTTTCGGGTGAGCCACCAGCCCTGTCACAGCCCGGCAGCTCGCCAACGGCACCGCTAACGGCACCGCTAACATCCCCCCTCCTCCCTCCCCCCAGCTTCCTCTACGTCGACACCTTCAAAACGCTATCCCGCATCCTCGGCTACTCCACTACAGTCTACAACTACCACCCCGGCGAGATTGACAAGCTCGAAGCCGCTCTCACAAACGGCAACCTCACCCTCTCCGCCCTTTTCACCGAATTCCCCGGGAACCCCCTCCTTCAATCCCCCTACCTCTCCCGCCTCCACACCCTCTCCACGCAGCACAACTTTCTCCTCATCGTCGACGACACCCTCAGCAGCTACCCCAACGTCAGCCTCCTCCCCGAGTGCGACCTCATCTGCACGAGCCTCACCAAACTCTTCAGCGGAAAGTCTAACGTCATGGGCGGATCTGTCATCATCTCCCCTACCTCTCGGTACTCCTCACACCTGCACGCCGTCCTCACTGATAATCACGACCCCGCGACTTGGTTTCCAAGTGATGTCATCACAATGGAACGAAACAGCCGCGATTTCCCCGCTCGCGCTCACAGAGCAAGTTTCACCGCAGACAAGCTCGTCTCCCTCCTGCGCGCCCACCCAGCCGTAGAAGAGGTCTATTATCCTAAAGGAAGCCCCACACAGGACATCTATGCCCAGCATAGACGCCCGAATGGTGGATGGGGCCATATACTCTCGATACGGTTCAAGGAGGCAAGTAAGGCAGTGGTGTTCCATGATGGACTTGATGTGGCGAAGGGACCGAGCTTGGGGACGAACTTCACGCTGGCGTCGCCGTATGCGGTGTTGGCGCATTGGGGGGAGAGGGAATGGGCGGCCGGGTACGGAGTTGTGGAACACTTGGTAAGGATTAGTGTTGGGCTGGAAGGTGAGGAGTGGGTGCTTGGGAGGGTGAAAAGGGCGTTGGAGGAGGTGGAGGCTGCTTGATGTGGGGCCTTGGTACTGTTCGGTAGGTGTGCGAAAGATGGAAACCGCCAGTTTATCTCTGGGCGGTCGGACTATTACATTTTCTAGGATGGAAAAGGGCGCGGAGATTCCTACAGTTCGGTGCATCGTCGACACCAGTAGTAATAGGCTACTCAGCTTCGTTGAATGAACGGGCATTTTGTCTGTTAGACTAGAGGTTTCTTCCTTTTTTCTTTCTTTTTTTTTCTTTCTTTTTTTTTCTTTCTTTCTTCGCCTCTATTTCTTTTTCTATCTAGGTCTCTGATACGGGTTAGTGAAGAGTGAAATATGGAGTACAGTCAGGGTCCAACATTATCCGAGCACCTCCTTCAATTAAACGCGAAAGTGGCGCGTCGCGACCACGACGATTTCTTCAACCCGCCACCAAACCACGAAAAGATGTACGATTCGCATGCACTCGCCAAATATTTAACCGCTAATCGCGGTAGATTACAGGAGTTGCTGCCAACTTCATGTGCAGCCATTATAGCACTGTTAACAAGCGGAAAAAACGAGTGCTTCTACACACGCTTGTCTCGCGTTACACACGCTTGTTTCGCGTTTCCACCTCCACAGTCTACCACACCTTCGACCACTAGAAAAAAACACGAAACCTTCGATTCCAACACCGGCCGAGGCCGTCCCGAGGTTCTTTCACGTCGTGAAAAACAGTATATTCTTACCCTCGTCAAAAAGAACTAAAATCTCGCCAAGAAAGCTCTTCTCAAAGCTACCGGGTCCCGCGTCTCCTACTTTACCTGTTGCGCCTCCCGAATCTTGCTCTCCTCAGCCCTTGTTGACCACAATACCCCTCGCCGCTTTTGCTCAGGCGATAGCGATGAAATCATCAGGGAGGTGACTGAAATTGGGTTAGACCGGGTCGGCAGTAACCTGAATGCCTGGAGCTCAGAAGAGGAAAATAGGCAACTTTTCGCGAGGGAAGTGCTCGTACTATAGCGGCCCAAAACTAGGATCGCCGAGGAACACATAAATACTGGCTCGCCCATTTTAAGAGCTGCTCGTAGGGCCCATTTTATGGCCATCCCTACTCTTACCTTCTTAACCTTTTCAAAAAAAATTTCGCTTTGCTATTTCCTCACTCCATCTCGAGTAGACCGCTACATTGGCTCTTAACTCTCTAGTTGGTTAGATCCATAAACATTAATATCCTATTCATTATTGTTGGAATCACCAGTGTACCGGTACTGGAAACAACAGGGCGCGCTGCGCGCCGTAAACTGGTGGTTCAAGTGATGGATTCGTTATGTTTCTTGTAGGAAGTTCAGGAAGGGGGTTCGCAGGCCACTTATATAGACCTTGTGGCCCTGCCCCTCCACAGCCACCTCCGTGGCTGACGGCGTAGGGCCCTGTGGCCTACGCCTCCACCGCCCCCTCCGTGGCTGACTAGCGCGTTATTCCAACAATTATATACTAAAATTTTCAAACCGATTTTCTCTTTTCCTCACGCCGCCAAAGACCACTACCGAATATGGTCAGGAAAAGGATAGCAGAGGAGAGGAGAAGATACGCAGAAGAGAATGGATTCGATAATAACGATACGGATATTAATGATGTTAAAATATGGCCAGCAACTGGGCGTTGTGGGTGTTCAGGGGCTCTGGCCCCCTGAACCCCTGATAGGGGTCCTGACCCACAGAGGCTCTGCCGTGACTTGATCAGTGCGTGGACGCCATACCTAGATTGTCAACTAAGCCCCACAGCACGTTCTCGAACCACCCACAAGTTGAAGGAGAACTCACTGAAAGACTGTTGATCAAAGACTCGTAGAATCTACTAGAATGCCCAACGCAGGTCTATTTAGACCTGTCCTCTCCTGTAGTTAGATTTCCTTTCTCCAAGCAAGCATCTCACTCACCACTCTTTGTACTATACATCTTATATAATACAACTCCTCTCTGTCTTCTACAGCACCCACCGTTGCCCCTGAAGACCTTCACTGTAGGGCAGAGTTTCCTACAGCCTGCGAGGTAGACTGCTGAGCAGAGCTCTCACAGTCTAAGTGGTAGGTCTGTAGCAGAGTTCTACAGACCTGTCGCAGTCAGCTTGCTTCCCTCAGTGCCTTACACAGGGCACTGTTGTACTGGACTGTAGGGCAGAGTTTCCTACAGCCCACCTGCGGTACTGATACTGCATTACAATCGACCTACCCTGCACTTGTTTCCCACCAACGCTACCGCTTTCGCTGCACCTGCCACAGTACTGTGCACCCTGTATAGGTGCTGAGTTCAGGCCTATACAGGAACGTAGTTCATTAATTAACGAGGAGGGAGACGTATGGGAGGTTGAAGACTTGCTTGCTAAGTGGAAGCAAGGAAGAAGAGTTCTATACCTGATGAAGTGGAAAGAGTTTTCTGATAACGACAATACGTAGGAGAAATATAGCGACATAAACGATGTCCTGGTGAACGTGTTCGATACAGAGCATCTAAAGCACGGAGGGAACTATTCTGGAGTAGAGCTTCTAGACAAGCGGTTACGTCGTGGGATAACGGAGTACCTTGTGAAGTGAAAGGGACGTCCTTCCACAGACAATTCTTGGGAGAAAGAATCAACTATAAGTCGTAAGAGGATTAGACAGTTTGAGGCATGTAGGAAAGGCGGTACTACAGAACTATAATTTGGGCAGAAACCGATAGAATATAAAGTCGACAATTTTCACTTCATCTTATGACAATACTAAAGTTGCAATAATATTGGAGGTCCAGGCATTACGTCCTACTTATTTATGTTGCATTACTGTTTACATAGCACACCTAGTTTATTATAATCGCCAACTATTGCTCAACCCTTTATGCTAGCGAGCTACGTATTAATTCTGCCGGCAGAAAAATTACGCCCCTAGAGTTTCTGCTAGGATAATAGACCCAGTTTTCGTCCTCTAAGCTCGAATTCGGGTCCGTCGTCGCGCGATACGTACCTTTTTCTGCCGGCAGAAAAGATACACTCAGTTTCCGTCTATAGGCTAAATTTCGACCAGGTACGTACTTATTCTGCCGGCAGAATTCTCCAAGACCTAACTCTCATTCCTCCGTATTCTACAACTCCGTTTCTGCCAGGGGAATATGAGACCCAGTTCTTGGCTACGAACCCATATTTTGTCCCCCTTACTATAGGCTAGGCACCTTTTCTGCCTCAGGCCATAGCGGCTCGTCTTTATTTTACTCAACGAGACTGCCGCCTCATCTCGTCATTCCCATCGCGTAGTGGGTCCTTTGCACCTCTACGTCCGGGGATGACCCGTCGCGGCCAACGCGGCACCAGTCATTGAAGGAAAGTGCGGTTGAGACGCGGCGGGTAGGATGTGCTGGCCGCGCTAGGCGAGATCTGGCGTGTTACGGTGGGGTAATTCCTACCGCCCGAGCTAGGTGAGGTCTGCTCCGGTACGCATGGTTCTACTAAGTACGTACTTATTCTACCGGCAGAAATTATCTCCGATTATATACCGTTTTTGCCGCCAGCATATAAGGCCCAGTTCTCGGCCACGAGCTCAGCTCCGCACACTCGGCGCCTAGCTGTGGTAAGACGGCAAAGTGGGTAATAAGCGGCCGAGATCCAGGTACCGACCGAGCCAAAGGTGAAGCGGAAGTGGTGGAAGCTAGTGTTAGACGTGTCCCGGCCCCTGCGCTGCGTGTGTTCCTCAGCGGCTGACACCGTGCTAGGCTGGGCAAGACCTCGCGCAGCTTTGTTACGCGCAAAGGAAGCTTCCTCTCTCTAAGTACCAATGGCGTAAGCCCATCAAGATGCGATACAGCGGGGAGCTGCCGGGGGCGCGGCGCTCGTTGAGGCGACCGGCGGTAGCGTTGAGACGGTGGTGCATTGGGGCTCGCGCCGTCGGGTATCGTGCCTATATCAACCCCCCTTCCGCGCCGCCCTTCAATCGGCGTTGCCAGGCTCCACGCTGTCGAGGCACATTTCTCGCCGTTCGACGCTTGAGATTCGTCATGATAGCTAGAGCGTATCCCCTCTTCCCTCTTCTTAAATACTTACGCCAGCCCTATCCAAATAGTGCGGACGCTCTATATATAGACCCCGGCTGCTTCGTATACAAAATCGGCGTACGCGGCCTGCAGTATCCGCGTCGAGATTAAAATAGTGTATTATACAAAACACGTCTGAGACTTATAGCATCTTCCTCCTCCTACTACCACCTCCCTCTATTCTAGATGAGCCCCGGCTCAGCTTCGGCAATATCTGCCAATTGAACATCACAGCCTTCCCAGAAGGTGCAGTTTTAGCCGAAGGGCCTAAAAATGGTCCCGTGCAAGCAAAGGGCCTAGTTCTGTAACATTTGCACCCGCCACCACCCAGAACTTTATAGACAATTCGTCCAGCCTACCGCTTAGGAATGCTTGTATCCATTACTAGTCGCTAACACTGGGGAGGTTTAGGAGATGCCTTCGCTAGTAGGCGTTTGGTTCACGATTCAGGGTTAAGGGGCGAAGAAAAACCACCCACAGTGGTAGGGAATCTAACGATGGTTCGAAGGGACGAACCAGCGCCTTAGCATCGGCCACTCGCAGGAAAGGTAAAGACACCCATGGCCATTCATCGTGTGAGGCGAGGCGCTCGATAGATCATCACCAACCATACTATGACGCTAGTAACCATTGGTCGTCTAGAAGCGGGGTTTGGAATCAGATGGAAGCTTGGGCTTGTCGGGCACGACTATTCCTACCAATTTCCTCCGGTCCTAGTTTGACGCCTTGGACAGGTTATTCGTCTTGATTGCCCGCGCATTGGGGAAATGACCCCGCACTCAGCCATCACTTTCCTTTGCGGAGCAATCATCAACTTCTCACGGACCCAGGGCCTTTACCAAACCGACCGAATGGCAAACGACAACAATTGGACGTCAGAGGTCTGCGACGAAAAACTGAAGCTGCTTCTAAGTGGAGAGCGGAGCAGCACTGAAAAAGCAAAGATACTTATTGATCTACTTGAAAATGGCTACCTGTGCGTAGGCGCTGAACTCGATCCTGACAGCAAAAAGGACGATGACAATATCGAGTATCCGGTCGGCCAGAGCCTAGCAGCCCAAGTTCCAGGAGCCCTCAAATCCCAGGACGATATTAGGCTTTCACAAACCCAAATACAAATGGTTACTCAGGACACTTTCGGCTTTGGCGACCCAGAGTTTGTGGCTAATAAAAATCTCAACCGTCAACATTCGCAAACCTCCGGCTTTGGCAACTACCAAAGATACGCTGATGACTTTGACAACCTAACCGACGATGGCGGAAGCTATTATGGGCGTGGTGGCGCGGTTCGGACGTTCCTAGCGCTGGCCTTCGAACCCAAGGGTACAAGAAAGTGTTGGAGTTCGCCATTATCGCGGATATGCTCACAAACTGAACGAAGGTTGCAATGATGATACAGCTCGGCAACTCTCCTTACAATATTCTCCCCTATTCTGACTGCCCTGACACTAAGGCATATACCGGTATATTCTAAGACATCTTATCATGTACTGGTATACTGTGGGACATTCTATTTAGTGCTGTCCTAAATTTGGAGCTGAGGTACTATGTACCATTCCAGTGCTGGTATATCATGAACTATCCCAAATTCCGAGCTGGGTATTGTGCACCATCCTAGGCCATGTAGTAGTATATCCTGGTCCAAAATCGGGATCGTGGTCCAGCATTCGGGCCATTAGGGCACTGTCGCCTCTTAGCAGATTCCAACAGCGGTCCCAAATTTGGGCCTTAAGGGTCAGATCTTCTCGCGAACAGGACAGCCGGTTCGGTGCCAAGAGAGTACAGCCAACCCCTGTAGCCTAGCGTTGTGGCCAAGAAGTACTGCATGAAGGCCTGGTCAGTTGAACTATCCACGAATAGTATAGTTGCCAAGGAGTCTCACCGCCTTCATCGGCCACCGATGTGACGATTGCAAAGAGAGCTTTGTTGACGCCGCTGTTGCTTCGAGTCTGAATCCAGTGCAGAACCTTGATATTTCCCAGCCAAATCGATAGATATGGCACCCCAGCGCGACAGTACGAGCCGGTCGTCGTCAATTGAGCCCTCTGCCGAACGCTTCCTCAACGACACTCCGAGCCCAGCCCCACTCGTTCGCGAACGAGCCGGACAGCGAATCCGACACCGTTTCGAGCCAGGCCAGCGATACTGACGATGCTGACGAACGATCTCAATCGCTCTCCCCAATAGGGCCAGTCGACCGCGAACCGGCTGGAAACCAGGGCTGAACCGTTCAATTTCGCGGTTCGCGCGAACCGCCTGTTCAGCTCTCCAACCGGCAGAAAACACCAGAATCACCCCTGTTTTCTAACCTCCTCCGGTTAGCCGCGACCTGCATTAGCGCGGTACATCGCCAACAAGGGCCTGTGGCTTCGAAATTTGCGAACAGGCTGTTCGCCCGACTTGGCCAGCGAAATTGCTGCCAGAAACGGGATAGTGGCCCTCGAAAAATCAGTCTTGGCACACCTGAACAGCCTTGGCAGTCCGAACCGGCTGTCCTGCTCGCGAGAAGATCTGACCCTAACTTGCTTACTTTCCAGAATTCGGGCTACAGTCACCAGCGAAATCGGCTTCCGCTTTTCTCTTACACATCCGTCTGGCGCACGGACCATTTATGCATCTAACCATCCACACCGTATGCCTATAATGCAACAATGTAGTATTATGATGACCCTTAGCCAACCTAAACTACTAGTTAGAAGTGGTTTCCGCAAGAAATGGCTATCATTATAATGACGGCCATTAAATAATAAGGCGAATCTAGCTCCATTGCAAATTTCACCAACGGTTGAAACATATGAGAGGGCAGGGCTGATTCTTTCACCAAGTGCCTTACCGTTACAACAATGCGGGTAGGGTCTCGCATAATCATGTATAGCTACCTCAAAACATTATTGACACTGCTAGATGTAAGTGTTGCGTTCAACGAGGTCAAAAATTGGTGTAGAATGATGTGTTCTGGAAGGAAGAAAGGAAGGCATAAAGCCCTGTGTATGCTAGTTAAATACCCCCACTGCAAGTGGGCCCTGGTGCGCAACAGGTCGCCCTTGGCACTACCAGATGCCGCTCTTCACGCCGAGCAGTCCACCGAGTCGGAGAATGCCTCTACCTGGTCGAGCATGATGGCTGAAATGTCCACCTTTGAATGGAAGTGGAGGCGAAAACCAGCCAAGGAGGGCGACAGACCTCATGGAAAGGAGGTCACAATAGCTGTGGACGGAGAGGGCGCCCTGTATGCGGGCAAGTGGACCATCCGGTGCATCTTGCGGAGGCAGGTAAAGCTCGGACACGACATTTGGGTTCTTGAAATCGACAGGCTCGATGCTCCTCCGCCGCCTGCAGTGGAGGACTACGAGAGTGAAGAACCTCTGTGGGCAGGACCCCAAGGTTCGGCTGCGGGGTATATGATGGCGCCTCCCCCTCTCCACAATCATGAGCCCCCTCTCTTCGGTCAACCAAGTCAAGACCTTGTTCAGCAGGTTATACACCCAGCTTTTCTCTAAGCCGCTGAGATTCGGAAGAGATAATCGTACCCTCCATAGAGAGGCGTCGCCTCTGGCCATTGAGATCAGCTGTACCATCCGCCACTACGTGCATGCATGTTTATACCGAGGAGCAAGGGCGCTTGGTTAGGCGTTCCTATACTGCTTCAATCGAGCAATGATTTTTAGGACTCACGACAGAAACCTTTTGCAGATTTGTTGCTCAAGGCTACTGTGGTTGGGCGGTTAGGCTGTCTGCGGGTTTCGCAGGAAGACGGTGCCTGCGAAGAACACTGCAGAGTGAGCAGAAGCCCTCGTTAGACTAGGGCTGGTCAAATGCCAGTTTATTGGTACGAAACTACCTCTCTGTTGCTTTCCTGCGGAATTCTCTTCAGATCCTTCGGCGGCGGCGGTTGAAGGTGTGTTGTGATTGGTGGGGGGGAGCTTCCCCGCTTGGTAGTCCCTCCCTTCATCAGATCTACTTCAGCTCTCCGTCGCACAACTCGGCGCTCCGTCCGAAACTCGAAGTCGTTCATCCCTCAGCCATGTTTCACAAGCTGACCGAGAAACTCGTGCATCGCGGGAAGAAGCCCGCGGAAAATCCCTGCATCTCCGACACTGGCAGCAGTTATCAACCCCTGCCTAACGGGCAGCACATTCGACTCCTCAACCTGAATAGCGGGAAAGGCAGCCAGCCGCTCTCTGGAAAGCTGTGGACGTATCCACTCGAAGACGCTCCCGAGTTCGACGCCATTTCCTACGTTTGGGGAGAGAGAGCCCAAGGGAGCCGCCTCGGGTCGATTCCCTTGACCGAAAACCTTGCTTCGGCTCTTCGTCGCGTTCGTCTTAGGGACAGGAGCAGATTGATCTGGGCCGATCAGATCTGCATCAACCAAGCCGACATCGAGGAGCGGAGTCAGCAGGTGACGCTCATGGCTGACATCTATCGCCGCTCCTACAGGACGCTCATCGTTGTCGGAAACGCACCTCGACGCAAGGCAAAAGAAGTGTCGTCTTTTGTAGCCGAAATCAGCTATACCATACGCCACTATCTACGGAGAAGCAAGGGGGCTTGGTCAGGCGTTCCTATGTTGCTTCAGTCGAGCAATGTTTTTCACGACCCACGATGGAAAGCCTTTGCCGATTTGTGCTCAAGGCCGTGGTTCGGCCGTCTTTGGGTGGTGCAGGAAGCAGCCCTCTCTGCAGACGCTTGTGTTCTCTTCGGCGACGTTGAGATTGCCTGGTGTGATCTGACACTCGTGCTGCGTTGGATCATGTGGCGAGCTCGAGTTCTGGCATTCCACTATCGTTTTAGCTGGCATGGCATTCATGCCACCAGTCGAGATGCGTGGGCGGGCAGCAGCTCAGAAACCTGGCTCAGCATGATCTGGGCTGCGAGACGCCTCCAGTCAACAGAACCACGCGACCATGTCTACTGTTTCCTTGGACACCCTTCAGCCCGACATCCTCAAAGTGGGAGCCTGATCGTACAGCCGGACTACACCAAGAATATAGCGGCGGTGCACTCAGAGTTCGCCATCAGCTGGATCAGACGAACCCGCAATGTCGGTATCTTGGCTTATGCATCCAACCTGGCTTGGGTGGATGAAGCTGACCCGGCGCCTTCGTGGGTTCCCCGCTTCGATGTCGACGACGGGTCTCTAGTTCAGCTGGATGATGTCGGACACGAGGTCTTCAAAGCCGGTCGGGACCTCCGAAGGCCACCTATCCTCAGCGTCGATGGAAAGGCGCTGGCGCTCCAGGGGATCGTCTTCGACAAGATCTGTTTTCGTTCCGACACATTCGTGGCCAGCGACTTCCAACGGACCACTCCACGAGTCGAACGGATGCAGACTTGCTACAACAAGGCTGCACTGGCCGAGAAATGGACCAAGGTCGCCCAGTATGTGCAGCGAAGCTAATAAGTCAAGCAAGTCAAGTGAAGGGCCATACTTGACTTGCTTGATAGGACCCATCCCATACTTGACTTACTTGCAAGTGGTTATCAAGTGCTTGGCATCGGTGGCTGAGGCTTGGCACCCCACCCAAAAATTATCACGACGCAATTTTTTGGTGTTGTGAACAGCCTCATTTTTACCCACACACTACAAAAACCCGCAAAATGCTATACTGGCCCTACATCAAAACCTACACAACCTCAATCTAGCCCCTCAATCCCTCATTCCCCAAACAAGCCCAGATCTGCTCAATTCACGATTTCCCTAATTCAACGCCTCCTAGCGTGATGCCACCCTGGTTGACCCAATTTCGTAGCAGCTGCAATATCTCAAGCGTTTGAGGCTGGAGACGGCACCGCTGTGTAGATACTGACAATTTGGCTTGACTGAACTGCCGCTCGTAGTGATCTGCCATGGCTGGCATAGCTAGAAGATCCAAGGCCAACCGGCTAAGCCGTGGAAAGCTCTGTTTCCTAGCCACCCACCAATCTATTGGATCCTTGATGTTCTTGTCAGGCTGTATCTCAAGATACTGCCCAAGCTCGTTTGCTGTTTCTGTACAGGGATCATCATCTGCATCTGCCCAGTCCCGATACAGATCTGAATTTGGTTGCTGATGCTGCTGTGATGCCCTCATGGGAGAAGCCCGGAAATCATCGTGTCCGTGGCCTGGATAGTCGCGATCCAAGAACGATGTGAGCCCTTCCGTGGCATCACTCAACCACAATAGCTGCTCAGCAAGGGTCCATTTTCGTTGCAGCCACTTGAGCCCGTATCTAGGGTTCAATATCACAGCTGCTGCAAAAAGAGGTGACTCTCCGATAACCGTATAGTACTCGTTGAGCTTGACCCATGCGCTGTTGATGGAGATGCGCATGTAAGCTTGGTGATTAACGCCCATGACCCGAGCATCTTGGTCAGAGAGGGTAATGTAGTCATCCCTCACATGCCCGGGCAAAGCATGTTCGTCGAATCGGCTTGTTGGGACGGCAGCAGCAGCGGTTTCGGCAGCAACAGCAGCCCTGGTGCGGCGTCGGTTTGACCGATCGTGATGCCGTTGGGCATATCTCGGCTCAAGAGAATCGGCAGCTGGGAACAGAGCTGGGTCAAGAGGGATATTGTGACCGGCATCGACTGAATCCCGTACTATCTCGGCAGTGACTGTGTCATACCGAGTCTTCAGCATTTCGAAATGATCCAGGAGCCATTCCATTTGCATCAATACCATCCAGAGGGCTCCGTTGTTACCCTCGGCCTGTAATGTGAAGCAATGGATCGGCTCAAGCACTTGCTGAAGCTCCCCGAGCAAACGCCAATCGTCAGGGGTCAATCGATCCTCTGCTGAAAGCCTCGCATTTCCGTGAGCCTCTGGATGGATGTCGACTGCTGTTAGATAGGCCTGGATCTGCCCATGGAGTCTCCAAGCCCGTCGGATCATTAGATGGGTCGAATTCCAACGTGTGGCGTTGTTCTGGACGAGCTTCAGGTCCTTGGATGAGGCCTCCGGCGATGTGAAGATCTCCAGATCGTCAAGATCACTCTCCTCAGCCGGACGACCATTTAGTATCTTGCTGAATGCCTCTATGCGTTGTGGCGATGCCCGGATAAATTTCACGATATTGTGAAGCTTGCCAACAGGGCCCTTGCGTCGCCAATGTTGTAAATCTTCCTCTTGTTGCCCCAGCAGATGGAACCTTTCCGACTGCAGCTCAAAGGCATCAGCCTCAGTCCCGAATAAGAAAGCCTTGGCTGTCAGATTCAAGATATGTCCCCAGCATCGCATCCTTCGGGCCTTGATGGCATTCTCAGATCGTGGGCCCAAGAGCTTCGGATAGAGGGCTTGCAAACAAGCATCGTTATTTGATGCATTGTCACAGATTGCCATCCCAATTTGCTCTTGAAAGCCCCAGTCCCGTATAACCTCCTCGATGGTCATGGCAAGAGCCTTGCCGCTGTGCCGGCCAGAGTGATGCCTGAACGCAACCAGCCGATGGCAGCGTTGATGCTGGAGGTTCAGAAAGTGAACGAAGATGGCAATGAATGCTAGGTTGTTTGGAGAGGTCCAGAGGTCAAAACTGAAGTTGATGGAGGATCTAGCAGCCCGGATCTCTTTCGTGATGATGCCCTTCTTGAGGCCAAAGATGTCCTTGAGGTCGTGGACCATCGTGCCCTTGCTCCACGGCACATCTGCAGCTACAGGAGCATTCAGATTTGCCAGTATCGCTTGGAAGAACGGGTCGGTAAAGATGGTAAAAGGAAGATCGGCGTTGACCATGAAACCAACCGCCAGTTGGCGTATCTTGTTGATCCTGGCGGCAGGGATTGGATCAGATGCCTTCCGTTTGCTGGCAGCAGCAACCTGAAGATCCATGACCGAAGCCGGTTCTTCCTGGTCATCCTGACTCGGCTCGAGATTATGAATCTTCACCAAATGGTCGGTGACTGATGTGGTGGCTTAGACCAGGAAGAACCGACCCTTTCTGAATGCATCGCAACGGCTGCATGCCCAGACAACGGCTGGCTTGGGGGTATCTCGTGGGCCTAGCTCGACCAGAAACCATCCATGATGTTTAATCCAGCTCCTTCGACCTCGCGATGTCTTTTTGTAGATTAAAGATTCAAGGACAAATCGGCGGTTGTCCCAGGAAATCTTGTAGAGATCCTTAACATCGTCATCGTTTGGGGAGGCACTCGCGAGGGCTTCTTCGACTTGTGTAGCGAGGCTTTCACGTCGGCCGGAGAGGGCACTAAAAGCCGAAGATGTTGAGCGTCGGGAACGGTCTTGGGTTGAGGGCATTGTCGAGGATTATATCGGGGGCTCGGGGAGGAGGGCGTCGAGTAGCTTGGTCGGCCGGTTGATGCTCTGGATCGCACGGCAGCATGCATCGGATCCACAGTCAAGACGCGTGGGCTTGCGGGCTTGTTTTCCTACAGTAACTGCCATGCGCGCCGACACTAACCCTAAATAGGGTTGTTGTCAAGGTTGGTGGCCGGGGCTGTGGACACGAGCCAGGGTCAACCAAACCACCAACGGAACCGGATTAACTTATTTTTCCGGGGTCTGAACAGCCTCAAATACTTGTTACTTATCAAGTGGAACAAGTATTCGGGCCCTCAAACTTGACTTGCTTACTTGACTTGTTACTTGTTACTTGCTTGATATACTTGACTTAGTAGCTACGCTGAGTATATGTTCGATCCAGACACACCAAACGCTTACGGCCCTGATGAATGGTCTCTATTCTCAGCTTTTGCAACTGCCCTGACGGCACTGGCGTCCGGTGAAAGCAGCCGCCACAGGGAAGACTTGGCCGCGGCTATCCTGTCCATGAACCGCCTCCCCAGCATCATGTCAAAACTCCCCCCACCGGCGCAGGAGATGTTGCAACAGCGGGCCCTTCGTGCTTGCGAAGAACAAAGCGAGCGTGATATCGAGGCCCTCGTTGGACCAGGGCTGGTCAAACGCCAGTTCATTGGTACGGAGTTAGGCTTCCTCGGCCTGGCTCCGCCCAGTCAAGAGGGTGACTCTCTCTGTATCATCTACGTTGCTAAGACCCCATATGTTTTCCGCTATGTTGGCGGTGAACTTGAGGGTTACACACTGGTGGGGGGGTGTTATGTTATGGGCGCAATGGACGGGGAGATTGTGGATGCCTGTGATAAGGGTATCAAGTATGCCGAGGGAAATGTGATTCTCGTCTGAGGATCTCATAATCACGGGCTTGAGGGGATCATAGCCGGAGCGGACTTGGGCAGTACAGCCGAGTAAGCGGCGACGAATTTGGACACACTTACTTCACGCAACAATTAACTGTGGTATCCAAGATCTTGCTGAAGGAAGAGAACAGGATGGAATTCCGGTCCGGGACCTCTCCAGACCTGGAAACTCTAGATGGGATGGCTTGAACTTCCATTCTCGCCAATTCCGGAATAGCTTCGGCGTGCACGGCCAGCTGAGCTTAGGCCCGTGGCTTTGGCGGGGCTGGACTCGGACTGCATGAACCTATCGCGACTCCAATGAGATACTGTGGTGGGTACCCCGCAGCCAGAGGGCAGCTGAAACCGGCTTCACTAGACCAAGTCGGCCCGGCCCGCACCTGGTAATTAATGTATGGAATCGCGTTCGGCAGTCTCGAGGACGGAGGCAAAGACTCTCGCTGGGCATCCACCTTTCTGCATTGGTGGTCTAGATGGCACCATCAGATGCTCCGCAGCTCGTTGACCGTCCAGTTGGCTTTCTCGAAAATAGATTGTGGCCAGCTGAGATGGAACAGCCCGCTGTGGGGATGGCCCAATTTGGCGACGCACACAGCACAAAACGGAAATAATCGTCATCACTATGGCCAGCTATGTCAGGGCTGAGGCATCGGAAGACCGCGATTTCAGCGCCGAAGAGGCACATCAAAAGCGTCAGCCGACCGCAGTCATTGGTTCGCTTGTTGTCTACCTGCAACAGTCATTCGAGTATAACTCATGTGGCTTGCTTTTCCAATTCGTATTCGATATTTGGACCCTTCAGTCCGGTTGACGTCTTCAGGATTCCTCACCTACATCACATGGTCCAAAAGGACTATATATGCAGACTCAATAGCCACCACTCAACCTCTAAAATCCTCTTTTGCTTGACAACCCATCCTCTGAAGCCGTATCTCGCGAATAAGCTCAACTCATCAGCCTCATTACCATCCTATTATCCATTTCGGGCGGAACAGTCTACGATGGCTTCAAGAGTATATTGGACAACGACTGCCCCATTCACAGTTATAGTTGCGGGCGTCCCTACCCAATTCGTTTATCTCCGCTTTGGCATCACCACAATCGCAGTTGCAGATCGAGTCAACCAATGGAAGAACTACTGCCCTTTGCCCGTGGTGCTAGGTGGTTCCGTCCTCAGTCAGGCAAACATCGGCGGCAACGATGCTGATAATGCTATCAGAAGGTATGCCATTGTACCGCCCCCCATCTCCTCTTTAGATTTCCTAACGAAAGTGTACCTACCTAGGCTACTCATCAATCCCGCTCTCGTCAATCCGCCGAATCCCGGGCTGGCTTGGACTTTGTCTCAACCCGCCACCCAGATAGATTGGTTTGTGGTTCCTGTGATACAGCCGGGTGGTGCTACTGTGGGCAATCTGGTACAAGCATCAGTCAATGCGACGATTAATGCCGGGGGTTTGAGCGCCGCAAACATAGACGCTTTCGTTACTCACATGTACAACAATATCAATCACTGAATGGGCGTTTGAGCCGACGGAGGAAAGGCCGGCGGGGTAGTTCCCCGCAGCGCCGGGATGCAACCAATAGGAAGCGGACAGGCCGGTCAGCGCGGTCAGCACGATCAGAGCTAGTCCTAGTTCTATAGAGAGCTGGCAGAGCGCCCTCCCCGGAGGAAAAGGTTCTGCAGCTATCAATGTATATGGTTGAGCATATAATGGTGTAGTGCTTGAAAGAAGGTCTTTCGCAATCTGTACTTCAATTGATACTCCTTGCCTTTGTTTACTCCCGGGGAGTGATTCCTCACTGCAGTTGTACACCCCACCCCCCTTCACAATCCCAGGCAGGGCCTGGCACCGTGGGACGTTGTCTCAGATTGTAACAAAGGTCTTTCGCAATCTGTGCTTCATTGATACTCCTTGCCTTTGTTTACTCCCGGGGAGTGATTCCTCACTACAGTTGTACACCCCACCCCCCTTCGCAATCCCAGGCAGGGCCTGGCACCGTGGGACGTTGTCTCAGATTGTAACAGCGGTGCTTTACCGACGAAGAAGCCTAGTAGGCGCTACTACTCCCTGAAGCCGAGTTAGCGTATAACAATAGCGTATACGTAACTATCGGAGTGAGCCCGTTCAAGGCCCTATACTGCTATAACCTTCGAATAGTGGACTACGTACCCTCGAGCAAGCTAGCCAACCTGAGGGAAAAGATATACTACTATTAGTAGAAAGCCGTAGATTTATAGAAGAAGTACTACGACGTACGGCACTAGTGAATCGAGTTCGAGGTAGGCGAAACGGTTAGGCTCTCTACATAGAACTTCCGCTTTGTAAGGAAAGGACACCCCAAGCACTAGCTGCGCGCACAGGGTGCGCGCTCACCACCTGTTACCAACTGGCCAGAACACTGCCAGCTGGCACACGCCACTATGGCGCCCCGGGTCTGAGCCCCTGAGCACGTATATAAACAGTGGCCCTCGCCCACCTTCCTTTGCGAGGGCCAGGTTGAAGTCTTACACCAATACCACTCATTGCTCGCCCACCTTCTTACCTGCATTGTGACCACCTTGATCCGGCGTACCTGCCTTCTCTTACACGCTTTAAGGCCGGGAGAAAGCTAGTACTAAGATTCATCCCAGTTAAGATTATAGAAAGGGTCGGCACTGTAAGGAAACCACCCTCGTAACCACCATGGCCACCGCCACCAGGACCACCCTCGCCACCATCGCCACTATCGCCACCGCTAACAGGGCCACGCACTATCGCCACTACCACCCTGGCCACGCAAGGATGACTCGTAACCCCTTTCACGGGTATATAGACCATGGCCTTCGCACACCTCCTTAGCTCAGGCCAGGTTGAAGTCTTACGCCAATACCAGTCATTGCTCGCCCTGCTTGTTGCTCCTATTGTGACCACCTTGATCAGGCGTACCTGCCTTCTCTTACATATAGTGGGTTTAACATATAAGTTCCTCGTAATACTACGTTCGTTAATATCCCTATTCCTCGCCACCACCAAATACTACCTAGATAGCACATTAGGCCCACGATACGATATATAAAATCCCTCTCTTAGGGACTCTCAAACTATTAGGCCTGTAATTTGACCCTAATATTCGTCTCCCTCCCCTCGTGCTTACGCGACTCCTCGCCGCTTGTAAGGAAAGAGCACATGTCAACGCGCGCGCACCTTGTGCACGCACCACCTGTCACCAACTGGCCATACCACTGCCAGTTGGCCCAGCCACTAAGCCACACTATGGCGCCACGCCTTCAGAAGCACACTGAGCCCCTGAGCATGTGTATAAACAGTGGCCCTCGCCCCCTTCCTTTGCGAGGGCCAGGTTGAAGTCTTACACCAATACTAGTCATTCTGTAAGGACATTGCGCATATATGCTTTGGAGTGCACTAGTCTCCGCATGAAGTGCGGGAACTACTTGATCTTTTGGGGTTATTGGCGCAGCGGTTTAGGTGCACGCCCTGCGTTACACATCGCTCACCTTCCTTGTTACCTTCATCGTGACCACCTTGATCAAGCGTACCTGCCCTCTCTTACAGGCCGATAGGCCGCAACGATGCTACTCTCTTTGGTTTATATTTCCGGTTCATAATTTCCCTTCTCCACCCTTATATATGTGAAAATCACGCTAGGCTCCGAGATCATGTCTCCGGAGCTGAGCTCTGGACAAAGGAATGCACGGGGGTTGTAAACTTCAGATAGAACGAACACTATATACTTATTTCCAAAAGTCTGAATGCCCTCATTTTCTGCGAGGAGTTCTTTATCGGGGCTGCTCGACAGCTGCGAGTACACCTCGTGATTAAGTAGTCCTTTATCAGGACTACTCGCGAACTGCGAGTAGACCTTCTCATCAAACACTCCTATATTTGGTCTACTCAACAGTTTCGGCTGGCCGCTTTTTAGGTCTGCTTGAGAACTTCGAGTAGGCCTAGTCGAGCATTCTGGCGGAAGGGAAGCGGAATTTCAAAGGAAAGTGGGGATATGCCTCATGTGCCCAATCGACCGCGTCCTTGTGTGAAACCCAGGATATCATGTCCCATCCCATTTCCGGGCTGTGATATCATGTACCATCCCACAGCATGTACTGGTATATCATGTATCATGATATGCCATGTACCAGCCCAAACCACGTACCATCCCAAACCATGTGCCATCCTAAATTCCGAGCTGGGATATCGTGTACCATCCCACAGCATGCACTGGTATATTCTGAGCCCAAATTCGGGACCAATTTGCAGTATGCTTTGATAGAGGAAGGATTCAAGCAACTGCGTCAAGGTGGTTTTATTGTAGAAGGTTCTGGCCCAAGGAAAAAGGGCAGTGGGTTGGCTGAAATACTAGCAGGCGGGGCAAACTCGGGCTACCACCTCCAACACGCTTTCAATAGCCGAACATCACTCCGCGGCCCAGAGTGTGGACATGCCAGGCGCGCGCACGTGGTAGTGAGACAGTGACAACCTTTCGTAGGATAAGAGAGGGGGTGCTCGTGAACGGGACAATATAAACGCTGCCGCGTCCTTGTGGCGGCAACGCGCGACGTGGGGATAGTGAAGTCCTCGGCATAGAATGCGAAGGCTTATGATCGCAAGAACTGTAAACATTAATGGGCCTGAACGCTAGTGAGAGTTCGTAAGGAACAAGTGGTATTGTGCTAACTGGACTACCAGAAGAGGTGGCAGCTCCTCCTCGCCGCCGTCCCCCTTGCCCAATCTGCTTTCGTTGCTTTACTTTCTTCCTCCACTCGGCCAGTTCAGGGCGGCTTCTTCGGTCTCACGTTTGACCTGCCGAGCTCGCCAAGAGCAGGACCACCCCAGCAGCGCGTCGATTCGCTCTGTACTGTCGGGACGGGTCGGAGTCTCGCCAGGCTTCCAGGGCTTCGATAGAAGAATTCCAGTGGCCAGGCGCAATCGGTCCATGATGCGTGACAGCAACCTGGAGATGGCCACCGTCGATACCACCGTAGAACCCTCTTTTTTACCGCGAGAACCTTGCGGATAGTCGGAAACTTCGGTGGCTCCTGACACTTCTTTAAGCGCGCCAACGAAATTGTCGAACGCTGTGTCTGTATCTTGGCGACACTAGTGAACTGGACTTGACCGCTCTGGTGTTGTGATGTGGGGAGGTTTGGGGCTAGCGCCAGAATGGCACACGGGGCATCATGTAACCCGGGAGGTTTGGCTCAGATTGAATGATGGCTAGGGAGACTTGAGAGGGGATACTAAGGACAATAGACAGCAGCAGAGACGACAGTAGACAGCTTGGAATTGAAGGTCGTTGGCTGCAAGCACGATCCATGACATGACGGCCTTTGTGTGTTTTGTTGAGAGTTTTGAGCATTATTCTTACGTTCCCTCTATTAATCAACCCTTCTATGGGAGATCGCACTAACTTATTTCCCGTATTGATGCGCTGTTGTTAGGTTCGAGAACCTAGGCACTGAGAGCGAAGGACAGTCACAAGGAGAGACACCAGTAGTCTTGCAGTTCACTAGTATTGCGGAGAAGCACTTAATGATATATTCCACGCCCAAAACATATAGATAGACTGTAGACTTGTCCCAGAATATGCGGCCGAAGCCAGGAACGTAGCCTCTTATTCGATGCACGCAAAACTTAGGGGAAATACCACGTGATGGATAAGATGGGTTAGCTAGGAGTAGTTATAAATTAGCTTAGGCAATTAGGGGATGGTAAGGAGGTTGCATTAGTCATGAATCCGACAATAGGCCAACGGGGTGACGCCCTGCGGAAGGCAGCTACTAGTCCTGCTGTCCTATGTGCCGCGAGGTGTTCCATCTGTCTAAGCAACTATGGCCTCTAAAATAGAAAAAGACAAAGTCAGAAGAGAAGAAACGTTTCAATAACGAGGCGAAACCCAGATTTATTGCCACCATCTGCCTCTGCTTCTCACCTTGGTCCCCAATCTCCCTCTTTCCGATTCCGAACTCGAGGTCCCGCTGCGTCAAGGATAGAACACATTCCGTAACGTAGAGGGCAGTTATTAGCCAGCTAGATTCGACACACCACTTGATAGAATGCCGCTCCCGGTAGCCACAAGAGTCGTACTTCCTTTCATGACACCCAAGGCTAGAAGCCCGCCCCCAGTCAGCACCTGCAGAGCGGAAACGACGGCCGGCCTGTCCTTTTGATCCTGGAGTTTAGCAGCGTGCTTCTTGTACTCGGCGAGCTCCGCCTGGACGACGGCAATCCGCGTCTCGTTTACGCTCTTCTGGTGCTCCAGTTGGGCTCTTAAGTCTGCGTCCTTGGCCCGCCTGTCGCTATTAGACTTTTCCATCTGGGCGTCAAACTTGCGCTGCATATTCTCTAACTCTCTCAGGGAGGACTCTTTGTTCCTGGACGTCTCTTCGAGCTGCTTCTCCAGGTCAGCGATCATCTGCTTGTATTCCCTGTCTTTGTCTTCGTGCATGCGCTGAAAGTCCTGTTCGAGAATGCGGATCCGCTCTTCCTTTTCGTGATCCAGCTTGTCGAGTTTGGCCTTGTATTCCCGTTCCTGGCGCGCCATCTTGTCGATCATCCTCTGGTCACCAGACCGCATGGCTGCCTCGTGACTCTTTCGCGCACTCTCCAAGTCTCTGGCGTGCTTGGCTCGTTCCTCCACCAGCTCCCGCTGGAGCTCTTGGCCGGCAAGAGTTTGGTAGAGCGTGCGTTTATCGTCGACCATCTCGCGCTGGATCTTCAGCACCATGTTGCCCTGCAGGGAGAGGATGTAGTTAGTGATTTTCAGCGCTGACTCCCGCGTGTTGTCGTGGCGAAACGTGTGGCTGCCAAATTCAAGCATGTCGGCCCAGTAGTTGGTCCGGAGGTCCATCTCGGTCGTGGCACCCCGGCGATGGCTCTCGTCATCTTGGAGCGTGTCCCACATGGTTGTGGCCAGGACAACATGAGACATATCCACTTTACCGCAGAGCGCCTCGAACATGTTGAGGTTCCTCAAGGCGGAGCCGCCCATGCGGTTGTCGGTGATCCTGTGCAGGTAGATGATGCCCGCGAGCTTGAGCTTCTGCGCGTATACTTGGCCCAGGAAGTATGCCACGTCCTGCAGCACCTCGGTGTCGGAGCGGTATGTATCGTCGAAGCCGGGAGTGTCAATCAGGGCCACAGACTGGCCTCCGGGGGCTTGAAAGCCGTAGATGCCGACGTCGGCGGTGCCTGTCGTATGTTAGAACACGGCCCGCTTTCGACCGGGATGCGGTGCCCACAAGCTGCGAGGTTGTGCCCAATCTTTACATCTAGCCCAGTGAGAAGCTTGATGAAGGTGCTCTTGCCGGTTCCCGTGAGACCCATAATGGCAATGATCGTTTCAGCCCTGGAAGCAGAGTCAGCTGGGCTCTATTGTTGAGCGCTGGAAGTGTTTTCTTACTTGATATCGGCTTCACTGGCCGCTTTTGCCGCTGCATCCAACTGAGTCTTCCTCTGCGCATCCGGCTCAGCATTGGGACCTTTAGCTGGAACGTCCTGCTCAGGGATGACCTTCTTATCACTGGGTTGATCCTCCACAGTGGCTCGGTACTTGTTCGACTCTGGGCGGCGGGTGATTGTCCGAGCCTGCCCATCTTCGCTAGGGGGTTTGTCGCCGTTCCGGCCAGAAATGCCCCGTCTCAATAGTGACAGCATTTTATTAGGGAGTTGTACTTGCGAGGTCGAAAGCCTAGGTCAGGTGGTTAGACAAGGCGGCAAAGCAGAATATAAGCAAGCACGCCGTGCGCGAAACATACGTCGGCTAGACAGTGTGGGTGCTTCATTGCGAAACAGCTCTGTGCCTGCCTGTTCTCGAGTCGATTACCTATTATAACAGCGGGGATGAAGGAGATCTCAGCGACCACTGCTTCAGCCCCGAGCCTCCGTCTGGGGGCTGTGTCTGCGGCCAAGAACGCCACTTTCTACGCGCACCAACCAGGCTGCATTACGAACAGCTTGGCGCATCAATAGCTTCCCACACTAGTAGTCGCAGCAGCGGCCCAGCAGTGGGAGGCCGTCTTGGCGGGAAAACAATTCGTCCTGCTGAAGCGCTAGGACTGTTTGGCCACGTACGGAGTACTTACCGCATGGCTCCTGGTTCATGCTGCCCACTGCGCCCCTTGTCGGAGCATGTGGTCCAGGCCCCGCCATGGTCACCATTGCCTCCCCCAGACACGGCGGCTCAGCTCCAGAGATATATCATTGCTCCGACCTCTGTGACGACCTTTTCGATCCAGCAAGACCGCACGCCAAGCACCTCAAAAAAGGCCGACAGCCGTTCTCAAGGAGTAGTATCGCCTATTCTAATGCACGTGGTAACATTTTGCGAAGTCATACGATAGGCTTCGGTCCCTGTCTCCTCCAGCTAAGCGCACCGCAAGGCCGCGCAGCGAGAGAGGCGGTCGGGCTATGAGACCGCTTGAAAAGTCTCTTCGACCGCAACCCGCACTTGCCGGATTTGAAGCCGACCCTTGCTTGGATGGGAAATCTTAACCATCAACATGAGCATCGTAGATGTCGTCACCATCGCAGTCCTGGGCGTGACAGGTGCCGGGAAAAGTACATTCGTCCAGCGAGTGACCCAGGACCCCAGCATTGTCATCGGCCACAGCCTCCGCGCCGAGACCCGGACAACAGCAAGCTACAAGTTCGAGCACAACGGCATAAGGTACGAAATCGTCGACTGTCCGGGCTTCAACGACACGGTGCGCCCGGACTCGGAGATCCTCGAGGACATCGTTGCGTGGCTGCACAAAGCCCACGGCGAGGGCAAGCTGCTTTCGGCAGTCATCTACCTGCACCGCATCAGCGACACTCGGGTCCAGGGCACCACCATGACTCAGTTCCGGGTTCTCCAAGAGCTCTGCGGAGACGAGTTCTACCGTAATCTGATCCTGGGGACAACCTTCTGGAGCAGGGTGTCAGAGGAGGTGGGCAGAGATCGAGAAGCGAATCTTCTAGAAGTCAAGAACTTCTTCGGCGAAATGAAAGACGAGGGGGCCAGGTACATGCGGATTCCCGATGACCGGGAGGGATGCCTTGCAATCCTCGAAAACGTCTCCTCCAACCAACGGCGGCAGCTCAAGGCCCAGAAAGAGCGGGCCGAAGGAAAGAGCTTCAAAGATACCGCGGCTTTTCGGGTACTCGCGGCTGCCCAGGCCAGGTCATCGACTCTCGGCCGCTGGCTATCCATCCTGTGGCTCAAGCTCTCCGGCTATCTCGTCCTCTTCCTCGTGATTTCGGGGAACTGGGTGGTCTACGGCCTCACGCAGTTCCTGAACTCGTGCAAATTGGGATTCCAGAGAGCGAGGAACCAGTTGGATGTGTATCGCCGCCTCCAATCTGAGAGAGCCTGGGTCCGCGGCCAATTTGCCCGGCAGGAGTCGCAATTTGCTCCACTCCGAGAGGCAGCCAACGCCATGCAGCGCCAGCTGTGGCAGCTTCAACGAGAAGAGAGTGCGGCGGAAAGGGCGCAAATGCGAGAGGCAAAGAGACGGAAGGCAGCGCTTGCGGAGGAAAAGCGGAGAGAAAAGGGGGAAGAAAGAAAGAGACAATGGCACATTGCCCATGCAGAGTGGGAAAACCGGAGGGACGAGGCTCTCAGGCAGTTTGAAATCCAAGCATCGCGCAAGATAATGGACTCCAGATCCGGAAGTTTGGTGGGTTTCCATCCTTCAGGTGCCTGGCATGTGGCTAACCTTGTCTTCGCAGTTGACGCTTGTGAGCTGCGACCAGCCAGGCTGCGGATCAGGCCTCTGGATGGAATACTACCAAAGTAGCACCCCATTCCGTTTCCCAACATTCCTCCGAAACTAACACGCATCACAGAGTGCCGAGAGTGTAGCATGAGGTGGTGTATGTCCTGTAGGAAAGAAGGCCGCCTCGTTCACACAGCATCCTGCTCCGGCTCCTCCGACTACGGCGGCCTGACCCGCGAGGAGGCCCTCCGGCAATGCTTCGGAGAGGCAGAACCCACACTCGAGGAACCGATGGACCCCGTCCAGGCTGTTGTTGTCGCCGTCGTCATGGCCGTCGTACTGGTTTACTTCAGACACCAGCTCCTGCCTTTTGCTCGTTGCGCCCTATGGGCCCCTTTTGCGCTGATCTGGTTAACCATAACCGCGGTCCTACATGTGCTCAGGGGGTTGGCATGGGTGGTCAGCGTCGTGTTCAAAACGGCATTCTATTCCATTTTCTATATTCTAGGAGTGGCTCTAGGCATTAGCTGGCTGTTGTTGCAGGCAGTCTACTATGTCGTCTGTTATGCTCTGGGACTGGTTCTAGGCCTTGCCTGGTTGGTATTGCAGGCAGTCTTCTATCTCTCCCTTAGAGCAGTAGACGTTGTTTCCTTTGTGATAGGGATGGTGGTAGGACTGTTAGCAATAGCCTTTTGGGCGGTGTGGTACACAGCCGCATTTGCACTCGGCGTGGTCTTGTCACCAGTTTACCTTTTGTTACTTCCGTTTCTATGACGAGCTTTAGGCCTAGCTTTATATATAAGGGGGAAAGACGAGTCACAAACACACAGGCATCGACTCATCGATTGACGTAAATGAAGGCAGAGGATATGCTCTCTGCGCAATCAGTAGCCAGCTAGTGGAAGTAAGGAGCGCAGCGCGCGCATGGGGAAATTTGTCAGAATTCTAGAAGCAAGAGAATCGAAATGGAAAGGAGGGAAGCAGAAAGGAGAAAAGCAAAGAGGATGGAAGCATGTCGCCCTAAAGCGTGTGTTCGAGCGAAGCACCACACCCGTCACCCATATAACCATATCCATCATTACACCGTCGCAGGGAAGCAGGTAGAGTATTCCACCGCAGTCATTGATCCACCCATCCCCCGGCTCTATGGCAGCCGACAGGTGATCTAGGCTCATGCAAGGCTGAATGAAGTCGAGGAAGGCAGTTCCCTTGCATTGTAGATATCCGTAAGTCATCAGCGGGAAGGGAGACCTCTGCCAAGATGGATGATGACTGAGTTACGGGCTACGCGGGTCCAGTAATCACGAGATTGGCTTCTCTTATTAATGAGTCACCAGACCCTCAGATCTAGAACTGCATGATTCTTAGCCTCTTCTGCCTGCTGCTGTCCCTATGTACAGCTGATTTACTGATCACCAAGAGAACTTCCGAGACCATCCAAGCCCCCTTCCACGCCCGGCTGGCTTGATGCCTGCCCTGGAATGCCACCAGCCTCTTCGCATGGCCTTCTCGGCGAGGAAACCGCTCCGTACGAAAGATCCGCGCTCAGCCAACAACATTACGTGGCCCCTAGGTCCTCTCTTTCATTACGTAAAGCCCTGCTACGCTAGTGGAATCCCCTAGCCTCCTAATTGGCGTCAAAACGGAGCCTAACTCATCCGTTCCTTCAGCATCGACGGTTATTTGTTACACATAAGCGAGGCACCCTCAAGGGTAGTAGACTTAGGATACATAAGTCCCATGAGCAAGTGACGAAACTTCCTAGCCCAAGGATGGCAGCGTTATTAAATCATCATACGACGAATGGATTCACTGCCTTGTCCGGAATGTCCCGTCTTCGTTTCCTTACGTGCTCCGCTTCGCCAGTTCCATTCAAGCGTCTCCCTCCAGGCAGAATCCATGTGGCTCACCGTCATCACACCCATGTGTTAGGCGCCACGAGGAACGAGAAAGGAAGTGATGAATTGAATTGTTCGTGGAAAGAGAGGAAGATCTCTGGCACAGTTAAAATACTGACTGTTGGTAGCTAGAGCAACGATGGTCGGTGCTAGCTAGGCTGAACCTGATGGAGGGTTGGGGTCAGTGCCTCCAACACCATGTAGTTCATCCAATAACGGGTAAGCTAATTGATCGTTTGTCCGGTGGGCCCGATTCACATGGTATTGACCACTCGGCTGACTACAGATTACCGTCGCTGACCACACATTTGGCCCACTATATCTGCGTATCACCCAATCTGGCCGCGCCAGTCAGCATGCGATATCCGCTCTGTGGCTTGGTTTTTCCGCACCCTTGATGATCCAATCGCCAGGTTGAGCCTAGCCGGCCGGCTTGGCCCCTGTAATACAGGGGCATCGCCTGCAACAGGGCTAACCTAGATTACTGGGCCCCTGTTCTCGCGTATAGATACGCGGTTTCCAGCCCTCACGCGTCCGCCGACCTCCTGCCCACCACACCACCGCACCGCCCGCACCGCACCGCACCACCGCACCGCACTACACCACCGCACCGCACTACACCATGGCCCGGACTTCGCAACGGAGGATAGCGCAACTGAAAGACTCGATTACAGTGGCAGCTGTCGAGCACGCTGAGCGAACTGCTCTGAACAGTGCAGAGCTACGTGCAAACGCGCGGAATGTGCACCAGCTGATCCAGCAAGACCGGCCAAAGAACACCACCATTGCGTACGAGCCAAAAAAGCGAGAGTTCCAGGAGTTCTGTACTTCTAAGCAGTATCATGATCGCGATACTGTTACAGAAGATAAGCTTCTCCTCTTCCTTGTCGAGCGTGTGGTACAGCGGCCGCTTAGAGGCAAGAGCTCTAAGACAGCCCCTGAGACCCCCCGAACGGCTACTCGACTGGCATGGCGATCAGTCCGGAGCTACGTTACAGCTATCACCGACCTGTACTGCACCCAGAAGGCTCTGGGGATGAACAGCCATCCATCTCCCCGTGAGCATAGCGTACGGGATTACATCAAGTCATTGCAACGCCGAGATGCTGCACGGGATAAGGCCAACTACGCTGATAAAGGCCGTGATACCCTTCTCGATGGGTATACAGAGCCCCAGCTTTTACGACTCTGTCAGGAGCTTTGGTCACAGACTGGCGAATCGCCTGAGTGCTACCTCCGTACAATTGTCGACATCCTTCTCAGTCACTATATGCTGACTCGCGGTGGCGATCGTCGGGCTTTAGAGCTCTCAGATCTCTTTACCTTTGAGTTTGTTGGAGAGGGCCCTACCCGCTGTATGCCGCTAATTATGACGACACGTGCTGGTAAGCAGAACCAGGACGGCCGGCTCGAGACTGCTGGCGCCTTACGGAATCGGAATCCTCAGCTTTGCCTGTTAGGCGCGGTAGCTTTCTACCTTCTTTTCCGCTGGGATCTTGGCAACGAGCCTTTCCCAGATTTCAGCCAACGCTCTACCTGGTACGACATCCGACTGATTAAAGGCAATAGCAACAGCTCAGATCGTACGAAACCTTTTTCGTACAATGCGCAACGTGAGTGGGTTGTCAAAGCCTTCTCATACGCTGAGATCACCTCCAACAAGAAGACCCATATTGGCCGCAGTTCAGGGGCTAAGACGGCTGAGTTAAAGGGGGTTTCTGAGGACCAGATTCGCCGGGCTGGCCGTTGGAACCAGGAGCAAATGGTCGGCTGTTATCTGAATGCGTTGCCTCGAGAGTTTATGCGCACTATGGCCGGCCACCCAAAGCAGATTGGGTGTTTTGAGATCCGCCGTGCCAACCTTGTGCCGCCACCTGAGCTTCTATCAATGATATGGCCAGAGCTTAGCCAGTGGGAGGGCCGGTTTGGATCTGGCCCTGGGCAAATCAACGACCTTGCAGCAATGGGTTTGACGAACTTGCTTTTCTACCTACGTGAGGTAGTCCTTCAGGACTCAGCGTTCCTTATGCTGAGGTACCCAAGGAGCCCAGTCTGGCTCCATCCAATCTTTCAGCATAAAGCATATCTCCAATACGCACAAGAGATCCGGACCTTTACGCAAGAAGAGGAGAGGCCAAGCCAGCTGGCAGTTTTGACACAGGCTATACCAGTTCTCTCTGACTTCCTCCAGTCGATCGATAAACGGAACGAGGCACGGATTGTTCAACTGGACCAAAAGCTTGAGAAGACACTTGGTAGCCAGTCACAACAAGGCTCCCATATTCTATCGCTGCTCTCAAACGGCCTGACAGTTCACATCAAAGCAACCAATACAGGCTCAGATGGCACGATGGGGGTTGCTATTACAGCTACCACGGGACCACCCCTTGCAGAACCGGCTAGCCTACCTACTGCAGCACTGGTGAGCCCACCCACTGCAGCACTGGCGAGCCCGTACACTGCAGCGCTGGCAAGCCTACCCACTGCAGGGCCACCGCAGTATAGTATGAGCCGCGCTGTCAAAACGGTAGAGGGTCTTTGGAAGGAATGGACTGTTGGTCTACACGGGCAGCCAGCCGTACGTGATTTAGATAGTCGGTGGGGGCATAGTTGGAGGGCAGGCCGGCGTACAGAGCTGCAGTGGTATTCGTTACGGCTGGAGGTCATCAGGGAAATCGAGCGTATTGCGCGGAACCGTCGTATTGGCGAGGAGGCTGCGATGTATATCATCCATCTACAACAGCAGCGGACCGGTTCTTCTATGGACCAGTTCTGTAAGCAGTTGCGAGCTAACCGGAAGGCATAGCTTATCGTCAAGAAGTAGTAGAAAAATGGAAGAATTGGAAGCCCTGCAGGGGTTGGTTTGCCAGGTTACGATATGGGCGAATATTTTCCACTGGTGACTGGCGCTGAGGGCACGGCCAAAAAATGGCGCTAATGCACCAGTAAGCGGCTGACCAAGCCACCAAAGGCGGGGTGTGGATATCCTATTGGCCCTCGCCCCATTGCTTTGCGAGGGCCAGGTTGAAGTCTTACACCAACACCAGTCATTGCTTGCCTTCCTTATTACCTTCATTGTGACTATCTTGATCAGGCGTACCTGCCTTCTCTTACATTAAGTAGTTAAGTAGTTAAATTTAGCCTGGCGCCGTCTTAATCGCGTTAACTCTCTTGCTCTAGGTTATTTTCCCTCCCTTTACCTCTTTAAGTTTAACCTACCGTAGCGAGAGTTCTTAGAAAGAGGCTTTACCAAATCCCTCTACCAAACCCCTTTACTAAACCCCCGCTAAGAAGTAGCGGGGCCTTAGCTCGCGGGTAGAAATACGAGCGGGCAGTAGAGTCAAGTTTTCGCTTACGCGCAAGCGACCTGACGACAAGCAACACGGAGAGAAAGCAGAGGCGATCTATTGCTGCTGTGTTACAATGCTTTGATATATTTTATCCATGTCCCTTGGAAATTAGCATCCAAAATAAGAACAGCCCCGCGCCGAATGTGGAACCATTGCCGTGTAAGCGTCCCTGATGGTTGTGCCGAGCCGGTATAATGCCTCAGCGTTGCCTTCAGCCCTGACACGACTTGACTGACGGTTAGATTTCAGATAATAGTATGTACGCTTACCCCGTAACAATAGATGTCAGCTGGGATTGTTCATGAACCTAGAACCCGAGATGTTCCGTTCACAGTTTAGACTGCGTGTGATGAAAGATACAACTTGCAGAAGACTAGTAATATCAAGCATAGTATCGGATATCACTATTACATCGGTGAATTCTAAACGGCTGGACTACAGCTTGCATGAGACCGAGCATTGTGTCGGAAATTACCCTCACATCGGTGAACTCTAAGCAGGTCTGAACATGTACGTGGCATCTCGCGATGCGTGTTTTCACTTTGTTTGTAACGCTGATCAGAGTTGAGGAGCGACATCCTGGCCAGCGCCCCCTTTTAAGCTCTCATCAAGCCTACTTCGTATTCATGGTGATGGCTTATAAATTGCGGTGGAAGGTAGAAAGTAGGCTGTGGCTTGCTGGCTTTCTGCAGGAGCTCGTGCCTGTGTTCTGCATGTAGATGGCGGTGCTGTGTAATAAGGTTTTACTCCAAGTCATCATTACGGAAGTCCATGCTGGCCTGGCGCTGTCGCTTGTTTGACTGCCCCGGCGTGATAACTGGTTTTGTGATTGGCAAGCAGTCGGGTCCGTCTGGCATGATGATAGTCTTGTTGGATTCAGCACTTCAACTTTCTTCATTGATCTCTCCTCCTTCTTCTTTTTGGTCCTGCCAGAGGGCCTCTATTATAGTTGTAAATGGTGGCAATGGTGGTGGCAAAAGTAGCCACACCAGCTGAACTGGCCACTTCATTTCAGCTCCCCTGAGCCTCTTTTCACCTCGGATGACCACACCAGAGCTCAGCTGGGATGAGCTCTATTCCACATGCAACCCTTGTCCATCTGACAATAGCCAATCCAACAAGTATTCCCCGTAGCCATAGCCTAATCTATGTCGTATACTTAAAGCTTAGTAGTCAAAAGTGCCCTAGACTGGTAGAAATTATGGGGGGTATCACCGCACAGTCAACTGCATGAGACAAAGCTGCACTATGGTCGCTGTATTCGTAGAATCTAAAGCTAAGGAAAGAAAAGGGAAAGGAAGTTTCTGAAGCTCGGGCAGGGCGCGGGGAAATAGGTAGTGCTGTGGGTCATGTGACGTAGGTGCACGGGCCACCTAGTCTAGTGGGGTGTCAGGAAGTAGTGGGGTCCGGGTCGGGCCCACTATTCCAGAGTTGTCTGCACTTGCCGTGACAGGGGGTGAAAATAGGTAGGGCAGTTGTAGACTGAGTCAAGAGGTATAATTATTAACTGCAGATGCACCCCGCTCCAGGAAAATGTTATGAGCGTAACGATGACATCATCAACGCCTGCAAAGCCCTAGAATATTCGGCCTCCCGCCAACTCAAGAGGCGCAAGGCGCAAAGCGGTAGACTATAGGGCTAAATACATCAGAAATGCAAACCTATTTGGTTGGAAGCTTAGGTCTTCTCGTAATAATGTCCTACTTTTATCTATATTATGTTGCTTGCGCGTCTGGTGGCAGACGGTGAAAGAAAACTGCGCCGTAATGAAGGAGGGCACTTCGAGTATGTCCCTGCTTGGTGCATCCAATACCTACTGAGGGTGTGGGTTTGCGGCCAATTTCCTATAAGGGCGGTGGCGGTCTGCTGGCAAATGGGGCGACGCCTCCTGGCAGCCCCTCCTGGCCCCTCCTGGTAGCCCCTCTGCCAGGAGGGGAGACGCGGGGGAAAGGTGGTTGGGAAAGGTGTCTTGGCATGGCAAAGGTTTCTGCACTGCAATTTTAGCCCCTGGGCGGGAGGGAGACGACGGGGTCAGAAGAGCATTTTCAATAATTTTCTTGGGCTTGGCATTCTGCACTGCAATTTTAGCCCCTCCCAGAGGGGAGGGAGGGAGACGACGGGGTCAGAAGAGCTTCAAGTCGTGTTCGGTCAAGTTCGAGTTCCTGAGTGGATATTCTGCACTGCAATTTTAGCCCCTCCCAGAGGGGAGGGAGGGAGACGACGGGGTCAGAAGAGCTTCAAGTCGTACCGTCGCAATTGTTCGGTCATGGCGTCCTGCACTGCAATTTTAGCCCCTCCCACCCTCTGGGAGGGGGCCTTAACCCTGCAACCACCCCGAAGAAATCCTCTCACCGCTTTTCGAATTTGGAAGGCGGTGAACCACAACCACTGCAACCGCCAGCAATCGCTCAATTGACCAGAAAACTCAAATCGCTCATATACAGTAGTCTTCCATTTGAATGCCTACATCCACATAACTAGCTTACATAACTACATCGATTGAGTCCTCGGCAGCTGGCTCAGCTGCCTCTGCAGTTGCTGCCAGCTGCGCAAGTGCCTCGGCCGTGATGTCAGACGACTGCCGGCTACCTCCCTTACACACTCCCCCTCTGCCACGCACCGTTGATGTGCCTCTGGTCGAGGCCTGTGATGCTTGTGACTGCGGACCTCCGCGCGCACCACCACAGCTACCAGGAGTGCCTCCTCGGGCTCCTCGAGGCGCGGTGCGTGCAGAACTTAGGCCATTGACCGTCCTCGGCTGCCCATGTGTGTGCCCTCCACCTCCGCGAGATCTTCGCGTTCCCATTGCGAGGCATCGCGTTGGATTGATGGTGACACGTGTTGCGAGGCGGTAGTGCCACGGAGCGCTTGAACTCTATCAAACTCTCGTATCATCAGATACTCGTCATCGGCAGCCAAGTTTCTATCCAACCACTAGAATGGATAGAAGTCAGCCTTCTCAAGGACTAAACCGCCGTTATCTCGGTCTCTGTGGCACCGGAGCAGCTCATGGCTGCAGGGGAGACCTATCTGAGTTGTGAAGTAGTGTGTGCAGGGCTCCAGAGGCGTAACAACAGGCCGTGATCGCGTCGGTGCCGCCGCGAGCATCTTCTGGTGTTGCTTGTTGACGACATCGAGAGCTGCGTGTGCCACGGTATAGCGAGCTGTACCCATCCAGTGCGCGTTGACGAGTCTATCCGTTGCCTCTCTTTCTGCTTCTTGGTAGCTGCTGTAATACGTCGTTCCATCGCCTTAACCATCTTAATTGACTGCTTTACAACATCCAAGACCGTACTGTTGTCATTGATGACGAAGGACTTAAGGAGCGGTTGACAATCTCAACAGGGGATGTAGAGGTGAGGGTAGCGGTTTGAAGCGCGGTCCCACTCCGCCAAATTGCAAAATAATGCATGGTTCGCTATATTGGCTGTCTTGTACATAGGTCCTCTCATAGCGCGTCCCCACAAGTCTAGAGCTTATAGGGCAGGAGGGGGCTCAAGCTCCCTCCTCCCGTTTAGGATGATAAATGAAAACAACAACAACAACAACAGGGGATGTAGTGCGTTGGCCGAAGTTGAGCCTTCTACCGAAGTAACAGCCGGCCCATTGCTCAGCGGCAGCAATCCACATCCCCTCAATGTAGTCAATGATAGTAGTCTGGTCGTAAAAGTAGGCTTTGAACTTCTCCCAGGCCGTATCGAAGTCATTGAGGCTAGCAGAGTAAACCATGTGAGTCCAGAGGTCGTAAATGCCAGCAAGACAGTACTCGACTCGGTCGTCAGCCTTCTGTAGAGCCTAGCCACGGCCGACGGTCCTGTACGTTATGGCTCGCTGAACCGGCTCCTCAACACCAGAGCGACTATCACCATCTTGTTGTTGTGATTGTTGTGTGCTCTGGGCGCTCTGAGTGCTCTGGGCGCTCTGAGCGCTCTGTTGTACGCTCTGTTGCGCAGCTATAACGGCGGCTACAGCTGGCTTAGACGACTTTTTCTTCATGTCAAGGGCTAGTTCTTATTAACGTGGAAAATGCACAGTTGCGGCTGTGCCTCTAGGTAGACCTTGGCGATGGCATTGCGTATGGTAGTATCGTAGTCTGTGATAGTGACCTTCAGGGCCCCCTCGCATTAATCCTATCGCGGGTCTGGTTAACTTGTTCCATCAACCAATCGAAGCCTTCCTAGCGCTCATTGTTGATGAAGCCGAATGCACACGAGAAGGCCATATTCGCATTAGTTAGGCCGACGATCTGGAAGAGCGCAAGGCCCTTGTTATTAGTCTTGTATGTGCTATCATACATCTGGATCCAATCGTTCTGACCCCAGGTTTTTTTTAATCTAATCGAAGGTCCAGAAGAGACCCTCTGGTTTCAGTTCACCAGAACCATTGTCTTCGGCCCATTTAACTGTATGGCGGATGCCTTAGTCATCCAGCATTTTCTTAGTAGCTTAGAAAGGGCTGTATCCAGCCAAGGCTTTCTGTTTGAGCCTGTAGCGCGTGTTCTAGACCTAGCGTTAATTAAAGACGATACTAGGGAAGCAAAGCCGTAGATCTCTAGCCACTTCTCTGTTCGCAATAGTAGGTCGGTCAAGATACTGCGCCACGAAGGCGACATGCTCAGGGCCAAACCTCTGTGCGATACGGTCCTCCGCTTCGTGATCGTTATGGGCCGTACAGCCGTGGCGAACCTCAAAGATCCATTTCCGAGCCTTCGTATTATCGGCCAGGACCGCCGTGACCTGACCCTTCCAATTACAACCTCTCTTCATGGTAGATGTGTTGCGAGACTGCCACATCTTGCCCTTGTGGCATACCAAGTCGAATCTGGCCTTCCTACAGCCTTTGACTGGGTTGAGGGAGCGCTTAATAGATACAGAGAAGCCAGCATAGGCGTAGAACTTGTGGAGGTCGTGCATGATATCATCGTAAAAGTCGTACTTCCGCGTGAGTAGCTTGTGGCCTTGTGGGGGGGTTCGAGAGCGGCGCAACGGAGCCATCTTCGAGGTCATCTTCATCGCCAGGCGTGGCGGCGTCTTCGTCATCGAGAGGTATAACGGTCACTTCGTCAACAGCGGTGGCATCCAACGGCGCATCTTCGTCGGCCAGATCTATCGCTGCATAGAGGGTTAGTATGAGCTGTGGCGCGCCGGAACAGGGGGCTCACTAATGGGATCCATGGCTGTGATTGGTAAGAATCCTGGGGGAATAGGTGGCTGGCTGACTGCATGCTTTGGGGTAGGCTGCATACGTTGGGGTGGATTAAGGCGATTTATAGGGTTGTGGCATTTGTTGTGGCATTTGGTGGTGGCAGAACTGGTCAGGCCGTCACATCCTCTTTCCTGCCCCAGCCCTGCAGGAACCCCACTACAGATTCCTTTCTGCAGCTTTGAATCCACATTCGTTAAGTCAGGTGGGGGACTTTTGGAACACCCCTGCGTATGGAACAGCCCCTGAATCGGACCCCGCACAACACCACAAACTTCAATTGCCAACAACTTTGTCAATTAATTAGCTACAATGATGAAGTCTTCAGTATCGGATTCTCCTGATTCTTCTCTTTCAGAATAACCAAGGTCCTCTCTGCCAGCCTCTCTCTGTGAGGTACGAACCTCCTCAATTCCAGCGAACTGCGTATTAGGGTCGACTTGGACCTTCCTTCTCTTTCGGCCTCTTGTGCGTTCTAGGCTTTTTTCTGCAGCCTCCAATTGATGCGCCGTATTGGCTAGTTGGAAAACCACGTAATCGAAGGCTTTTGCGGCCTTGCGTATGAAAAGTCGGTCGTTGGCAGTCCGTTTCTGGCCAGCTAGAAAAACCTGCCCCTGAATACGGAAATCCTTCGGCTTTTTAGGGGTAAAACATATAAGCCGGCCCTCCGAATTCTTATTTAGAATGAAGTTATAGACCTCTTGAAGGTCTATAGAAACCGTAGAGGTCAGTTAACCAACGTCGCCGTTAGAATTCTTAATAACAAGGCCGTTGCTTAGGGGCTTCCTGAGGCTGACCGGCCAGAGGCCTGTAGCTTTCCAGCCGGCTTTGATATTAGATTCAGTCATTCCATAGACCCTGGCTTGCCGGTAGCATTCTAGGAAGGCCCTCTTTTCAGCAACAGTGCCTTCGTCGAAGCCGGAAACAACCTCGTTATGCTTGGCTCTGTACCGGGCTTTTAGAGGGCCGAAAACCGATAAATCCAGGGGCTGGAGAACGTGGGAGGTGTGGGCTGGTAGAAATAACAATTGTACGTTATTAGAAAAGGCTAGCCGCATGAATTCTTTGGTGGTATGACTACCGTGGCCATCTAAAATAAGGAGGCGCTTCTCCGAGGGGGTAGCTGGCCGAGTCTCTGGAAGAAAGATATTGCGGAGCCATGCGACGGCAGTATCATCGTCAGACCAGCCGTTTTCAATGGGTTTCCACTTCCAGCCCTTAAATGGCTGTAAATCGCGTGGATACCATTGTTGTTGAAGGCTTCCACCTTTGAAAATGACGACTGGGTTCAAATACCGGCCGCCAGCGGAAATACATTCGATAATCGAGGTCCAAATTCGGTCTCCTTTCTTCTTTTTCTGGAATTTCTTTCTTTCCTTAGATCCAACAACCAGGCCGTTATCTCCAATGCCAGAAGCAATGCCAGTTTCATCCATATTATACCTATGCTTGGCTGGAATAGCCTCCACGCCTGGAGGCTTCAAATAGTCAAACCAAGGCCGGATAACGGCCTCACAGGCTCGATCAGCACGGTTTGCATGGATTCTCCGAGGCCTAATTGTAGAAATAGATGGATTTCTAGCCAAAAACCGGCTAGTCCAGCGTTTTCCGAGGGTCTCGTTATCTTCGAGCATTCTTCTAGCTAGTTTCCAAATTTGGGCGTGGGTTGGAGGGTGACCGAGCGACCCTTGGAATAGAATCCATTCGGTTAAGCGTTCTTCCATAGCCGGAGAAAGCTTTTGATTAAGAATTTGGGCCTTGGAGGCTGGCTCGGAACCACGAACCCGATTAAAGAGAGTAGTAGGGGGGATGCCGTGATTTTCAGCAGAGCTACGGAGTAAGCCGGTTTCTGCATACTCTGCCAGCGCATTCTGCAAATCCAACTGAGTATATCGCTTCATCTTTCATTTCTCAATTGAATGGAGAAAAAAAGATAAGTATTGAAGCAGAATTGGTCGAGTTGCAAGCGATTGAAATAGGTGAGTTGGGTGGCGAGCGGCAAGTCCTTGATGACAAACCTTGTTCCAAATCCAGGGGTGTTCCATAAGCAGACCACCTGACTTACCCTTGAAACTATTAACGAGTTCTTACAGATTTGTGGTTGGAAGTCCCCTCTTTTCGTTCCCCTTCGCTGACCTGCCAGACCATATTGTCTGTCTGTTGAGTGTTCCTGTCAAAATAACACCTCTTCGCCGAGCGCCCAAGTGTTCCGATTTCCTTCCGAGAAGTTTGACAGCGATTCATCAACTTTAAAAACCATGTTAAGGCGAATATTACGATCATAGTCTGGGGAATAGTCTGGTTTGGGGGGGTGTGCTCGGAGCGGGTTGACACGGGAGGGGGAGGAAAAGGACCCCAACTGTACCAATGAAATGCACGGGTGCCCGTGGGCGACGTTCTCAGTGGTGGGTGAGTGGCCGCCACTCACGTGCCCTTTCAGTGATTGCAATTGGGGGAAGGCGTGCGCGGGAGTAACACCATCCTGCGTCAATTCCCCTCACCTTCGACTCAACTCAAACCAGAAAATAATGCCGTCGCTCGACGCCCTCTTTCGTGGCCGCCACACACTCGGACTCAGGGAACTCGTGTCCCTGCCGGATGCAAAGGTCGATATCATCTTCATCCACGGGTTGAGGGGAGACTCGTTCAAAACATGGCTTCACGGCAGCGAGGAGCGGGGCGTCTACTGGCCGACCGAGCTCCTGTCTCGTGATTTCCCGTCTGCTCGGATCCTCACTTTCGGGTACGATGTTGACGTCGTCCAGTTTTTCGACCGCACTGGCCAAGGATCCTTGCGTGATCACGCGTCGACTTTGGTTGGGGAAGTCGCGACCAGTCGAGATCCCACCTGTGGCGACCGTCCCATTATCGTCGTCGCCCACAGCCTCGGAGGCATCCTCGCCAAGAAGGCCCTCCTGATGTCGGCAACAGCTGTGGAGGAGAGCAGCAAGACGCTGGATCGGAATATCCGTGGCTTGTGTTTCCTCGGCACGCCGCATCGCGGATCCAGCCACGCTAATCTGGGAGCCATCATCGGAAGCGCGCTCTCTCTGTTTCCGCCGTTTTTCCGTGTCAACAGCAGTCCCGTTGATCTTTTGAGGCCTGGATCCGAGCTCCTTACTGACGTCCACGAAGAGTTTTGCGTGTGGCTCAGGAAGAACAGCGCCCGAGCCAATGTCACCTGCTTCTGGGAAGAATTGAAGCACCCTCGTCTGGGAATGATCGTTCCGAGAGCGTCGGCATCCATCGACGGGTATCCCTTGCGACCCCTCTGGGCGGACCACGTCGGGATGTGCAAGTTCTCCAGCACCTACGACACCGGGTATCGGCGGGTTTCCGGAGAGCTCAAGCTATGGCTGGGGCAGGACGTCATTCCTGCCGCCGAAAGCAACCTAGAACAGGGGGGACGTGTTGGCACGGGCTCATCGCCGTTACGAGCTCACCAAGGATCATCTCCCGATGCGGAAGTCTTTCTACGCGGCATCTGGTTTCGCGACATCTTCGCCCGCGAAGACGGCATCTCCCCGCCCCTCGATGGGACTTGTCTTTGGATCTTCGACAACGCGGCCTACAAGAGCTGGAAGTCCTCAGCCAAAGGCGTCTTCTGGACTCTGGGCCTCCCGGGCACAGGAAAATCCGTCATGATTAAGCACTTAGTCAGCTCGGCCAGGATCGAGGCTAGCAAGGGCTCGACATTGATCTTGTCGCACTTTTTTTCTGCCACGGGGACTCCTTTACAACACTCCATCGACGGACTGTTGAGGTCGCTGATCTACCAACTTCTCCTCACCGACCCTTCGGCTTTTACCGATCGTGTGGTGCCTGAGTTGACACGGAAGGGGGCGAACCCGGACGAAGCATGGACGTTTGAGGATCTCACATCTTTTCTCGACAAGCTGCTCCTCTACGCCCTACAGAAGCGAGATGTTCGAATTTACATTGACGGCCTCCAGGAATGCCGTGGGGATGCTGAAGGCACCCGCAATATGGTCAAGAGATTCCAAGATATGCCGAAGCGATTTGAGAAGACACGCTGCGGTGTTGCCGTTTGCCTTTCGAGTCGGTACTACCCTGCCTATGCCCCAAGGGACGTGGAAAGCTGCGTCCAAATGGAGAAGGAGAACAGGGTCGACATCGATCGATTCGTTTCCAGCGAGATTGCCTTAGCTGAGGCAGTTGATATCCCAGAGCTCCAAATACGGCTCAAAGCGCATGGCAGCTTCTTGTGGGCATCCTCTGTCACGAAGAGAGCAGTGTCACTCGAGCATGAGGGGCATGGCCTGGACCAGATACACGACTTCATCAAACATGGCATCCCTGGTGAGATAATGGGGATCTATGAGGGCCTTCTCCAGACCGTCACGACGACGGAGATCTCCTTGACGCTGAAGATATTGCAACTAATGGGGTGCTCCCCTCACGAAAGCATCGACTTGAGCGAATTGGTTCGGGCGAGTAACGCACCAGATGCTTTAGGAGAGCAGGTTCATGACTCCACTGAACCGATAACCGTGGTTGAACTCGCGCGTCGGCTGCCGAATGTGTCGTGTGGCCTCATGCGACTGGACTGGGGCGGGACAGTCCCGCGCGACTCCGCCCTTGGATCAGCCTGTGTCGAGTTCATTCATCCAACCGCCAAGGAGTACATGTGGAATCACGGCTTTACCCTCCTCGACCCGAATCACCCGACGGCAGAGGCTGCGCAACAGAGGGCATCCCTATGTGTCTATCAAATGCATCTTTCGTCGACCCTAGCGAGCTTCAGGGCGTTGGAGCTGCGTTGGCAGGCTCTAGTCCAGAAGCATGATGAGAAATCCATCCAAGAGGCCCTTCAAATCCTCACGAGCAGCCCTAGGTTCGCCAGTGTCCTGTTCAGGAACCAAGAGACGCTTGATGGGGTACTCCAGATTGGCGACCCCGACCTCGTTGCCCGGTTCGCCCTCCTCCAGCTAGAGAACTACGAACCAGAAGATGGCTATGAAGCTTCAGAAGCGTTTTTTCCCTCCTACGATCGTACAAGCGATACGAACTCGGATTGGGACTGGCACAATGACCATGGGTACGAGAATCCACCAGGCGATGACACCGACCCGGCTGTTCTCTACTGCCTCGCCGAGGCTGGGCTGGCGTTGACCGGCAGGGATACCAGCGTTGACACTTGCATGCAAGGCGTCTTGGATTGGCTCATTCATGCTAAGGCGTTGATGGAAAAAGACATTGCCCCGGACCCCGACCTAGCGACAGCCTTGGGCTTGCTCCAACGATCATCTGAGCAGGGGTTTCGACTTTTTTGGCGCCAGAGAATTTTGCTCATGGCGAGCAGGAGGGATTTTACAGCACTCATCCGCATCCTCGCCGATCAGTTGACAGCAAGGGCGCAAGACCCAGCAACCAAAGCTGGCCTGTTAGAGGCAGTGCATGCTGCCGCCGCAAGAGGGAGCGTAACAATGCTGGCAGTGTTCATGGATGAGTACGGCATGGATGTGGAATCACCACACCGAAGTAACACACTGCTGATCACCGCACTTTACAACGGAAGTCTGGAGGCGGTTAGGTTGCTCCTCCAGCGGGGGGGCAGCGTTCTTGTGAGATCGAGAGACGGCACTTCTGCCGTTACATGGGGTTTGCGAGGAGGGGAGAAGATGGCCATTGTTGTCTTGGAACACCTGAAAAAAATGAGATCGACCCAGTCGCCAGCGATGCAAGACCAAGACTTCGTCGACGACTGCAACCTTCAGATGGGGGAAGCTCTGGCCTCCGCAATGCGGGATTCCGAATCAAAGGAGCTTGTCAGGGCCCTGCTAGATGCCGGAGCCGACAGCGATGTTGTTGCGTTGCCAAATGAGGGCTGGAGACCACTCCATGTTGCCGCCTCCAATGGAGATAGTGTCCTAGTCAATTTGCTGTTGAAGGCGGGCGCCTCTGTGGATCTCAAGGACGCCAAGGGCCGCACCCCCCTCCACCTGGCCGTTATGCAAGGCCACCTGACGGCTTGTACCGTTCTCCTTCTCCGTGGTGCCGATGTCAACGCGAGAGACGAAGACCACGCAACGCCACTCCTACTGGCGAAAGAGGCTTTCGATTCCAAGAATTTTCCAGAACTTGTCAGGGCGCTTTTGAACTTTAGGGCAAGGGTCGAGGACAGCTTCGGCAGTGGCACCACCACGGATCCCCTTATGCGGGATTCCCTTATGGGGTACGCTATACGCCGGGACAGCGATGTCATTCTCAAGCTTCTCCTCGACCGAGGTGCGGCCGCAGTGTTCGAAGCAAAGTACCAACAGACCACCATGGGGGTTTGTATTTCTCACAGTAGGGTGGCCTGCCTTCGATTGCTTATCAGTCGACCTGATTATGACATCAACGAGATGGATTACCTTGGTTACGCCCTGATTCATTACTGCGCCGGGGGTATGTCGTGGAGGGAGCCGATGTGTGATACACTCGGCATGGAGACTGTGGAAAAGCTGCTCAAAAGACCAGACCTCAATGTCAACTTGCCTTCGTCAAACGGAGAGCTGCCAACAGAAACATCTTCCCGACAAGCCGCGAAAAGCCCTTCGTCATTGCCATTCATGAGACTTTTACTTGCCCGAGAGGACATCGATATCAACGCGACTGATGTCCGTGGAGAGCGCACTGCTCTTCACCGTGCAGTTGAGAACCAGCACACCGAGATGGCGAAGATGATCATAAGCGACCCCCGTACAGATATTAACATGAGCTTTGGCGAGGTTATAGTATACACGGCCCTATACTTCGCAGCCAAGACGGGCAACCTTGAGATTGTCAAGCTGCTCTTGAACGACCCCCGATTCAGGATGGTCAACGAGCCGGATAAGCACGGTAGCTATCATACTGTTAGCCCTTTGCAGGCGGCTGTATTTGCAAGGAAAAAAAACCCTGGCACAGAAGCTGTGGCAGTTATGTTCGACTCTGCCTACCTCGACATCGTGGGGCTGCTGTGTAAGAGGTGTGATACGGTGTTTCTCAATCGGCGGACGGTCGATGGAACAGCGCTTGACATTGCCAATTCTGGCTTGCGAGCACGGAAAAGCGAGCTTCGGCATTTGGAAGAGTTGGCTCAGCAGAGGCAGATACGAAAGCCATGGCTGAGTTACGTTTCGCGTGCTGATGACTGGGGAAACTACGAGGACTCAAAGGAAACTCTGGCCAAGGAATTGGACGAGTATGACAGCACCCATTACGGTGAAACTGAGGGTAGCAGCGCGTTGGAGTGTCGGGTGCAAGATCTCGAGAAGGAGATCGCAGCCAGGCAGAAAATGGTGGACATCATCATCTCGCATGGTGGTACGGCGACTGAGGATCCACAATTCGTCGGGTGGTGCGACTCGGGGTGGTACGGAGTTGACAGGGTCAAGTCGGCGTCCTATATCTCGGCTGTTCGCTTGTTGTGCACCAGGTAACGTCTGCCTATCGGTCCTCACTCGTCGTCTCTGGGCCACAGGGGCCTCGGAGAACAAGTTTTCTTTTGGCTACCGGGAGAGCCTGGAGAGTAGATGATTGTAGAAGTGGGCTGATATTGAAGGTAACAAATTTGTCACACTTGCCTTGATGGGAGGGTATTCCACCCGGCCCCTGAACCCCTAATCAGTATCTGCATCCCGTTTACGAGGCTGATCCGATATTGACGTATAGTTCCCATCGCTAATTATCAAAGCGTAGTTGCGAGTGCTACTACTGCACAATGAGGCATCTAAGAAGGAAGGATCAAAGTCTCATCGATACACTCTATTTAGATACACACGATTCATCATCCGCTATTCCCGTCTACCCACTGATCATCAAGTCATCAATCATTAACCGCATCATGCTCAAAACAAAGAAGCATACGAGCCGGAGTAGATGCTTCGCTTTCCTCCCTACTTGTATGGCGGCGAGATGAGAGGGTATCAAAGAAAACAGTTAAACGAAGCGGCGAGTTGCGGACACGACGTGAAGACGAGGTGAAAAAAGAAAGAGAAAGCCCTAAAGTCCTGTCCAAGCAATAATCACGTCCCAAAAACGCGGAATTCGACCGTACTGCTCTCACAACCCGGCAGCACCAAAGGCGGTAACCCCTGTTAACTAGACCTCGCAGCCCAGCCGGCTCAGCGAAAATACGACCGCCTGCGTTCATAATCATGCCCTCGGATCCTCGTAGCGCGAGGCTCTTTGGGCGGCGACAGCGCGTGCCGGGGGGCAGCACCGCGCTCTTCTTCAGGCCTGTCCCGCCGCCGCCGCCGCCCATCCTCCCGGCGAGGAGGACGCGCAGAGGGACGCGCAGAGGGACGCGCAGAGTCGCGCTCTTCTTCGGACCTGTCCTGCCGCCGCCGCCGCCGCCCATCCTCCCGGCGAGGAGGAAGCGCAGAGTCACGCTCTTTATTGATGCGCTCTTTATTGATGCGCCGGCGGGCCGCGGGGGCGCCGCTGAATTCTTCGCTACAGATCCAGCCGAGCCAGGTCTGCGCGGTGCTGGAGGGCTGTGGGTGGTCGGGCCTGGGGCCGGCGTCGTGTTCGTAGTCGTGATTGTGATGGTCGTGGTGCCGCCTGCTGTTCGTCCGCCGTGGGCGTGCAGGCGGCGAGCGGCGGCGGTAGTTGTTGTGCTCAAGGTCGACTTGGCGGGCTGGACGGGCGCGCAACGAGGACGCCCGCCGCCGCTTGCTGGTGGGCCGAGGGGCTGGGGGATCAAAATCCCTGTCCTCGTCTCGATGTCGGCGTCGAGTCCGCGGTGCACCGCGTTCTCTGTTGCGGTGGTTATCGTCGCTAGCTTTGCGGCGGTCTGGTGACGGTGATCGCTGGCGTGCTGCACGGCGGGGTGGGGAGTGTCGACGTCGCCGTGGTCGCTCTACATGGTCCGCGAGAGGCTCCGCCTCGAGGTGCAAGGAGCGAGGAAGCGTTGCATGTGAGTATCTGTCTTCCGAATCACGGTGTCGCCTGCCTTCAGTCTGGTTCACGGCCGGTTGTCCGTACTGCATCTGCGGCGAAGTTTGCATGGAGCTGTAGCCAGAGTCGGGGGGCCTAGGATGCGAGCCGCGCCGTAGCGGCGCTGCTTGCTTGCCTCGGTCGACTCGAAGGGGCAGAGGCACTGCGCTCGGTGGTCCCATTGAAAAGTCGCGGACTTCGACCAGTGGGCTTGTCGTTCCGTCCTCCCGGCGGCCGAGCGCGTAGTCGCGATGCCAGTGCTCTGTCGGGGGCGGGCGGGCATCGACTATGTTGATGCCGAGATCGCGATTCCTGCTGTTCGCCCGCTGTCCTTCCCGACCGAGCGCCTCTATCGAGGAGGCCAGGCCATTCGGTAAAGTTGTGGCGATGGACAGCGTCGATGCCTGGGGTTTGGCGAACAATTCAAGGTTGCCGAGATACTCGAATCGCCAAAAGACGCCCAGATCCACCTCAGCCATCATGTGTCTCGCGCGGCGGGGGTATCTCAGCTGGTACTGCCTGGCCTGGTCGAAGGCGTCACGCAGGGCCTGGGCACGGTTACGGCACTCGGCCAGGGCGTAGTGGTCCCCTGCGTAAGCGGCGTCGAAGTTGGCGTGCAGAAAGTTGGCGGCGACGGCGATGGCGAGCCAGGTCCTGCACTCGTCGAGGCGGTGACTGTAGTAGCGCGACTGGTTGCGCACAGGCATGGCAAAGACGTGCAGCAGCCGGATGGATAGCTTGTGAACGTAGTCGTCGTGGTACTGCGCTACGCCGTTGACCATGCCCCGGCAGTACCGGATCAGGTTCCGCGTCTCGTTGCGCAGTGCCGGCGGGATGCGCCCCTCGCGCCGCAGCTCGTCATTCTCGGCCTTGACTTCGCGGAGGTAGGTGTCGCAGCGGCGTTGGTACAGCCTGACCTCGTCGAGCGACTTTTTGGTGTTGATGATTTCGCGGCCAAACCGGATGATCTCAGGGCCTTTGACGGCCGCGCCGACAATTAGGGGGCTGGCAGGTGTCAGTTACGAGTCGGCACCGGAGTCAGCAAGTTCACTTACACCCACGTAATGGGGTCCATGTTGACGTCCCGGACATCGCCCGCAGGGACCTGCCAATACAGGTCTCCTCAAAACAAAATCCAAGCGGCAAGGAGTCTGGATCGGGAGGAGAAGGACAGAAGGGAGGGTCGAACGGCGTAAGGAAAGCGCCCGGCTCTTGGGAGGAACCCCGGGGTCGAATTTCCTAGGTACACATTGCAGCGCTCTTGCAGCCTTGTTTTCCCAACCCGCTTTTGATTCAGCAACTTGCCAAGGGAACCGGACACCAATTGCGGCCTATCGGGCCAGCGAGTGGCGTGATATGCTTCTGCAGCTGCAGGATGTTACTGCGCGGCGCAGTGCGGTCGAGACGCGCTGAGGGAATTTCCAACAGCCATACGGAGTAATAATGTGCGCATTGCGTCTTGGCGCGTTCTGGAGCCTCGTCGGTCGACAAGAGTCTGCCTTGGGCCAAGCACCTAGTTCAGCCACCGCGTTCCTGTTCAGACAGGCGGGGAACCGAAGCCCCTGGCTTTTAGGTCAGTCTCGGTGTCAATCGATATCATTGAGGTTAGGCTCAAATGCGGACGCAAAGTAACCGTGTCTTGATTATTGGTGCTCTCCCCTCCAGTCTTGCTTACACCCAGCTTCAAGTTCGACCGCACGCAACGCACCTAGTGCGAACACGTAAAACGGCTTTCGTACAATTCGGGCCGGCGGGCGCCGTTTTAACGGAACTCAATCAGTCCAGTCACCCCGGGGGGCCGGGCCTCTCTGCTTGTGTATATATGTTTTGTGTATATATGTACGTAGATGGGTGTCTACATGCTCGCATCTCCCACACTCTTCTCAAGCGGCGGTCAAATCCACGGCAGCGTCGGCCCACGCGTCATGGGCCCTGCCGTCGTCGACCAAGACAGAGGCATCGCCAACGGCAGCGCAAGATCTTTCGAGTTCAGGGGCACGCGGCACGACTGCCGGTGGCTGTCTCCCGAAGCCGCCGCCGCCGCCTCACAGACTTCGGCGGGCACTTGCTGCAGCACCGTGGTAGCGTTGAACAGGACCCTGTTTTGAATACTTGAATTAGCCACTTTGATCGAATTACCCTCAGCATCGGAAACAAAACACCAAACATACGCATGCCCAGGGTCGCGGTCGTCGCACAGCCACTGCACCTGGAAGCCGACGCGATGGGCCTTGCGGTCGACGAGGTAGCGGCACGCGGCCAGTTGCCACGGCAACCGCTGCGACGCGCCGGCGGCGGCGGCGGCGGCAGCGCAGTCGTGCCAGCCACCGTCGTCGTGCAGCGGCACGCCGCGCAGCCGGTACGTGTCGCCCGGGCCGGGGTTGTACAGGGCGAAGGAGGCGGTGCTGTTCTTGTCTGGAGTGTAGTCGTCGATCTGGAGCTCGCGCAGCGCGAGCGACGTCGAGTTGACGATGGACCCGATGGTGCAGCTGCGCGTGTACGGCGTGTGCGGCATCGCCGGCGCGTCGGGCGAGTATCCCGAGAACCGGGAAGGCGAGGTCGGCAGCGTGCAGTTGAAGGTCGAGGTGGTTGTTGGCCCGGCTGGGCTGGTCGTCGTTTGGTTGACCGCGCTGCCGCACTGCAGGTCGGCTGTCAGGTAGCCGGTGCCCGTGTACTGGTCTCTGTCGCACGTTCAGCTTCATTTCCAAGTCTACTTGATTCACAGGAGAGTAGCCGTCACACTCACGCTTCGAGCTCCTCTATCCCGTCGGAGCAGTTCCACGTCTGGCGGACCCCTACGAGGCCGTAGACCCGGTCGAGCAGGATCTCGGTCGACGAGATGTTGACGGGAGCCGATGTGGCGTTGGACGCCGTGCACTTGACCCACGGCGTGATCCCCGCCGCGGTGTCCTCTGCCGACTCGTCGGCCGCGAGGTGGCAGTAAAGGCCCTCGTCGTTGGAGATGTTGGTCAGGTTGAGCGTCAGGTCGTACCACGTCTTGGTCGCGTTGGCCGCCGTCTGGGTCGAGTGGTGCTGGTAAACAAGCTTCTCAATCTCCCACTCGGGTTCCGCGGACCGGTCGACGCATCGGTACGGAAGGTCGGCCGGCGTGTACGGCAAGATGGGCAGCTGCGGCTGGATGCTGACGGGGCTCGACAGGCCCGCTGATACCTGGGAGTTGCCCATGATGCACAGCGTTTCTTCGCCCCGCGGCGCCTGCCAGTCGTCCAGGCACCCCTGGATCAGCGGTGTCTCCCACGTCCCGTTTCCGGCAAAGAGAAGCCTGCTCCTGTTAGCAGTCTGCCACCAGCTGCAGGCCTGAGGGGGTCGGACTTGGACGAGTTGCCACACTGCCACGTCCCCTGGAGGCGCAGGTCCAGCGTGGTCAGGTTGAACTGGAAGAACAGGTTCGGGATGCTGCAGTTGTGCCAGAGCGTCAGAGCGTCAGGCCCTTTCGGGTCGAGGTCGATGTTCTCGGCCGTGCAGTTGGCCACGACGCGCGTGGCCGTGTTCTCGGTCAGGAAGCGGATGTCGCCCATGGAGCCGCCGCTGGACCCGTTCACCGTGACGAGCGCCGGATTGTAGATACCCCATTTTGGACTGGTGAGGGACGCCTCAATGCAGACCTCGGCCGACGCGAGCTCGCCGCTGGGGTCGGGGAAGTATTGGCGACCCCATATTCCCGAATTGCCCCAAGCCCCTAGGGAGAAAAAGCCGAGGACGACGCCGGTGGAGAGCATCATCCTGCCCCGAGAAAGAAGAATGACGAACTGGCGCCAAGGTTTCTTCTCTTGCTTCGGAGGAACTGCTCTCCAACTTTTTCTCCCTTGTTTCTGGGGTATTCTGCACGAGATATAGCGCGGGCAACAGCAGGCGGCTGCCAAGTCCGGCTAAAATGTGCCGACAACCCGGAGCAGCTACTCAAGAGCTGCGTGGCCCGCACTCCGGCTAATGCGACTATAGTGGCTGCAGGTTAATGACCCATGTGATCAGCCTCACTCCGGCTGGCCAGCAATGCGGAAGAGGGTGATATTCTGCCTCCGGGATAGATTGCGTCGAGCGGCGGCTCACAGCGCCAGCGGCTACGTCAGTGGGCACGAACGCCTTGGATACATGGTCTCAGAAACAATGCGACGTGTGAATAAATGAACCATTTTTGCTTTCAAATCTGCATTGAAGTAGGTTAGTGCAGGTTAGTGTAGGTTAGTGTAGGTAATTGAACTATGAGATAGAAAGCAGGGGAAGCTTGCATGAGGTCTTTGAGTTGACACACTGAAATCGACGCCAGCGCCATCCGACGACCGGCAACGCTGGCAACATCCGCTACGCTAGACTGCGCCGCGGGATATCAAAGAGTTGGTCAGGTCTTACGGGATGGGGCCGATTCTAATGCTCGCCATGTCGATGACATAAATCCCTCGGACCTGGCGAGCCTGGAGATGTAAAAGAAAGAAAGGTTGGGTGACGTAATGGCGGGAGGAAAAGCGATTGTGGTGTAACATGAATCGTTAGGGATAGCTGTCTCGTAGGTTTTGGCATGTTGCAAAACAAGTGTTTGGTCTATTACATAGTACATACCCGACAACGGTGAGACCCAGGGGCCCTATTAGGGCAAACCACTCGGCAATTTGTCGTTGTTTCAGCGCTGAGAGCTTCGGCGCGACAGCAAGGCTTAGGCAAATACCAAGAAAATATAGATAGTAGTGCAAGTGGTTTGCGAAGTGAGGCGAGGGCTTTGGATCAGCGACGACTTTCGAGGCCCGAAAGGCGCTGCTGGGAAGATATGGCAGGTAGAGAACATTCGCCAGATAAAGCAAAACGAGAATGAAGTGAAGATGCTTTTGGCCTAGATGGGCAGTAGCTGTTTACTGTCAACAGACCGCTTCTCTGACAACTCAATATCAGCCCACTGTCTGGCCCCTGGAACGATGTTTGCGGAACTTCATGAAACACGTTGCACGACTGCCCACGATGACTCGTGTCATGCCTCAATTTGACCAGCTGCTCGAGATAGTCCAAGTGGCCATGGATTCACATATAAGCATCTCCCATATCCCTCTCCCTCTCCCTTTGATAGTCTTCTAATCAGCTCGCCAGCAACTCGTAGCATCGCCAAAACCACTGCGTCGACCGTATCAAACGCGGCAACTCGCCAATCTGCTTCGCACTCTCAGCCACCAACACAGCAACAATCTGCCGCCTGTTACCGATCCGAGATTGATCATGTGTAGAGAGGTTATTCACGTCCATCCATATTGCAACCAACAACCCGAGCATGTAGCAGAGCAGAAAATCATCCCATGCGGATCCAATTATTGCCATGGGATGTCGACTCGGGAGCGCCAGTTTCGGAAGTACCGTGTCCGCATTGCAATCCGCATCAGCAATCGCAAACCTGGCCTCCACCTATGACCGCCTTGCAGCCTCAACTCCAGCCGCTTCATGGGCCAGGCTATCCGCATGAAGCAAGCCATTCGCAAGCAAACCATTCGCAAGCCAGCGCATCGCAACAGGCAATTACGTATCAAGCACCGCACGAATCGGAGGCGGAGCAATACCGGAGGGCGCTCAGACAAGCCCCACGGCGGAAATTGGCAAAAAGAGACAAACAACGAAAATTAGTCCAAGAAGAGCAACAAAGTCTAGAACAAGAAGAGGCCAAGTATCGAAAGTTGCAGGCGGAGCAGCATCGGAGGGAGCTCAAACAGTATAAAATGCCCGAAGAGGACTTGGAGGAGGCCAAGGCGAAAGCGAGGGCCGAGGATGAGCTAAAATTAAAAAAGAAAAAGTAAGAGAAAGAGATCAAGAAGTCGGCGAGAAAGAGAAACAAGCAGGATTTTGAGGCGGGCTCAAGGATATCCGATGCTGAGGCGCGCCAGAGGATACTCGATTTTAGACCACCACAACAGAAAGAACGGGGTCCAATTGAAACGCAAAGGCTGCTTGCAGAAGTAGCGAAGCTTCCAATTGGTTACACGCCAATTCAACCAAAGCCGCAGGCACAGCCACACACCGTGCAATCTTCGATCAGCTATGATCGACGCCCAGGTCAGCACCAAGGTCAACACCAGAGGCCTACCGCTACCTGTCCACTCTCAAGGGGTTTATCCCCAGTTAAATAGCACTCCCACAGCTGAGACAACGCATAAACGAAAGAAGCACGAGAGTTCTAATAGCCCGGAGAGTGTAAGTGGCGGAGATTAGCAGGGCAGCGATGGCACTGCCCGTGGTTACCGGGGTAGCAAGCCTCCTTCGAAAACCCCTTCTCCGGGAAGCCAACTTAGAGGGAAGTGAGCTTAGGATCGCCTACTCTGATGACGGCCATTCAATTGTCAGTCTATTTCACCATCTTCGATCCTTGGTCGGATTGTCCTGGATGGAGGTGTTACGATGCGTACCGCTCTTCTGAGCCTCTGGGAGGACTGAGGATTGGTTTGCTCGCAGCACACGAGTCTATCATGGTCACTGCGAACTTGTTAGGGGAGGTGATAGTTTGGACCTAGGGTTTTAGCATGTATCTACGAGCTTTGGCTCAGGGCTATTTAATCTTGCGCTCGAGGCATAATCAACATACTTCCAAGGGAATCAACACGTCGTCTAACAGTTACGTCAGTGGGCATAATCATCTCAAGATACATAGTCTCGGAGACAGCACCACGAAATAAATAAAATTTCTTTCTCCAAACTGAATTCGAAGTTAATTAACTATGAGTTAGAGATCGCCGTAGGGGGCCAACGAAACCAGGTTTCTGTCCTCTTTCTTGGTCATCGTCGTATAGGGTTTTTTATTCATCGCACGGCCTCCCAAAGGGATCTGACAAAACTAGCAACAACCTAAGACATTCAGGCAAACGAGGTGAAACTCAGACTCAACACAAACCAGTGGGTCGTTACGAAAGAAGCCAGAAGACCGAAATCACGGGAAGTTAAGTAGTGACCATCATCACAAGTCTATCTAGGTAATTTCAAGCCGTGACCAGCACAGTCAAGTTTCACAGTAATCAGGTCTGGAACTAGGTAGGCTATGACCCACACATTTAAACGATTCCTACGCACCTCATCCAACTATGTGTCCAGATGATTGATGTCAGAACCATCCAATCCAGCCCTCCTGTTTATGAGATGTCAATTTGACGACCGTCTGCAGTCGACAAAGTCTGACATAATGAGAGTAAGGTAACTGTGTGGTGCGGGCTGGCAAATGCAGCAACCCTGGATTTGGAACCGATAACCCTAATTGACCCTTTAAGTAGAGAGAGAACAGAGGCACACCGAGCCAAAAGGATGGGTGCACTCTGAGTAAAACTCTCAACTTGGAAATTTAGATCTTGGAACGAGGTTCCGTAGATCAAGAAGAGAAATAAAGTAGCATTACAATGTGTTCTGGTCCAAGTGGTTTGATCCTACGTACATTAAAAAAACAAGCGGAATTTCCACGTAATTACCTGGGCACTTTAAGTTAGTCCACTCCCTAGGCGCCAAAGAACGACTCTCCCGCAGCGAGCCCCTTTATCCACCACTCAAAGTCGCCTCTCCCGCAGCGAGCCCCTCCATCCATCACTCAAAGTCGCCTCTCCCGCAGCGAGCCCCTTCATCCACCACTCAAAGTCACCACCGTCCTTGCCATTGCTAGCGCCAGCACCGCCGACATGAGCCTCGAGGGCGGCCGCTTTGGCCTTGGGAGTATCGTTGTCCACCACCTGTATGCCATAGACCGGCCCGAGCTTCTGCCTGTCAAAATCTTCGATGTCCTTCAGCTGCTGCTCGCGGAATGCGGCTGCTAGCATCTTGCAAAGGTCGGGGTTCGAAAAGCCAATGGCGTTGCCGAGCTTCTCGCCGAGCGCCCGTTGTTCATTCTCGCTCATAGGGCGACGGAGGTGGCCTGTGTACTCGGAGATGCTGGTCGAGCTCTGCGTGCTGATGGTGCTGAGAGAAGATACGGTGAGGTCTTCATGGTCTGGGTCCATGGTTGACATATTAGCCTTTATGTGTAGGGGTGGGTTTGACGGGATTTGGGACAGTGAGTGGGTACCAGGGAGAACGTACACGGAGACTTGGGGAGCTCATTTAACGGGAAAAGGATCTGGTAGATCTCGAACCACATTCCCTCATCCGTCATGTCGGAGCGCTTTCTCTTCATACGATCGAAGGTTGATTGCCTGCCCAAGGCTCACTTAGCCGTTGATAACTTCAGGTGACTTGATGAGGCATTGTGGCTCCTCTCGCGAATGCTGGAAAAGAAGGTCTTGTGACTTGAACCCCTCGAGGCAGCGGCCACAAGTCAGGGGATTCTTGAAAGCCGGAGGGGCATGGCAACGGAAAAGATCTTCCCTATGGAGATGGTTAGCCTAAACAGCCGAAACAAGGGTTGCCAGCCTCGGAGTTTACTTGAAGTGGTGGAAGGATCCCCATCCTGGCCCCATGCATGCCCGACTCAGCTCTGACTGAGCATATCCTGTCTTCAGATATGGGCACGCAAGCTTTCGCTGGTGACGACGCTTGCTGTTTGTTGCTGTTGTTTGATTGGAGCTTGTGACGTCGCTTTTGCTCTTGCGCTTCCGGCTGTTGCCGTGGCCAGACTGTGTGTTTGAGTGTACCTGCGAGACCGCAACAGTTATTAGTAGGCTGTTCTCTCGGCGTGCAAGCGGTACATAAAGGAGTCTATCTAGATGTGTGAGCGAACTGAACGCAGAATATGTCAGTAATTCTCTGGTGAGGCGCCTAACCTTTGTGTAATCTTCGTAGGAAGGGCTCAAAGGGCCAGAGGCATCCCGATATCCCTCATCACCAAAGGCAAGAACCCGTGTCTCCCTTGATGTGATACACGAACTGTCATTTTTCACAACCTGATCGATCCGGGTGAGCTCGTGAAGCACGTCGTGGGCCGAAGATCTTCGAGTGCTTTTAAGGACGAGCATTTTGTCAAGGATGACGCGGAGCACATCGTCGGTGAAGCGGCTCAATTGAAGATGGCTCTAAAGACGCCTTATCCACTGCAACAATGATTAGCCACACAAAGTAAGAAAAGGATGAGCCAGAAGTCCTACATCTTCGATCCCAGGCTTCAGTCTGGCAACGCTGCGGCGACTAGATTCCCCAGTAAGTTCGAAGAAGGCGTCGCCAGTACGGAGTTTTCGCTCCGGGCCGTCTGTCCGGCAGGATACGTTTGTCAAGCCCTAGGGCGCCCGCCATGTACCATGTGACAAACTCTGTGATGACGCACCCGAGACTCCATATGTCGCTCCTCTGTCCTATGCCGTCGCCTGGCAATGCAAACTCGGGAGCCCTATAAGCAGGGGTGTATCTAATCGGCCCTTCCCCCACCTGTTCGTGATCTGGGGTGCCGGGTTTGTGGAAAGATGACAACCTAAAATCGGCTAGTGTGAGGGTGCCAGAGCTTTCGCCACGGAAAATCAGGATGTTCGATGGTTTGATGTCTCCATGTCTTCCTCGCCAAAGGAACTTGTCACAGTAGTCGCCATCCTTGCTCCCAAAGCCGTGAATAAGAGACAGAGCGTCAAGAAACCCCATTAACTGCGTCACAACCCACGAGGCTAGGGATCTTTCCCTCTGAGGCCTGGGGTTCAGACGCCGAAACATGCCCAGGTCGCCGTCCGCCCATATAAACATGAGATAGTACCTGTCAGAAAAAAGGGGGGGTTCTAGAAGGTGCTGGAATCATGGATTTGTCACTATCAGAAAGAAGGGAGATTCTAGAAAGTGCTAGAATCATGAATTTGTCACTATTAGCCACAGACGCGCAATAACCTCGCCACCTGGCCATGGCTATAAGAAATGCTCTCTGGCAGAGCCAGAGAGCCTAGAAAAAAGGGCAATACAATCAAGCAATTACAACCCCATCAATTCCACAAGATCCAGTGTGCAGTGTTTCTGACAGTACCTGCCGCGAAGCGGGTAACTTCCAAGAAGAGGAACAATGTGCCGGTGAGGTTTGCCATTCAGCAAACGCAGCGCTTGAGCTTCTTTCTCAAAGGCGTGCCTCTTGGCGCTATGCAGTTGCTTGACTGCAAAGTGAGAGGTGACATGGAATCGGGATAGATTAAGGCAAATATCACTATCGTGATTGACACTGCGGGTCTGGGAACCATAGTGGCACGAGCGAATGTGGTTGCAGAAGGAGCATTCCCGAGTTGTGAGTTCTCGAATGGATGAGGGGCCTTGCTTGGTTGAGTTGGTTTGAGTCCGAACTCAAAACAGAGGGCCAAGTCTGGATAGCTACTGGCCAAGTCTGGATAGATACTAGCCAAAACCACAAGTTTGGGCCTAAACCGAGGCATGCGGATCCACATCTGTGAATCGCATAATAGGGTCCTAAATCCGGACTACCATCTTACAAAAGCTGATGTAAATCCGCGGTCCTTCTGGTCTTTGCCACTCCAGTGGCCAGGAACTTCTCCTTGGACAGGAACTTCTCCTTGGAAAGGAACTTCTCCTCGGACAGGAACTTCTCTGTGGACAGGAGCTTCTCCAGGGGAAGGAACTTCTCTGTGGACAGGAGCTTCTCCATGGACAGGAACCAGACGACTCCACTGCTTGCAGGGAGTAAGTCTACGCTGCGGCAGAGTTGAATATGCCTAGGGAGATGAAGTGGTTGGAAGATGTTGGTTCTATTGCCTCGCTTCTATCTAGAAGACTGCCGGGTTTATATAGACCTTTGATGGCCTGAAGACTCCCAGGTGGGCATCCAGAGCAGGGGGATGAGGGTCTAGGTTGCGAGTCAGCATAGCCAGTTGTATGGCCTGACCTTGCCACCAAGGCCTGACGTCACCACGTTCATGCCACAGCTTTGCTTGATAATGTCTTCGGGATCAGGAGAAGTGAAGGTGCATCTAAAAACTAGTCACCTACCAACGGGGGAATGTCGTCGCTCCCGGCTTCAGCTTCCAGATGTCCTGAGCGAAAGGTCAAAGACGGCGTGAAAATGCCGTATGGATTGGTACAAAAAGAAATTTGGGGGTTCAGGTCAGCCATTCCGGCTCCAATGAATAGGTTGTCGATGGGATGGTCGTCCATGCCGACACCTAGGAAGGTACGCAACGATAACTGGATGGCGTGGTAATTAATAATTGAGTGAAAGAGGCTTTGAGTGGCGAGAGTTAAAGGGAGAGCAGCTGAGAAGGTGGTGAGTGGCGAAAGTTAAAGGGATAGCAGCTGAGAAGGTGGTGAGTTGCTTTGAAGTCCTAAATTCGCGCAAAGAAAATTGGCGGTGGAAAGGCAGATTCGAGCTGTGCAACTGTGTGGGTCGCAAAGGCGCGCCTCGGCAAAGCAAGCCACGAAGATGTGGTGGAAAGTGCAGGTTCGAGCTGCGCAAATGCGTGGATCGCGAAGGCGCGCCCAGCCAAAGCAAGCCACGAAGATTTCAAGCTAATCAACGAAGCCTAGGGCCTACGGAATAAGGTAGGGACAGTACATACGTAGGTTGGTTCTTTTTAGTGGTTGCAGACATGAATGACTTCGCCCCGACAAAAATCGATAGTTGGTGGTCGATGGCAGGCACCGAAATAATGGACTGGCTCTGGATTTTCACAGTCGTTGCCGTTCTCAACCAAGACATCAGCCATTGATGTTTGTTCTCTCGAAATATGACGGCAAAAAAGCACCTCTCAAGTGCCTGACCTAGGATGGAAGTCGCGGTCTTGTCCACCTAGACTCAGCAGCCAGGGTTCCATTACCCTAACCGTCGGCCCCAATAGTGGATTAAGACCCACACTCCACTTCAGCGGCCACTCGGGGCACGGCCCACCCGAGGCCTGAAGCTTACACAGTAAGCTTTTACACAGCAAGCTTTCCCCGCCTTTCGCATTCCAGAGCACATCCACGTCACGAAGCCAAGCTCGACTTCACACCACTATCCCGAGTCCATCCCGGGCGCCATCCGAGTTCCAATTGCAATCGCTGCCTGTCACCAGCCGGCCACTTGGCATCACCTCTTCTGTCTTTTTACATCCTACACCCCTATAAATAGAACCCTATACATAGAATCGAGACGATGGCCGACGCGGTCCCGATTATCAGTGTCGTGCGCCGCAGGGCTGCTGACACTGGACCTGGCGGGGGTGGGGTTGGGGGTGGGGTTGAGGGTGGTGGTGACGCTGACGACGACGCTGACCACGACGAGCCCCTCGTCGACCTCACTAAAGCCCTGGCCCTGCACTCCAAACGCACCGAGCGCCAGCGCAAGAAACTGGCCAAAAGGGCCGACACGATTGCGGCCAGGCATTGGAGCGGGCTGCTGGACATGCCCTACGAGATCCTGACGGCCATCTTGTCCATCCTGTGCCCCCGAGACGTCTTTGTCCTTTTGCGCGTGAGCAAGCCGCTGCGGAACTTCATCCTCTCCGACGAAGACACCCTCGCCGCCAGCATCATAAGCTTGCGCTATGCCTCCCTCGAGCGATGCTTCCTGCGGCCCGTGCTGATGCAAGACGTCGACTCGGCCCTGCGCGCGGCTGTGCAGAACCCGGACCGACAGGAGATGACTGTCCACAAAAGGCCGTTCCAACACATCCAGCCCCCCGACATGTCCCTCACGTGCACCTGCCTGACCTGCATGCTGCGATGGAACTGCCTGTGTCTCGTTGTCGATTTTGCCCACTGGCAAGGCAACCTTGAGAAGGGCAAGCCCATCCTCCCCGTCCCCCGCGGGAGACAGCCTGAGTGGAACCAGACCCTCGTCGCCTCCAACGCTGCCGTCGTCGTCAAGTCGCTGCGCAGCCGCCTGTGGCATGCCAGGATCCTCGAGGCCCATCTCGACTCCACCACGCGCTCGATCCGTCGTCACGGCCTGAACAAGGGCAACCGCCGCCGCCGCTTCCGCATGACCGACGACGACGTCCGCGCCGGCACCGATGCCTTCCTCGAGCGAAGCGGGCCCCCGACCCTTGACTTTCCCTTCAACCGTGACCAGTACTACATGCTCGAGGCCTTTCTCCCCAACCGCAGCTGGATTTCCGAAGAGCAAAAGTGGGTTTACATGCTGGCGAAACAGCACGACACGGACCTCGAGATTCTTATGAGATGGGACGCACAGAGACGGCCTCGGAAGCCTCGGGAAAATAGCCGGGTGGTAGACACCGAGACGGGCCTCTCACGAACCCAATAACGTCGCTTACTATCACTATCATCATTCATCCTGATTCAAAGGGTATATACCTACACCAAATAGACAAGCAGCAGCTTGAACAGCGTTTCTCTGGCCTGGAATGCATCCATATTCTTCCAAAACTCTCGCCAACGCTAGACTTCGAGTGTGCGATTACCCTTCAGGAAGCCCTTCCTCCCCTCTCTGGTTTCAGGCATGTTCATCTTTGGCGTCACTCAACTTTAGTCACATCATTCAGTATCTTCTCCATTCTCCATTCCCCTCTTTTAAATACCGCCATCCTACTGTAGCCTCTACCTTCATGTCGCGAACCCCGATGACCCCCTGCGCACTGCGCTACTGACACAAGCTGTTTTAATTACACCGCACCCGCCATCTACTTCCGCTTCATCTGTCGTGCGACTACATCATTGCTGCTGCCCATAGACTAGAAAGTGAGCTCAGACCGCAAAGACAGGCAACAGGTCGAGGCGCAGCGTCCGTCGCCTGGCCGCAGACCAGAAAATGCGCTAGAAGCGCCCAGACAAGGCCAGGGTGATACAAAAGCATGTCCAGAATCTGATACCGGGCAGACGTGTTCAAAACCACACGCAGGCCTCATTTGAAACGGCGACAGCAAGGCACGTGTCTAGTCGCGTCACCGCGGCTGTGCATGTGAACGTCCATGCATCGAGAGCACGGGTGAGGACAGTGACGTCTGGGGATGCGCGGATTCAATACCTCAAACAACGGCCTAGACTGCTTCACACAAGTCCCGGCGTCTATCCGCGGTGGCTGGGCAATCGGGCGGCGGCGCAGTTTGTGGGGTGCCTCGCGGGCTGCATGCTGTGACAGCTCGTTGCATTTTCCTTGGCGCTGTCGCCTTGTTCTTTTGGGTTGTTGCGTAACGTCAAACCTCCCGCCAAGACACAAGGCCTCGGCATGTTTTGCCCGACATTACGGAGCAAAGGCCAGGTGGGGATATCCTATTGATATTGACATCAATTAGGTAAACTTGCAGAAGCCTTCTTCGAGACATACACCAAAGACTTACCACTGACATCAATCAGACACGGTTACAATTGTTTCCCCGCATCGCGACCCTGTCCGTCATGGCGATGAGCCACCCCCGTTGCTGCACAGCCTCGCTAGGACCTTGCCTTTTCGAGTCACGCGCAGTCCTAGATCAACATCCGGAGGCCACCGTCAATCGCGGCGATGATATAAACACGCTGTGGATTACCCGGTCTGCGATTGAGTTAGGCAAACGATCAACAATACCAAAATACCAAGCTGATGCAGCAATCATCAACACCCCAACACCCCAACACAACCAGCGACAGCTTAGAACAGCACAACCCCCAACATGGAAGATTTACATGACCACTTTGGACGGCGCAGCCTGTGGCCGGAGTGGGACGTGTTTCAGTCGCCCGTCATCGACGTGACCGAGATATGGGGGCACGACGAGTCGTCGGCGACCGCGGTCGAGACGCGCGCCATCTCATCGGCCGACCTCGACACCTGGCTGGACGCGTCTCGGCGCACGACAATCAAGGGCGAGAACCACACACGGCTGCTGCGCATCGTGTGGGTCGGCCAGAACCCGCAGACATCGCGGCACAGCCCGTCAACCAAGGCGCTAGAGCGGCTACTGGGCGTCTGGGATCTGAAGGGAGGGTTCGACTACGCGCGGAGCTGCTTCGCCGGCGTCGCGGCACTGCCGAGGCACGACGCCGACAAACCCCCCGTGTTCAGCGTCGCGTACCACCCCAAGCTGGCGCTGGCGTGGTCGCGCACCGGCCGCGACGGGAGCGATCCCGAGGGTATCGCGCTGCCGCACACGCAGGCCGTCGTGTTCGCCGAGGGCGACGAGCGCACCGAGCTGCTGCGCATCCTCCAGTCGCAGTGGAGCGCGCGCGTGGCCCGCCACGTCATGTTCCCGGCGCTGCTAGCCGGGCTAGTGCTAGGCCACGAGTTGGACTCGACGCTCGACGAGATCAAGCTCGCGGTGCGGCAGGTCGAGGAGCGCACGGGGCACCACCGCTTCACGTCGCGCCGCCAGACGCAGCCCGCCGCCGGCGAGCTAGGCTCGCTCTCGGCGCAGATGAGCGGGTGCGCCGCCAAGCTGGCCAACGGCACGCGCAAGCTCAAGGTCGTCGACGCGCTCAACGAGTTCATGCTGCACGACGCTGCCCTAGCGGGCGACAATGGCACCACTACAACCTCGGCCGCCGACGACGCGGCCGTCGCGCGCAACATGCAGCTCCTGCAGCACCGCGCGAGCATGCAGGCCGTCGACACGGCGTACGTGCAGCAGCGGATCCAGATCCAGATCGCCGCGCTGTTTCACCTGATCGCGCAGCAGGACAACGCCATCGCGTTCGACACGGCCAGCGCCACCCGCAGCATCGCCGCCTCCAGCCTGCAGGACTCGTCCAGCATGAAGATGCTGGCCCTCGTCGCCATGTTTTTCCTCCCTGGCAGCTTCGTCGCTGCGCTGTTCTCGACGCCGCTGTTTGTCTGGGACGACGGCGCGGCCCAGCAGGCGGCGGCAGCGGCGCATACGGGCCCGCTGGCCGTGGCGACCCGCCCGCAGTTTGCCCTGTTCTGGGCTATTTCTGTGCCCATGACTGTGGCCATCTTCGTGCTCTACGCTGTGTGGATGGTGCGCCAGAAGAAGAAGGACAAGCGGCGGAGGCGGAAGGGCGTGGAGATGCATGTTGTTTGAGCGGTATTGTGCCTAGCCCTGTGTAATTAGCTCAAAGCTGTGTTATTTTGTCGCCTATGTACTCCCACCCATGCACCAATGAGCTTCTCGATGTTCCTAGAAGTAGTCACGTCATGCATCTGCACTAGAGCCTCGACCACTTCGGCCCTGCCATCACGGTGTGAAGTTGACCTCGCGAGTATTGATTCGGTTGTTTACCTCGATGGATTGGCGACGACCAACTCATTCCTTATCACGGAAGTTCTTTGAACTAAATCAAAGCTAGTTTTTCGGCCCCTGAGGAGTTGGTTCGCCTCTGCCAAACCTGTGGGCTGGGTCACGTGACTTGGGTTGGTGTGACAGACTTGCTCCCTTCGACATGAAATGACCCAAATACAACATGTTCCCCGCGTCGCAATCTTCCGGAGAAATTGCAAATCTTGGGGGACTAGACCATTTTAGAAGTGTCTAGTCACATTTTTTTAGATGGGAAACAGATGACAGTATTACTTGCAGGAAGAAGATCTAGCTATCAAGGCCATGGTGGAATATGGACAGGAAAGATGATGGTCTCCTTCTCATATCCATGTCAGTTCCATGTTATTTGGGACGTCCGCTTGGGCCTTTGAGAACGGCATTCCACTCTGCACTCCCTACAACGCCCTCAACTACTACATCGTCGACTGCATCGTAGCGATAACTACCTACCTACATAGCTTAGTAGTCAGGTTAACCCACTACCAAGGCAGAGGTGGCGTTACGAAGGCATTACGGGGTAGCCGAGAGACTCGTTATACTAATTACTAGACTTTAGACTATTACTAATCAGAATGCAATGTTAAAACTTACAGGCAACGTACAGGAAAACGGAACAGCGAGAATGGTTAGACTAAGTACTTTTGCGGTTGCTCAAAGCTACTCCATATACAGGCGATGTGGGACGACCTTTTCTACGGTCCGACTAGACATCCTTGTTTTATTCCGTAGAAGTGGACTTTATTTCACAAAATGGCTACTTCGTCCCTAGCAAGCGGTTGCCAAAAAACCAGCACACCAGACCCAGCACAGTACTTCCACTGCCATAGAAATTCCTACCTACAAGCAAGTCACCACAGGGCCTTCTACCACCCAGTCATCTGACCCTGGCCGGCTAACACATCTTCCATCCGCACTACCATAGAATCCACCATCTTATTGATGCTCTCCTGACTTACACGCTCCCAGCCTTCCAAAAATCAGTGCCTTCAAGTCAGCTCCTACAGTAAAGTGTGCACGTACGAATTGTTTTACTGCACGCCAACAGTTTTCTATGGGCGAAAGGTCTGGTGAGCCAGGCATATTAAAATAGTGCTTGAGCTGGTGTTCTTCCTTCCACTGCCTTACAATATTAGGCTTCTTTCCTCCACCATGGCCAGAATCCCCATCTTCTTCCAGAACAAAAGAATCCCCACGTGCCAGCCAAGGACCTACCACTTCTTCCAAGATATCGCGATATACAGCTAAGGACATCTTTCCGTTGGTGTTGGTAGGAACACTATAGAAGTGAAGTGGTGACTTGAAGTTCCAGCCAACAGCAGCCCAAACATGGTATCGTTCAATACCTTTAGAAGGTTCTTCAGCATGATGGATACAGTCAGGGCAGTAACGCTCTCCAGGCTTCCGTATAATCTGGACCTTCCCTTCAGGGCATATACCAAAGTGAGATTCATCTGACCATCTTATATCGCGCCAGTTCTCAGGCAAAGGGCGATAGGAAAGTGAAAGCTTGGCTGCTTCTATCCTTCGCTTGGCGTGCGCTGGCGAGACAAAGCCCTTCTCGCAAGCAATACACTTCCGGTAGTCTAGTGTACCCATTGCCCTCTCGATCGTGCGTGTAGAAACTAGCGTCAAGATGCCGGCGGCTTTAGCAAGGCCTTGCCAGCTTAGTGCCCGGGCTTGGAAACCGTATTGCCAGATAATGCTTTCCATTGCTAGCAAATTGGCTGGCGTAAGGACCGGCTTCCGGCCCCTGGATTCCACCTCTGGGTGCCGCCGTTCGCGCGCGTTGTGCAGGATCTGCCAGCCTGACCGGCGGCTTACACCAAAAGAGCTGAAAACATCGTTCTTATAGTGTGGAATCTTATGGCCTTCCAGAAGGCGAATGGCGCCAAGAACTTGTGCCTTGATAGGCGTAGTAAAGTGCGTATCACCAAAAGCCATGGAAGTGGTGGAAGTGGTAGAAGTGGTGGAAATGGTAGAACTGGCGGTGTGGTGCGTGGTGTGATGGAAAAGTGTAGAATTGTTAGGGGGCTTGTTAGTGCAGTGGGTCACGTGGCAGGCTTTGGTGTGCGGATTTTTCTGGCAACTGGTTGCCTGGGTATCATACACGCGTGCACGTTGATAAAACGAAACCAAAACCTCCAACAATGTCGAAAGTCCTCCCGCTTAGTCAACCACCTTGAGCATATCATATGCCTTGTGCGAGATGGCCTTCTTGACCGTGCTCAGCGGGTTCTTCTTGTGCTTCTTGGGGGCCGTTTCCTCAACCACCACGTCGTCGCCATCAGCGCTCACAACAACCTCGCCCTCTTCTTCCTCGTCCTCCTCTTCGCTGAACAGTCCCTTGTCCAGGAACACCTTGAGCATGGCCTGCGAGTAGCCGCTGACCAGCGACACGCCCTCCTCGTCGGCAGCCGCCGGCTTCGGGGCCACGGGGTCGCCGCTGCCGCTGTCGCTGCCGCCCGCGTAGCCCGCGCGGCCGCCGGCCAGGTTCCAAAACACCAGCTCGGGCACGTCGTAGCCAGCCCCGGCAAAGTCCGCCTTGACGCGCTCGTAGCTCGACGACCACCGGTCGCTGCTGAGCTTTGACGCGGCGTTGAACTGCATGTCGCTGAACACAAAGACGCGCTTGACCATGTCGCCCTTGGCGAGCTTGTGGCGCACGGCCATTGGCAGGATCAGGTCGCGGAAGACGGCGACGAAATCGGTCGACATGTCCCACTCGGCTCTGGCGAACGCCGCATACTTTTGCGTCAGCGACTGGCTCAGGTCGATCTTCTGCACCGTAGGCGTGGAGCTGAAGGTGATGAAGGCGCCGCCGAACGGCGGCTTGGTCACCTCGGCCAGCAGCAGCGACAGCCCGATGGCGCTGTGCATGGGGCAGGTGCCGTCCGGGAACGTCGGGTATGTCATGCTACCCGACACGTCGCACACGGCGATGCTCGACTCCAGCGCGCCCGAGTCCTTGATGCGCTGCACCAGCGTGCGCCACTGGCCGTCGGCCACCTTGGCGTCGAGGCCGAGGTTGGATAAGCGCGCCTGGACCATGTCGCGCGGCCGCTTCCGCGTCGACAGCTGTGTGTCGTAGCTGATGCCGGGCTGCGTACTCGCGGCCTTGACGAGCACGCTGGGCAACAGCACGGCGCCGCTGATCTGCGCCTTGCCGCGGGCAACCTTGTCGATGAACTGCTCGAAGCGCTCGGGGTCCTTCTCGATGAACGTCTTGGAGTGCATATTCATGGCGAGAGACGGCACGCGCTCGTATTTAATATTTCCGTAGGTCTTGGCGGAGAGTTCGCGCTCGACGACCTCGAGGTGCCTACGCAGCGAGGCCGTGGCCATGCGGTAGGCCTCGCGGGCGTGGCGCAGGTACAGGGTGCGGTTTGCCTCGTTGTCGTTGTCGGCGCGGGAGATGGCGCTGGCGTCAAAGTGGCTTGTGGGGTACAGGATCTCGGCGATCGACGACACGATAAACGTGTGCTTATCGTGGAAACGCTCCGTCGACGGGGCCCACTTGGCGCACAGCGAGATCTTACGCATCTCCTTTGGCTTGGCGCTATTGAGAAGGGCGAGGTCGGTTCTCAGCTGCTCTGCGAAGAGCCGTGCGACAGCGAGGTGGAGTGCGCGGTGCACTGGATTGGTCTTAAAGGCGAGCACGGCAGCGTCGTGGCGCGCGTCCCGGAGCTTGTGCTGGTTCTCCTTGACCACGTCAGCCGGCAAACGAGCAGCGTGTTTGTCTGGGCGTTCGATATTAAGGATTTTGCGAGGGCTAGCGAGCACGCTGAGCTTGTTGTTGGCGGAGAGCGCGAGTATGTTCAGCAGGTCCTTCCAGTAGCCATGGGCCACGCCGTTGCGCACGTCGAAGCGGGCAGGGTCGCTCTCATCCTGGGTAGCGTCGACAACCACCATGTCATCGAGGTCGGGATCTTTCTTAGCAGCCTTTTTGGGAATGACGGGACGGCTTAGCCAGCGGAGGTTTATGATTAGGGTGAGGGGGTGGTGCTCTGCGAGCCAGCCTGCGCAGCGGTAGAAGACTGTCCGCGAGCTCTTGCCCAGGTGGATGGATCGAGCGTTGAAGACGATCTTGAGCGTGGCCAGCGGGTCGAGCCTCCAGGCGGAATTCAATAGCTGAAACAGGCGGGGGCCCGAGATGGCTACTTCAAGCTCAAAGAAGAGGTCGACCAGGCCCTTGTTGGTGGAGCGCAAGGCAATATCGCCGTTTTCAGTGAGCATCTTGTTCTCCATGTCCTTGGGGGGCTCGCTGTCGGCATCGACGGAGAGGAGGGCTTGCATGAATGGATGGTCGTTGACCTGTTTATCACCGGCTGTTTGTTCGGCGCTACTGGCGGGAGCGGAAGCCGAATCGATTGCAAGATTCTCGACCATCTCGCGGGCATCGGCGATTGTCGAAGGGTCGGTGACGACGGTGAAGGAATCGTCCGTCATTGCCCGGTCAACCGAGGCATGATGAGTCTCGGCGGCATCAACAATCTCGGCGGATTTGTTGAACGCAGCGAACTTTGCCTTGAGGTAGCCGTCGAATTCGGCGGCAGACAAGGTGAGGGCGTCGGCCTGGGGCAAGAAGACGGGGCATTTCGCCTTGAGAAACCACGCCTCGCCCTGAGACTCGGCCATGGCTGCGATTCGGGAGAAGAGGTCAATCGGGTAGATGAATACAAAACAACAAGTGAATTGGGTGATGAATGCGAAGTTGTGTTGTGTTGCGTTGCGTTTTTGGGAAGAAGAAAGTCAAGCCGGGGAGCAAACACAGTCGAGGTGAAGGGGGAGGTTAGGTGAAGGGCGAGGTTAGGTGAAGAAGGTGGGGTCAGAGCCAGCTCTAATTACGGTCAACAGAATTGTAGTCGGCCGCCTGAGCCAACCGCTTTGGCGTGTGACTCAGACCGGCCTTTCAGACTCTAAAGGGAGCAAGTCACGTGTCGTTGCCATGGTTTCCTACATTTCTATACAGTCATTCGGCGAATTGGGGGAGAGATGAGATTGAAGTGAGGCCAAGAAAATTACTAGATGAAAGAAAGTGATGCACCCATCGTGGTTTGGCAGATGGGTACTCCGTGGCTGTCATACTTTCCAGGCAGAGGCTCTCGCCAACTGCTGCGGTCTGTGCGCAGTGGTGGGGCAGGCGTTGACAGGTCAGGGGGCCCTGTAACATTAGGCCAAAACCCCACACTTAGGCAGGTGGGCAGTTAACCCAACCCCGCAAAATCACCTACAGTCCCTACAGTCAGGTCCCCTGCTTAAGCAACCAATTCAGACAGACCAAATAGGTTGCACACGCTGTGCAAGTTGCAGAAAAGGGTGCGGTGCAGAAAAGGGTGCGGTGCAGAAAAGGGTGCGGTGTTTCGGTGAGAATAGGGTATTCAGACAGGCCAAACCAGTTCATTTACTTTTCGTCCCGCCATACTACCGAGTCTAATTACTTTTCGTCCCGCCATACTACCGAGTCTATTTACTTTTCGTCCCGCCATACTAATCATCCTTCTTCCACCTCTCGTTTCTGCACATATTGTGCATCACAAAGTACCAGAGATATAACGGCGATAAGTAGTCAAATCTCTAGATCAATAAAGCCAACGACGAGGATACCGATAACGAGGATGTCAGAGACATCATCGAGCAAATGAAAGAGAAGGAAGAGGCCGACAACTTCGCCCGATAACTTTCCGAGAGAATAGACGGAGCTGACGAAGTAATTAATAACGTCGTCGGTCAGATGGGAGATATTGAAGTCCTATAGCTACAAGATAAGGTAATAATACTAGAGGCGGAACTCAAGGAAGCTGTGGAGGTCATTAACGAGTTGAAAGGGTAACTGAAAGGGGCCATGGAGTACATAGCGAAGAAAAGAAAGCTCGATAATATCGAGCATAAAAAAAGGATCTATCAGAAGAAGGTCAAGGAGTTAGAGGACCAGGAGATAGAACTTCGGGGAGGATAGTAAACGTAATAAGGGATAACTATAAAGGTTTCACGACGATTAAGTTCGTCTTAGTCCGTTACTAGTAATCATAAAGATCTCACAAACATATTTTGGGATTTCAATATAGGAATGTCGATCAGTCATATAGACTCCAATAAACGACATCCATCAGCTAGGTTATAGAAGTCACTTGTGGGTAAGTGACATCCAAGAGAGGGGCATATATTATGCCTATGTAAGTTATTATACCTATATAAGTATGGAAGGTGGCCAGTACATTAGCCTACATAGCGTAGGCACCACAACCTTAGCGTTTAGACAAATCTATCCTTCTTTCACTTCTTCTTTTAGGGACATACAGTGCATCACGCTGCACTGCGCTTGGTCCTATGGGGTGCATAGTACACGAACAAAGAGAAATAGACCGTGCTTCACTAAGCATGGCATGGGTATCGAATAAACTGGGAAGAAAACAGGAATAAAAACAAAACGTTTGCGTTGTGCAGTTCCGGGTTTAACACGCGACGGCTGCCTGGAACATAGAAAGCCCGGAAGCTTCAAATGCGTCCGCCACTCACGTCGCTTGGCAATGCGAATGCCATATTGAAAAAAAAAAAAAAAAGTTCTAGGAGCAATGGTACCCGGTTTTTGTATCGCGAAAGGCGCGGCGCGTATGCACGGTCGCATTACCTAGGTATCCGTACTTACACCGAAGAGACCTGCATGCGCCAACACGGAGCTAGCGGTGGTGGTTGATGACCAACCAACGACTCGGAGTCGTCCCGGGGCAGGCACTTGGGGTGGCAACAATTCCGACAGCGGCGCGGGCCCAGACCCGATCCCTGTATTTTATGCATTTTCTTGTCGATCACGTTCACAATAAGCCTGGACAGGATAGCCGACGACGGAACCAAATTCAATTGCTTTCCAAAGCCCCAACTTAACAGTGGTACTACGTATGCGAATGCTCCATGAGTAATAATACGCAGCGTATCTGGAACTCGAAATATGTAGGATATAAGTGTCTATGACCCGTGTTGAACATGTCATGTCAGCTCCTTGACTCCACGCCAGGGCGAAGTCCAGGTAGTCTCAGGTTTACTCAGCATCTTGAACTATTATTTTCATTCTTCAACGGTTGAACCAAATGCTCGAACCAGACCTAGACCCAGTTTTAACCCGATGGCTTCAGCAAATACCTCCACTGAGAGTTGTACAGACTCCAAGATGACGTTGGCCGACGCACCCCCTGTATCAGACCAAATGGGCAAGCGTGAATCAAACACCGCCCTCACGAGTGACTCAAAAACAAGCCTCCATCTCCCCGACGGGTTCCCGCCACCACCAGACGGCGGGCTGCGGGCATGGACGCAGGTTCTGGTGGGCCACTTGGTGTCGTTCAACAGCTGGGGCTACCTGAACTCGTTCGGGCTGTTTCAAGCGTACTACGCCACCACACTATCGGCGACCCCGTCGTCCATCAGTTGGATCGGCTCACTACAAATTCTGCTCAACTTCCTCGTCGGCTGCGTGTCGGGGCGCGCTCTCGACGCCGGCTATCTGCGCGCCACGCTGGCCCTCGGCATGCTGCTGCAGATCGTCGGCATCCTCACGTCGTCCGTCGCCACCCAGTACTGGCACCTGCTGCTCGCCCAGGGCATCTGCAAGGGTCTTGGTGATGGACTCATGTTCTGTCCCGCCGTCGCTGTCGTGCCCACGTATTTTACGACTAAGCGCGCCGCCGCCATGGCGATCGCCGCGGCTGGCACTGCGACTGGGGGTCTCGTCTTCCCGATCGTCGCCCAGCAGCTCCAGCCGCGCATCGGCTTTGCCTGGACCGTTAGGGTTATGGGGTTTGTTGTTGTCTTCAACTCGGTCCTTATCCTCCTGCTCGCGCGCGCCCGCCTGCCGCCGAGAAGGGCCGGGCCCATTCTCGAGTGGCGTGCCTTTAGGGAGCGCGGATACACGCTTTTCTGTGTCGGCATGTTTCTGGTGTGGTGGGCTCTGTACTTTGCGTTTTTCTACGTAAGACCACCTCCCCGAGTCCTCGGTTATTTGACGGAGTCCCCGGTCATTTGACGGATTCCCGAGTTAACGGCGTAGGTGCAAACGTGTCAGATCAGCGCCTTTGCCAAGACGCACCTAGGCGTCGACACGTCGACATCGCTGACGCTGCTGCTCGTGTCCAACGCGGTCGGCGCGCCCGGCCGCATCGTCGCGGGGCTAGTCGCGGACCGGTACTTCGGACCGCTCAACGTCATGATCCCCGGCGTCTCCTGCGCGGCGGTGCTGATGTTTGCCTGGGCCGGCGTGCACTCGCTCGCCGCCTTCTACGTCTTCTGCGTGCTGTACGGCTTCTTCGCCGCCGTCGTCCAGACCCTCTTCACCTCGGCCTGCGCCAGCCTGACCCCCAACATGAACGCCAACGGCTCGCGAACGGGCATGTGCTTTGCAGTTGTCTCGTTCGCCGCTCTTACCGGCGCCCCCATCGGCGGCGCCCTCGTCCAGCTCAACCACGGCAGCTACCTGTACGCCCAGATTTTCGGCGGGACTTCTTTGGTGGCGGGAGCCGCGGCGCTCTTAGCCGCCAAGTTCTCCTACAAGCGGGCGTGAGCGAGACCAGGCTCGGGACTTGATATTGGCAGGGGCGCATATCTGGATTTGATATTGGCAGGGGTGCATATCTGGATTTGATATTGGCAGGGGCTCATATCTGGATTATGGTTGGCAGGCAGGCAGGCAGGCAGGAGGCAGGCAGGCAGGCAGGCAGGCAGGAGGCAGGCAGGCAGGCAGGCAAGAGGCAGGCAGGCAGGCAGGCAGAAGAATTAGATTAAACTGTGTTCAAATTCCTGGACATCCGAACCCAACAAATTTCCTCAAATGGCGAAATCCTCTGATCCAACCATTGCCACCGGATCCGGTAGTTGTGTGACGGGCGAGAAATCATGGAGTACTGGGGTGCCCGAGCAGGGATAAGCCGTGGCGTTCTGGAGAATCTGAACGTTGCGGAGAGACGCAGGCCAAGACGCCAAGCTTCGAGAACAATTCTCCCGGCTTCCAAATTTCCAGGCCGCGTGGGGCAACGGTCTACTAGTTCTGGGCGCCGTGTTGTTTCATTTCGACTTTTCCTCTGGCGCTTGTTTTTTGGCAGATCTGTTTTCCAAGGCACGAGGCGCCGAGACCCCAGCCTTTCTAACCAACTGCATATCTTTGCCCAGTCCCAATAATTAAGACTTGGGCAAGACATAATTAGAACCACGATAGTATCCACATACGACCCGTACACCACGCCCGCCGCTCCGGGCCTTCCATGTGGCGTGTCGCATTCCAGCCAGCGCCAAACCCGGGAGCAGCAGAGACGGGACAATAGTTCAGGAACACGTTCAATCTCGTATAATTGCTAGGGGTATAGAATGGCGCGTATTGACGTCGTGCCGCTCGACTCTGCCTCGGTCGCCCCCTGGGGGACGTGATGGACTGGGCTGGACTGAATCCGGCCGCCCGGTAATATGGCAAAATCCAGGCTCGCAGACAGGCCGCCGGGGCCGCTCACGGGGGCGCTCTACGGCGCCTCCCATAGGCTGGTTGGGCCGGGTGATATGGGCAATCAAGTCCAGATTGCTCTCAGCCAACGCCATTGCAGGTATAGTTGGTGGCCGGCAAATCTCCAGCTCGGCCAACCCTGGGGTAATTGGCAGTGGCAGCTCTGTCTACCCCACTGATGTCAGGGTCAGTGTTTATAAGTGGGATGCGCCTGCGCTCGAGTCTGGAGACGGAAACCAGCGTCCCCTTTTCCGGCCAACCCCTAGTCGACTTGTCAACAACCCCCCCCTGACACCGCTCACCACTGCCCAAGATGCACTGGACTGCTGTGCTTGCCTTTGCGGGTGCGGCCGATGCCGCGGCCACCATGCTACGGTTCGGCTGCTCGCAGATCGTCATCGACCGCATTGACCCGCTGGTGAACCCGGACCAGCTGCCGTCGCCGCATCTGCATCAGGTCATCGGCGGCAATGCCTTCAACGTCAGCATGGCGTCGACCGACATCTCCCAGGTCGCCAGCTGCACCACATGCAGCTACGCCGAGGACTTTTCCAACTACTGGACCGCCAACATGTACTTCAAGGCCCGCAACGGCAGCTACAAGCGCGTGCCGCAGATCCCCAACCGGTACTGCCCCCTTCGTTCCAAGCACGCAACGACAGAACTGACTCGTCCGCAGGCTGCTCTTTGGCGACAAATTCACGACCCAGACGTCGGGCGGCTTCGTCGTGTACTACGTGTCACCCGGCAAGGGCGGCGTGACGGCGTTCAAGCCCGTGAGTCGACCACCCACTGATCATCCAAACACTCCCGCAACAAGACTGACGAGAACACAGGGTTTCCGCATGCTGGTCGGCGACGCGGGCCAGCGCGCCAAGATCGGCAACGGCCGCAAGTCGCAGAGCTGCTTCCGCTGCTACTCGGGAGCCAACTTCAAGGGTGACGACGCGGCGCCGTGCGCCGACGCCCGGCTCGACACCGAGGCCCTCCCGGCCGGTGTGTGCTCGGGCATCCGCTCCAACATCCTGTATCCGACGTAAGTCCCCCATCGCCAGCACTCACTTACGACCTCGCCCTTCTAACACGGCAGGTAATCCATAGCTGCTGGGACGGCAAGAATCTCGACAGCCCGGACCATAAGTCGCACGTCGCGTACCCGTCCGCCGGACCCCAGACCTTCACCGGCTCCAGCGTCGGCAACGGCTGCCCGTCCACGCACCCCGTCAAGATCCCGCAGATCATGCTCGAGATCGTGTGGGACACGACGCAGTTCAACAACAAGGCCGAGTGGCCGGCCGACGGCACGCAGCCGTTCGTGCTCAGCACGGGCGACAACACGGGCTACGGGCAGCACGGCGACTACGTGTTCGGGTGGAAGGGCGACTCGCTGCAGCGCGCCATGGACGCCGGGTGCACCGGGGCCAGCTGCACGGGGCTCAAGACGCAGGAGGTCGCGCAGGCGAATAAGTGCAAGGTGCCTGGGCGGGTTAATGAGAAGTGGGAGGGCTGTGAGTATTTTCTTTCGTTTCCGACATCCATGGTGTCCATTAGTGATCTGCTTTACTGACGAGATGTTTCGCAGGGCTCGACAAGCTCCCTGGCGACCCGAGCGGCATGTAGGATGGTCGGCGGAGGCTGGGTGGGATAGAGGGACGCATGTAGACTACGGGTAGAATGGCGCGGAAAGGAATTTGGGGTGGGAGTTTGATGTATGTACATGACTATTGGCGATGGCCACTTGGCGATGGCCACTTGGCGATGGCCACTTGGCGATGGCCACTTGGCGATGGCCACTTCTTGGCGATGCATGTTTGGTTTATGTTGCACAGCGTAATCAGTCGCGGAAACACTTCTCGAGAACTTGGCCTACCCCTGTATTCCCTGTAGCCGTATTCCCTGTAGTAGAATGTCACCTGTCGCCATAAAACCGGAAGCTGGTCTATTGTTCGAACCGACTACAATCTATGGTTTCTGTGTCTCGTACGTGTTGCCCTTGTATATCAATTGATATCCATCCATTTAACTGTAAATGCAAATATGCAACGTGTCGCTGCTGTCTCGCCGTGTTCATATGTTGCTCAAGGTAATTAACACCGTGTCTGCGTGTAGATGACCGTGTTGTGCGTGACACAGCTGTTGGAATCACCAGGTACCGGTACTGGAAACAACAGGGCGTGCTGCACGCCGAAAGCTGGTGGTTCAAGTGATGGTCATTGTTGTCTATGTCTATCTAGAAGAAAGAGGTGGCCGTAGGCCACTTATATGGAATCTGGGACCCCTACGCCTCCACCGCCGCCTGTGTGGCTGATGAATGCGTTGCTACAGCCACCTCTATGTGGCTGGAATGCGCGTTGTTCCAACAACAGCAGATTCGGGCGGCCATCGCATCCACGGACAAGATGACCGGCAACACCCGATTAGCTGCCGTAAATCCAACGGCCACGTTATCGGGTCGAACTCTATTGCCGTCTACTCGGCCGCTGTGGTCGCATTCTCGGGAGTACTTGTTTGGTCGGCCTGCTCCTCGTTCTCCACTAGCGTGCTCCCGCTCGGAGCAAAGTGCGAGAAGAGCAGCACCCCGCAGGCGACCAGCGCCAAGGCCTGCAATTCAACGTGTCAGCTAATTAATCGCCTCCAACCATCAGACATATATCGAACTCACGGCGTTGACGTAAAAGGTCATGTACGACTTCCCCAGCTCGGCCAGCGCGGCAAACACGAAGCCGAACAGGCCCTGGGTGCTGATGTTGGCCAGGTTCTCGACCAGCGTCAGAGCGTTGAGGGCGTCGGCGCGCTGCGACGGCGGGCACATCTCCGTCATGACGCCCTTGGCCGCGGGCGCGCTGCCGGACGCAAACGGGAGCAAAAAGGCAGCTTGAAGCACAGGGTTGTCAGCTTGCTATTCTTCTCACCGGTATGTCGAGTCTGTGAGGTGAACGTTACCCAGGAAGATGTGCCACTTCTTGGTCGCGAACGCGGTGCACATGGTCAGCGCGCCGTCGAGCACCAGGCTCCAGCGCAGGAAGAACAGGTCGAAGCGGGCGCCCTCGACCTCCTTGACCGTCTCCGAGGTGACGGGCTCGTCGGCAGCGAAGGTGCCGACGGGGGCCTCGATCTCCTCGGGGCGCGTGGGCAGGTCGTCGGCGCCGTGGGCGGGGGTGTGGCCCTTGGTGCTCCTGTCCGGGTGGCGGGCCAGGTACCATTTGCGGCCGCGGGCGATGACGCCGGGGAAGGCGACGATCAGGAACAGGGCGCGCATGCAGGCGTAGCCCGACATCAGCAGCCCGTTGTCGCTCTGCTCAAAGTCGAACGCCGACGTCGCGTATAGCTGGATCAGTAGCGCCACGTACCCCGTCGCCACCACGCCCAGGAACACGCCCGCGCACAGGAACAGCAGCCCGTAGTGCCGCACAATCTTGCCGCCCCGCAGGCGGATCCGCTGCGGCGCGAGCACGCGCAGGGGCGCGAAGAAGGCGCCGATCCCGCGGACCGCCGGCTTCTTCCCGTCCGACATGGAGCCGGGCGAGATGTACGGCAGCGCCAGGCGCGCGTAGACGGCCGAGACAAGGAAGGAGAAAAACGCCACCTCGAAGGGCCGGCGGATGCCCCACGTGTCGCCGATGAGACCTCCGGCTGTTTTGCTTGCCTGGTTAGTTTCTGCATGTCCGGCTATCGCAGACAGGGTCGGGGCAGCTCACTGTAGTAGCCGATTCCCTGGCCCAGCATGATGCACCCCTGCAGCATGCCAAAGACGCCGGTGCGGCGCTCGGGCTCGACCACCTCGCCGGCGATGATGTTCATGACGAGGCTAGCATCGCGTCAGCTCTACTCTGCTCGAACGGGCTGCCGGTGCGTGCACTCACATGTACCCGGCGGGGCCACCCAGGACCGTGACCAGCTGCGTGCATTGGAAGATGGTGATGCCGGCAGCGCCGCCGGCGAGGACGCCTAGGATCTGGGTGGCGACGCGGATGGCGGGGACCAAGATCTGGGCGAGGAGGGCGCGGCGGGGGCCGACGCGCTTGACGAGCCAGCCGGCGAAGAACAGGTTGAAGGTGCCGCAGATGGTGGTGGACATGGCCAGGAAGGCGAACTGCAGCGACGTGGCGGCGGCGATCTCGTCGACCTTGCAGCGGTTGCCGGGCCCTTGGTGGGGCGGGTGCGTCTCGTAGTAGACGTCGCAGTTCATCAGGTAGAAGGCGTAGAAGATGCTGGCGCGGCGGGTTAGGCCCAGGGAAGCCGGCTCGGCACGGGCGGGAAGGGGGACTCACGGCACCTGGGTGAAGCTGAAGGACAGCGTGATGAGGAAGCCGCCGAACAGGAGCCGCTGCTCGACGTGGAGAAAGGCCTGCCGCAGCCAGCCGGCGACGGCGACGGCGCCGTCGGGCTTGCCGTTGCCGTTGGCGGCGGCGGCGGCATCGGGGTCGGCACTGGCGTTGGGGTTGGCATGGGCATCGGAATTGCCATTGGCATTGGCATCGGAATTGCCGTTGGCATTGGCAACGGAATTGCCGTTGGCATTGGCATCGGAATTGCCATTGGCATTGGCGTTGACGTCGCCGTTACGAGAGTCAGGTCCGCCGAGGAGCGGCGACGTCTCGTCGGCGGCTGGTGTTCCTGCCATGGCTGCCTGAGGAAATGATATGATGTCGTCCGTCAGGACTCAGCCGATACCTCGCCTCTCTCTGCTAGCGACCAGGCTCTTGGCAATTATGTGTGCTGCGCTCGAAAGGGATGGACAAATAAAGACGGTGTTTGGATGCGCAAAAAAGTTGAGACGTTTGTAATGATTTTGGGACGAATTGGCCCGAATTGGCCCGACCAATGCCGTGCTCAGTTGGCGGCGGGGTCTAGCTGCCCAGGCTTACCAAGTCGAGTCCGGCGGCGAGTCAGTGGCGCAGTGCGGGTGCCGAGATAGGCAGGCCGGGCTTCCTACGCCCCTGCAATGCGGCTGCCGCGACGGGACGTGGTCCGTGGTTGGTCGATTGCGCGAATGCCCCTCACTCTTGCATGCACGCAATGCAACGAGACGTAAATGCGAGGTTGGAATTTAGGATGACGTTAGGTTGCGAGTGGGGCTAAGAGATAAAAGGCCGCGCAACCGCACTGACAGCACGCCTTCAATGGTTGGCTGGGCGTTGGGGTGGGGTTGCTGGGGTTGCTCGCAGCCGTCGCCAGCTGCCGATATCGCAGTGTCACTTGGGCAGGAGTTTATGTAACCTTGAGCACACTGCGTGCACAAAGCTGCCTCGGTTCAAAGCATTTCAATTGACTGCCAGCATTTACCGTTCTTACTCACCACCATTCTTACCATTCTCACTCACCCTCTCACTCACCATTCTCACCATTCTCACTCACCATTCTCACCATTCTCACCATTCTCACCATTCTCACCATTCTCACCATTCTCACTCACCATTCTCACCATTCTCACCATTCTCACCATTCTCACCATTCTCACCATTCTCACTCACCATTCTCACCTGTTGCTTATGATCGGAGTTGACAGCGCATTAAATTCCGTCTGGGCTAGAAGGAAGGTTCAAAGGACGAAGCCGAAGGCTTCTTAATATAGACCCTGTAGCCCTGCGCCTCCTGCCGCCGCCTCCGCCACTTATTGTTCTGTTGGTTCAACCAACACACATCTTTAAACAAAAGTCAAACGTAAGATGACGGAATAAGCTGACTGTGGCTTGAAGAGTGGCTTAAATCTGGGCGACATCACCATTCTCACCATTCTCACTCACAACCCTCACCATTCTTACCATTCTCACCATTCTTACTCAAACAAGCAACACAAACTTTGAATTTGAGACCATATAATTACGAGTCAAAAACTTGCTTTAACCCTCCCACACAACAGGCCCCGGCGCTGTATAGCTAGTCCGCGGCGGCGAGTTCGGCCAGATGAGGCCTGGGTCGCTCGCCTTGTACGCGCCGGGGAAGGCCACAAGGGGCCCGGGCACGCCGCTCCCGCCGCCCATCACGTCAACCTGTCCGCAGCTGATGTAGAACTGGGCGCCGCCCACGTTCTGGGCGAGGTGGAGGGCGATGCTCTCGACGCGCACCAGGTACTTGCCGCTGGGGAGGGCCGCCGGGATCTTGAAGGCGACCTGGGTCTTGTCTGATTGCCACCACACGGTATAGTCAGCAGCTGCATCTCCGCAAACAGACAAAACAGAACGTGCTCACGATATGCAGGCCACGTGGCCTCGTTGCCGCTCAGCGGGCCGCCCGTCTGCACGGCGCTAATGCTACCGGCCTTGAACCACACGCTGCCAGCGGCGTCCCACGTGTCGATGTCCTTGCCGTCGGGCACGCGGGCCATGTAGAACTGGCAGGGCCCGAAGTGCATGATGCCCGACGACACGACGAAGCCGAGCTCGGCGCCGGCCGCGACCGCCGACGTGGCCTTGCCCGAGCTGCCGCCGAAGCACCGCATGTCGGCGCTGTTGACGTCCGACACGGCCCCGTTGTCCCGCGAGTTGCTGACCTTGGTCTTGCGCACCGACACCCAGTCCGCCGCCTCGGGCTTGCCGTCGACGACCAGCCGCGGGAACTTGTCTGTGTTTGTCAGTCATGGGCAGGTGTCGCGCGTTTAAGGACTGAGACACTGACAGTGCGCGTGTGCCGAGGCTGCGAGCAGCAGCAGCATGCACGCCGTCAACTTCATCGCGAAGGTATTGTGGCGGCTCTGCTTGAATTGATTGGTACGAGGCCGTTTTCTGACTGGCCAAGGGCGGCGTCTAGGCCATGGCGGGAGTGTGTTCCCTTAAGTCTACTTCTGCCAAGACCAAGGCACCAACACAACACGGCTTTTGAATGCCGTGCAAACGTGACCACTGTGGTAGGTGCGTTTGGGCCGTCAATAAGCTCGCCCAATGCCGGCACTGCAGTTAGATGGAGGGATATGAAAGGTTGTGGCTAATCCCATTCAGCCTGTTTGCGTCTGGACTGAAGGCGAGCTTTCACGCACATGGCACGAGTGGTTACCTAAGCGGGCTTCGAGGCGGCCGCTTGGCTTGCATTCGGCGTTGTATTCTTGGTTGGCAAATTGTGCCTTGGTAATACTGCTAATATCAAACGGATTGATGCCTTTGCGTATAACCATGCCCGGCCTTTTTGCCTGGGGTTACTGTTATTCCCGTGTGAAACCACAAGGTTTACTAAAGGAAATACACTTTAAAGGTTTGTCGAATGCGAAACAGCACAGCCCTGTTTTAGACATTTAACTCATTTTGTTTCTATAGCCTTAACCGTACACGGGGCTTAGATCCCCCCTCTGTCTGAGCCATGAACTGAAAGCATGGCGAGGTAGTATTCGTTTGAGTTTTGACCCCCACCGGCATGAATCCGCCCCGGGGAAGCCTGATGCACACCCAGAACCTTCAACCCAGGGCCGGACCCCCCGTATCTTTTACGCAAATCTCCTCTTCATTTCTCCTCGTCCTCGCACACATTCGGCTTTCGTACCAGATCTGAACCTCTAGTAACCTAACTACCAATGGAAGACTTCGAGGCACAACTCGCTCGGGCAGCAGCACCAGACACGAGGGACGTCCTGGGCGCAATTGGACTAGTCGTCGACGCGAAAGGCAGGCATCCAATTACACAACCCTCCCTTCACAAAACCATAGGACCAAACCCTAACAACCCCAACAGGAACCACGCTCTACCACCACGCGTGCGGCCGACAGTCGCTGGACGCCGACGCGCCGCCGCTTGACGCCGACAGCACGGTATCGCTCGGCTCCGCGGGCAAGTTCCTGACGCACATCGCCGCACTACAGCTAGTGGAGCACGGGCTCGTGGGGCTCGACGACCCCGTGTCCACGCTGCTCCCCGAGCTGGACGCGCTGCCCCTGATCTCTCGCAGCAGCCCTTTCGCAGCCCGCCCCCCAGCGACCAAAATCACCCTCCGCCACCTGCTCACGCACACGAGCGGCCTGTCGACGCACGACGACCCGGCCGTACAATCCTACCTCGCCGCCGGCGGCGCCATGCCGACCCCCGCGCCCGACGCCCACCCCATCGTCCGCGCCACGTCGCTGCCGCTCACATTCAACCCCGGAACCGGCTTCGCCTACGGCCACAGCATCCACTGGGCGCAACTCCTCGTCGCGCGCGCCGCGCCCAGCGGCAACTTTATCCGGCACATGCAGACGCACGTCTTCGACGTCCTCAACATGCGCACCGCGACGTTCGGGCCGCGCGACCGTGAGGACGTGTGGCACCGGCGCCTGCGCATGGTCGAGCGCGCCGCCGCCGACGGCAGTCTGGTGGAAGCCGACGACGCCACGCAGGGCCTCACGTGCAGCGTGCGCGACGTGGGCGCCGCGCTGGCAGATCTGCTCGCGCCGGCGCCGCGGCTGCTCTCCCGCCGGGATCTGGTCGACTTGTTGTTTGAGCCGCAGTTCGCGGCTGGGAGCGGCGCGCTGCGGGATCTGCGCGGCGAGAAGGACAACTATGCGTTTTGTGCTGGCAGGGACAACTATGCGTTTTGTGCTGGGAGGGACGACTATGCATTTTGTGCTGGGAGGATGGGAGACGGTGGGGAGGAGCTGGGTGTGAACTGGAGTGCGGCGGGGCTCGTGGTTGAGGATGATGTGTTGCGTCTGTCAGGGATGCCGCGCGGCACCGTGGCGTGGGAGGGCATGCCAAATGTCATGTGGGCTGTTAACAGGGAAAAGGGGGTGGCGGCGTTTTTCGCGACGCAGCTCGTGCCGAACGGCGACGAGAGGGCGAACAGGCTTGCCGTGGCGTTTATGAGGGGGGCGTGGGGAACATTTGGCTCGTCCTGATTCGTCAAGTCGTGGTACTCTGCGCCTTGTTTGGCGTCGACGTTTGGCTCGTCCTGATTCGTCAAGTCGTAGTAATCTGCGCCTTGTTTAGCGTCGAGGTACTCTGCACCTTGTTTAGTGTCGAGGTACTCTGCGCCTTGTTTAGCGTCGACTTTTGCCGTATCCAGGTCATTATAGCATGTATCGGAAAGTGACGGCACGGTCGCCCATGGCGGAGAGCTTTTCGGCAGTGTACGAGTGCAGCGGGCCGTCTCGCACCATCTTGTCCCGCTTCTTGTTGATGGCCGAGTAGCTCGCCGCCAGCCCGGCGGCCGCGACAATGCCGGCGCCGATGAACCCGAGCTCCAGCCCGTGGCCGAGGACGTAGCGCGCTGCGTCTTTCTGGCGGTAGAAGTTGGAAGCCATGGCCTGCTCAGCAGCGTCAGTCTCGAGATGGAGTATGCATGGATCACGGAAACTCACGCCCCCGAGGTTGCCAACGCCAATCTGGATGGCCATGCCGGCGCTGCGCTTGTACGACCCCGCCAGGTTGTTGCTCAGCCACGTGATGATGCCGGGGAACGCCGGATAGACGGCGCACGCGGCTACGAATACGCCGCCGTACACGACGTGGGGGTCCGACGAGGCGATGCACCTGTTGTCTGCGGTCAAAACACGGCCACGGAGTTCTAGTGGTGCGCAGAGGCAGCCCTTACATGGAGAAGCCCATGGCCGCCACGATCAGCAGCCCGACGACGAACGGACTGCGCTTCCCGACGCGGTCCGAGGCATAGGCCACGAGCACGGCCAGCACCGCTGCCGTGATGTAGATGGGCACTGTCATCAGCTGCGCCGTGCTGGGCGAGTAGCCCAGCGTGTGAACGATGGTGGGCAGGAACAGGCTGATGCCGTAGATAGGGCACACGATCTGGCCACGGAATTTCAGCAAACATGTCCTTGTTGTCGACCAGGCGTGACTTACACCCCAGTAAACCACGATGCTAGCCCAGATCTGCCAGTCGCCAAAGGCCTGCCAGACATACGCCCACCTGAACTCGTCGGCCTGCGCCACCTGGACAGTTGCCAGGTGGACACTTGCCAGGTGGACACTTGCCAGGTGGACACTTGCCAGGTGGTCCTCGGCCTGGCCGGGCGTCTCAGCGTCGTGCTCCGCCGCCAACCGACTCTTGCTCTGGCCTTGGAACTTGAGACGGTCGACGACAAAAGCGCGCTCGTCGTCGGCCAGGAAAGAGGCCGTTTCGGGGAAGTCGTGCAGCACGAAAAAGGCGAAAACAGCGATCAGCACGGTGGCGATGCCCTCGAGGATGAAAATCCAGCGCCAGCCTGCCAGCCCGCCGACGCCCCCCATGTTGGAGATGGCGTAGGCCAGCAGCCCGCTGAAAGCGCCGGCGATCGACGCAGCACTGAAGAAGAGAGCCTGGCGCAGCTGGATCTCGTCGCGCGTGTACCACATAGTCAGGTAGTAGGCGATGCCGGGGAACAGGCCGGCCTCGGCGACGCCCAGGAACAGCCGCGCGGCCAGCAGCCCCGCGAAGCCCTGCACCACGCCCATCAGCGTCATGACCACGCCCCACGCCACCATGATGGTCGGCAGCCAGCGGCTCGGGCGCAGCTTCTTGAGCAGCAGGTTGCTCGGCACCTCGAAGGCGGCGTAGCTGAAGAAGAAGACGGTCAGGCACAGGTTGTACTGGTCCGCCGTCAGCCCGAGGTCTTCCTGCAGGCCCTCGATCTTGGCGTTGCCGATGTTGCCACCTGCGCCGTGGCCACTTGTCAGAGCTCTGTGCTGGTAGTGGACTCGGGGGCTGGGTGCCTACGGTCAAGGAACGAGAGCAGATAAAGAAGTGCCAGCATCGGGATCAGCCGGAGATCCATCTGCCGTGTGCAATGGCGAGCCCGAGTTAGGTAGCTGACAGCTTTATCGTCTGATCAGACGGCAGCGAGACATACCTTGCGCAGAATCGCCTTTTGGTCGAGGTGGGCAAACGACTTGCGCGTCGCCGTTGCCGTTGCCGTCGCCGTCGCCGTCGCCGTCGCCGTCATCGTCGCCGCCATCGTCGTCTGCAGTTGGGCATTGTCGCTGTCACGCTGCTCGAGGAAATGGCTGTGTCGCTTGGGCAGCGCGCCCTGTGTCTCCTCGGCGTGCGCGCTGTCCGGCTTCTCTGTCAAGGGCTCCATGTTCATGTTTGCCGTCGCGGCAGAAAAGCGCAACCCCCAAAACCAGTCCCAATGAAATCAGATGGGTTGAGGTCCAGACGGCATCCCCCTAATTATACGCCAAAACCCCAACTTCTCCACGCCGATCATGGCCGCCGTTCCTTGGAAACCGATGCCATCATCGTCCCATCATCAACCTGACACGACTTCCCCGCATTGCAGCCCGAGCGATCGCCACCCGGTTTTCCTGCATTTGGCCCTTTCCGACGGTTTCACGGGCACGTGGTCCGCTTGGCTTCACCAATTACCGCGGCAAGGGTCCTCGATCGCCGTCAGTGGCTTTTCGTTGGCTCGATCAAACCTCGCCGAATCAAAGTACTGGAGTTGCACAGGTATTATGCAGTTGCCTCTGAATGCACGGGTGTGGCGTGGTTATCTGTGTAGACCTCGTGTTGTGGTGACAAAATGTGTAGAAAGTGCATTAGCTGGCTAACTCTAGGAGGAGCTAATCCCCGTACTAAATGTGTGGCGAGAACCCATGTGCGGGCTGGTGGCCCAAGCGTTCAACCAGGGCTAAGGCCCTGATCTTCTCAAACTCGGCGAGTTGTCAGCTTTTCGGTACTTTAGGTCCCAGGCGCCAAGACCAAGATTGATCGAATTTCCGGAGGGAGCTTGACCCTTTCTGGCACCAATTTTGAGTGGAAAAAGTGGGTTTTGTACCTCATAAAATTTTGCCAGCCAAACTCATGCCAACACCCCTGGAATCGCATGTACCACGCTACTGCAAGGCCGCCCGGGCCACAGCCATACCGAATATGGTAAAATAGACGAGGATTCTGCCGGTTTTTGGCCATAACTTGGCGAGTTGCAAGATGGCTGGAAAAGCTGGAATTTGTGACTTTTTCGGTGGAAAGTAGATCCAAAGCTGGCGCCACAGGCAAAGCCACACTGGAAGTGGGCTGAGAACCGGTTGGAAAAGTCTGTACAGGGTTAGAAATGAGCCTCAACATTGACTTTGTATGTAATTCGTACCAACCAAGCCAGCAAGGCACTCAACTTGGCCTACGCGAAGTTATACACCCCGGTGGCCCTCGATTTGCGCGCCGGTTGGCCAATTGCCTTCTCAATGGCGCAGACACTCGGTTCAAGGACCTCTTTCGCATGAATAAGCCTACTTTCCATGCCCTCGTACGATGGCTGCGGACCAACGAAGGACTCAAAGGCAGCCGGTATCAACTGGCTGAGCAGAAGGTTATGGTGGTCCTATATATCCTGGCACACGCAGCCACACAGCGAAACGCGGCCCATTTCTTCCAAATTACCCAAAGCTCCGTGGCGAGGACGATAGATACAGTCTTGCCAATGCTGGTGTCTTTACATAAACACGTTGTACGCCTTCCAGAGGACGATTGGCTTGATCCGACGGTCGAGCTGAACCCGAAGTTGAACGCCTTCAACGGTTGTATCGGTGCTATCGACGGCACTCACATTGCCGCCCACATTCCTACTCGTGATCAAGCCCGCTGGCGTGATAGAAAGGGAGGAGTCTCTCAGAACGTATTTGCCGCAGTCAGAAGCGATTATTCGTTCAGTTACGTACTCGCTGGTGCCGAAGGCTCGATTAACGACGCGATGTTGTGTGCCCAGGCCTTTGGAAGGAGGTTTCGTGTACCAGAGAACCGGTTTTATGTGGCAGACGCTGGCTTCGGGGCTCGCCAAGGCATCGTAATTCCTTTTCCGAATATTAGATACCACCTACAAGACTGGAGAGATGCTCAAAACCCGCCAGAGACACAGAAAGAGCTCTATAACTTAAGGCACGCCCGTATCCGAGTCGTCGTCGAGCAGGCTTTCGGTATCATAAAGAGGATGTGGAGAATTATTCGGAACGCCCCAATCGAGTACAGCTTTGAGAAGCAAGTATTTATCGTATACGCTGTGACTGCGTTACATAACTTCCTTCTTCAGTATAATCACGAGGACGTACTTGGACCAGAACAGCGGCAATTGATATCGCTTGCGGCAGCCAGAGCTGGGCGGACGGTCGGAACGCGGCATCCAGATTGGGTTCGCCATACCGCTGCAGACGCAATGTGGGCTCAGTATAGTAGATACCGTCAATCAAGAGGATAGAAATGGTGATATTTAACGGCCAAAACCTTGGTGTTGAGGGGTTATAAGGTGGGGCGAAAGGGTGGCTTTAGCCGAGGTTGGATTTTGGATTTCTATGGTAATTGGCTGGCGAAGCTGAATATTGAATACAATCTTGACTCCCATCAAATCCACCACTTCAACTTCATACTTTCCACTCGTCAACCATCTCTCTCTTTGACTCTGGATTCAACGCGTTCCACACTATTACGGCCAGAGGGTTGTTTTGAAGGTATTTCCGGCAATTTATCCTCTCCTGACGGCTGAGATCCTGCGAAAACAGAGCCTCCAAGCTTACAATAGCCTCGGTGAGATCGGTGGCGCCTTGGGTCCTCGGAGCGGCCATAATCGAGGCCGCTTTACAAAGAGTGCTATACAAGGCTGTATCAAAAGCATCAGGAGTCTTGCTTTGCTGGGAGGCTTGCGAAACGGCAATTGTATCCTCAGAGACCGACAAACCGCTAGTACGGCGGTGGTTGGAGTCAGGGTCAGTATCACGACGGTGTTGCTGTGCCGGTGTCAACTTCCTTGCAGGCGTAACTGGTAGTATTCGTAATGCTTTTGCTCTGCCAGCCTCTTCGCTACCGCTAGGTTCAGCCTCATCGTTCTCGGACTCTTCGCCGTCATCGAGAATCTGGTCAAAGGACTGGGAAGGTATATCTTCAGCTTCCATTATATGGTTGCCTGTCGCTTTTTCCCGCCAAAAGACTGCTGAGTAGACCTCTGGATCCCCCAGAGGTGTGTGCTGAAGCCAGGTATGGTTCCTGGTGGGAGTGTTATGCCGTAAGAAGAAAGCCTCCCATACTGACTCGGCCGCTTCGGGTAGTTGGCTTTCCTCGTTGAAAGAGACCCCAGAATACTCCAACAGAGCCTTCCATACGCGATATCGAGAGCGCTCGGTATTATATTTCGTCGAGATAACAGCAGGGGTCCATGGATACTGCGGCCAGGCCTCTTTGCAGCGAGTACAGACGTCCTGCCAGACTTGCGCGTAATCCTTCTTCTTGCTGCTATTGAACAGGCCCTCGGACTTGCACTCTTGGAACCAGAGCATCAATTGCTCCGTCATATGCGTCTTGAATACCACCTTCTTCAGCTGCAATGCCCTTCTTGATGAGCTTGACTGGTCGTCGGTTGTATCGGTTAAATCAACCAACTGCTTGCCGCGCCGCTTATTGGTAGACTCCTTCTTCGGGGCCGGGCGCTTTCGTGATGCACCGGCATTAGGGGGCGCCGTGGACGCAAGGGGGGACTCGCTGGACGACTCTGCCGCCAAAATACTATTGGAAGCCGTCGACCGTCGGCCTGGGTCGTCGACTATGGCTACTATAGTGCCTGGGCTTGGAAACCGCAGCGGCGACTCTGCTGGCAAGTCGGAAAGGCGGGGCTCTGGAAGGGGGTTGTCAAGCCAGTCGCTGGCCGACTCAGGGGCTTCGGGGGCTCCCGGTGCGCCAGTAAGATCAATCACTGGCTCGAGGTCCAATTGGCTGTCGCTCGAAGATGCCATTGTACGTCGTTTTGGCTGCAAAAAAGGACTTCTCGGGCATCGCACTCGGACATGGCCAGGATCAACTTCAGTGGCCAAAGGCGGTGAGAATACCGCTCTGACCGCCTTACTGTTACGGTATAGTGTGGCTGACTGGCACTAATGCACTACTTCTTGGTAGATCCACTTTGACGAAGCCACTGGAAGTCCTTTTTTCGAAGAGTTGGCAACTTGCCGAGTTTGAGAAGATCAGGCCCTAAGCCCCGCAACACACCCCCTTCGCCACACTCCAAATGAAGATTCCTAGATGTGATGTGTAAAGTAACAATGGCAAAATGCCATGTTGTGTTGTGGTAGGGAAAGGGTATTATATTGTACAAATAAGCTCTACTCCTTTCTTATCAATACCAGGGAACCTTCCTTGACTGCATTCCCAGCATTTTGACGAATTTAATACGTAAGTAAATCCAGTGCAAGGGGCTTGATGAAACTATCCGCAGCATCTCTGTACCTGGCACCTTTTCCAGCTTGATTTCCTTCTTCTTGACTTTGTCAATAATCCACTTATAGCGAATGTCTATACATCGCGTTCGTGCCTTGTTATAGGGATTCAGAACCGTTGTGAGGGCATTCGCACTATCAGTAAACAAAACCAACGGCGACCTTGCTTGATGCCGTATTCCTCATACAGCTTGTTGATCCACATCGCTGAGCGCCCTGCAGGCGTGAGATTGGTGAACTATCACGGCAAGTGCAGACAACTCTGGAATAGTGGGCCCGACCCGGACCCCACTAGACTAGATGGCCCGTGCACCCCACGTCCTATTTCCCTGCGCCCTGCCCAAGCTTTAGAAACTTCCTTTCTTCTTTCTTTCCTTAGCTTTAGATTCTACGAATACAGCGACCATATTGCAGCCTTGTCTCATGCAGTTGACTGTGCGGTGATATGAACTCTGCCTCTGTAGTGCTCACTGCAACGTAGGTTTGCTTCTTGGTCTTCCAATAAATAGGTCCTCCTGCAAGAAAGACTATATGTGCACCTATTGAGTAACGAGTATGTACTTCGTCTGCAAGTGAGGCATCCGCATAGGTGCGCAAGCCTAGGTCCTGAATAGTCACATCGTTTCCGCAGAAGACCAGGCTCAAGGATTTGATGCCTTTGAGATAGCGAAATAGATGTTTGAGAAGCTCGAGATGCTTCTTTGTTGGCTCTGTATTGTCACGACCAGGGCAAGGCATTGAGGTGAACTCAGTCCATTGGGTGCTATCGACGAAGATTCTAAACTGAGGAGGGAAAGAAGGAAAAGTCCGACAACGCGTCGCGTGCTCGCGAATAAGTTTTCATCTATCAGTGGGGTAGGTGGGGCCTCGAGGAGGCTTCTGATAGGCCCGGGGGTTCTGGGCGGCTCTGGCTGCTTGAGGGCCAGTTTGGTGGACGGGTCCTCACATGTATTAGCCTTATATAGCTGTAAGACTGTGTGAGGGCCTGGTCCTCCAGGCCTCCCAGACGCTCTGGCTAATCAGACGCCAGTTGGGTGGATCCACCCGACCAGCCAGAGCCCCACCTTGAGACGCCCTGGAAGAATCTCGCGACGGGAGGCTTTTGAGCTTCTTTTCCCTTTTCCCTTTAGTTTAGAATCTTCGTCTATAGCGCCCAATAGAGGAGTTCCGCCCTCATTCCAAGCCGGCCGTGACACAATTCTAAACTCTCAATTCTCATCGCTGGCTAGCGATCAATAAATACGTCAAACCCCACAAACAACCCACTACGTCGGCTGTGCACGACGATAAACCAGGCCACAGAAACCCCCAAACACCACAGCGTCGATGCCCAAGAAGAAAGA